GCAGAGCCAGGAAGGCTCCGAGGGGGGAAACTCTTTCCCTGGAATCATGTTACTCCAGGGCCTGGATGCTCCACTGATGGGGGAGATCTATAAATAACCAGCAGAAATCTATTAATTAATCCAAGCAAGGTTCCAGCCAGCCCTGGAACTCTCTGCACGGCGTCGGAGGCGACAAAAATAAATAAATAAATAAATATTTTTTTAAAAAAATCCAGATATTATTCAGCAGCTCATCGTTATTCACAAGATGCACCGACAAAACGCTGAAGAGAGGAGGTACAAGCTGCTCCTGACACTTAACTTACATTATTCACGGAGTATTTTTCAGCTGTTTTGAAGCCAGAAAATGTCTCCCCTCTCTCTTTTCTGGAGTGGGAGAGAACAGCTTTTGTTTTGCAAAGCTTTGATCTGGAATATTTTGGTGCGTGAGGAGCCTTTTTGCTCAAATAAAAGTGATTAATGCCGGTGATAAACGCTGGGGGTTGTTCGGCTCTGCCAGCAGAGCTGGCAGGTGCTGGGCTGGAAATACAGCTGCCAGAAAATAGAAATAAAACTAAAATACAACAGCAGCAACAGCAACAAAAGATGAAGAATATTACAGTGTCCTAAGAAATCAAGGTGGGTTTTATACAGCTTCTATCTCCAGGTGTTGTCATCTCTCTGTACAGAAAGAGATGTGTTTAATTAGAGATATAATTAGATATAAATATTTGGGTAAGCTCTTTGGGGCAGCTACAATGAAGATACTAAGGCATGTTGATGTCATAAACATATTCCACGCTCCAGGAGAGCTGGGGAAGGCACAGGTGAGTTTTGGGAACTGGGAAATTCAGCCCTGCCTGGGTCAATGTGGGAAGTCTGGAGGGAGCAGGGAAAGGGTCTGGGAATCTCCACTCCCAGCTGGGTTCATTCCCTGCCTCTGGATCAGGAACTCTGGATGCAGATCCATTGACGCTCCCCACGCCACAAATGAGGAGGAAAACATTAAATCCTTTTAAAAAAAGGACTTCCTAACCCTAGAAGACGACCCCCAAATCAAAAACCCCTCAATTTACAGCTTTTCCCAAAGGGAATACACAACTTTTCTCCAGTCTTGTGCCTCATTTTCTCCCTGGCTCTTGATAAAGTTGTCTTTCAACAGCAAGGAAAGCATCTTGGCTTTTAAGGAGCCCCCCCAAACCCCACTGTTTGGGAGGGTTAAATGCAAACAAACCGAGGCTTCCACACTTTGCAATCCCTGCCTTTTAAAAAAACGAAAAATAAATAAATAAATAAAATCAAGATAAAGCTTTTTTTTTTTTTTTTTTTTTGTGGCTTTAAATGACTTGACTGGCACGGCCCAAACCTTGTGATGGAATTTAGGTGATGAAAACACCACTCTGGCTGATGTTTTCTCTGTGGTTTTTCCTGGGGAGGAACACCCTGGGAGAGAGAAGGGGGCAGGTGAAAAGGTGAGCTGAGTTCAACAGTCCCAGGGAATTCCCTCTTGGCTGACTCGATGTGGGTGCTGAAATCACTTCCAAAGGCTTCCCAGGAATGCCACCATTCCAAATCCTACAGGTTTTAGGAAAGGCTTGGAACTGCCTGGTGCTGCTCGTAATTAAAACGTCTTATTATTACACACTTAATTAGAAATGATTGTGATCTGCCTCAGAGCCCAAGCTGATGAAAACAAAACCCCCCTTCCCGACTTTTTTTGGCTTCTTTTTGGAGCTCCCAGAGTGGCTGGAGGGGGTGGAGACAGCAGAGCTGCTGCTGGTGGGTGCAGGAGGACACTCCAAGCTTCTGGCTCTGGGAAAAGGGCATGGAAAAACCGATTTTCCCCCCTATTCCAGAACAACTGGAAGTATTTGCACAAGCCCCACACCCGGACAGAGCTCTGAGAGGCAACAGAGGGCGAATTCCCTGGGGGTGGGGGAAACACTGCAGGAGGTTTTCCAAGCTAATAATTATAGGATTGAAAGGGCAAAAGATGTGCAGGCAGCAGGTCTGGCTGCACAGCCCAGGGAGAAAAATTAACAGGAGCAGGGAACGGGCACAGTTGGGGCACCCTGGAAAAGCATTTCCCAGCAGGAGCCATCCTGGCTGGAAAAGGATGCCCTGAGGGTTCCCCAACACAGTCAGGATGGCACCAAACACCTGATTTTTTTAACAGCCAGGAGCAGCAGGTGCCAGATCCTGCTGGAGAGAATTCCTGAGCTTCCCAGGGAGGAGGAAGCGAACGATCCCGGATTTTCCAGGGGTCAGGGACGGGGCAGGTGAGCTCAGGGAAGCAAAGGGAGAGCAGCTTTCCCTTCTCCTTGGATGGGGTCAGGATGAGAGAGGGGATTGAGAGAGAGAGAGACCCCTCCTGTCACCTGAGGATGGCACTGGAGGGACGAGACAGCAGCAGCACCAGGAGAACCTGGGGACCTGAGGGAGATGCTCAGGAGAGGGGTGGGATGGCAATCCTAAATCCCAGGGGATGAGGGTTGGGATGGCAATCCCAGCTCCCTGAGGGGTGGGATGGCAATCCCAAATCCCAGGGGATGATGGTTGGGATGGCAATCCCAGATCCCTGAGGGGTGGGATGGCAATCCCTGATCCCAGGGGATGATGGTTGGGATGGCAATCCCAGATCCCTGAGGGGTGGGATGGCAGTCCCTGATCCCAGGGGATGAGGGTTGGGATGGCAATCCCAGATCCCAGGGAATGAGAGTTGGGATGGCAATCCCAGGACCAGGAGAAGGGGGTGGGATGGCAATCCTAAATCCCAGGGGATGGCAATTCCAGCTCCTTGAGGGTTGGGATGGCAACCCCTGATCCCAGGGGATGAGGGTTGGGATGGCAATCCCTGATCCCAGGGGATGAGGGTTGGGATGGCAATCCCAGGACCAGGAGAAGGGATGGCAATCCCAGCTCCCTGAGGGGTGGGATCCCAGCTCCCTGAGGGGTGGAATGTCAATCCCAGCTCCCTGAGGGGCTCAGACAGCAATCCCAGATGCCAGGGGATGAAAGGTTGGGATGGCAATCCCAGCTCCCTGAGGGGTGGAATGTCAATCCCAGCTCCCTGAGGGGTGGGATGGCAATCCCTGATCCCAGAGGATGAAAGGTTGGGATGGCAATCCCAGCTCCCTGAGGGGCTCGCACAAGGCACTGGAGAGGGGGAACCACTCTGAGAAGCTGGAGAACAAGCAGGCCGAGGAGGAGGAGGATGGGGAGGGGGGTGTTGTCCCTCCAAAGATCTGATCAGACACTCCCCCCTCACCCTTAAGCTCCCCTAAAAAAGGGGGGGGGGAAAGGCCGTTTCCCCGGAGAACCCCACTAAAAACCCACCCTCGGCGCATTGTGGCGGCTAAGAAAGGCGGCGAAAAATAATCCCCGTGCCCAACATGGCCGCCCACCAGCGCAGCGCCGGCAAAACGAGGAGGGGGCGGCAGACAGCGGGAGGGGTGGGCGGCGGGGAGGGAGGAGGGGAGGACGCGGGCTCTCCCCCTTCACCCCACAGGGGAGACGGCGATCGCGGGGAGGGGGGAGAAGCGACCCCCGAGTGTGGGGATGGAGTGGGGGGGGAGCGCGGAGGGAGCAGCGGCGCGGCCGCATCACCGCCGCGCCCCCCTCCCCTCCCCTCAGGGGCGGCCGCTTCACCGCGCCCGTGAGGGGCGCGCGCGGATCCCTCCGCGCCCCCCTCAGAGCGCCCGGCGGGGCCCGGCGGGAGCGGCCGCGGCTCCTCCCCGGTCACGGCGAGCCCTCCTCCCTCCTCCTCCTCCTCCTCCTCCGCCTTCTCCTCCTCCTCCTCCTCCTCCTCCCGCCGCCGCCGCTTTGTGTACGGCGCGCTCCGGCCCTGCCGCCCCCCTCCCCTCACCACCACCCCCCCACACACACCTTCATTTTCCCTCCTTCTCCTCCATTCCCGGGCGGTTCGAGCCGGTTCCACAATCAGCGAGCCCCGAACAGCACCCCCACCACCCCTTCGCCCACCCCCTCGATCCCGCCACCCCCACCCCGCCTCAGAACGCACCCCCCGCCTCACCTCCCTCAGCGCCGTCGCCGCTCCTCCCTAAGGGGCTCCGCCGCTCTCCGGGCGAGGCGACCCGCAGGGCGCGGGGGCAGGTGGCATGAGCCTCCCCCGCCCCGGGATGCTGAGGATGGAGAAGGACGAGGAGGAGGAGGAGGAGGAGATTATCCCTGTTCTGCTCGCCCTCTGTACGTTCTGGCCGGGGACGGCTCCGTGCTTGGCGTGTCCCGTGTTCCCTCCCTCCCCTGCCTCCCTCCCTCCACCGCCACCTTCGAGCTCACGGGGAGGGCGAAGAAAAAAAAGGGCGCCGGGCCCGGCGGGCTGATACACGCGCGCGGCGCCCGCAGCCGCACCACACACACACCACACATACACACACACACAAGAAAGGGGACCTGGCCGGCGGAGGGATACGGTGACGTCATTTCCTCCTGCGCGCGGTGACGTCACGGGGGCCGGCCCTGAGGGGGCTGAGGGGGGCGCGGGGAATGGCGGCCGGCGGGGCGCGACCCCCTCACGGCTCTCACGACCCTCCCGCTGCTGCCTCGGGGGCTCCGAGGGGGATGCGGGGCCCGGGAACGCTCTGAGAGAGGCGCCGCCCACCCCCCCCCGAGCTGGGTGTCCCGGGGGTTGTCCCGGAGCTGGGCCTGAGCCGCCCCCCACCCAGCGGGGCTGTGAGGAGTGTGAGGGGCTGTGAGGAGTGTGAGGGCTGTGAGGGGTGTGAGGAGTGTGAGGAGTGTGAGGGGCTGTGAGGATTGTGAGGGGTGTGAGGAGTGTGAGGGGGTGTGAGGAGTGTGAGGGGCTGTGAGGAGTGTGAGGGCTGTGAGGAGTGTGAGGGCTGTGAGGAGTGTGAGGGCTGTGAGGGGTGTGAGGGGCTGTGAGGAGGTGTGAGGGCTGTGAGGAGTGTGAGGGGCTGTGAGGAGTGTGAGGGACTGTGAGGATTGTGAGGAGTATGAGGGGTGTGAAGGGCTGTGAGGAGGGATCGACTGTCCCCAGGTGAGGAGGAGGTTGAGGTTGAGGTTGGCCTGGAGGTGCTCCCTGTCAAAAATCCCTCACCTGGGGCAGGTGTTCCTTCGCTTAAGTCTGGCTTTACCTGGCTGTCTGGAACCTGCTGCCTCCAGGAGCGTAATTACCCCTCATTTACAGCCTTTCAGCACCTTTATGAGCTCAGAAGGGGCTCAGAAAAAAGGGAGAGTGACTTCGGCGCTGACAGGACAATGGGCTCAGTTATTATTATTATTATTATTATTATTATTAATTTAGGATAAATTCGTAGTTAACTGCTGGTAAATTTAAACGTAATTAACGTTCTTTAAATCCGGACGTTGAAAGCATAATCCAGATTTTTAATGCCCATGCAAAGTTCTGAGCTCCCCATTCCCTCACACAAAGAACACATTTCTCTATGGAAATCGATGTTTCCGCCCCTTCCTAAAATTCTTTTTCCCAGACCCCTCAGGAAGTGAAAGCAAAATGTGTTGTTTCACCTCCCTCAAAAAAAAATAATAATTTGGGGGATCCTCCATTAAATATTTTTCCTTGATGCCCTGCACAAATGGGTCGCTGTGCTGCCTGAGGATGCTCATTAATTGGGTTTTTTTATTTTACACAAATATCAACCCTAGGACAGGAGTTAAATTGGAGATTTTCTCATTCTGCCTGTAGGTGAAAGAATTATTGTTGGCAGCTCCAGTATGGAGTTTAAAGATTGAAAATAAAGTGTTTTTTTTTCCCATTAAATCCACCTTGGGAGGGTCTGAATCCAAGAGGATCCATCAAACAGGTGAGGATGAGCTTGAGATGAAGAACAAGAATAAGAACATTTGAAATCCTGGCCTTAAAGCCTGGATTTGTTCCCCACTGCTCAAAAAATGCACTGAAATTTTGGGGTGGGACAGGAATTGTGGATCCTGTGCTTCCAGACCAGCTTTTTAAATTTAGGAATAAACCCAAATTCCTCACCCCTGTGCAGCACTTCAATAAAAACTGGAGTATTGCTTTGAGCCAGCTCAGATTTTTATCTCGAGAATAATTTGGGATTTGGGGATGCCAGGAGAAGGCTGGGGCCAAAAAAACGAGGGGGTTTGGCCTCCACCCCTCTTTGCTGGGCTGCTATAAATAGAATTTCACGTTCTAATTGCCCTCCCCTGCAGAGGAGCAAATGCCAACGTGGTGATGGAAGGATTCCCCTCCGAGAAAGGGAGGTTGGGAATTGTTGCACAGCCTGAGGGGAAAAATCCCCCCCCAAAAAAAAAAAAAAAAAAAGTTATAAATGCACCTGGTTCTCCTAAAAAAAATCAATAATAACTTTAAATCTCTTCAGTAATAAAAGAAAAATCGTGTTTATGTTTCCTTGCTCTTCCTGGTGGTTTCTATAAAAGTCAGGGAAGTGAGAAAGGGGTGTAAAAATGTGGGATCCCCTCCTGAGAACGCTTTGGGAATGAGGGAAAACAAAGCGATTTCCTTGGAAAACCCGGCGGGAAATCCACGGGTGATTCTCCTCGGGGCCAGTTCAGCCAATCCCAGCTGGAATACAGAGGGAAAGCCACATTTCCCAGCCCTCGGGGCAGCCGCCGAACTTGAAAAGGATCTTCTGTGAGAGGGAATCCCGTGGGTTTTTCCTTATGGAGCTGCCTGGTCTGGGTGGTTTCCAATCCGAGCTGAGCCGGGATCCCGCCTGGCATTCCAGGACAACTCCAAACACCAAAATCCAGCTTTTTGGAGCAGAACTGTCTCTCTTTCATTCCCAGGAGAACGTGGAACGCGAGGACAGAAATTCCCTGCGCTCTTCCCCAGGGAATCGAGGCTGGAGTTTGATCCTTCCCCTCGCGCTGGATCCTCCCCTTTGGCAGCTCCCGGTCCTTGCCTGCTCCTCCTCCCGCGGGTTCCGCGGCTTCGGCTCCGCAAAAAACACCGCTTGGATCCACCAAAAACACCCTTTGGATCCACCAAAAAAAAAAAAAACAAAACCTCTCCAGGCAGCTGAACTTCCCATCGCGCCGCTCCAACATGGGTAAGAGCTCCAACCCCTGAATCCCACCCTGGATCCAGCCCTGGATCCCACCGGGATCGGGAGGTGTCGATGCGGGTTGGGGACTCAGCTTCTTTTCCTCCCTCTCGCTGTTGCTGCCCCGAACTCCCCTCGAATTTAATCCCATCGCTAAATGCCTTTTTGGGGGGCTCTAATTAAGGGTCTCTCTCCCAGTCCCCCCAGCCTTTAAAAACTTAAATAAACCCTCGCACTTGCTGCTCGTGGATGTGAAACCCCGAGGAAGTTTTGGGGGCGGGGGAAGGGTCTGGATTGACCTTTTTTGCTTCTATTTGACGTATTTTTAGCGACGAGACACCACCCCCTCCTCCCCCGATTTCCACGATCTTCCGTTCTTGGCTCGCCGGACGGGAAACAGAGGGAGGGACTAAAATAAGTTGGACCCTTGACTGTGAAATGTTGTGCGGTTTGCCAGGGACGCCGTTGCCCTGGTGGAGAGTTTGGGTAAAAAACATGATCCTGCCCAGGTTAAAAAAAAACACCGATTAGGTAAAAAAACCTAATTCTGGCTCAGCAGGAGGGTGTAACCTGGTGGGAACGTCAGCACTTAGCAAAGCACCAAAATACAAACATTCCAACATTAAATATATATATATATATATATTCCTTTCATTTTTAACTCTGAGTTTCATTTTTTTCAACCTGTGCTCATGAGTTTTGCCTGAAAAGGTTCCTGGAAGTCCGTGAGAAGCCTCAGGGCAGTGTGTGAGAGCAGGTGGTGCTTGAAATCTGTAAACTTGCAACTGGAAGCTTTTTCTTGTTCAGTGGTGCCCTCCCGGAATGTCAGTCCCTGTTTTATTGTTATTGAGGGGTTGGGGAGGATCCAAACCAGCCCAGGTTGCTCCAACCTGGCCTTCTGGTCAATCCTTTCCTTTTCCAGGCTGGGAATCCTAAAAAAATCACCACTTCTCCAGGGTTTCCTTGCAGGGAAAGCCCAGAGGCTTTCCAGGAATAACGACCACGTGGGTTGTTCCCGTTGGGAAATCTTTCTCCTGGCACCGAATCAGCAGCTCCCTCAAATATTTAACACCCTTTCCCCACATCCCAGGCCTTTGGCACAGACAAATGGGCTTTGAAATGGGGAGGCTGAACTCCTGGAAGGCCCCAGCTTCCCATTTTTCATGAGGATGGAGCATCATGATGTGGGTGTTTCCAGGGGACTGGGAGTAACCCCAGCGCTGCCTGGAGTCAGCAATTAAAAACTGGAGTTAAAATTCCCCTCTCCTCTCGGAGATGTGCCTGAAAAGAACTTGGATGTTTAAATAATTGGAATTTATTTCATTTTTTTCTCTCTCTCCAATCAGCGAAATGTGGAGCGTGTGGACCAGGATATGCAAGTCCTCTGGATGCCATGAAAGGCAAGTTCTTGGCACAGCTTTCCTAAATCCAGGCCAGCAGCAGTGGAATTATTTTGGAATTAGGGGAAGACAAGGCAGATGCCTCCCAGAGTGGCATATGTGAAATATATAAAGTCTATGAAAATATATAAAACATATAAAACACATATAAAATCCTTAAGATTCCTTTAAATGTCACCACTTTTTTTTTTTTTTTTTTTTGGTAAAAATGAATATTTTTTGGTGCCTCACCCAAATTTTGTGCCCCCAGGTCCCCGGGAGGAGCTGCTCTACCTGCCCTGCATCTACAGGAACACGGGGATCCAGAAGCCTGACTACCTGGCCACGGTGGATGTGGACCCCAAATCCCCCCACTACTGCCAGGTACCTGCTGGGGAAAATTAATATTTGGCTTCACAGAGTCCCTGGAGAGTTGATATTTGTGGGGGGAACAAGAAAACCCAATTTTCTTACTCCAAACTCCCATTTCTCTCTCGGTCTCGAGGCCCTTCCTGGATTTTCGTGGCTCTTTTTATCTCACACCCCCCTGAGGAGAAGTTCTGCACATCAGGAATTGGGATCTGATCCCTGAACTTCCCAGGAGCAAAACAGCTTCCTGACTGACAGAAACCAGCACTTTCCCTCTCTCTTTGTGCATTTACACTTCCACACAATGACCCATTTCCTTGGCATTTATGACCTTTCTTTGCCTGAGGGAAAAACCCCTCAAGGGGGCTGAGTTTGGAGCCTGATTTCCAGTTAGTTTGGACCCTGATTTCCAGGTAGTTTGGAGCCTGATTTCCAGGTAGTTTGGACCCTGATTTCCCTGATATCAAGGTAGTTTGGACCCTGATTTCCAGGTAGTTTGGACCCTGATTTCCCTGATTTCCAGGTAGTTTGGACCCTGATTTCCAGGTAGTTTGGACCCTGATTTCCAGGTAGTTTGGAGCCTGATTTCCCTGATTTCCAGTTAGTTTGGAGCCTGATTTCCCTGATTTCCAAGTAGTTTGAAGCCTGATTTCCAGGTAGTTTGGAGCCTGATTTCCCTGATTTCCAAGTAGTTTGAAGCCTGATTTCCAGGTAGTTTGGAGCCTGATTTCCCTGATTTCCAGGCAGTTTGGACCCTGATTTCCAGGTAGCTTGGAGCCTGATTTTCAAGTAGTTTGGAGCCTGATTTCTCTGATTTCCAGGTAGTTTGGAGCCTGATTTCCAGGTAGTTTGGAGCCTGATTTCCAGGTAGTTTGGATCCTGATTTCCAGGTAGTTTGGAGCCTGATTTCCAGGTAGTTTGGAGCCTGATTTCCAGGTAGCTTGGAGCCTGATTTCCAGGTAGCTTGGAGCCTGATTTCCAGGTAGTTTGGACTCTGATTTCCAGGTATTTTGGAGCCTGATTTCCCAGATTTCCAGGTAGTTTGGAGCCTGCTTTCCTTGCTTTCCAGGTGATCCACCGGCTGCCCATGCCCAACCTGCAGGATGAGCTGCACCACTCGGGCTGGAACGCCTGCAGCAGCTGCTTTGGGGACGCCAGCAAGAGCAGGAATCTCCTCATCCTGCCATCCCTCATCTCCTCTCGGATCTACGTGGTGGACGTGGGAACGGACCCCAGGGCTCCCAGGCTCCACAAGGTGGATTGTGAGCTTTAAATCACCCTTTTATTCCTCATCTGTTTGGCCAAGAGATGGGCACTCCAAGGATTCCAACCTGCAGGACATTCATGGAAACCTTTGCCAGGCATGAGGAACTTTGAAACTCCATTTATTGACAAACTCCACACAAAACTGTTATCCCAAAGAAACACAAGCAAATGTGGTGGGGTTTAAATTAATTTTAAAACTTCCTCAGCTGCCTCTGCAGTATTTCAGTCAAAGCCACTGTTTTTGACCACAAGAGGCAAACCCCTACATGGCACATTCAGCTGACTGTGTTTTCCAGGGGCTGAATTCAAATTTCCTTGGATTTTCACCCAGGATTCGTTTGGCAGAGACACAGACCTGGCAGAGAGGGCTGGATCTGAATGTCCAGTTTTCCCTGTGTAATTATCTGGCTTTGCTTCACAGTGGGGGCCCCCAACCAGAGCAGGACTTGCTGGGGACACTCAGGGGCAGGTGGGGGGTGACCTATCTGTGCATCCCATTGCAGGTGGTTGAGCCTCTGGAATTGTTCCAGAAGGGGAACGTGGCCAACCCTCACACCTCGCACTGCCTGGGCACTGGGGACATCCTCATCAGCTGCCTGGGGGACCCTGCTGGCAATGGCAAAGGTGCTGCTCCCCCTCCTTTCTCTGGGAAAGGATTCCTGGCACGGCAGGATCCACCTCCCAGAGTCCAGGCTGCAAAAGCAGAAGAGCTTTTTAAATCTCCCAGAACAGAACGATCATTTATCTGCCTCCAAACATCATTTATCTGCCTCCAAACACACTCCTCGAGCTGTCCCAGGTTGCATTCTCCCATTTTCAAATTTCACAAGGATTCCTGCCTGGAAATTTTGTTGCCTTTTCAGCCACCTGAGAGCTGGGAGGAATTAAAAGAAATGTAGTTTAGGTGGGAGGTAGGGAGCTCCTATTCCCAGGGATTTTCCTGCTGGATCAGGGGCAAACATGTCCTTGAGCAGGTGATTATTATGTCCAGGATTCAAGGATACTGAGTCACCAGGTGAATCCTCCAGGATCTTCTCTAAGATCCTGAAATGTCCCCTAAGAGGGCTGGTGGATTTACTGGGATGATTTCAGCAGAAACAGAAGCAAACTGGACCTTAAAAAATTCATTATAAGCCTTTAAAAATCCAGAGTTTTGTTTGCTTTAGGCCACAAGAGCAAAAAGCAGAATCACAAAACGTTCACTAGAGGACAAAAGCAAAGCCAGAATCACAAAATATTCTTCCAGTGTAGGGGTTGCATTTTACAGCATGTTCAGAAAACCAGCTATTTAAATATTTAAATATCACTGCTCTTATTTAAAGCCGTGGGAATGTCTGCCAACAACATTTTTTGGCCTTTGTGTCAGGGAGTTTTATCCTGCTGGACGGGGAGACCTTCGAAGTGAAAGGCAACTGGGAGAGAGGGGGAAAGGTCCCTTCCCTAGGATATGATTTCTGGTACCAACCTCGGCACAACGTCCTGCTGAGCACGGAGTGGGGAGCTCCCAAAGCCCTGAGGGACGGATTCAACCCGGCTGACGTGGGGAAAGGTGAGGGAAAAACCCTTAAAAATACAATTATTTCCTCAAACCTTCCCTTATAAGAAGGTTTATTCCTGCCCCTCAGGGCGCTACGGGCGCCACATCAACGTGTGGGACTGGAGCAGCCACGTCCTGCTGCAGGCCCTGGATTTGGGAGAGGGCTCCATCCCGCTGGAGATCCGGTTCCTGCACGAGCCGGCGGCGGCCGAGGGGTTCGTGGGCTGCGCCCTGAGCGGGGCCGTGCATCGCTTCTACAAGACACAGGTGGGTCAGCCCTTCCAGGAGAGGGGAAAAACATCCCAGCCCAGGGCACCCTGAGGGTGGGAGAGGGGATGGGATGGTGGAATTGGGGTCGGGTCGGGGTTGGGAGCGACCTTAAAGGGCGGCTTGTTCAGGGCAGCGACGCCTCCCACCAGCCCAGGCTGCTCCAGAGCTCCATCCAGCCTGGCCTGGAAGGCTCACAGGGATGGGGCATCCACGGAATGACCTCCCCACCCTCACCTAAGACCATTTTCCCCTTGAGCCATCACCCCACACCCCTGTGAAAAGTCCCTCTCCAGGGGTTATCCCCCTTAGGGGGGAGGGAAAGTGGGCACGGACTGGACACAGAGGTTCTGCTGCTGCCAAAGCAATTGCAGTTATTGTTGCATAGGAAAGCTATTAGCATTCCTGCTGGGAATACTGTTACCACCCTCCCTGGGGCCTGGGTAACACTTACTGGGTGTGTAAATCCCCCCTGTGCAGCACCTGGTAAATAAATACCCCTGCCAAGCCCAGCTCAGACCTCCGGGGGTGTTCATCAAAGCAACCATCAGGAGCTGGACTTGGAGGATCCTCGTGGACCCCTTCCAGCTCAGGATATTCCATGATTTGGTGGCTGCTTAAATCCTAACTCAGCGTTCCCTCCTGCAGAAAGGAGACTGGGCAGAGGAGAAGGTGATTGAAGTGCCCACCAAGAAGGTGCAAGGCTGGCTCCTCCCAGACATGCCTGGTTAGTGGGAAAGAAGTGGGGTGTTCTCCTCATCAGTTCCCTGCTCCAGAGCAGCTTTTTTGCCTAATTTTGTCCTTAAATGGCAAAAAAACAAGACCAAATTTGGGGAGGGGGTGGTTCTTTGTGTGGCACCTCCGGGGTAAGCAGATGGAAGGTTGAGTTCTGCCCCCCACCCTGCTCGGTGCTTGAGGTCGCTTTCTCCAGAAGAATCCTTGGGAGTCTGGGCCTGAGCTCAGGGTGTTTGGGAATGTCCTGGGAATGCTGGCAGAGCCTGGAGCAGGCCCTGGGATCCCAGGGTGGGTTGTGACCCTCCGGCTCGTGCGTGTCGGAGCTGCTGCCACCGGAGCTCTGGCAGAGGATGGGGCTGGGGGATGGATCCTCCTGACTTGGCTGTGGGATTCACCCCTGCAGGTCTCATCACCGACATCCTGATCTCCCTGGACGACAGGTTCCTGTACTTCAGCAACTGGATCCACGGGGATGTCCGGCAGTACGACATCTCCGACACCCGCCGGCCCCGCCTCGTGGGGCAGGTGAGGCTCCAGCCCTGGGTGTCAGCTCCTCCTTTTCCCAGGAGGAGGAAAAAAACGAGTTCTCTTTGTCTGGAGGGTTTTACCCCTCGTTCTCTCCCGTTCCTGGGGGGGCTGGTGCCTGTTTCTCACCCCTCTCCTGCTCGCAGGTGTTCCTGGGGGGCAGCATCTGCAGGGGGGGCCCTGTGACTGTGCTGGAGGACAAGGAGCTGCAGTGCCAGCCCGAGCCCTTTGTCATCCAGGTCAGTTTGCCCAACGTGCTGGTTTTAATCCTTTCTGGAGATGCCCAATATTTAAAGGTAACTAAACCCTTTCATGGCCTGGGCAGGTGCCAGGGCCTCACCACCTTCACAGGGAAGGGTTTATCCCTAAAATCCAGCCGAAATCTTCCCTCTCCAGTTAAAAAAAAACCACCAAAAAAGTGGTGGAATCATTAATTTTGGCAAAGCCCTCTGAGCCCACCGAGCCCAACCACTGAGCTGGAGTTATTCCCACTGAGGCAGCTGCCTGGGGAAGCTCTCGGGATGTGGAAGAGCTGAAGGTGGCCTTGACTGAAACCTGTTGGCCACCAAAGCTGGGCAGCGGTGGAACCACCGTCCCTGCAAGTGTTTTGGGAAGGGGGTGGACGTGGCACCTCAAGCACCTCGTTCTCCGCTCATTTTAGGGGAAGAAGGTTCCAGGTGGGCCTCAGATGCTGCAGCTGAGCCTGGATGGGAAGAGGTTGTACGTCACCAACTCCCTGTACAGCGGCTGGGACAAGCAGTTCTACCCAGACCTTCTCCGGTAAGGAAACCTGGGCTGGGCCAGGTCGGCGCCTCCATTATGGGCTAATTAACAAGCCAATTAACCTGCCACGGCTCCTCCCACCGCCTGTTCCCTCCTTCCCTTTCGCAGGGAAGGCTCTGTGATGCTGCAGATCGACGTGGACACTGAGAGAGGGGGGCTGGCGGTGAACAGAAACTTCCTGGTGGATTTCGGGAAGGAGCCAGACGGGCCCTGCCTGGCCCACGAGATGCGGTACCCGGGGGGGGACTGCACCTCTGACATCTGGCTGTGACCACTCCTGGGGCTGCTTCACCCCCCTCCCAAACCTCCCCAAACCTTCCCTTTCCACCAGGAGAATCAGGGCACCTGGAGCTTCGCCCGCTCCCTAAATCCACATTTCTCTTTCTGAGGCAGCCGAGTGAAATCTCCCTGAAATCCTCACCTCCAGCTCATTTCTGTACTTGTGCACCATAAAATAATCAGCAATAAAATTACCCTTCAGGTCAGGTGGAGGTGCATTTATTTATTTATTTATTTATTTATTTAAGTGTCTATCTGGCACTTTGTGTTTCCAAGACCACAGGTGTGAGGTCACTGCAGGAAGCAGGGATGTCGTTTGTTTGACAAATTTGTGTCTTTTTTTTTTTTTTGGAGAGTCTGCAGTTGGAAAAGGCACCTGATCTGCCCGTGGCCAGGGGAGGGCAGGCTGCACCTTCTCCTTCAGCACAGAACTGCACCCAGGAACGGCTCTTCCTCCACCTGGAACTCCAGGTCGTGCCTTTCCAGGGATCACAAACTACATGAGGAGGATTCCACGCCCTGGGCAGCACGTGGAGAGCAGGAGGAGGGTCTGCAACTCTCATGGTTCCCTCTGGATTGGAGGAAACACTCAGGGTGAAGGAGAACTGAGGATCCCCAAGGGACTCAGGTCAGTTTGTCAGCACATGAAGTGCAGGAAGAGAACTCTGGGAGGAACAGAGTCCCTGTCTTAGGGATTTTCCCAACCCTCATCTCCTCCTGAAGCCCTGCTGGGGTTTGTTCTCCCTGAGCTCCCCCTGAACTGACACACCACAAGGTCCAGCTGATGCAACCGAGAGTTTTATTGGCGTTTGAAGCAGGACAAGAGCAAAGCAGTGGCAGCAAACAGGCCCCTCTTCCCAGGCCAGCACTTGGAGCTCCTCCAGCCGGGACACAGAGCCGGTGGGGCGGGAGCCGGGAGGGCTCCTGTGCCCGGGAAACGCTGCGGGAACGGCGCGGCCGGAGGAGGGAACTCAGTCAGACTGGGCACTTCACTTTCTGCCCAGGAGCTCGGGAGCCTGTCCAGGATCACTCCTGGATCCCACCTGGGATCACTCCTGGATCCCACCCGGGCCCGTCCCGCCCTGGGCAGCTGGGAATGGCACTGGGAATGGGCACTGGGAATGGGCACTGGGAAGGTGCCCACGCACTGGTTTGCCCGCACAAAGCCAGGGGGGTTGAAGGGCCGAGCTCCCTCAGCCCGGGGGGGAAGCGGGACTGGAGCAAGGAACAAGGAAGGGGGACCCCAAAGCCCATCACCCGCCGCCCTTTCCCAGCAGCTGCACTCCAGGGGCAGGGAAGGGCGGAGCCGCCCCGGGCCGCCCTAGGGCAGGATCTCGATGGTGGTGGCGTCGCCGCCGGGGAAGTGAATGTCGTGGGCCAGGGCGGGCCCGTTGGGCTCCTTCCCGAAATCCACCAGGAAGTTCTTGTTGACGGTCAGGCCTCCCTTCTCCGTGTCCACGTCGATCAGCAGCATCACCGAGCCCTCCCTGCGGGGGGACGAGGGGCAGCTCTGGGCACCGGCGACCCCCGTGCCGGGCGCCACGTCCCGCCCGGGGAGAGGCTCCAGGGATGAATGTCCAGGGATGAATGTCCAGGGATGAATGTCCAGGGATGAATGTCCAACCCTCGGCTCCACTCCTGGCCCGGGATCTGCCCCCCGGCACAGCCCCGGCCCCGCAGAGCCCCCCCCGTGCCCAGGAGCCCCTTCTGCCCCCCCTGTTGCTGACCTGACCATGGTGGGGTAGAACTGCTTGTCCCAGGTGCTGTAGAAGGAGTTGGTGACGTAGAGCCTGCGCCCGTCCAGGCTCAGCTGCAGCTTGGCGGGGCCGCCGTAAATCCGCTTGCACTGGGGGGCAATGGGGGGGTTACTGGGGCTGGGGGGTGGCAGGAGCAGGAGAAGGAGCAGAGCAAAGCTCTGTCTCCCCTCCCAATCCCCCAGGACTCACCTTGATCACCAGGGGCTCGGGCTGGCACTTGAGCTCCTCGTCCCTACACACGGTCACGGGGCCCCCTCGGAGGATGCTGCCTCCCACAAACACCTGCAAGGGGGGCAGTGGCACACACGTGGCCCTGGCACAGACCCAGCCCTCCATTCCCCACCCACCCACCCAGCCCCCTGTGCCCCCCTCACCTGCCCCACCAGGCGGGGCTTGCAGCCCTTGGACAGCTCGTACTGCCGGATGTCCCCGTGGAACCAGTTAGCGAGGTACAGGAACCTGTCGTCCGGGGAGATGATGAGGTCCGCGGTGAAGGCTGCGACAGGGACACGGCTCAGGGGCAGCCCCAGCACAGGGCACGGGGCTCTGGGCCGGGCCAGGCTCTGGGCTGGGCCAGGCTGAGCCCCACGGGGCTCTGGGAGGGCAGGGGAAGCCCCCGAGGGGGCACAAACCTGGCATCTTGGGCATGATCCAGCCCGACACGTCCTTGGGCGGGATGCGAATCACCTCCTCCACGGCCCAGTTGTCTCTCTGCGCACAAACACGGCCCCCTGAGCCCCCCCAGCGCCCGGCCCGGGGGCTCCCCTGCCCCCCACGCCCCGGGGGGAGCCCAGCCCGGGCTCGGCCCACCCGCCCCTGCCCCCTCCACAGCCCCCTCCTCCCCGAGGGCCGCCCCCGGGGGTCCCCGCGCCCACCTCGCACTTGTAGAAGCGGTAGATGACCCCGCTGAGGGCACAGGCCACGTAGCCCTCGGCGGCGTCGGGGTTGTGCAGGAATTTCACGGTCAGGGGCAGCGAGTCCTCGCCCAGGTCGAAGCACTGGGTGAGGCTGCGGCACGACAAGTTCCACACGTTCAGGCGGCGCCCGAAGACCCCTGAGGGGCGGCACAGGGGGGCTCAGCAGAGGGGCAGGGGGCGGCCCACGGCCCCCCAAACCCCCCCAGGACGCTGCGGGGCGGCAGGGACGGGAAAACGCCGCGGCAGCCGCGGGAGAGGCCGCCCGTGCCCGGGTCATGCCCGCCCAAGGGGGCTCTGCGGGGCAAAGGAGCCCCCAAAGGGAGCCCCCAAACACCCCCCAGGACCCTCGGGCAGCGCTGCCCCGGCACTGCCAGCCCCGGGCACGCACCTTTCTTCAGGTCATCGGGGTTGAAGCCCCGTCCTGCCCGTTTGGGCACCACCCCGGCAGAGCTGACCAGCACGTTGTGCCGGGGTTGGTACCAGAAGTCGCAGCCCGTCGGGGGGGCTTCGCACTCGTTCTCCCAGTTGCCCTTCAGCTCAAAGGTCTCCCCGTCCAGCACCACGAAGCCACCTGGGACACACAAGGGGGGTGGCACCGGTGCAGCCCGGGCTGTTTGGGACAGGGGTGACTCCCTGGGGGGGTTTGGGCATCCCAAGGTACCTTTGCCGTTGCCAGCGGGGTCTCCCATGTTGGCAATGAGCACGTCCCCGTTGGGCAGGCTGTGGACCGTGGACAGGTAGCCCTTGTTGCACTTCCAGAACACGTCCACCGGCTCGATCATCTGCGGGATGGACACACACACACACCCCCCACTTCAGCCCCCGACTGCTTCGGCTCCTCCCACACCAGCACTTGGAAAACACCCCCAGGTTGTCCAGTCCAGCCTTTGGACTCTCTCCCTGGCAGGGCCTTTGGCTCCCGACATCCCTGCTGCTCCAGGACTTCTCCCCCCACAGCCCCCCCGGCTGGGGCTGCTCCTCCCTGGGGAGGGCACAGAAGCCCCTGAGCTGCCCCTCAAGCAACAACCCCCAGCTCAGAGCAGCTCCTGTGCCCCCACCCTGCTCTTTGGGGGCCAGGGGGGTGCTGGGGAGTCCCGGGGGTTCCTGGGGACACAGAGGAAGGGACCCAGGGCCGGGGGGAGCCCCCCTGGGAGCGGCAAGGACAGAGCCGAGAGGAAAAGGGGGGCGGCTCTGCAGAGCCAGGCTGAGAGAGAAGCTGAGCAGAGAGAGCCCTTGGTGCCCAGGCCCCGTCCCAGAAGCGCCAGTTCCCAACTCCCTGCCAGAAGGCTGGCACTGCCCCCCCTGGCATACCTTGCACAGCTTGGGGGCCCGGCACTGGGTGCCCACATCCACCACGTAGATGCGGGAGGAAATCAGACCGGGCAGCACCAGCTTGTTCCTCCTCGTGGTGCCATTGTCAAAGCAGCTGCAGCCAGAGCTCCACCCCGAGGAGTGCAGCTCGTCCTTGAGGTTGGGCATGGGCAGCCGGTGGATCACCTAAGGCAGCCAAGGCAGAGTTAGGGGGGAGGCAGAAACGGCAACGGCGCTGCTGGCGGGGCCGGGGGCTCGGGGGCCTCCCTGCACAGGGGCTGCCACTGCCCGCCCACCCCCGGGGGGACAGCGCTGCTCCCTGCCCTGCCCACTGCCCGGGGAAAGGGGGGATCCTCCCCACACCTCCTCAGCCCTGCCCACTGCAGCTCAGGGACACTCGGCTGGGGAAAGGAAGGGATCTTCCTCCTCCCCACGGAGCTGCTGCTCTGCTGGGCAAACTCCCCCTGGGGAGGGACTTCCAAACGCATTTCAGTTGTTCGGGGTCCTATTCTGGGCTTGGAAGGGACTTTTCCTTCGAAATCCTCGCAGCCCTGGGGCTGCTCAGGTGGTCTCTGCACCCTGGGTGGAGAGGAGGTGTCTTGGCAGCCTCCAGAGGCAGGGAATGCCCATGGCCCAGCTGGGATGGGAGCAGGAATTGTGAGGGAACATCCCTGACATCGCAGCATGAGGGAAACCTGCTGGAATCTGCTCAGGACACCTGAACCCCCCTGGGGCACCCCTCGTGTTCCCCCTCCTGCCAGGTGGATTCCCTGCTCGTGCCCCAGGGCTCACAACGGCACCAAGGCTCTCTGGAAGGGAGTTGGGAAGTGAGTCAGAGGCGACTTTGTCCTCCACACCGAGGTGGAGATGATCCAGGCACACAGGGGAGAGAGAGGGGAGAGAGCAGGAAGGTGGAAATCCAAACAGAAGCCATCCCTGGCCGCTGCAGGACAACCAGGGGAGGAGAAAGGAGTGGTGACAACACTCCTAAGGGAATTCCCAGGTGGCTCCTACCAGGATAAGAGCAGGGGACAAGAAGCAGGATGAGGGAGATGCAGGGAAGAGGAGGAGGTGCCAGGCAGGGGGAGAGGGGCTGAGGGAAACCTGCATTTCCCCAGCACATCAGAGTAAATGTCCTGACCCTGGAGGCCTCTGAAGCAGAAGAACCAGCAGAAAGTCATCAACCCAGCAAAAGCAGAGAGGAGCAGGTACCTGGCCATAACAGGGAGACCTGGGGTTCAGGTCCACGGTGGCCAGGAAATCAGGCTGGTCGATGCAGGTGGATCTGTAGGTGCAGGTCACGTAGGCAACCTCCTCCCGAGGGGCTGGGACACAAAGCTCGGCTTAAAAACCACCCCCAGGACCAACCAGGGAGGACAGCAGAAGCTGTCAGCAAACTCCCAGCCCAGCCGGGGCTGAGCTGATGCTCTGGACCCACAGGGTCTGTCCCGCTGGGGAAGGGGCTCAGAGCCCATCAGCTCCTGCGGGGGCCACACACCCCCAGCCCTCCCCCGTGCCCCCCTTGCCACCCCCTGCCCAGCACTTGCCTTTGGCCACCTCGGGGCAGCAGGTCGGGTACTCGTAGCACTGAGCTCTGCATCTGTCTGGGGGCAGAGCAGGGAACGTGAGCCCCGGGCCGGGCCAGCAGCTCCAGGGGCTCCTTCCTGTGCCCGGGCTCTGCCCCAGCCCGGGGACCTTCTCCCAGCCCAGATGGGCACCGCTGGCACACAGCCCAGCCCCGGCACAGCGATCCTCCCTGCAGCGGGCACAGCGGCCACATCCCGGGCATCGGGCCCGGCTCTGGCCCCTCCCGCCCCCTCCCCGAGCCCTCCCCGAGCCCTCCCCGCTGCGGGGACGCCGACGGAGCTGCCCCCGGAGCCGGGGCTGCAGGGAAGGGCCAGCCTGGCACGGGCTCCGGGCTGCCCCGAGGATGCCCCGGCAGCAGCGCAGGCTCCCCGGGCACGGAGCTGCAGCCCCGGGGCAGCGGCTGCCGAGCCCCAAGGGAAGCAGCACCTTGGGCAGCGGCGGCCCCGACGGCCGAGGCTCAGCCCCACCTTCCTCCTCCCTGCGGGCTCCCGGCCCCCCGTGCCGGGACGGGGGCATCGGGCAGCCCCCAGGCAGGGCTGCAGCTGCCCGGGGGGGCTGCCGGCGGTGTCTTACCCATGCTGGAGCCTCGGGGTGCCTGTGCTCACTCACGGCAGAGGTGCTGGGGCTGGAGCTGCAGCTGCTTCTCGTCCCGCTGGAGCGGCTTGTGCTGGCCCGGCTGATGCGGGGGGATTTATATCCCCAGCCCGGGCCGGGGGCAGCGGGGAAGCCGCCAAGGGAGGGGCCGGGGCTGCCCAGCGCTTGGGAGGGGCCCCCACCAGCCCCGCGGCTTCGTTCCGCCTCCCCACCCGCAATCTGCGGCCAGATCTGCTGCTCCGGCAGCTCCTGCCCTCACCCCAAACACCTCCCGGATCGCAGCGCGGCGCTTCCCCGGCCAGGGGCTTCTCCAGGGGCTTCTCCAGGGGCTTCTCCAGGGGCCTTCTCCAGGGGCTTCTCCAGGCTCCCCCCCCAGCCCCAGCCCCGCTCCTGCCCACACAAAGCCCGACCCCCAGCCCAGGGCTGGCACCAGCGGGATCGGGTGACCCCCACACCGGGCTGAACTGGCCCCAAACAGCCCCGGGAAGGGCAGACACCCCCTTACAGGGGATGGGGGGTGGATACAAGGGACATCTCCAGCCCAGCTGCCCCATTCCAGCAGGAGGGAACACTCAGGCCCCTGGAACGTGGATCAGATCTCGGGCAAGAGCTGCTCAATCAGTGGGCACATCCCAGGGACAGGTAATTGCTGCCCAGGAATGCAGGAACATCTCAGGGGGCCATTAAGGAGCCCTGGGCAGATCCCCATCAGGAGGGCACAGCTCAGCCCCCTGCCCTGGGCTGTCCCTGCTGCCTCTGCTCCCACAACAGCCCCTGGCACACCTGGCACAGCCCCTCCCGGGCCTGCCTGCACAGCACGAGCACCAAAGGGCTGCCCTGGCCACCACTCGGGGCCTTGGGGCACAAAACCATCCCTGCCACCCACCAGACCCTGCATTCCATCCCACCCAAACCATTCCCGGGCTCGGAACGAGGGCACCCCGTGCAGGGGGGAGCAAAGGAAGCGTCTCCAGCTCCAGCTCCTGCAATCCTGGAGGGCTTGGCCTTGGAAGGGCCATCAGAGCCTGCCCAGTGCCACCCCTGCCCTGGGCAGGGACACCTTCCCCTGGCCCTGCCCGGCCTTGGAGCCGCTTCCCGCAGGGAAAGCCTTGCCCGGCTCCCCAGGGCAGGAGCTCGTGCTGGGCTCCCCCAGAGGTGCCAGGGCCGGGCACCAGCCTGGCTTTGGGCCCCCTGGGCACATTCCAGGGGCTGGGCCGGTGCCTCCTGCTGCTCCTGCTGTCCCCACCTTCCTGTGGCCCCAACACCTGCTCATTAAGGGCTTCATTAGCCGGCCTCATTAAGAGCCTGGGCTGCTCATCCCCCCTTGGCTTCCCCGGGTGACGTCTCTGGCATCTCCCCAGCCCAGCCAGGGGTGGAGGGTTCCTGATTAAAGCTGATGCCAGCAGATAAGAGCAGGCTCAGCAGCCCCAGCCAGCGCTGGCCACTCGGGAACCCCGGCCCGTGGGCAGATCCTGGCCCAGGAAAAGCTCCCTGGGGAGCAGCCACGGGCAGCCTGGCAGGGCCAGCCCAGCAGGGCCTGCCCTGGGCACAGGCTGGCATTTGGGAATGGCCCAGCCTGGCTGATGCAACGAGGGGCACACGGGCCCAGCTCAGCAGGAGCCCTTGGCTCAGCACTCCATCGTCCAATCCACCACCCAAAACCAGGGGGAAAATGAAACTTGGGAGAATCAGCTTGTTCCTCTCCCTCAGTGAGACGTCTCCAAACCACGGGATGGCCCCATCCCAACCCCAAGTGGTGACACCCATCCCTCAGCTTGGGAGGGAGAGGGATTATCCCTGTCCTGGGATCCATCCCTGTCCTCGCTGATTCTGCTGGGCAGCACATTCCTGAGCGGGACACGTGGAGGGCTCCCACATTCCCTGGGGAATTGGGTAATTTCCCTGGTGTTTCTTCCTCTAATCCGTTGGGAATTGGGAACCTGAGAGGCTCGGGAGGTGCTCCGGCCGCCCCTGGGAGCGACGTGCGCGTCCAGCCGCGGAGCCGGGAGAGGCGGGCCCTGCCCGGGCGCTGCAGATTAAACCCCTCCCAGGAGGAGACAAACGGGACCTGCAGTGCGAGGAAGGAGAGGGACCCGATTTTCCACGGCTGGTGGGAAGGATGGGTTGGCAGAGCTGGGGGGAGGTGGCAGCTGCTGCTGGGGCTGGGGGGGCTCTCGGGTGGGTGCCCAGGGCAGGCCCTGCTGGGCTGGCCCTGCCAGGGCTGCCCAGGGAGCTTTTCCTGGGCCAGGATCTGCCCACGGGCCGGGGTTCCCGAGTGGCCAGCGCTGGCTGGGGCTGCTGAGCCTGCTCTTATCTGCTGGCATCAGCTTTAATCAGGAACCCTCCACCCCTGGCTGGGCTGGGGGAGATGCCAGAGACGTCACCCGGGGAAGCCAAGGGGGGATGAGCAGCCCAGGCTCTTAATGAGGCCGGCTAATGAAGCCCTTAATGAGCAGGTGTTGGGGCCACAGGAAGGTGGGGACAGCAGGAGCAGCAGGAGGCACCGGCCCAGCCCCTGGAATGTGCCCAGGGGGCCCAAAGCCAGGCTGGTGCCCGGCCCTGGCACCTCTGGGGGAGCCCAGCACGAGCTCCTGCCCTGGGGAGCCGGGCAAGGCTTTCCCTGCGGGAAGTGGCTCCAAGGCCAGGCTGGGCCAGGGGAAGGTGTCCCTGCCCAGGGCAGGGGTGGCACTGGAGGGCTCTGATGGCCCTTCCAAACCCAAACCCTCCAGGATTGCAGGAGCTGGAGCTGGAGTCGCTTCCTTTGCTCCCCCCTGCACGGAGTGCCCTCGTTCCGAGCCCGGGAATGGTTTGGGTGGGATGGAATGCAGGGTCTGGTGGGTGGCAGGGATAGTTTTGTGCCCCAAGGCCCCGAGTGGTGGCCAGGGCAGCCCTTTGGTGCTTGTGCTGTGCAGGCAGGCCCGGGAGGGGCTGTGCCAGGTGTGCCAGGGGCTGTTGTGGGAGCAGAGGCAGCAGGGACAGCCCAGGGCAGGGGGCTGAGCTGTGCCCTCCTGATGGGGATCTGCCCAGGGCTCCTTAATGGCCCCCTGAGATGTTCCTGCATTCCTGGGCAGCAATTACCTGTCCCTGGGATGTGCCCACTGATTGAGGAGCTCTTGCCCGAGATCTGATCCACGTTCCAGGGGCCTGAGTGTTCCCTCCTGCTGGAATGGGGCAGCTGGGCTGGAAATGCCCCTTGTATCCACCCCCCAGCCCCTGTAAGGGGGTGTCTGCCCTTCCCGGGGCTGTTTGGGGCCAGTTCAGCCCGGTGTGGGGGTGACCCGAGCCCGCTGGTGCCAGCCCTGGGCTGGGGGTCGGGCTCTGTGTGGGCAGGAGCGGGGCTAGGGCTGGGGGGGGAGCCTGGAGAAGCCCCTGGAGAAGCCCCTGAGAAGCCCCTGGAGAAGCCTGGCCGGAGCGCCGCGCTGCGATCCGGGAGGTGTTTGGGGTGAGGGCAGGAGCTGCCGGAGCAGCAGATCTGGCCGCAGATTGCGGGTGGGGAGGCGGAACGAAGCCGCGGGGCTGGTGGGGGCCCCTCCCAAGCGCTGGGCAGCCCCGGCCCCTCCCTTGGCGGCTTCCCCGCTGCCCCCGGCCCGGGCTGGGGATATAAATCCCCCCGCATCAGCCGGGCCAGCACAAGCCGCTCCAGCGGGAGGAGAAGCAGCTGCAGCTCCAGCCCCAGCACCTCTGCCGTGAGTGAGCACAGGCACCCCGAGGCTCCAGCATGGGTAAGACACCGCCGGCAGCCCCCCCGGGCAGCTGCAGCCCTGCCTGGGGGCTGCCCGATGCCCCCGTCCCGGCACGGGGGGCCGGGAGCCCGCAGGGAGGAGGAAGGTGGGGCTGAGCCTCGGCCGTCGGGGCCGCCGCTGCCCAAGGTGCTGCTTCCCTTGGGGCTCGGCAGCCGCTGCCCCGGGGCTGCAGCTCCGTGCCCGGGAGCCTGCGCTGCTGCCGGGGCATCCTCGGGGCAGCCTGGAGCCCGTGCCAGGCTGGCCCTTCCCTGCAGCCCCGGCTGCGGGGGCAGCTCCGTCGGCGTCCCCGCAGCGGGGAGGGCTCGGGGAGGGCTCGGGGAGGGGGCGGGAGGGGCCAGAGCCGGGCCCGATGCCCGGGATGTGGCCGCTGTGCCCGCTGCAGGGAGGATCGCTGTGCCGGGGCTGGGCTGTGTGCCAGCGGTGCCCATCTGGGCTGGGAGAAGGTCCCCGGGCTGGGGCAGAGCCCGGGCACGGGAAGGAGCCCCTGGAGCTGCGGGCCCGGCCCGGGGCTCACGTTCCCTGCTCTGCCCCCAGACAGATGCAGAGCTCAGTGCTACGAGTACCCGACCTGCTGCCCCGAGGTGGCCAAAGGCAAGTGCTGGGCACGGGGTGGCAAGGGGGCACGGGGAGGGCTGGGGTGTGTGGCCCCCGCAGGAGCTGATGGGCTCTGAGCCCCTTCCCCAGCGGGACAGACCCTGTGGGTCCAGAGCATCAGCTCAGCCCCGGCTGGGCTGGGAGTTTGCTGACAGCTTCTGCTGTCCTCCCTGGTTGGTCCTGGGGGTGGTTTTTAAGCCGAGCTTTGTGTCCCAGCCCCTCGGGAGGAGGTTGCCTACGTGACCTGCACCTACAGATCCACCTGCATCGACCAGCCTGATTTCCTGGCCACCGTGGACCTGAACCCCAGGTCTCCCTGTTATGGCCAGGTACCTGCTCCTCTCTGCTTTTGCTGGGTTGGGGACCATCAGCTGGCTCTGTGTAACATTTTCTCTGTCCCCTCTCTGCTTGGCCCTGGTCCAGGACAGAAGCACCTGCCAGGATTAGGGTTCCCTTCTTTACCAACCTCCCTGGCTCACTCTAGGCTGCCAGCTGGGCCATGGGCATTCCCTGCCTCTGGAGGCTGCCAAGACACCTCCTCTCCACCCAGGGTGCAGAGACCACCTGAGCAGCCCCAGGGCTGCGAGGATTTCGAAGGAAAAGTCCCTTCCAAGCCCAGAATAGGACCCCGAACAACTGAAATGCGTTTGGAAGTCCCTCCCCAGGGGGAGTTTGCCCAGCAGAGCAGCAGCTCCGAGGGGAGGAGGAAGATCCCTTCCTTTCCCCAGCCGAGTGTCCCTGAGCTGCAGTGGGCAGGGCTGAGGAGGTGTGGGGAGGATCCCCCCTTTCCCCGGGCAGTGGGCAGGGCAGGGAGCAGCGCTGTCCCCCCGGGGGTGGGCGGGCAGTGGCAGCCCCTGTGCAGGGAGGCCCCCGAGCCCCCGGACCCCCCGTTCTGCCTCCCCCCTAACTCTGCCTTGGCTGCCTTAGGTGATCCACCGGCTGCCCATGCCCAACCTCAAGGACGAGCTGCACTCCTCGGGGTGGAGCTCTGGCTGCAGCTGCTTTGACAATGGCACCACGAGGAGGAACAAGCTGGTGCTGCCCGGTCTGATTTCCTCCCGCATCTACGTGGTGGATGTGGGCACCCAGTGCCGGGCCCCCAAGCTGTGCAAGGTATGCCAGGGGGGGCACTGCCAGCCTTCTGGCAGGGAGTTGGGAACTGGCGCTTCTGGGACGGGGCCTGGGCACCAAGGGCTCTCTCTGCTCAGCTTCTCTCTCAGCCTGGCTCTGCAGAGCCTTTTTCCTCTCGGCTCTGTCCTTGCCGCTCCCAGGGGGGCTCCCCCCGGCCCTGGGTCCCTTCCTCTGTGTCCCCAGGAATCCCCGGGACTCCCCAGCACCCCCCTGGCCCCCAAAGAGCAGGATGGGGGCACAGGAGCTGCTCTGAGCTGGGGGTTGTTGCTTGAGGGGCAGCTCAGGGGCTTCTGTGCCCTCCCCAGGGAGGAGCAGCCCCAGCCGGGGGGGTGTGGGGGGAGAACTCCTGGAGCAGCAGGGATGTCGGGAGCCAAAGGCCCTGCCAGGGAGAGAGTCCAAAGGCTGGACTGGACAACCTGGGGGTGTTTTCCAAGCGCTGGTGTGGGAGGAGCCGAAGCAGTCGGGGGCTGAAGTGGGGGGTGGTGTGTGTGTGTCCATCCCGCAGATGATCGAGCCGGTGGATGTGTTCTGGAAGTGCAACAAGGGCTACCTGGGCGTGGTCCACAGCCTGCCCAACGGGGACGTGCTCATTGCCAACATGGGAGACCCTGCTGGCAACGGCAAAGGTACCTTGGGATGCCCAAACCCCCGGGGGGTGACCCCTGTCCCAAACAGCCCGGGTTGCACCGGTGCCACCCCCCTTTGTGTGTCCCAGGTGGCTTCGTGGTGCTGGACGGGGAGACCTTTGAGCTGAAGGGCAACTGGGAGAACGAGTGCGAAGCTCCCCCGACGGGCTACGACTTCTGGTACCAACCCCGGCACAACGTGCTGGTCAGCTCTGCCGGGGTGGTGCCCAAACGGGCAGGACGGGGCTTCAACCCCGATGACCTGAAGAAAGGTGCGTGCCTGGGGCTGGCAGTGCCAGGGCAGCGCTGCCCGAGGGTCCTGGGGGGTGTCGGGGGCTCCCTTTGGGGGCCCCTTTGCCCCGCAGAGCCCCCTTGGGCGGGCACGGCCCGGGCCCGGGCGGCCTCTCCCGCGGCTGCCGCGGCGTTTTCCCGTCCCTGCCGCCCTGCAGCGTCCTGGGGGGGTTTGGGGGGCCGTGGGCCGCCCCCCTGCCCCTCTGCTGAGCCCCCCTGTGCCGCCCCTCAGGGGTCTTCGGGCGCCGCCTGAACGTGTGGAACTTGTCGTGCCGCAGCCTCACCCAGTGCTTCGACCTGGGCGAGGACTCGCTGCCCCTGACCGTGAAATTCCTGCACAACCCCGACGCCGCCGAGGGCTACGTGGCCTGTGCCCTCAGCGGGGTCATCTACCGCTTCTACAAGTGCGAGGTGGGCGCGGGGACCCCGAGGGGCGGCCCTCGGGGAGGAGGGGCTGTGGAAGGGGCAGGGGGTGGGTGGGCTGAGCCCGGGCTGGGCTCCCAGGGCGTGGGGGCAGGGGAGCCCCGGGCCGGGCGCTGGGGGGCTCAGGGGGCCGTGTTTGTGCGCAGAGAGACAACTGGGCCGTGGAGGAGGTGATTCGCATCCCGTCCAAGGACGTGTCGGGCTGGATCATGCCCAAGATGCCAGGTTTGTCACCCTTGGGGGCTCCTCCCCTGCCCTGCCAGAGCCCCGTGGGGCTCAGCTGGAGCAAAGCCTGGCCCACAGCCCTGTTTCCTGTGCTGGGGCTGCCCCTGAGCCATGTCTCTGTCGCAGCCTTCACCGCGGACCTCATCATCTCCCCGGACGACAGGTTCCTGTACCTCGCTAACTGGTTCCACGGGGACATCCGGCAGTACGAGCTCTCCAAGGGCTGCAAGCCCCGCCTGGTGGGGCAGGTGAGGGGGCACAGGGGCTGGGTGGGTGGGTGGGGAATGGAGGGCAGGGCCTGTGCCAGGGCCACGTGTGTGCCACTGCCCCCTTGCAGGTGTTTGTGGGAGGCAGCATCCTCCGAGGGGCCCCGTGACCGTGTGTAGGGACGAGGAGCTCAAGTGCCAGCCCGAGCCCCTGGTGGTCAAGGTGAGTCCTGGGGATTGGGAGGGGAGACAGAGCTTTGCTCTGCTCCTTCTCCCACTCCTGCCCCCCCAGCCCCAGTAACCCCCCGTTGCCCCCAGTGCAAGCGGATTTACGGCGGCCCCGCCAAGCTGCAGCTGAGCCTGGACGGGCGCAGGCTCTACGTCACCAACTCCTTCTACAGCACCTGGGACAAGCAGTTCTACCCCACCATGGTCAGGTCAGCACCAGGGGGGCAGAAGGGGCTCCTGGGCACGGGGGGGCTCTGCGGGGCCGGGGCTGTGCCGGGGGGGGGGCAGATCCCAGGCCAGGAGTGGAGCCGAGGTTGGACATTCATCCCTGGACATTCATCCCTGGACATTCATCCCTGGACATTCATTCCCGGGCGGGACGCGGCGCCCGGCACGGGGGTCGCCGGTGCCCAGAGCTGCCCCTCGTCCCCCCGCAGGGAGGGCTCGGTGATGCTGCTGATCGACGTGGACACGGAGAAGGGAGGCCTGACCGTCAACAAGAACTTCCTGGTGGATTTCGGGAAGGAGCCCAACGGGCCCGCCCTGGCCCACGACATTCACTTCCCCGGCGGCGACGCCACCACCATCGAGATCCTGCCCTAGGGCGGCCCGGGGCGGCTCCGCCCTTCCCTGCCCCTGGAGTGCAGCTGCTGGGAAAGGGCGGCGGGTGATGGGCTTTGGGGTCCCCCTTCCTTGTTCCTTGCTCCAGTCCCGCTTCCCCCCCGGGCTGAGGGAGCTCGGCCCTTCAACCCCCCCGGCTTTGTGCGGGCAAACCAGTGCGTGGGCACCTTCCCAGTGCCCATTCCCAGTGCCATTCCTGGTGCCCAGGGCGGGACGGGCCCGGGCGGGATCCAGGAGTGATCCCAGGCGGGATCCAGGAGTGATCCTGGACAGGCTCCCGAGCTCCTGGGCAGGAAGTGAAGTGCCCAGTCTGACTGAGTTCCCTCCTCCGGCCGCGCCGTTCCCGCAGCGTTTCCCGGGCACAGGAGCCCTCCCGGCTCCCGCCCCACCGGCTCTGTGTCCCGGCTGGAGGAGCTCCAAGTGCTGGCCTGGGAAGAGGGGCCTGTTTGCTGCCACTGCTTTGCTCTTGTCCTGCTTCAAACGCCAATAAAACTCTCGGTTGCATCAGCTGGGCCTTGTGGTGTGTCAGTTCAGGGGGAGCTCAGGGAGAACAAACCCCAGCAGGGCTTCAGGAAGAGATGAGGGTTGGGAGAATCCCTAAGAGAGGGTACTGCTTGGCCAGGGACCCTCTTTGTCCTCCTGCAAGCTCCTGGTGGGAATTGCCTTTGCTTGTTCTCTTTTTGGTGTGGATTCTTCCAGTCTGGTTTTTTTATAGACTTTATTTGGTCTGTTCTGTTGGGTTTGGGAGCCAGGGCAGGTCAACCCCTTGTTTTTGGGGAGCTGTTGCCTTGCTCCAGCTCAGGGTGGTGGTCCCAGCCTGACCAATTCCCAGGAACAGCACAGGGGTCTTTCCTCACCCCCCTGACTGTGATGGGTGACTGGGGGAGAGACCAAGCCATTGGTCTTTTTGTTGGGCACCTTTGGGTGGGATTTTTGGGGGACAAATTGTTCCTGGTGATGGTGGGGAGGCCCTGGTACAGAACTGTGGATTCCACCTGCCTGGAAGTGTCCAAGGCTGGGCTTGGAATGACCTGGGATGGTGGAAGATGTCCCTGCCCAAGGCCTGGATGATCTTCAGGGCTCTTCCAAGCCCAACCATTCCAGGATTTTCTGGCCCAGGAGACTCTCGGGAGCCAGATTAGACCCTGACTAAGCAGACAGAGGTCCCACAGCTCCCCAAAAGCGAACCCTCACTCTGCAATTAAAACAAACCCCGTCCCCCATTCTTGATAAACAATAACCACTCTTGATCCTGATAAACATCTGCAGCATCTGCACTTATCCCCGGCCTTGGGATCGTGGTGCTTTCCCCGTCCCTCCTGGGGAGCTTCTGCCCTGCCCTGATGGGACCTCCCACACCCCGGGGCGGCTCAATCCTCCCCCCCAGTCATCCCATTTCCAGCCCCTCCTTCTCCCCATCCCGCTCCCTTTATATTGGAACCCCGGGAGCCGCCTCTCCTCCCTCCCTGGACTCTGCTCCTTGCAGGAAAAAAAAAATGCAGGTGGAATCATTTCCCCCCCAGGTGAGATCCCAGCCGACCTCCAGCACAGGTAAGGGGGCTCTTGGCTGGCTCCTCTCACTCTCGAGAGGAGAAATTTTGGGTTTGTTTTTTTCCTTAAAAATCCTTTTAAAAACCCTTCTGGAGCTGGAACTTGGGGAGGGGTTTGTTGCTCTGAAGGAGAGAAACAAAAAAATAACCAATAAGGATGAATGTGGGGTTTTCTCCCCACCACAAAGAGGCTCCTTTGGGAGGTGATGGGAGGGTTTTGTTTTCCGAAAAGCTCTCGTTAAAACTGCATTCAAACCGATTTTCTCGGCGCTTTTCGGGTCGTTTAGCGGGGCTGGTTGGGAGCTGGGTTGGGGGGAGGCTGATTCCTCCTGCACTGAACTTTTGGGGTGAAAACAGGGATCATCCAGTCCCCTCCGAGGGCGGTTCTTTCGTGTGTGGGAGGGAAAAAAATGGGATTAAAGGGATTTTTACCGGGTTTCTGTTTGATTTTCGTTCTTCCCTCTGCAGAGAAGTGCGCGGAGTGCGGTCCTGGCTACGCCTCCCCCCTGGATGCCATGAAAGGTGGGGCGTGAAATCCTCGCTCTGGGTGTGAATTAGGCGAGGATTAAGCCCATCCTTCTCCCGGGAGGCTCCCAAACAAGTCGAGGGAAGCCCGAACTCCCCATTAAATGATGACAGTTGGGAGTCAGGAGGAACCTTTATGGGGTTTTTATGGGCTTGGGATGGGTGGTGCCCCTCGGCAAAGTCACCTCTGCCTCGTCCCTCCCTTGATGCTCCTTTGGCACCCCGGGGAGCTCGGGAATGGGCCGGGATTCCCTGAAAAGCCTTTTTGAACTGAGAAAACCAGGGAGAGGAGAGTCCCCGGGACACCCCTTGCTGCTGGCAGGGCTGGGTGGTGCTTTTATCCTGCACAAATCCCACCTTTGGGATGGTTTGGGATCGGGATCAGCACCCACCGGACACCCCGTGAGGATTCCTGGGGTGTTGACCTGGCCTGACCCAGATCCAGAGATCCCAAATCTCCTTTCCCGGTGCCAGGTCCTTCCTCAGCACTTCCTAAACCAGTTCTTCCTCCTCCAGGCCTGGCTTGGGCAATGCTGGTGCCACCTCTGAAGGGATCAGGAGGCTCCTTGGGACCTTTGATTTGGGGGCTTGAGGGGTCTCTCTGCCTTTTATTCAGAGTTTTGGGGTTTTCTTTCCCTTTTATTCAGAGTTTTGGGGTTTTCTTTCCCTTTTATTCAGAGGTTTGGGGGTCTCTGTCTTTTATTCAGAGGTTTGGGGGTCTCTCTACCTTTTATTCAGAGGTTTGGGGGGTTTTCCTGACCCTCTCCCCACCTTCCCACCCCTCCAGGCCCCCGGGAGGAGATCATCTACGTGCCCTGCATCTACAGGAACACGGGCAGGGGCAAACCCGACTTCCTGGCCACGGTGGACGTGGATCCCAAATCCCCCACTTACAGCCAGGTAGAAACACCGGCATTTTGGGACCTGGGAGGGTCCTTCACGACCCCAAAAGCTGCGGGATCGGTCCCCAGGGGCTGTGGGAGGTTGTGGGAGGCGGTGCCGCCCCTGCTGATCATCAAGGCTGAGTTGCAGTGGTGGAATTGCGGGATAATTAGGGTTGCAAAAGGTCTTTAAGGTCACCAAGCCCATCCACCAACCTGACACTGCCAAGGCAGCCGTGTCGTGTCCCCAAGTGCCACCTTCACACCTCTCTGGGAAGGAACGTGCTTCCAAAATCCCTGGAACACACCCCTCTTCCCACCCCACATCCCTGTGGGTGAATCCCGGAGTTTGAGCTCCCCAAGAAAAACCCCGGGGTCTCCTGGGAATCCCGGAATCCCCGGGGGGGCGGAAAGGACCCCAAAACCCACCCAAAACCTCGATCCCCAAGGTGATCCACCGGCTGCCCATGCCCAACGTGGGGGATGAGCTGCACCACTCGGGCTGGAACGTCTGCAGCAGCTGCTTTGGGGACAGCAGCAAGAGGAGGGACCGCCTGGTCCTGCCATCCCTCATCTCCTCCCGCATCTACGTCGTGGACGTGGGGACGGACCCCAGGGCCCCCCGGCTCTTCAAGGTGCCCCCCAAGCCCCACCCCCCCCCACTGTGGGAAGGGCACTGGGCTTGGAAAAGCTTTAAAATTCCCTAAATTCCCCACGCTGGGGTCAGGGAAGGGGGTGACAGTGCCCCAGGACGGCCCAAGATGAGGGGGCTGATGATTCCTGGGGGTGTCCCCATCCCCATCCCACAGGTTGTGAACCCCGAGGACGTGTTCTGGAAGTGTGGCCTGGGCTACCCCCACACCTCCCACTGCCTGGGCAGCGGGGAGGTGATGATCAGCACCCTGGGAGACCCGGCTGGCAACGGCAAAGGTACCCCAGAACCCCCCCCCCCACCTTGGGACAGCAGGGACAGCCCCCACACCCGGGGGTGTCCATGGGGGGGGCTCCATCCAGGCCCTTTTCCAACCCCCCAGAGGGTGGATCTGGGGGTCCCTGCTCGGTTTACAGCCTGAATCGGTGCTAACCTGGGGGGGGATTCCCCACTCCCCCCAGGTGGGTTCATCCTGCTGGACTCGGAGACCTTCGAGGTCAAGGGCAACTGGGAGAGGGGGGACGAGACCCCCGCCATGGGCTACGACTTCTGGTACCAACCCCGGCACAACGTCCTGATCAGCACCGAGTGGGGGGTGCCCAAGTGCCTGGGCTACGGCTTCGACCCCGGGGACCTCCGGAAAGGTGAGGAGGGGGCTCCCAATTTCCCCGGAGAGGCGCGAGGGCTCCGGCACAGCCGGGTTTCTGCTGCTGGGACATCGGGGTGGGGGTCCCAGCCCCCTCCCGCTCCCGGAATTCCCAATCCCAGGGCGTTACGGGCGCCGGCTCAACGTGTGGGACTGGAGCTCCCGCAGGTACGTGCAGGCCATCGACGTGGGCGAGGATTCGGCGCCGCTGGAGATCCGGTTCCTGCACGACCCCGACGCCGCCGAGGGCTTCGTGGGCTGCATCTTCAGCAGCGCCGTCCACCGCTTCTTCAGGACACAGGTGTGGCATCCCAGATCCCAAATCCCAAATCCCACACCCCAAATCCCAGCAGGGCCGTCCACCGCTTCTTCAGGACACAGGTGTGGCATCCTACATCCCATATCCCAAATCCCACATCCCAAATCCCACATCCCAGCGGGGCCAGAACATGGGCACATCATCCTACATCCCAAATCCCAAATCCCACATCCCAAATCCCAGCAGGGCCATCCACCGCTTCTTCAGGACACAGGTGCGGCATCCCAGATCCCAAATACTGCATCCCACATCCCAAATCCCACATCCCAAATCCCGCAGGTCCAGGACACAGGACATCATCCGACATCCCAAATCCCACATCCCACATCCCAGCAGTGCCACATGGGCACACATCCCAAATCCCAAATCCCACATCCCAGCAGGGCCAGAACATGGGCACATCATCCTGCATCCCAAATCCCAAATCCCAGCAGTGCCATCCACCACTTCTTCAAGACACAGGCACATCCCACATCCCAGATCCCAGTAGGGCCAGGACACAGGCACATCCTACATCCCACATCCCACATCCCAGCAGGGCCAGGACATGGGCACATCATCCTACATCCCAAATCCCACATCCCACATTCCCAGCAGGGCCAGGACATGGGCACATCATCCTACATCCCAAATCCCACATCCCACATCCTAGCAGGGCCAGGACACATCATCCCAAATCCCAAATCCCCAAACCAGCTGGAAAATCCAAGGCATTTTTGGCCCCCCCAGCCTTTCCAGCTGTGCCAGAGCCCGGGGGGGGGGGTCTTTAGGATCTCCTTCCCCCCCCGTGCCAGCTCCGGAGGGGGCTGGAGAGGAGCGGAGCTGCTCCCAAGGGACGAGAGCTGGGGGAGCCCCACGGGGGGGTTGAGGGGGTCTCACCCCACCCCTGAGCCCCCCCGGGGGTGGTCTCTGTCCCCAGAGAGGCGACTGGGCCGCCCAGAAGGTGATCCAGGTGCCCAGCAAGCAGGTGGAGGGGTGGCTGCTGCCGGAGATGCCAGGTCGGTGTGTGTGGCGTGTGTGGGACAGGGGAGGGGTCCCCAGGGGCTCTGCTCCCAAATCCAGCTCCCCTGCTGTCCCTTCCCAAGGCTTCATCAGCGACATCCTGATCTCCCTGGACGACAGGTTCCTGTACTTCAGCAACTGGCTCCACGGGGATGTCCGGCAGTACGACATCTCCGACACCCGCCGGCCCCGCCTCGTGGGGCAGGTGAGACCCCCCTGGGGGTATCCAGGGGTTTATCCCACATCCCACTGGGCCCCCCCCACATCCCCGTGTCCCCCTTTGGGGAATCAACCAACCCCTTCCCCCCCAGGTGTTTTTGGGGGGCAGCATCGCCCGGGGGGGGCCGGTGAAGGTGTGCGGGGATGAGGAGCTGCAGAGCCAGCCCGAGCCCTTCGTCATCCAGGTGAGCTCAGGGGGGGAGAAGAACCCCCAAAATCCTGATCCACCACATCCCTGGGGGCGGGGTGGAGGGTGGAGGTGTCTCCTCTCCCACCGGTGGCTGCTCCCACCCCGCTCCAGGGCAAGAAGGTGGCGGGGGGGCCGCAGATGCTGCAGCTGAGCCTGGATGGGAAGAGGTTGTACGTCACCAACTCCCTGTACAGCGCCTGGGACCGGCAGTTCTACCCCGACCTCCTCACGTGAGTCACCCTGGATGGGAAGGGGGGATGCTCCTGTGGGACCCCCACCCCCCCGACCTTCCCTGCTCCCGCCCTTCCCGCAGGGAAGGCTCTGTGATGCTGCAGATCGACGTGGACACTGAGAGAGGGGGGCTGGCGGTGAACAGAAACTTCCTGGTGGATTTCGGGAAGGAGCCGGACGGGGCCTGCCTGGCCCACGAGATGCGGTACCCGGGGGGGGACTGCACCTCTGACATCTGGGTGTGACCCCCCCACACCCCCACCCCGTGCCCCCCACACACACAGCCCGTGCCCCGGGATTTGGGAATTCCTGGAGCGGGAAGGGGTTTGGGAATTGTCCTGCCCGGGGAGAGATGAAAAATAAACCCCGAGGTCATTTCACCGCTTGTTTGGGTCGTTTCCTCCTCCTGCTCTTCTTACCCCCTGACACACACGTCACACACATGTCACACACATGTCACACACATGTCACATGCACTGCACACGTTACACACACGTTACACACACACAGTGCAGAGTGACACCTGTTACACGCACACAGGTGACCACACACACACACGTGACCCACACACATGTTGCACACACCCCCCACACCTGTTACACGCACACACGTGACCCTCCACACACACACACGTCACCCCCCTCCCCGACCGTTGCCCCCGCCCCCCTGGCGCTCCCGCCTCCCGCGCGGCCAATCAGCAGCCTGTTACCAGGCAGATTTCGGCTCCCGCGCCGCCCGCCCCCCGTATCCGGGCCGCGCTCGGGGAGCCAGCCAATCGCATTAAAGGAGCGGCGCGTATCCGGGCAGACCAGCGGCGCGGCGGCCAATCAGAAAAAAGCGGTCGGCGGGCTGCGGGGCCGTCCCGCTCCCGCGCAGCACTTTCGGTTCGCGGGGCGCGGGAGCGGCACGTGGCGGGACCCCCCCGGGCCGGCCGGGTCAGGTGGGTGCGGGGCCGGGGCTGGGGGGGACCCCCGGGGCCACCCCACCGCCGTCGGGCCCCGCTGCCGGGACCTGAGGGAGCTGCGCAGCCACGGAACCCCCGCACCCCCTGTCCCGCCGGGACCGGCCCGGAGGGTGACCCCGGGCCTGGGAGCCGCTGGGCATGGGGACCTCTGCCCTCCCGGTATCCCGCGTCCCCATCTCCCCGGGACCTGCCTTCCTGGTGGCCCGTGTCCCTTTGAAACCCCACTTGTCCCGGTGTCCCGTGTCCCATCTCCCTGGGGATCTCTGCCCTGCCGGTGTCCCGGTGTCCCTGTTCTCTCCCGAGATCCCCACGCCCCTGGTGACCTGCCCTGCTGGTGGCCCGTGGCCCCGTGGCCCTGGGGACGTTCCCTCCCGGCAGCGCCATGTCCCGGTGCCATCCTACAGTTCCTGTGTCCCCATATCCCCGTGCCATCCTGCAGTCCCGTGTCCCGGTGCCATCCTACAGTTCCTGTGTCCCCATATCCCCGTGCCATCCTGCAGTCCCGTGTCCCGGTGCCATCCTACAGTTCCTGTGTCCATCCTGCAGTCCCGTGTCCCGGTGCCATCCTACAGTTCCTGTGTCCCGGTGCCATCCCACAGTTCCTGTGTCCCCGTGTCCCCGTGTCCCGGTGCCATCCTACAGTTCCTGTATCCCCATATCCCCGTGCCATCCCACAGTTCCTGTGTCCCCATGTCCCGGTGCCATCCTACAGTCCCGTGTCCCCGTGCCATCCCACAGTTCCTGTGTCCCCATGTCCCGGTGCCATCCTGCAGTCCCGTGTCCCCAGCGACCCTCCAGGTCACGGTGGTCCTGCCAGTGCCCCCCAGGACCCCTGACCCCCATCCAGGAACGGGGCACCCACAACCACTCAGCTGGGGATGCCCCTCCCGGGACCATTCGCTGTCCGTGACGCGGTTTTATTCCCCTTTTTTTTATTTTAAGTCGAATTTTGGCTTTCTCTCCCCCTCCCTACCAGACTCCCGAAGCCCATGGGTGACCCCGAGGTGGGTGCCCGCCCCGCCAGGAAGGGGGGCACTTTGTCCCCCCGGGGCGGTGCCAGCGAGTCGAGCACGCTGCTGCAGGAGCTCCGGAGCACCATCTCGTAAGGGCAGCCCCCAAAATCGGGGTGGGGGGAGAAGAGAGGGGAGTCCCTGGGGTTCAGCCATCTGCACCCCCAGGGGGACGAGGGGTGCCTGGAGGAGGGGGCAGGGCCGCGGGAAGTGGGACAGGGAGATGGGGACACCAGCAGGGCAGAGATGCCAGTTTTTGGGGTGCCAAAGCAGCGGTTGAGGGTTCCCAGCAGCAGCTCCCGTGGGATGTGGCTCTCCCTGGGCTCGGCAGGGGTGGCTCCGGGATGGGGCTGTTTGGGGGGCACCCTGGGAGCAGGTTGGGGTCTGGAAGGGCCTCGGGAGCCCTGGGATGAGCTGGGCAGGGGGAGGGGGGGAGCCCAGGGGTGCTTTGGGGTCCGTCCTGCCCTGACAGCACCCCCTGTCTCTGTCCCATCCAGCAAATCCGTGCAGAGCAAGGTGGACTCCATCCTGGTGAGTGCTTCCCGGGAATGCTCTGGGAATCTCCACCTCCCCCAGCCCTTCCCAGCTGGGGAGCATTCCCTGAATCCCTGAGGATCCTTTAACCCCTTCCTTGTCTCTGGACCCTTCAACCGTAGCAAGATGTGCAGAAGTTCTCAGACAGTGACAAGCTCTACCTGTACCTGCAGCTGCCCTCGGGCCCCAGCCTGGGCGAGAAGAGGTGGGTCTGGAGCTCCTGGGAGAGCCGGGAATGCCGGGATGGGGGTGGGACAGGGACAGGGGTGGGACAGGGACAGGGGTGGTCGTGGGGTTGCCCAAAATCCAGGTGGAAAAGAGCCCTCTGAGACTCTTTCCTGCCCAGACCACCGACCTGCAACGATGAGCTGTGCAGGTCCTGCAGGGTCTGCTGACCCTGCTGATAAATCTGTGGGTCCTGCAGGGTTTACTGACCCCAATAATAAATCTGTAGGTCCTGCAGGGTCTGCTGACCCTGCTGATAAATCTGCAGGTCCTGCAGGGTTTGCTGACCCCCATGATAAAATCTGCAGGTCCTGCAGGGTTTGCTGACCCTGCTGATAAAATCTGTAGGTCCTACAGGGTTTGCTGACCCCAATAATAAAATCTACAGGTCCTGCAGGGTTTGCTGACCCTGATGATAAATCTATAGGTCCTACAGGGTTTGCTGACCCTGCTGATAAATCTGCAGGTCCTGCAGGGTTTGCTGACCCCGGTGATAAAATCTATGGGTCCTGCAGGGTTTGCTGACCCTGGTGATAAAATCTGTGGGTCCTGCAGGGTTTGCTGACCCCTGATAAAATCTGTAGGTCCTGCAGGGTTTGCTGACCCTGGTGATAAAATCTGTGGGTCCTGCAGGGTTTTAAGCTACACTCATTACCCTGCATGGCTCCACTGGCTCTGCCCTCTGCCTTTCCCCCTACTGATGGGATGTTTTTGTGCCCCGGGAGCAGCAGCAGCAGCTTGGACCTGAGTGCCCTGGGCACAGCCGAGTACATGCACGCCTGCAACTGGATCAGGAACCACCTGGAGGAGCACACGGACACCTGCCTGCCCAAGCAGGACGTCTATGATGCCTACAAGTGAGCCCAGGGACAGGGGTGGGGCTGGGGGTGTCCCTGCCCGGGGCTGGATCCCAGGGAGCCAGAGGTTCCCAGGGACAGGGACACCAGGAGAGTGGTTCCATGGACAGGGACACCAGGACAGTGCATTCCATGGACAGGGACACCAGGACAGTCCATTCCATGGACAGGGACACCAGGATAGTTCATTCCCAGGGACAGGACACCAGGACAGTGGTTCCATGGACAGGAACACCAGGATAATGCATTCCCAGAGACACCAGGACAGTGCATTCCATGGACAGGGACACCAGGACAGTGGTTCCATGGACAGGGACAGCAGGATAATACATTCCCATGGACACCAGGACAGTGCATTCCATGGACAGGGACACCAGGATAATACATTCCCAGAGACACCAGGACAGTGCATTCCATGGACAGGAACACCAGGACAGTGGGTCCCCATGGACAGGAACACCAGGATAATGCATTCCCATGGACAGGGACACCAGGACAGTGCATTCCATGGACAGGAACACCAGGACAGTCCATTCCATGGACAGGAACACCAGGATAATGCATTCCCATGGACAGGAACACCAGGACAGTGCATTCCATGGACAGGAACACCAGGACAGTGGGTCCCCATGGACAGGAACACCAGGACAGTGCATTCCAGGGACAGGAACACCAGGATAATGCATTCCATGGACAGGGACACCAGGACAATGCATTCCCATGGAACAGGGACACCAGGGCAGTGGGTCCCATGGACAGGAACACCAGGACAGTGGGTCCCCATGGACAGGGCCACCATTCCCCGGGCAGGGAGTGGCTGGGAATGCCTTCCCTGATGGGAGAGCAGCAGGAAAGTCTCCCTGGTTTGACCCTTCATCTCTCCCCTCAGGAGATACTGCGACAACCTGGGCTCCCGCCCCCTCAGCACGGCCAATTTCGGGAAGATCATCCGGGAGATCTTCCCAAACATCAAAGCCCGGCGCTTGGGAGGCCGAGGACAATCCAAATATCCTGCCCTGCCCCCCTGGAGCTGCTGCTGCTCCTGTTTTTTTTTTTCCTGGGGTGTTTTTTATCCCCTTTGTTTTGTACATTTGGAGGGGTTGGGTCCCAGTTTGGGGAGGGGGGGGCAGGGACACCCCTAGGGGTGGTTTTGGGGGGTCTGGGGGCTTCTGGGTGTCCTTGGGGTTTTTTTTTGGCCTGTTCCCATGGCAGGAAAATCCCTTAACGGGGCCAAACGTACTGTTATGGGGGGATCAGGAGGAAAACCGTGGTCAGCCTCCCTCCCCTGCCCAGCCTGGACCTCAAAGTCACAGAGACCGTAAGTTTGGGCTTTTTGGGGGAGGGGGGGGTGATTTGAAGTCTGGGATGGTGCAGGGGGGGTGGATTGGGGGAGAATCAGGCAGGTCTTGGGGTCCTGAGAAGGAAGGGGGTGAATCTGAGGAGAACTGGGGTGGGGAGGGGGTGCTGGGGAGAGGAAGGAGGCAGGTCCTGCTCTGTGCTGGCCCCACCTTGGGGGGAAATCCTGCCCTGGGTGGGTGTGGGGGGTGTGGGTGAAGGTTTTTATGGGGTCTCCCAGCCCGTCCCGCCCTGGCAGTCGGAGCTGGCGGAGCTGGTGCAGTCCTACCCCAGCGAGGTGATGGAGGCCGCCTGCGCCCTGACCTGTGACTGGGCCGAGAAGATCCTCAAGCGCTCCTTCAACAACATCGTGGAGGTGGCGCAGTTCCTGCTGCAGCAGCACATCATCAGCTCCCGCTCGGCCCACGCCGACCTGCTCATGGCCATGGTGGTCTCAGGTGGGTGCAGGGCCCCCACTCAGGGGCTCAGAGGATTTGGGGAGGGTCTCGTGGGATTTTTTTGGCACCTCCCCCTCATCCCACATGGGTTGTTGTCCCACCTTTGCGTGCCCCCCCCCAACAGAGAACACGGAGAAGACCCCCCAGGAGAACCGTCCCCCTCCCACAGCCAAGAAGAACGGGCTGGACCCTCCCGAGAGCAACGAGAGGATCCAACAAGAACAGGTAAGATTTTCCCCCCCAGAGCTGGGGGTGGGCAGCTGGAACACCCCCCACCCCCCAACACCCAACTCTGTGTGTGTGTCCCCCCCCTCTCCCAAAAACCAGGGCAAGAAGGAGCCGCCCCCCAAGCCCCCGGGGCGGCCGGAGAAGAAGAAAACCCCGGAGACCCCACGCTCGTGCAGCAGCCCCCAGGTGAACGCCCTGGTCGCCCGCCTGCCCCTGCTCCTGCCCCGCATCCCCCGGAGCGACCCCCGGTCCCCCGCGCTGCGCCCCGGCCCCCCGTGCTGGTGCCCTGTCTGACGGCGGCCCCGCTGGGCGGGGCTGGGGGCACGCTCAAAGTGGCCCTGCCCTTGCCCGTGGGTGCCACCGCAGCCCCTCGCTGCCCCTGGCGCTGCCCCCCGGCCCCGCGGGGCTGCTGAGCCCCCCCACGGCCATCCCCGTGCTCAACGTGCTGCTGCCCGGCGTGGGGGTCCCGCCCGCGGACCCCACCAACCCCCGGCAGCGCCCGCCGGGGGCGGCCCCGAGGGGACGGGGACGGGCACGGGGACACCACAGGAGCAGCAGCAGCAGCGACCCAAGGGCACCAAGAGACCCCTGAGCCCGGGGGACCCCGCCCTGCACAAGAGGAGGAGGGGAGGCCCCGCAAGAGGCCCGAGGAGGGAGCCGGGGGCTCCCCGGGGCGGAGGGGCCGGGGGTCACCCACGGGGGCTCTCCTGGTGCCACCGCCGCGCCCGGGGGTTCTGCCCATGGGGGTCCTGGGGGCTCTGCCCATGGGGGGGGTCCCGGGGAGGGCTCTACTGGAGGTGGCGGGGCCGCTGTTCCTGTTGGGGACAGGCAGGTTGAGGGTGGGGCCACTGTCTCTGTCACTGCCGGTGCCACCAGTCCTGCTGGGGACAGCTCTGTCACTGGCAGTGCCACCACCCCTGTCAGGGACAGCTCTGTCACTGCCAGTGCCACCAGTCCTGCTGGGGACAGCTCTGTCACTGGCAGTGCCACCATCCCTGTCAGGGACAGCTCTGTCACTGCCAGTGCCACCAGTCCTGTTGGGGACAGCTCAGTCACTGGCAGTGCCACCACCCCTGGGGACAGCTCAGTCAGTGCCACCATCCCTGTCAGGGACACCCTGGTCACTGCCACCATCCCTGTCAGGGACAGCTCAGTCACTGCCAATGCCACTGTCCCTGTTGGGGACAGGCCAGTTGAGGGCAGTGCCACCATCCCTGTCAGGGACAGCCCGGCCACTGCCAGTGCCACCAGTCCTGTTGGGGACAGCTCAGTCACTGGCAGTGCCACCACCCCTGGGGACAGGCCAGTCAGTGCCACCATCCCTGTCAGGGACAGCACAGTGAGTGGCGGTGCCGCTGTCCCTGTTGGGGACAGGTCAGTCAGTGCCACTGTCCCTGTTGGGGACAGCCCTGCCAGTGGCAGTGCCACCGTCCCTGGGCGTGGCTCTCCCAGCAGTGACTCTCCTGGTGACAGTTCCAGTGTCCCCACTGGGGACAGGCCAGTTGAGGGCAGTGCCACCATCCCTGTCAGGGACAGCCCAGTCACTGGCAGTGCCACCAGTCCTGTCAGGGACAGGTCTGTCACTGGCAGTGCCACAGTCCCTGGGGGTGGCTCTGCTGGTGGTGACAGTTCCGGTGTCCCCACTGGGGACAGTCCAGCAAGGGGCAGTGCCACTGTCCCCGTGGAGGACAGGCCAGCCAAGGGCAGTGCCACCATCCCTGGTGGCAGCTCTCCTGGAGGTGACAGTGCCACCACCCCCACTGGGGACAGACCAGGCAGTGGCAGTGACACCGTCCCTGTCAGGGACAGCCCAGCTGGTGGCAATGCCACCAACCCTGCTGGGGACAGGCCAGGCAGTGGCAGTGCCACCGTCCCTGTCAGGGACAGCCCATCCAGGGGCAGGGACACTGTCCCCATCAGGGACAGGCCTGTCAGTGGCAGTGCCACCATCCCCCCCAGGGACAGCCCCTGCAGGGACAGTGCCACTATCCCTGTCAGGGACAGCACATCCAGGGGCAGGGACAGTGCCACCAGGGACAGGCCAGGCAGTGCCACCTGCCCCCCCAAAGAAAGCCCATCCAAGGGCAGTGCCACCATCCCCAGGGGCAGTGCCACCATCCCCACTGGGGACAGGCCAGGCAGGGACGGTGCCACCAGGGACAGGCCAGGCAGTGCCATCTTTCCTCCCAAAGAAAGCCCATCCAGGGGCAGTGCCACCATCCCCTCGAGGGACAGCCCATCCAGGGGCAGGGACACCACCCCTGCTGGGGACAGACCAGGCAGGGACAGTGCCACCAGGGACAGGCCAGGCAGTGCCACTGTCCCCACCAGGGACAGCCCATCCAGGGGCAGTGCCACCGTCCCCCCCAGGGACAGCCCAGCCAGGGGCAGGGACACCACCCCCATCAGGGACAGTGCCACTGTGCCCCACAGGGACAGCCCATCCAGGGGAAGTGCCACCACCCCAGTAGGGAACAGGTTGGCCAGTGGCAGTGCCACCATCCCCTCCAGGGACACCCCATCCAGGGGCAGTGCCACCATCCCTGTCAGGGACAGCCCATCCAGGGGCAGTGCCACCATCTCCTCCAGGGACAGCCCTGCTGGTGGCAGTGGCACCGTCCGTGTCAGGGACAGACCGGTGGGTGGCAGTGCCACCATCCCCCCCAGGGACAGCCCAGCCAGGGGCAGGGACACCACCCCTGTCAGGGACACCCCATCCAGGGTTAATGCCACCACCTCCATCAGGGACAGTCGAGCAAGTGGCAGTGCCACCATCCCCTCCAGGGACAGCCCATCCAGGGGCAGTGCCACCATCCCCCCCAGGGACAGCCCATCCCGGGGCAGTGCCACCATCCCCTCCAGGGGCAGTGCCACCATCCCCCCAGGGACAGCCCATCCCGGGGCAGTGCCACCATCCCCCCCAGGGACAGCCCGGCTGGTGGCAGTGGCACCGTCCCCGGTGGCAGTGCCACCCTGCCCGTCAGGGACACCCCACCGAGGGGCAGTGGCACCGTCCCCTCTGGGCACAGCCCCGCGGGTGGCAGTGCCACCCCGCCCGTCAGGGACGTCTCCTCCAGGCCCGTCCAGCCCACCCGTGTCAGCGTCATCAGGGACGGCAGGACCCGGGCCCGGGTGGACCCCCTGGCACTGCAGGGCCTCGGCAGGGCCGGGACCCCCCTGGGGGGCACCGGGGACTGGGGAGACCCCCGGGGACACCCCCACGCCGCGCCACGGGACGGACAGACGGGCACGGGCACGGGGACAGGGACAGGTCCTGCTGCCACCGCTGCACAACGTCCGGACGCGTCCCCTCATCCCCCACGGCCACACCAGTAAAAACCAGTCGCTCCCTCCCTCTTGTCCAGTTTGTGGCCCGCGGGAGGGGACACGGGAACTGTGGGGAGGGGACACCGGGAGTGGGAGGGGACACGGGGACTGAGAGGGGTTAGAGGGAGTGAGAGGGGACACGGGGAGTGGGGAAGGGACACGAGGAGTGGGAGGGGACACGGGGGAGTGGGGAGGGAGACACGGGGACTGGAGAGGTGACACGAGGAGCGGGGAAGGGACACGGGGAGTAGGAGGGGACACGAGGAGTGGGGAGGGGACACGAGGAGTGGGGAGGTGACACGGGGAGCGGGGAGGGGACAGGGGAGTAGGAGGGGACACGGGGGCGTGGGAGGGGACACAGGGAGTGGGAGGGGACACGGGGAGTGGGGAGGGGATAGAGGAGTGGGAGAGGACACGGGGACCGAGAAGGACACGGGGAGCAGGGAGGTGACACAGGGAGTGGGGAGGGGACACGGCGAGTGGGAGGGGGCCTGAGAAGGAACACGGCGAGTGGGGAGGGGGACACGGACAGTGGGAGGTGACACGGCGAGTGGGGCTGTGACGACAAGAGGCGATTTTTCCGCCGAAACCCGCCGGTTTCTGCCAACCGCGGAACCTCCGAGGCCACGCCCCTTTATCCATATTTATCCGAGACCACGCCCCTTGCCCCGCCCACCCCAATGTTCCTCTCGGAGGCCACGCCCCACCCCCCGGCGGCCCGCCGGTCCGGCGAGGGCGCTGCGCGCGCGGCCCCTCAGCGCCCGTGAGGCGGCTCCGGCCGGGCCTGGGAGGCTCCGAGCGGCCCTGCCTGGCCCCGCCGCGGCCCCTGCTCCGCTCCGCCGGCCCCGATCGCACCCCTGCGACCCCTCCAACACCCCCACCCACGAGGTGAGCCCGGCCCCGCAGCCCTCGCTCCGCCCCGGCTTCCCCCTCGCGGCCTTCCCTGCCCCCTTCCCTTCCTCATCGGCCTCTTCCTCCTCCTCCGAGCGCTTCGTGGCGCAGGGAAATAACGAAATCACCTCCTTTCCTTTTTTCTTTCCTTTCTTTTTTTCTTTTTTCCCCTCAACATTTTCTCCTCCGTGCCCAGGATGAGCCGCCCGCGCCGGGCCGTGCGTGGCGATCCCCGAGCGGAGCCGCGCGCGATGGGACCGCTCCAGGTACCGCATCCCGATCCCCCCCCGATCCCTTCCCCCCGGGAATAAAAACACACACACACCCCCCAAAAAAACCAAACCTCCCCAGGAAGTGTCGCGATGGCCTTTTTACCACTTTTCCAGCCGCTTCTCCGCGCTGATTTCGGGGCCCCCCTTTGGAAACCCCCCCCCCAAAAAGCTTTAGGGTTTTCCACCCCCCTGCCCCAAATCCCCACCTGAAACCCGCGTGGGGTTCCACGGGGTGGTTTCTCCCCCCTTTAAAAAACTTGGGCTGCGAGTTGCTGGGAAGTTTAATCAGGAGAAATAATAATAATAATTATAATGTTGGATCCCTTCCCTTTCGATTTTCCCTGGGGGAGGAACCGGGCACGGGGTTTGGGGGGGGGGTTAAAGTGTTGCTTTCCAGCTCTTTTCCCAGAGCGGAGGGTTGGAATTCCCCTCGGGGAACTTGGTCCCTCTCCGTGTGAATGGGTCGGTCCTGGATTCCTGTGGATCCCAAAGGGATCAGGGTCAGCCCTGGAGTCATTCCTGGATTCCTGTGGATCCCAAAGGGATCAGGGTCAGCCCTGGAGTCAGTCCTGGATTCCTGTGGATCCCAAAGGGATCAGGGCCAGCCCTGGAGTCGTTCCTGGATTCCTGTGGATCCCAAAGGGATCAGGGTCAGCCCTGGAGTCGTTCCTGGATTCCTGTGGATCCCAAAGGGATCAGGGTCAGCCCCGGGAATTGGGGCCAAAAGTGGAGATAATAGTTCCTGATTTCTTGTTCCTGAAATCTTGCTGGGATTTCGGTCTGTGCTCCTGAAATTCCAGGTGATCTGTGCTCCTGAAATTCCGGGTGATCTGTGCTCCTGAAATTCCGGGTGATTTGTCATCACCCAGTTCAGGGTCCATGCTTGGATCAGCAGAAGAACTGCCCTTGGTGTCTCCAGGCAGGCCTGGGGTTTCCTGCTTTTTTTTTTCCTACCTTTTTTTTCCCTGTCTTTTTTTCCTGCCTTTTTTTTTCCCTGCCTTTTCCCACCTTATTTCCAGTCAGGCTTTTGGAGAAGGAACAGCACCTGGAAACAGGGAATTTGCCTAAATAAGCAGGGGCTGGGAATGTGGCACCTTGGGATCCACGGGAGGAGGGAACTTTTTTTGTTGTGTTTTTTTTTTAAATATCCTTTCATTTCTATGCAAATCCCTGGATTTGCCTCCTTCCCATGTGGAGGAGGAGGAAGGAATGAGGGAAGTGCTGAGGAGCTGCCAGGCTTGGGCTTCCCCTTTTTTTCCAGCAGGGAGACTGGAGCAGCTTATTAACCATTAGTATAATTCATTAATAACTATTAAAACTATTAATAGTTGCTGTGGACACTCCAGGAAGGGAATCAGGGGGTTGTTGCAGCTCCAGCGGATCCTGGGATGCTCCAGGGATCCTGGGATGCTCCAGGGATCCCGGAATGCTCCCAAGGAGCAAAGGGGGCTCTTCCCAAAATTCTAGCTCCTTCCTAAGCTCCCCCTGCTCCAGCTCTGCTGTTCCCTGCCCTTCCATCCCATCCCATCCCATCCCAATCCCAATCCCAGGCTTTTCCAAAGGCTGAGCAAAAACAAAACCCTAATGCAGACCAGATGTCCTGGGAGGCTCCTGGTCCTTGGCCAGGGCTGGGAGTTCTCATTCCAGCCAGGCAGGAGAGACTTTTTTTCCCTGTTTTCCTGAGCTCCCAGCTCTTGTTCCCTTTGGATCTCCCTGTCCCTCGTCCCTTCCCCGAGTCTGACTCTCCATGGGGGAGTTTTTGTGGGATTTTCCCTGGATTTGGGGTTTAGGGCCGGGGTGGAGGATGAGCCACATGGATTCAACCCCAGCCTGGGAGAGCAGCAGCTCCTGGGGGTTTTATCCCTGTGGACACTGGAAATTTGGGAGAGCAGCAGCTCCTGGGGGTTTTATCCCTGTGGACACAAAATTTGGGAGAGCAGCAGCTCCTGGGGGTTTTATCCCTGTGGACACAAAATTTGGGAGAACAACAGCTCCTGGGTGGGTTTTATCCCTGTGGACACAAAATTTGGGAGAGCAGCAACTCCTGGGGGTTTTTTATCCCTGTGGACACTGGAAATTTGGGAAGGCGGAGCTGTGCTGAGCCTCTGGAAGTGATCAGTGGGGATGAGAGGGACAGGCAGGGATGGGAACTGTGGGAAAACGAGGTGCAGGAGGCAGGGAATGGTTTCAGGAATCACTCACTAACCCCAATAATCACCCAATACCAACAATTCCAGGCGGGATTTACCCCGAAAGAGCAGGAATGCAGGGATTTGTGCCGAGGGAGCCCCGTGGGTGGCACTGATCCCCAGCAGCTCCTTAATCCCAGTTTAAACCCCCTCAGCTCCTGAGCTCCTGCAGGGGCCCCCCCTGGGGAGGTGGGGGCAGGATCCAGGACTCGGGAATGGGGCTGGATCCCACCTGGAATGGCTGTAGGGCCGGGGAAGAGCCAGGTGGAGCCACCTGGTTGTTCCCTTTGCTTTTTCCCTCCCCCCCCCACCTTTTCCTTTCTCTTTTTGGCTTCCTGGGTGCTTTTTATCGTCATGGTAACGGGAGAGGCTCGTGCTGAGGGACCTTCCCAGCTCCCTCCAAGCTTGGAAAGGGCTCGGAAACCCCGGGATTGGAAGGGATGAGGGACCTTCCCAGCTCCCTCCAAGCTTGGAAAAGGCTCGGAAACCCCGGGATTGGAAGGGATGAGGGGTCAGGAGACCTTCCCAACCCAACTCGTGTTGGCCCAGGGGGTTCTTCCCGGTTCTCCTCCAGGAGCTCCCACCCAACCTGCCCATCCCTTGGGGCTCATCCTGGTTCCTCATCCCCATCCCTGTTTTTCGAGCTTGGAAAGGGCTCAGAAGCCCCGGGATTGGAAGGAATGAGGGGTCGGGAGACCCCAACCCAACTCATGTTGGCTTGGGGGCTCTTCCCGGTTTTCCTCCAGGAGCTCCCACCCAACCTGCCCATCCTGGTTCCTCATCCTCATCCCCATTTTTCGAGCTTGGAAAGGGCTCGGAAGCCCCGGGATTGGAAGGGATGAGGGGTCAGGAGACCTTCCCAACCCAACACATCCAACTCGTGTTGGCCTGGGCAGCTCTTCCCGGTTTTCCTCCAGGAGCTCCCACCCAACCTGCCCATCCTGGTTCCTCATCCCCATCCCCATTTTTCGAGCTTGGAAAGGGCTTGGAAGCCCCGGGATTGGAAGGAATGAGGGGTCAGGAGACCTTCCCAACCCAACTCGTGTTGACCTGGGGGGCTCTTCCCGGTTTTCCTCCAGGAGCTTCCACCCAACCTGCCCATCCTGGTTCCTCATCCTCATCCCCATTTTTCGAGCTTGGAAAGGGCTCGGAAACCCCAGGATTGGAAGGGATGAGGGGTCAGGAGACCTTCCCAACCCAACACATCCAAGTCCTGTTGCCCTGGGCGGCTCTTCCCAGTTCTCCTCCAGGAGCTCCCACCCAACCTGCCCATCCTGGTTCCTCATCCTCATCCCCATTTTTTGAGCTTGGAAAGGGCTCGGAAGCCCCGGGATTGGAAGGAACGAGGGGTCAGGAGACCTTCCCAACCCAACACATCCAACTCGTGTTGCCCTGGGCGACTCTTCCCGGTTTTCCTCCAGGAGCTCCCACCCAACCTGCCCATCCCAGTTCCTCACCCTCATCCCTGTTTTTATTCCCCTTTCCCAGCTCTGAGGCGTCCGGCCCCGGCAGCGCCACCATGGGCGACTCGGCCGCGGGTCCGTGCCGGGCGCCGGGCCCGGAGCCGGCGGCGTCCGCCCAGGGCAACGGGGGGGCCTCGTCCCTGAGCGTCATCAGCGAGGGCGTGGGCGAGCTGGCCCTCATCGACGCCGAGGTGGCCCAGAAGGCCTGCGAGGAGGTGCTGGAGAAGGTGAAGCTGCTGCACGGCGGCGGCAGCACCGCCGGGGCCGTGCCCAACGGCGAGGGCCGTCCGGACGAGCCGCCCCGCGAGGAGGAGGAGGAGGAGGAGGGCGCCGAGGCGGCGGCCGCGGCCAACACGGTGAAGACGGCGCGGCGGCGGCAGAAGAACAACTCGGCCAAGCAGTCGTGGCTCCTGCGGCTCTTCGAGTCGAAGCTCTTCGACATCTCCATGGCCATCTCCTACCTGTACAACTCCAAGGAGCCCGGCGTGCAGGCCTACATCGGCAACCGGCTCTTCTGCTTCCGCCACGAGGACGTGGACTTCTACCTCCCGCAGCTGCTCAACATGTACATCCACATGGACGAGGACGTGGGCGACGCCATCAAGCCCTACATCGTGCACCGCTGCCGCCAGAGCGTCGACTTCTCGCTGCAGTGCGCGCTGCTGCTCGGGGCCTACTCGTCCGACATGCACATCTCCACGCAGCGCCACTCGCGGGGCACCAAGCTGCGCCGCCTCATCCTCTCCGACGAGCTCAAGCCGGCCGCCCGCAGGAGGAGGGAGCTGCCCCCGCCCCCTCCCCAGCTCCTGGGGCAGGCCCAGGACACGGGGCTGTCGCCCTCCAAGAGGACTCACCAGAGGTCCAAGTCGGACGCCACGGCCTCCATCAGCCTGAGCAGCAACCTGAAGCGCACGGCCAGCAACCCCAAGGTGGAGAGCGACGACGAGGTGAGGCCTGGGCGGGGTTTAGGGGGAGGTCTGGGGGTTTAGGGAGGTCTGGGGGGTTTAGGGGGAGGCATGGGGGGTTTTAGGGCTCAACCTGAGGGCGGTTTTAGGGCTCAGTCTGGGAGGTGTTTTAGGGCTCAGTCTGGGAGGTGTTTTAGGGCTCAGTCTGGGAGGGGTTTTAGGGCTCAGTCGTGAGGCATTGGGGGGGTTTTAGGGCTCAGCCTGAGGGGTTTTAGGGCTCAGTCTGGGGGTGGTTTTAGGGCTCAGTCTGGGGCAATTTTAGGGCTCAGTCTGGGGGGGTTTTAGAGCTCAGTCTGGGGGCGGTTTTAGGGCTCAGTCTGGGGGCGGTTTTAGAGCTCAATCTGGGGGCGGTTTTAGGGCTCAGTCTGGAGGGTTTTAGGGCTCAGCCTGGCAGGGTTTAGGGCTCAGTCTGGGGTGTTTTAGGGCTCAGTCTGGGGGGTTTTAGGGCTCAACCTGGGGGCAGTTTTAGGGCTCAGTCTGGGAGGGTTTTAGGGCTCAGTCTGGGTGTAGTTTTAGGGCTCAGTCTGAGGGTGTTTAGGGCTCAACCTGGGGGCGGTTTTAGGGCTCAGTGTGAGGGGTTTTAGGGCTCAACCTGGCAGGGTTTAGGGCTCAGTCTGGAGGGGTTTCAGGGCTCAGTCTGGCGAGGGGTTTTAGGCTCAGCCTGGGAGGTGTTTTAGGGCTCAGTCTGAGGAGCTTTAGGGCTCAGTTCTGGGGGTTTAGGGCTCAGTCTGGGTGTGGTTTTAGAACTCAGCTTGGGGGTGGTTTTAAGGCTCAGTCTGAGGGGTTTCAGGGCTCAGTCTGGGGGGTGTTTTAGGGCTCAGTCTGGGGCGGTTTTAGGGCTCAGTCTGGGGTGGTTTTAGGGCTCAGTCTGGGGCAGTTTTAGGGCTCAGTCTGGGGGCAGTTTTAGAGCTCAGTCTGGGAGGGGTTTTAGGGATCAGTCTGTGAGGGTTTTAAGGCTCAGACTGGGGGAGTTTTAGAGCTCAACTTGGGGGTGGTTTTAGGGCTCAGTCTGGGAGGGGTTTTAGGGCTCAGTCTGAAGGAGTTTTAGGGCTCAGTCTGGGGGGAATTTTAGGCCTCAGTCTGAGGGGTTTCAGGGCTCAGCCTGGCAGGGTTTAGGGCTCAGTCTGGGGGCAATTTTAGGGCTCCATCTGGGATAGTTTTAGGGCTCAGTCTGGGGGGGGTTTTAGGGCTCAGCTTGAGGGGGTTTTAGGGCTCAGCTTGAGGGGCTGCAGAGCTCAACCTGGGGGCAATTTTAGGGCTCAGTCTGAAGGGTTTTAGGGTTCAGTCTGGAGGAGTTTTAGGGCTCAACCTGGGGGCAATTTTAGGCCTCAGTCTGGGCGGGGTTTTAGGGCTCAGTCTGGGGCAGTTTTAGGGCTCAACCTGGCAGGGTTTAGGGCTCAGTCTGGGGGAGATTTTAGGGCTCAGCTTGGGGGTGGTTTTAAGGCTCAGTCTGAGGGGGTTTTAGGGCTCAGTCTGGGGCGGTTTTAGGGCTCAGACTGGGGGGTTTTAGGGCTCAGTCTGGGGCAGTTTTAGGGCTCATCTTGAGGGGATTTTAGGGCTCCGTCTGGGGGTTTTAGGGCTCAGTCTGGGGGGGGTTTTAGGGCTCAGCTTGAGGGGGTTTTAGGGCTCAGTCTGGGGCGGTTTTAGGGCTCAGTCTATGGACGGTTTTAGGGCTCAGTCTGGGGGCAGTTTCAGGGCTCAGTCTGGAGGGTTTTAGGGCTCAGCTTGAGGGGGTTTTAGGGCTCAACTTGAGGGGCTGCAGAGCTCAGCCTGGGGGCAATTTTAGGGCTCAGTCTGAGAAGTTTTAGGGCTCAGTCTGGGAGGTTTTAGGGCTCAGTCTGGGGCAGTTTTAGGGCTCAGTCTGGGGCGGTTTTAGGGCTCAACCTGGGGGTAATTTTAGGGCTCAGTCTGAGGGGTTTTAGGGCTCAGTCTGGGGGCAAGGAACTCCAGGACTGAGCTCAGGATCCCCAGGATTTATCCTGGATTTATCCTGGGCCAAGGAAGGGCCTTGGGCAGGGAGGTGGGAGCAGGAGGAGGGAGAGAATTCCATGGGCTCCATCCCTGGATTTGGCTGCTCCCCCTTTCCCCCCCAGTGCCCAGCTCTGGCATTCCCAGCTTCATCCTGGCTTTTCCTGCTGGGAAGGGACAATTCCAGCTTCCAGCTGCTTCCAAACCGGAATTCCTCCCCTGGGATTCTCCTTGGGAGCTGCTGGGACGAAGTTCCTTCGGATCTGGGGCCGTTTTGTGGGATTTTATGGGATTTTATGGGATTTTCCCCCCTCCCCCCCCCAAAAAAACCCCCTCTGAGGAATTCATGGAGCAGAGGGTTGGTGGGAATGTGGGGCCAGAGGGAAAAGAGCTGGAATTGCTGATCTGTGTGTTCTGGGGCTTGTCCTGAAGGAATTCCAGCTCGGAATGGCGGGAAACAGGGGGAAGCTGAGATGGGAATTCCAAGGCTCTTTGGGATAAGGATGGAAGGAAAGTTTGGAGCAGTTTTATGAGTCCCAACCACCCCCTTCTTGCTGCTCCCAACCCCCCTGGAAAAAACCTGATGAATTTTTCATGTGGAAAAGGAGCCTGGAAACCGGAGCTTCCCGTAAATTATGGATGGAAACGCTCCAGAGGCTGGGAAAGCTGTGCCACAAAAACAGGGATTGCCACCAAAGCCTCCCTGGATTCCAAACTGTTTGAATATTCCCAAAAAATTCCCTGGGAAAAAAAAAATCAGCAGGAATTCCAGAATTCCCAGGAAACCCACAGGGCTTCTTTTCCCATCGGGTTTTCCCTCCCCTGATGAATTTGGGGATTGTTTTCTCCACTTCCCACCAGGAAGTGGGAATTATAGAAATCCCAAACCTTGGGATTTGGGAAGGATAAATCCCCCCCACACCCACCCTGAGTGCCTGGAGAGGAATCCCTGCAGGAACTGGGATCAAGCTCCCAAAATTCCTGGAGCAGGGAAGCAAAAAGCAGCTTTTTTTCCCCCAATTTTCCTGGATTTCTTGGATTGGGAATGGACTTTTTGTTTTTTTTTTAGGAATGGGAAAAGTTTGGCCCGAACTGGTTCTACTGGTCAGGGCACCAGAAGAAAAATGTTAATTAAGAGAGCTCTTAATTGGATAATGAGGGAAGAATCTGGGCTGGGAGAGCTGGGAATGGGAAGGGATTTGGGAAGAGGAGGAGGGAACAACAAAAGGAGGGATTAGGGGATGGATCAGAGCCCAGGGGAGGGAAATAAATGGATTTGGTGCTGGTTTGGGGATCTCTCCAAGGAATCCAAGGAATCCAGAGCCGAGTCTTTCCAAGGAAGATGAATCCAAAGGGATGAAAAAGCGGGAAGATCCAGGGGGGGCTTTGTGGGGAATTTCTTTGGTGCCACCCCCAAGCAGAGCAGCCTGGAATTTTTTTGCTCCTGGAATCTTCACCTCCTGGTTTTGCTGCTCCAAGATTTTGGGGGGTGGGGGTGGGATGGGAAAAAAAAAAGCAGCCAAAATTCCAAAGGGAAGGGACAAAAACCTCTGGATAACGGAGCGGGTTGGGAACCTGGAGCTAAACTGGTGCTTTTTCTCCCCTCCCCTTCCCTCCTTCCCATCTTTGAAACAACAACAACAACAACAACAAAAACAACCCCAAAAATAAAAAAAAAAACCACCCCCCCTTTTCCTGCCTTTTCCCAGGAATTCTCCTCGAGCACGGAAAGTCTTGATAAGGCTCCCGTAAGTGGCCGTTGCGTCCCCGGGGTCCCCACCTGGCAGCATTTCCTCTCTTCATCCCCCTCAAAATCCCACCAAAAAAAATCCCACATTGTTCCCAAAAAAATCCCACAGTGTTCCCAAAAAAATCCCACCAAAAAATTCCACATCGTTCCCAAAAAATCCCACCAAAAAAATCCCACATTGTTCCCAAAAAAATCCCACATTATTCCAAAAAAAATCCCACATTGTTCCCAAAAAAACCCCACATCATTCCCAAAAAAATCCTACATTGTTCCCAAAAAAATCCCACAGCGTTCCCCAAAAAATCCCACATCATTCCCAAAAAAATCCCACAGCGTTCCCAAAAAATTCCCACCAAAAAAATCCCACAGTGTTCCCAAAAAAATCCCACAGCATTCCCAAAAAAATCCCACCAAAAAAATCCCACAGCATTCCCCAAAAAATCCCACATTGTTCCCAAAAAATCCCACAGCGTTCCCAAAAATCCCACCAAAAAAATCACACATCTTTCCTAAAAAAACCCCACATCATTCCCAAAAAAATCCTACATCGTTCCCAAAAAAATCCCACATCGTTCCCAAAAAATCCCACATCATTCCCCAAAAAAATCCCACATAATTCCCAAAAAAATCTCACAGTGTTCCCAAAAAATCCCACCAAAAAAATCCCACAGTGTTCCCAAAAAAATCCCACATTATTCCCAAAAAAATCCCACCCAAAAATCCCACATTGTTCCCAAAAAATCCCACATTGTTCCCAAAAAAATCCCACAGTGTTCCCAAAAAAATCCCACCAAAAAAATCCCACATTGTTCCCAAAAAAATCCCACATCACTCCCAAAAAAATTCCACAGCATTCCCAAAAAAATCCCACCAAAAAAATCCCACCAAAAAAATCCTACATCGTTCCCAAAAAAATCCCACATAATTCCCAAAAAAATCCAACCAAAAAAATCCCAGTGTTCCCCAAAAAATCCCACATTATTCCAAAAAAAATCCCACATAGTTCCCAAAAAAATCCCTCATAATTACCAAAAAAATCTCACAGCGTTCCCAAAAAAATCCCACCAAAAAATCCCACATTGTTCCCAAAAAATCCCACATAATTCCCAAAAAAAATCCCACATCGTTCCCAAAAAAATCCCACAGTGTTCCCAAAAAAATCCCACCAAAAAAATCCTACATCGTTCCCAAAAAAATCCCACATAATTCCCAAAAAAATCCCACATTGTTCCCAAAAAAATCCCACCAAAAAAATCCCACATAATTCCCAAAAAAATCCCACATCGTTCCCCAAAAAATCCCACATTATTCCAAAAAAATCCCACATCGCTCCCAAAAAAAATCCCACCAAAAAAATCCCACATTGTTCCCAAAAAATCCCACATAATTCCCAAAAAATCCCACCAAAAAAATCCCACAGTGTTCCTAAAAAAATCCCACATTATTCCAAAAAAAATCCTACATCGTTCCCAAAAAAATCCCACAGCATTCCCAAAAAAATCCCACATTATTCCAAAAAAAAATCCCACCAAAAAAATCACACATCTTTCCTAAAAAAAACCCACATCATTCCCAAAAAAATCCTACATTGTTCCCAAAAAAATCCCACAGCGTTCCCCAAAAAATCCCACATTATTCCAAAAAAAATCCCACAGTGTTCCTAAAAAAATCCCACATTATTCCAAAAAAAATCCCACATAATTCCCAAAAAAATCCCACAACGTTCCCAAAAAATCCCACCAAAAAAATCCCACATAATTCCTATAAAAATCCTACATTGTTCCCAAAAAATCCCACCAAAAAAATCCCACAGCGTTCCCAAAAAAATCCCACATTATTCCAAAAAAAATCCCACAAAAAATCCCACATTATTCCCAAAAAATCCTCCTCATCCCCCCACCTGGGAAAACTGGGAATTTTGGGTCCAAAAAAGGGGGTTTTGCTCCCTGATCCCTCCTGAAATCCCGCTGGGAATTTGCCTCTCCCCTCCCCTTTTGCAGATGGAAGAGGAAATGCTGTTTCCTTGGAATTTCGACTCCCTGTTTTGCCACATGAGATTTATTTTTTTTTTAATAATTTACTTTAATTTCCCTCCACCCCCCCCAATCATTTCTTCATTTGATTAATTATTTATTTCCTTCCCCCTCTCTTTTTTTCCAATCAGAAAATCAGAATTCCGGTGGTTTTGTTTTTTTTTCCTGATTTCCTGTCCAAAATGAGCCTTTTCCGTGGGTTTTTTAAATTTATTTATTTATTTTCCCAATGATTTTAATCAACAACATCTCCCTCATCCCTGTCCCTTCTCCTCCTGGAATTCCCTCTGGGAATTGTGTAGTCCATGATCCAAACTGCTCCAGGACAAGGTGGGGTTGAGGAGGGGTGTTTTGATGGAGAATTCCAGCTTTTTTTAAGGAATTACCAAATGCAAATCCAGCTCTCTTCCCTCTGGGAGTTCAGAGGGAATTCCCATTCCAGGACTGGGAATGTTGATGGTCGTGTCCACGCTCAGGGAATGAGGTTTTTTATCCCAAATTCCACCCCCAGGGGATCCTCCTTGCAGGTTTTTTTTATCCATCCCAGGGTTTTATTTTCAGGGCCTCCATCCCATAAATTCCCAATTCCACCTGAGGAAAAAAGGGATGGGATGGAGAGGACATTTCCTTTGGAATAAGATGGGATGGAGAGGACCTTTCCCTTTGGAATAAGATGGGATGGAGAGGACATTCCCCTTTGGAATGGGATGGAATGGGATGGAAAGGACATTTCCCTTTGGAATGGAATGGGATGGAAAGGACATTTCCCTCTGGAATGGGATGGAGAGGGACATTTCCCTCTGGAATGGGATGGGATGGAGAGGACATTTCCCTTTGGAATGGAATGGGATGGAGAGGACATTTCCCTTTGGAATGGAATGGGATGGAGAGGACATTTCCCTTTGGAATAAGATGGAGAGAACATTTCCCTCTGGAATGGGATGGAAAGGACATTTCCCTCTGGAATGGGATGGAATGGGATGGAAAGGACATTTCCCTCTGGAATAAGATGGAATGGAGAGGACATTTCCTGGGATCTGGGATCAGGGCTTGGAATGTCCCCCTCAGGCAGAGCCTCATCCCAGAATTTGGAGGGAATTTTTGGCATGGACTACAGATCCAAGGGATTCTCCCACAGGGAAAAAAAACCCAACCCCCTCTGCTCCTTCCCTTCTTTTTTCCCCCCCTTTCCTTTCGCTCCAGGGGCCCATTCCCGGCTCTCCAGGGTTTTTCCTTTGCTCCCATTCCATGGCTTTCTGCATGTGTGCATCTCCCAGCATGGCTGGCCGAGCTGGGCACCCCCCCCCATGTGAATTATCCCAAAATCAGCCGGATTTTCCCATGGAAAAGCTGAAAAATTGCTTGGATGGAGCTGAAATCGAGGCTTGGGGTGTGGGGGGTTGATCCCATGGGAATGGCAGATCCCAGTTTGGGAAGGGGGAGCACAGGGAGGGTGTGGGATGGAGGGGAAATGCTTTGGTGCTGCTGTGCCTGTGGATGATTCCCGAATTCCCAGGGGCAGAGGGTGGGATGGGATGGGAGGAGTTCTCCAGAGTTTATCCCAGGCTGGAAAAACCACTGGAGTTGAGGTGACTTTGGTGACGCTTTTCCCCCTCCTCCTTCCTTCCCTGAACCCTTTTTCCCCCTGAACCTTCCTTCCTTCCTTCCCTATCCCCTTTTTCCCTTCCCTATCCCCTTTTTCCCTTCCCTGATCCCCTTTTCCCCTTCCCCATCCCCTTTTCCCCTTCCCTGACCCCTTTTTCCCCCTTAAACCTTCCATCCTTCCTCTCCTATCCCCTTTTTTCTTTCCCTATCCCCTTTTCCCTTCCCCATCCCCTTTTCCTCCTCCCTATCCCCTTTTTCCCCCTAAACCTTCCATCCTTCCTTTCCTATCCCCTTTTCCCCTTCCCTGACCCCTTTTCCCCCTTAAACCTTCCATCCTTCCTCTCCTATCCCCTTTTTCTTTCCCCCCTCCCCTTTTTCCTTCCCTACCCCCTTTTTCCCTTCACCCATCCCCTTTTCCCCTTCCCTGACCCCTTTTTTCCCTCTAAACCTTCCATCCTTCCTCCTCCATCCCCTTTTCCCCTTCCCTTAACCCTTTTTTCCCCCTAATCCTTCCATCCTTCCTCCCCCATCCCCTTTTCCCTTTCCCTATCCCCTTTTCCTCCTCCCTATCCCCTTTTTCCCCCTAAACCTTCCATCCTTCCTCTCCTATCCCCTTTTTTCTTTCCCTATCCCCTTCTCCCTTCCCCATCCCATCCTTTTCCTCCTCCCATCCCTTTTCCCCCTAAACCTTCCATCCTTCCTCCCCATCCCCTTTTTCTCTTCCCTTATCTCCTTTTCCCTTCCCCTATCCTCTTTTCTCTTCCCTACCCCTTTTTCCCCCCTAAACCTTCCATCCCTAAACCTTCCTTCCCTATCCCCTTTTCCTCTTCCCTGACCCCTTTTTCCCCCCTAAACCTTCCATCCTTCCTCCCCCATCCCTTTTCTTTCCTATCCCCTTCTCCCTATCCCCTTTCCCCTCCTGCCCCTTATTCCCCTAATCCTTCCATCCTTCCTCTCCTATCCCCTTTTTCCCTTCTCCATCCCCTTTTCCCCTTCCCTCCCCTTTTCCCCCTCCCCTCCCCCTTTTTCCCCCCTCCCTCCGCCGTTCCCGGCCGGTTTTCCAGCCAGTCCGCCTGGCCCCGGAGCGGGAGTTCATCAAGTCGCTGATCTCCATCGGGAAGCGCCTGGCCACGCTGCCCACCAAGGAGCAGAAGACGCAGCGTTTGATCTCGGAGCTGTCGCTGCTCAACCACAAACTGCCCGCCCGGGCCTGGCTGCCCACGGCCGGCTTCGAGCACCACGTGGTCAGGGTGCCCCACTCCCAGGCCGTGGTGCTCAACTCCAAGGACAAGGTGCGGGAATTTGGGGGATTTGGGGGAGGGGTCACTGCCAGGAGTGATGGGAGAGACCTGGAGGGGTCACTGCCAGGATTGGGAATGGTGGGAGAGACCTGGAGGTGTCACTGCCAGGATTGATGGGAGAGACCTGGAGGGGTCACTGCCGGGATTGGGAATGATGGGAGAGGTCTGGGAGTGATGGGAAAGACCTGGAGGGGTCACTGCCGGGATTGGGAATGATGGGAGAGACCCAGGGGTGTCACTGTCAGGATTGGGAATGGTGGGAGAGGTCTGGGGGTGTCACTGCCAGGGTTGGGAATGATGGGAGAGACCTGGAGGGGTCACTGCCAGGACTGGGAGTGATGGGAGAGTCCCAGAGGTGTCACTGCCAGGAATGATGGGAGAGACCCAGAGGTGTCACTGCCGGGATTGGGAGTGATGGGAGAGGTCTGGGAGTGATGGGAGAGACCCAGAGGTGTCTCTTGGAGGTGTCACTGCCAGGAATGATGGGAGAGACCTTGGGGGGTCACTACCAGAATGATGGGAGAGGTCTGGGGGTGTCACTGCCAGGGTTGGGAATGATGGGAGAGACCCAGAGGTGTCACTTGGAGGTGTCACTGCCAGGATTGGGAGCGATGGGAGAGGTCTGGTGGTGACTGGGACAGATGGGAGAGACCCGGAGGTGTCCCTGCCAGGGTTGGGAATGATTGGAGAGGTCTGGGGGGGGGTTCACTGCCAGGAATGATGGGAGAGACCTGGAGGGGTCACTGCCGGGATTGGGAATGATGGGAGAGACCCAGAGGTGTCCCTACCAGGATTGGGAGTGATGGGAGAGACCCGGAGGTGTCCCTGCCAGGAGTGATGGGAAAGACCTGGAGGTGTCACTACCAGGACTGGGAATGATGGGAGAGACCCAGGGGTGTCCCTGCCAGGACTGGGAGTGATGGGAGAGGTCTGGGAGTCATGGGAGAGACCCAGAGGTGTCACTGCCAGGAATAATAACAGAGGTTTGGAGGGGTCACTGCCAGGGTTGGGAATGATGGGAGAGGTCTGGTGGTGACTGGGAATGATGGGAGAGACCCAGGGATGTCCCTGCCAGGACTGGGAATGATGGGAGAGGTCTGGGGATGACTGGGAATGATGGGAGAGACCCAGGGGTGTCCCTGCCAGGCCTGGGAGCACCGGGAGCCGTGTGAGGCATCCGGGATGGAGACACCACCCCCCCCCACCACAACGAGATCCTCCAAAAATTCCCCCTCTGGAAGCTCCAGCCACCCCCTGGCAGTGCCCCCCCAAACCCCTGCTGACCCCCCTCCCCTCGTGCCCTGTTCCTCCCTCAGGCTCCCTATTTAATCTACGTGGAAGTGCTTGAATGTGACAATTTCGACACAGCGAATGTTCCCGCCCGGATCCCGGAGAACCGGATCCGGAGCACCCGCTCGGCCGAGAACCTGCCCGAGGTGGGCGTGGGCCACGAGCAGAGGGCAGGCAGCTTCAGCACCGTCCCCAACTACGACAACGACGACGAGGCCTGGTCCGTGGACGACATCGTGGAGCTCCAGGTGGAGGTGGGGAGCGGGAAAAAGGGGGGTTGGGAGCGGGAAAAAGGGGGTTGGGAGCACCGGGAGGGGCCTGGGGGTGTCACCTGAAGGGTTGGGAACAGTGGGAGAGGCCTGGAGGTGACAAAACCAGGGTTGGGAGTGGTGGGGAAAGGACTGGAGGAGTCACTTCCAGCACTGGGAGCGCTGGGAGAGGCCTGGAGATGACAATTCCAGCACTGGGAGCACTGGGAGAGATGTGGAGGTGACAAATCCAGGGTTGGGAGTGGTGGGGAAAGGCCTGGAGGAGTCACTTCCAGCACTGGGAGGCACTGGGAGAGGCCTGGAGGTGACAATTCCAGGGTTGGGAGCACTGGGAGAGATGTGGAGGTGACAAATCCAGGGTTGGGAGCACTGAGAGAGGCTTGGAGGTGACAATTCCAGGGTTGGGAGCACTGGGAGAGGCTTGGAGGTGACAATTCCAGGGTTGGGAGCACTGGGAGAGGCTTGGAGGTGACAATTCCAGGGTTGGGAGCACTGGGAGAGGCCTGGAGGTGACAAATCTAGGGTTGGGAGCACTGAGAGAGGCTTGGAGGTGACAATTCCAGGGTTGGGAGCACTGGGAGAGGCCTGGAGGTGACAGTTCCAGGACTGGGAGCACTGGGAGAGGCCTGGAGGTGACAGTTCCAGGGTTGGGAGCACTGGGAGAGGCCTGGAGGTGACAATCCCTGCCCTTCCCAGACCCCACCAGAGCTCCCCAGCACCTCCCCCTGCCCCACCCCCGGGATAAGACCCCCCCTCACCCCCTTCCCGCCGTGTTTTCCCAGCTCCCCGAGGTGCACACCAACAGCTGTGACAACATCTCCCAGTTTTCCGTGGACAGCATCACGAGCCAGGAGAGCCGCGAGCCCGTGTTCATCGCCGCGGGGGACATCCGGTCAGGCCCCCTGGAGCGGGGTTTGGGAGCGGGATTTGGGGCTGGGGGAGGGCTCCCTGAGGTGTCCCCCCCCTCATTCCTGCTGGGAATGGAGCACTCCAGTGGTTGGGAGCAGCTGGAATTGGCTCCATGGATATTGGGGAACATTCTGGACCAAACCACCCCTCTCCTCTCCTCCCAATGCCAAAACCAGCACAGGGTGGGTTTTTTTGGGGGGTATTTGGGGTGCTGGGTGATGCTCCCCGTGCCCAAATCCAAGGAATTGGGGCGTGCCTTGTGTTGCAGGAGGCGGCTGTCGGAGCAGCTGGCACACACCCCCACCTCCTTCCGCAGGGATCCCGAGGATCCGTCCGCCGTCGCCCTCAAGGAGCCCTGGCAGGAGAAAGTCAGGTGTGTGGGGCCGGCCAGGGGACTTTGGATATTCCTTTTTCCCCCCCCCCCAGATCCCAGGGAATCGCTCCCTGAGTCACCCAGTGATTATCCACGGATTCCCTGGGAGCGGGATCGGAGCAGGGAGCGCCAGGACAAACCCAGGAGGGGGCAGTTCCTGCTCCTGGGCCGGGCTTTGCCGGGGATTTCCAGTCGGCTCCGGGTCACCAGGGCTTGGCCTCTCCCCAGAAATCATCCCCAGCCTTCCCTTTTCCCCGCAGGAGGATCCGGGAAGGGTCTCCCTACGGACACCTCCCCTCCTGGAGGCTCCTCTCGGTCATCGTCAAGTGCGGCGACGACCTCCGCCAGGAGCTCCTGGCCTTCCAGGTGCTCAAGCAGCTCCAGGTGAGCCGGGATGAGGGGGGGAGCCTCGGGGGAGGGAATTCCCCTGGGTGCAGCTGAGGAATTCCCAGCTCCCTGCCCGCGTTGTCCCCGCAGTCCATCTGGGAGCAGGAGCGCGTGCCCCTCTGGATCAAGCCCTACAAGATCCTGGTGATCTCGGCCGACAGCGGGATGATCGAGCCCGTGGTCAACGCCGTGTCCATCCACCAGATCAAGAAGCAGTCGCTGCTGTCGCTGCTGGATTATTTCCTGCAGGAGCACGGCAGCTACAACACCGAGTCCTTCCTGAGCGCCCAGAGGAACTTCGTGCAGAGCTGCGCCGGTTACTGCCTCGTGTGTTACCTCCTGCAGGTCAAGGACCGGTGGGTGTGCCCTGCCCTGCCCCTCCCCGGGGGGCTGGGCTCAAATTTAACCCCTCCTTTGCTACCTCCAGAGGGGGGGAAAAAAAAAATCCTCCCATTCCCCCCCCCTCCTCTCCCTCCCTGAATTCGGTGCGAAAATCTGGGGGGAAGGGGGGTTTGGCCAAAACAAGGAACCCACAAAAGCTGCTGGGAACAAAAGGGGCTCCCCTGCCCTCTCCTTCCCAGGCACAACTCGTTTTGTCACCCCCATGAGGGTTAGGAAAGAGAGATGAGGGGGGAGAAGGAAGGAGGAAAGAGAGGAGGGGGGGAAGTTGGTGTTGGCAGTTCCAGGATGGGCTGGAAAGGTGACCTCTTGTGCCCCTCTTTTATAGGGTTTGGCCCCTCCCCACACACACCCAGACCCACCCAGACAACCCCCCAGACCCCAATCCCACTCCCACACCAGGGAATCCAGGAGTGGTGGAATGTTTCCTGAGGTTTAACAGGGAATTCCCTCTCCCCCCCCATCCCAGGCACAACGGGAACATCCTGCTGGATGCAGAGGGACACATCATCCACATCGACTTCGGCTTCATCCTCTCCAGCTCCCCCCGCAATTTGGGCTTCGAGACCTCGGCCTTCAAACTCACCTCGGAGTTCGTGGATGTGAGTGGGGGGTGGAGCCCCGTGGGGGGAGGGGTTTGGGAAGGGAATTCCCACCCCATTCCCGCTGTTCCTGCAGGTCATGGGGGCCTGGACGGGGACATGTTCAACTACTACAAGATGCTGATGCTGCAGGGCCTGATCGCGGCCCGAAACACATGGACAGGGTGGTGCAGATCGTGGAGATCATGCAGCAAGGTGGGGACATGGGGGGGACATGGTGGGGACATGGAGGGGACACAAACACATGGACAGGGTGGTGCAGATCGTGGAGATCATGCAGCAAGGTGGGGACATGGAGGGGACATGGAGGGGACATCAGGGACAGGGGGGACACAGGGGGGACACAAACACATGGACAGGTGGTGAGCATGCAGCAGACTGTGCAGCAAGGAGGGATGACACTGGGGGACAGGGTGAGCCACAGAGGGGACACAAACACATGGACAGGGGTGGCAGATCGTGGAGACTGCATGCAGCAAGGGGATATGAGGCAGGGGGAATAGACAGGGGGGACATCAGGCAGGAGAACATATGGACAGGGTGGTGATCGAGATCAAGCAGCAGGTGTGTGACATGAGGACAGGGGGGACATGGAGGGGACACAAACACACGGACAGGGTGGTGCAGATCGTGGAGATCATGCAGCAAGGTAGGGACATGGAGGGGACATCAGGGACAGGGGGGACACAGGGGGGACACAAACACATGGACAGGGTGGTGCAGATCGTGGAGATCATGCAGCAAGGTGGGGACATGGGGGGGACAGGGAGGGACACAGAGGGGACACAAACACATGGACAGGGTGGTGCAGATCGTGGAGATCATGCAGCAAGGTGGGGACATGGAGGGGACTATGGAGGGACACAAACACATGGACAGGGTGGTGCAGATCGTGGAGATCATGCAGCAAGGTGGGGACATGGAGGGGACATGGAGGGGACACAAACACATGGACAGGGTGGTGCAGATCGTGGAGATCATGCAGCAAGGTGGGGACATGGGGGGGACATCAGGGACAGGAGGGGACACAGGGGGGACACAAACACATGGACAGGGTGGTGCAGATCGTGGAGATCATGCAGCAAGGTGGGGACATGGGGAGGGGACACAGGAGGGGGACACAGGACCATTCATCCCCAAATTCCCTGCATTCCCAGGCCCTCAATTCCCTCCATTCACCCCCAAATTCCCTGCATCCCCAGGCCCTGAATTCCCCCCTCATTCATCCCCAAATCCCCTCCATTCATCCCCAAATTCCCTGCATTCCCAGGCCCTCAATTCCCTCCATTAACCCCCTAATTCCCTGCATTCCCAATCCCTCAGTCCCCTCCATTCTTCCCCAAATTCCTGTATCCAGGCTCGCAGCTCCCTCATTCACCCCTAAATTCCCTGTATCCCCAGGCCCTCAATCCCCTCCATTCATCCCCAAATTCCCTGCATTCCCAATCCCTCAATTCACCCCCAAATTCCCTGCATTCCCAATCCCTCAATCCCCTCCATTCATCCCCGAATTCCCTGTATTCCCAGGCCCTCAATTCCCTCCATTCACCCCCAAAATTCCCTGTCTCCAGGCTCGCAGCTCCCCCTCCCTCATCCATAAATTCCCTGCATTCCCAGGCCCTCAATTCCCTCCATTTACCCCTAAATTCCCTGCATTCCCAGATCCCTGCAGTTCCTCCATTCACCCCTGAATTCCCTGCACTCCCAGGCCCTCAGCTCCCCCCATTCATCCCTAAATTCCCTGCATTCCCAGGCCCGCAGCTCCCCTCATCATCCATAAATTCCTGTATCCAGGCTCACAGCTCCCCCCCACTCATCCATAAATTCCCTGCATTCCCAGGCCCTCAATCCCCTCCATTCTTCCCCAAATCCCCTCCATTCATCCCCAAATTCCCTGCATTCCCAATCCCTCAATTCACCCCCAGAATTCCCTGCATCCCAGGCTCGCAGCTCCCCTCATTCACCCCCAGAATTCCCTGTATCCAGGCTCGCAGCTCCCCCCCTCTCATCCATAAATTCCCTGTATCCAGGCTCGCAGCTCCCCTCCTCATCCATAAATTCCCTGCATTCCCAGGCTCGCAGCTGCCCCCTTCATCCATAAATTCCCTGTATCCAGGCTCACAGCTCCCCCCCTCTCATCCATAAATTCCCTGTATCCAGGCTCGCAGCTGCCCCCCTCTCATCCATAAATTCCCTGTTTCCAGGCTCGCAGCTCCCCTCCATTCATCCCCAGAATTCCCTGTATCCCAGGCTCGCAGCTCCCCCTCTCATCCATAAATTCCCTGTATCCAGGCTCGCAGCTCCCCTCTCATCCATAAATTCCCTGTATTCCAGGCTCGCAGCTGCCCCCTCTCATCCATAAATTCCCTGTATCCAGGCTCGCAGCTCTCCCCTCCTCATCCATAAATTCCCTGTCATCCAGGCTCGCAGCTCCCTCTCTCATCCATAAATTCCCTGCATCCTAATCCCTCCATTCACCCCCAGAATTCCCTGTCTCCAGGCTCGCAGCTCCCCCCCTCTCATCCATAAATTCCCTGTATCCAGGCTCACAGCTCCCCCCCCTCATCCATAAATTCCCTGTATCCAGGCTCGCAGCTCCCCTCTCATCCATAAATTCCCTGTATCCAGGCTCGCAGCTCCCCCCCTCATCCATAAATTCCCTGTATCCAGGCTCGCAGCTGCCCCTCCCTCATCCATAAATTCCCTGCATTCCCAGGCTCGAAGCTCCCCCTCTCATCCATAAATTCCCTGCATTCCCAGGCTCGCAGCTCCCCCCTCACTCATCCATAAATTCCCTGTATCCAGGCTCGCAGCTCCCCTCCATTCACCCCCAGAATTCCCTGTATCCAGGCTCGCAGCTCTCCCCCCCTCATCCATAAATTCCCTGTCTCCAGGCTCGCAGCTCCCCCCCTCTCATCCATAAATTCCCTGTATCCAGGCTCACAGCTGCCCCCCTCTCATCCATAAATTCCCTGCATTCCCAGGCTCGCAGCTGCCCCTCCCCTCATCCATAAATTCCCTGTATCCAGGCTCGCAGCTGCCCCCCCCTCATCCATAAATTCCCTGTATCCAGGCTCGCAGCTGCCCCCCCTCATCCATAAATTCCCTGTATCCAGGCTCGCAGCTCTCCCCTCCCTCATCCATAAATTCCCTGTATCCAGGCTCGCAGCTGCCCCCTCTCATCCATAAATTCCCTGTATCCAGGCTCACAGCTCCCCCTCTCATCCATAAATTCCCTGCATTCCTAATCCCTCCATTCACCCCCAGAATTCCCTGTCTCCAGGCTCGCAGCTGCCCCCCTCTCATCCATAAATTCCCTGTTTCCAGGCTCGCAGCTGCCCCTCCCCTCATCCATAAATTCCCTGTATCCAGGCTCGCAGCTCCCCCTCTCATCCATAAATTCCCTGTATCCAGGCTCGCAGCTGCCCCCCCTCATCCATAAATTCCCTGTATCCAGGCTCGCAGCTGCCCCCCTCATCCATAAATTCCCTGTCTCCAGGCTCGCAGCTGCCCCCTCATCCATAAATTCCCTGTATCCAGGCTCGCAGCTGCCCCCCCTCATCCATAAATTCCCTGTATCCAGGCTCGCAGCTCCCCCCCATCCATAAATTCCCTGCATTCCCAGGCTCTCAGCTGCCCCCCCATCCATAAATTCCCTGCATTCCCAGGCTCTCAGCTGCCCCCTCATCCATAAATTCCCTGCATTCCCAGGCTCTCAGCTGCCCCCTCATCCATAAATTCCCTGTATCCAGGCTCGCAGCTGCCCCCTCATCCATAAATTCCCTGTATCCAGGCTCGCAGCTCCCCCTCTCATCCATAAATTCCCTGCATTCCTAATCCCTCCATTCACCCCCAGAATTCCCTGTATCCAGGCTCGCAGCTCTCCCCTCCCTCATCCATAAATTCCCTGCATTCCTAATCCCTCCATTCACCCCCAGAATTCCCTGTCTCCAGGCTCGCAGCTGCCGTGTTTCCACGGCTCCTCCACCATCCGGAACCTGAAGGAGCGCTTCCACATGAACATGACGGAGGAGCAGCTGCAGCTGCTGATCGAGCAGATGGTGGACGGCAGCATGAGATCCATCACCACCAAGCTCTACGACGGCTTCCAGTACCTCACCAACGGCATCATGTGACGGCATTCCCGGAAAAAAAACCCATCGAACATCCCAAAAAAAAAAAAAAAGAAATACAACAAACCCCGCCCCTCCCCGCGGGCTCCGCCCCCACCCCCGGGAAGGAGATCCCGCAGGAGGAGCTTCCAGGAGCAGCAGCGTCTTCCCTTCCCTCCTCTCTCTTCTCTTTCTCTCTCTCTCTTTTATCCCGAGAGACTTTTCCAAGCAGGAACCGACCGAGGACACGCGGGATAAAAAAAAAAACAAACAACAAACAAACAAAAAAAAACCAAGGTGGAGACAAAAAAACAAAAAAAGAAAAAAAAAAGGAAAAAAAATCAACCAGGAGAAGCAGGAAAAAAAAAAACAAAACACAAGAACTCCCCACACCAAACCCCCACGGGTGGGAAATGGAAGCCTGATGGATCATGTGGAAAATGGGGAAAGGGGGAGGGGGTTTGGGGGAGGTGGGGGAGGCTCAGCCCTTCCCCCTCCCCACCAGGGTGAACCCCGGGGGTGTCCTGGAGCCCCCCACAATCCATGGAATGTTTGGGATGGGAAAAGGGGGGGGATCAGGTACAGCCAGGGGGGGTCCTGGAGGGTCCTGGAGATTCCAAGGGGGTGTCCTGGAGCCGCTGCCTCCTCCTCCTGGATTCCCTGTTCCAGGAATTTGGGACTGGGATGCTCCTTCCCCCCCCATTCCCGGGGATGTTGGGGGGGGATCCCGGGGGTGTCTCCTCCTGGGGAGCCCCAGAATTTGGGGGGGGTGTGACCCAGGGAAGGACCCGGAGCCTTCCAGACCCTCCTGGGAAGGGAAAACAGCCCCAAAATTCCCTCTGGGAGGGGGGGGGTGAGGATTTCCCATCCCCCCTTTGTGTGTCTGACCCCTCTCTTGGCTTTAAGAGCAGTGACCCCCTGCACCCCAGTGTCCCCCAATGTCCCCCAGTGTCCCCCAGTGTCCCCCCATGCTCAGCCCGTCCTGCTGGTCAGATGGGGACGCTCTGACAGCGTCCAGTGTGTCCCCCACCCCCTCAGTGTCCCCCCACCCCCTCAGTGTCCCCTCAGTGTCCCCGGTGTCTTTGTTTAGCACTAATTATTTGTCACGTTGATGATTATTTAGCATTAAAAAAACCAAAAATTCTATTTTAAACCGCTGGCAGGACCCACCTGAGGAGGAAAAGGGGGGGGGTTTCAATCAAATTGGGGTGGGGGGGCTCACAAAGAGGAAGGAGGGGACACTCAGCCCCTTTTTCCCCATTTTTTTGGGGCAGGACCAAAAAAAGCTTTTTGGGATGGGGGACCAAAATCCATGGGATGAGATGGAAGGGGATGAGGGGGGGGACACACAGGACAAACCCCCCCCCCTCCCACCCTCCCCAGGCCACAGCAGGGCCCGGGGAAAGCAAAGACAGGGCACAAAGCAGGGGTTAAACCACTAGAAGTTTAATTAATTGCATTATTACTACAAGAATAAAGGATTCCTGAGAGCCTCTCGCAGTGCCCGGAGCTTTCATGGAGCACAAAATTCCCACCCCAGCCCCCAAAATCCCCCAATTCCCACCCCTCCCCCAACAGAAATCCAGCTAAAGGCACTGAAGTGCTTGAAAACCAAGGTTACAAAGCCTTTTTTTTTTTTTTTTAATGTTTCCTTCCTCTAAAACTCGTAGAAACTTTAGCTTTTTGTTTATTTTTTTCTCTCTATTATTAAACAGCATTTACAGGGTCAAGGCCCCCCCCCACCCCCCCCGGGGGGGGTCACTGGTTGAGCTTTGATTCCTCTCCTTTGATTGGAAATCCCCCCTCCCCTTCTCTCCCCATCTGGAATCCACCTGCAGTGAAGGGGGAAATAAATTCACCCCCTGCCCAGAAAAACAACAACAAAAAAGGGAGAAAACCAAAGAGGGGGGAAAAATAAAAATATAAAATAAAAATACCAAGAAATCAACCCCCAAACCAGCTTTCCAAAAAAAAAAACCAAACAAACAAACCCAAAATAAGGGGAAAAAAAACAAAACACAAACCCCTCCAAAATCACAACAGCAGTTGGTTGGTTTTGTCACCTTTAGTGTATGATACAAGTTTACAGGGCGGGTTAGAGGTTATTTATTCACAGCGGGAATTCCCGGGATAACGGGACAAGGGACGAGTCCAAAGAGTCTTTTCTGGCTGGTTTTTTTTTTGGTTATTTTTCTTTTTTGGGAGGGGGGGATGAACCTGCTGATGGGGAGGGTCCCCCCTGGTCCCAAAACATCCCGAGGAAGAGGAGCAGCCAGGAAATGAGGGAAGGAGCCCCTCTGGTTTCAGTCCAGAGCGGGATTTGGGAGCAGAATTCCCTCCTTTCCTTCCCCTGGAGAGCAGCACAATCCCGGTTGGAATGTGGGGAGAACCCCCCCCTTTCTCCCAGAGGCGGTTTTTTTTGGGGGGGGGTTGTTATTCCTTTGCCAAAGGGAAGTTTCCTCCTCCCCAGGGAATGCCGAGCGTCCCGGAGCGATGGCTGATCCCAAGTGACGGACGAGGGACCTCTCGGAGGGGCTGATGGAGCCCAGCCCCGTCCCAGGAGTCTGGAATCGCCTCCTTCCCGCAGCTCCCAACACAACAAATAAAAAAAAAAACAACAAAAACACATCCAAAAGGGAAAGAAAACCGCAAAAAAAAAAAAAACCCCAAAAACCAACCCAAAAAAGGTGGATTTTGATGTGATGATGTGGAAAAGCCTCCCCTGGTGGTCCCGGGTCCTGCCCAGTGCAGGGAATGGGCAGGGCGGGAAGGAAGGTCCCTCCCGGAGCAGGGACAGGGAGCAGCCCCTCGGCGAATCCGGACGTGGCTCCTCCTCTCCCAAATCCCCCAAAACTTTGGGGTGGAGCAGATTCAGGCACAGAGTCAGGACAGCTCGGCCCATCCCGGTTCTCCTCTTCCCAGCTCCTTCATCCCAGCGGGATGGAGGGAGGGGCAGCCCAAGCCCCCTGCTGTTATTTACACCGTTCCCACCTGGATCCCGTGGGAATTCCTGGGGCTGTTCCACGCCCGTGGGTCCCGGAAGGTGGTGGTGGTGGTGGTGGGAGGGGAATTCCAGAGGGAATTCCAGAGGCCGGGAAGGCTCCCTCAGTTCTCGGGGCTGTTGTTCTGCCTGGCCCTGATGAAGGCCATGCCGTGGGTCCTGAAGTGGGTCTTGAGGTTGAGTTGGCTGTCGAAGCCCCTCCCGCACACCTTGCACACCAATTTCCCGTCGGCCGCGCCCTGGGACCCCCCTTCCCGGGGGCTGCGGGGCCCGGGGTCCTCCAGGTCCCCCGCGCCCTTCTTCTTCTTGTGGGTGATGAAGCGGTGGCGGTTGAGGGACACCTGGGAGGTGAAGCAGAGCCCGCACTCGCGGCACTGGTGGGAGCTCTCGTCAGTCCGGTGCTGCGGGATGTGCTCCTGGAAGTCGGACGGGCTGCTGGCCAAGTAGCCGCATTTCCGGCACCTCAGGGGGGCTTTGCGGTCGCCCTTGGGGGTCTTGGAGGGGGTGGTGCTGTCGGGCTCCTCGCTGCACGAATCGTCCGAGGAGAGCTTCCTCTTCCGGCCCGACACCTGCGGGAGGGTCCGAGAGGCTCTGGGGAGAACCGGGATCGGGAGGAGCCGACACCGGGATCCCCTTGGATCGAGGGCTGGGGGGGCACCAAGAGCTGGGGAATCCCACCTAGGGATCCACCCGGGAATCCCTTCCAAAGGGTTCCAGTTCCCACCCCCTTGGTGTCCTCCCGCCCTGGGGCATCTCCCACGAAGCGGGATGGGACATTCCCGCTCTCCTGCAGGACATGGAGTCAGGAGCGAAGCAGGACACGGCCCCAAACCCTCCCGGGGCCCCCCTGAGCCCCCCCTACCTGGGAGGGGCCGCTCCCAATCCGGGCGATCACGACCTCCTGGCTCTTCATCTGGTCCGTGACCTTGATCCCGTGCCGGACCTGGATGTGCTTCTCCAGGATGAGGCGGCTGCTGAAGGTCCGTTTGCCCTCCGTGCAGTACCTGGGGTTGGGCAGGACCTCGGGAAGCTCCAGCACATCCCCCCCTCCCCCCACAAAGCCCAGCTGGATTCCCTGGGAATGCTGCTCTGCCATCCTGACCCCCAAATCCAGCCCCAAACCTGCTCAGGACCGAAACCCCGGAGTCCTTTCCCACGCGCTCCGTGCCCGTCCTGCAGCTTCCTCTCCCCCACTCTTTTCCCCCTCCCCAGATCCAACCTCCCCCCAGCTTCCCCATCCCAGTTTTCCAGCCCCAGGAAGGAGCTGTGGGGGTACCTGCAGGGATAGACCCGTTTGATGCCCTCGTGGTTGACCCGGACGTGCCTGCGCAGGCTCGGGGCGGAGCAGAAGGAGCGTTCGCAGAGGTGACACGGGAACTTCTTCACCGACTGCGGGGACACCACGGGGTCCCTCAGGTGGGGACCAGGGCAGGGGGCCGGGATCCCACTCCAGGGGATGGGGGAGGACTCAGATTCCCCAATCCCTGCCCATCCGGGATAAGGGAGCACCTCGTGATGACCCCGCCCCTCAAACCTCGACCCTGGGGGGGAAGGATCCCCATCCCTGCTCTGTGCCGGGACATTCCCTGATCCTAAAACAGCCCTGCGGGAGCTTCTCCTGGAAGAGGAGGTTCCTGGGTGAAATCCCACCCAAGGGAATCCCAGGACAGGTGGAATCCCATCCAAGGCAATCCCAGGACAGGTGGAATCCCAGGACAGGTGGAATCCCAGGACAGGTGGAATCCCCATCCAAGGGAATCCCAGGACAGGTGGAATGCCATCCAAGGCAATCCCAGGACAGGTGGAATCCCAGGACAGGTGGAATCCCCATCCAAGGGGATCCCAGGACAGGTGGAATCCCATCCAAGGCAATCCCAGGACAGGTGGAATCCCATCCAAGGCAATCCCAGGACAGGTGGAATCCCATCCAAGGGGATCCCAGGACAGGTGGAAATCCCCATCCAAGGGAATCCCAGGATAGGTGGAATCCCCATCCAAGGGGATCCCACCCAAGTGGTCTCCTCCCCAAGGGGCTGTGGACACCCCCCAACATTCCCTGCCCGCATTCCCAGGCATTCCCAGCTCACCTTCCCGTGGTCCTTCTTCATGTGGGACACGTACTCGTCCCGCTCCGGGAACCAGGAGTGGCAGACCCCGCAGGTCCAGCCGCTGCCCTTGGATTTGGTGCCGCTTTTCCTCTGGAAGCGGCTCCTCTTGGCCTTGCGCAGCTCGGGGGAGCTGGGGGGCTCGTCCTCCTCCGTGGAGGACGAGGATTCCTCGGACAGCTTGGACACGGGGGTCTCCAGGGGCTCCTGCTTCGGGGTCAGCAGCACCTTCCTGGCCACATCCTCCTTGGCCTTCTGGGGCTGGTGGGTGTTCTGGGGAGGGGAAGGGGGGGGTTGGGGGGGTTGCTCCAGCAAGGGGGGTTTTCCTGAGGGAGCTGAGAAGGGAATGCTGCCCATCCACAGTGGGAATTTAAAGGATCAGCTCCTCCCAATCCACAGGGCAGGGGGTGCTTCCCACGGCCCAGCTGGCACCACCCGTGCCGGGCGGGAACCCCTCCCTAAAACCCATCCGAGCGCTCCCAGCCCTGGGGGTGGTGACACATCCCGGTTTTCCCGGGTTTTTTTTTTTCTTCATTCCCAGGGGGGTCCTGACCTTGAGGTGCTCGAGCATGGTGCGTTTCTGGGCGAAGAGCAGGGGGCACTCGGGGCACTTGAAGACGCTGACGCGCTGGGGCAGCAGGTGCTGGTCGAAGTGGGCCGAGAGCAGCGGTTTGTGCGTGAACACCGTGTCGCACATGGCACACTTGTAGATCATCCTGGGGGGGAACACAGAACACCCCAGTGGGACAGGAATCCTGGGAAAAACAACCTGGGAATCCCCCTCAGAGGAAGGTGGGAGTTGGGCTCTTCCCGAGGTCCCCGCCCAGGGAGGAGGATCCCGGTCCTTGGGAGTCACGGGGGGGTTGTTCGGGTGGGACTGCCCAGTCCTTGAAGTCATGGGATTGTTCAGGTTGGATTCCCAGTCCTTGCAATCCTGGGATTGTTCAGGTTGGACTGCCCAGTCCTTGAAATCCTGGGATTGTTCAGGTTGGACTGCCCAGCTCCCCACAAACATGGAATTGTTCAGGTTGGACTCCCAGTTCCAATTCCTGCAATCCTGGGATTGTTCAGGTTGGACTGCCCAGTCCTTAAAGTCCTGGGATTGTTCAGGTTGGATTCCCAGTCCTTACAATCCTGGGATTGTTCAGGTTGGACTCCCAATTCCAATTCCTAAAATCCTGGGATTGTTCAGGTTGGATTCCCAGTCCTTACAATCCTGGGATTGTTCAGGTTGGATTCCCAGTCCTTACAGTCCTGGGATTGTTCAGGTTGGACTCCCATTCCCCACAAACACAGAGTTGTTCAGGTTGGAAAACCCCTCCGAGCTCACCGAGCCCAACCCTTCCCTCCCCACTCCCTGATCCCCATCCCCAAGTGCCACACCCACACATCCCCAGGACCCTTCCCAGGGATTTCAGCCCCACCCCTTGCCCCGGACAAGCCCCCATTTCCCACAGAGGAAATTTCCTTCCCAATTCCAGCCTGTCCCAGAGGATCCCTGGGGATGAGCCCCCCCAGGAGCACTCACTTGGCCTGCTGGTTGCTGAAGCCGGGGTGCTGGGTGTACACGTGGGCGTGGGCGCTCGGAGCTGACTTGAAGGCCATGGGGCAGATGGGACACTTGTGGAAAACCTCGCAGTGGGACGTCTGGATGTGGGACTTGATGGAGTTCACCCCCCCAAACACCACGGCACAGCTGGGGCACCTGGGGGAGAAGGGTGTTGGGATATGGGGAGGATTCGGGATGGGAGGAGGACACGGAGCATGAGGAGACCCAAACGGGGGGTTTGGGATGAGCCCCGGCCATGGCAGGCACCGGGACACAAATAGGGTTGGGAGCTGGGAAAATCCCGGGACACAAACAGGGCTGGGATCTGGGAAAATCCCACAGACACAGGGATCCAAACTGGTCTTGGGATCTGGGAAAATCCCCCCAGATCCCAGGACACAAACTGGTCTTGGGATCTGGGAAAATCCCAGGACCCAAACTGGTTCTGGGATCTGGGAAAAATCCCACCAGGCCCCAGGACCCAAAGCACAGCCAGGCCCGAACTCCAGCCTGGATCCGATCCCGGCCTCCAGCAGGGCTTGGATGCTTCCAGCTGGGACTGAGGCAGCCCAGGAAATGCCAGGAGGAGGGAAATTCCCATGGGATTAATGGGATGAGAGCAGAGAAAGGGGCAGGAGGACCACACTCCCCCCTCGGGAGGGGAGGAGAAGGAGCCCAGAACGGGATTCGGGGCCTCCCCCCGGTTGGAATTCCCGGGATTCGGGGCCTCCCCCGGTGAAATCCCAGGATTCGGGGCCTCCCCCCGGTGAAATCCCGGGATTTGGGGGCCGTACCTGTATCCCACCCTGCGGGAGAAGTGCAGACAGGACTCCTTCAGGTGGGCCTCGAAGTTGGCCAGCAGGAAATTCCCGCCGCATTCCGGGCACACGTGAGGGGGGCGGCTCCGGTGCATGCGCTGGTGAGCGCTGAAGCTGCAGCGGTTGGACATGATCATGGGGCACGTGGAGCACACCTGCAACGGGGGAACCCCAGGGGGTCATTCCCACCCGGAATGGAGGGATCTTCCGAGGGCTGAGACCGCCGGGAGCTCAAAGGAGCCCCCGGTCAGCCAAGCGGGAACGCCTGGGGTGTCCCGGGATTGTGGAGGAGGATCCGGGATCCTAAAGCAGGGGGGGATCCCTGAGGGTGTCTCTCAGCCCTTTTCCAGGATTTCCAGCCCAGGAGGATCCAGGATCCTAAACCAGGGTATATTCCTGAGGGTGTCTCCCAGCCCTTTTCCAGGATTTCCAGCCTGGATGGATCCCAAATCCATGTGTGCTGAGGATCAGCCCTGGAGCAGCTGAGGGGAGGGATTTGGGATAGATTAATTCCAGTTCCACCCTGGGATATCCAGGGAAAAGCTGGCAGGGAATCCCTCCCTGTGCCAGGAAAGACTCTGGATCCCTGGTTTGTTTTCTTTTTCCCCTTTTTTTCAGGAATAAAAGGTTCTCCAGGTTTAGGGAAAAGCCTCTGCTGGGGAAAAAACTTCCCAGAAGGCCCTGCCAGCCCCTTCCTGTTGGACTGCCAGGCTCAAAACATTTGGATATCTGGATTCCAGGAGCTGGAAATCTCCCACCACACCCACAGGGAGCAGGTCTGGGCAGGGATTTTTCCTGCCAGAGGAAAACTCCCCCCCCCCCCAAAGGAGGATGATTTTTCCCAGCTCCCTGTGCCCTTTCCCTGCTCCCAGCGTGGATTTCCCCCTTTTCTCTGTGTCCCAAACTCTCTGGGGCTTGGAGAGGGGCTGAGAAACCCTCCCAGGAAAGAGGAAAATCCTTGGAGAGCCCAGACAAAGACAGGGAATTGCTGGTGACCTTCACCCCAGCGGGGCTGGACTGGAACAGCAGCAGCTCCCAAGTAAACAGAGTTACCAGGAAACAGCGAATTCCTGGTGGGAAAGGGGGGCTGGGATGAAGGGAAAGGGAGGATGTGCCACAGGCAGGGAGGATGGGACTCCTCTGGGAGCTGGTTCAAGGTTAATCCCGGGCTTTTCCTGGCTAATTCCTGCCCTGAATCTCAGAGCTGGCTCTGGGAGGAAAGGGGGAAAGAACCATTCCCAGCCCAGGCCCTGGCTCGGCCTCCCTCTGCTCCAGGAGGGAATGACCTTGGAGCTGCTCTGCCCTCCCTGCACAGCCCTGGCTCCTGGATCTCCTGGATCATCTCCTGGATCTCCTGGATCATCTCCTGGATCACCTGCTCCCACACGGGCACAGACACCACCCCCTTGCCCCCTCCCCTCTCCCAGGTGTTCTCCCCCCCTGCAGGAGTTTTTTTGGGGGAGAGATTTGGTGTTTGGGGGCAGGAGCTGCTTGGACCTCCCCCTGGAGAGCCAGGGAATGTTTGGGGTGGGAAGGGACCTCAGGGACATCATCCAGAGCCGGGGCAGGGACACCTCCCAGCAGCCCAGGCTGCTCCAACCATCTCCAACCATCTCCAACCATCTCCCACCACCTCCAACCATCTCCAACCACCTCCAACCATCTCCCACCACCTCCAATCATCTCCCACCATATCTCATTACCTCCAACCATCTCCCACCACCTCCAACCATCTCCCACCATCTCCCACCACCTCCAACCATCTCCCACCACCTCCAATCATCTCCCACCACCTTCCCCCATCTCCCCCCACCTCCCCCCGTCCCTCACCGTGCTGCCGGCGCCGCCGGCGCTGCCGGGCTGCTGGAAATGCGCCGCCAGCCCGGCCTTGTCCTTGCACTGCTCCTTGCACTCCAGGCACCTGAAGCAGCTGTAGCTGCCCTGCTCGGGGGCCCCCCCGCCCCCCAGGGGCAGCACGGGCGGCTCCTGCGCCCCGTTGGCCGCGCCGGGGCCGTCCTGGGCCACCCTGCCCGGCGGGAAGGAGGCCACGGGCACCAGGGGGGTGATGTCGGGCTGGCCCACCATCTGGTCCAGGGCGATGGGGCGCATGACGAGGTGCGAGCACTGCATGACCAGCCCCTTGTCCTTGTGCTCGCGGGCGTGCAGCAGCAGGCTGCACTTGTTGAAGAACACCAGGCGCTTGGTGCAGTGGTTGCAGGTGACCTCGATCCTCATGCTGCGCCGGTCGTAGTGCCGGGCCAGGCTCTTCTCCAGCGCGAAGGCGTCGCCGCACTCCAGGCAGCGGTAGCCGAAGGGCGGCAGCGCCAGGCTGGCGTCGGCGGGCGGGTTCAGGTTGGGCTTGTAGGTGGGCAGGAGGTTCTTGCTGTTGAGGATCTTGTTGAAGGCCTCCACCAGGCTGGACTGGCTGCGGGAGATGACGGTGCCGGCCAGGGCGGGCGGCGGCGGCTTCTGCGGCTGCACCATCACCACGGCGGCGCCGTTCACCTTGGGGGCGGCGGCGCGCCGGCGGCACCGGCCCTGCCGTCGGCGCGGGGCAGGCTCTGCGGCACCAGGTTGATGATGTTCTTGGCCACGGCCTTGCCGGGCTTGGCGGGCAGCACCACGGCCTTCTGCTGGGCCACGCTGGCGGCGATGAGCATGGCGCTGCTGGCGCTCTGGATGGCGGACACGGGCAGCACCGCGCCCGGCAGCTTGGCACCCAGCTGCACGCTCACCAGCCTGGGCCCCTCCGCCGCCTTGGAGGGGCTGCACAGCTCCGGCCTGGCCGTGGGGGAGCCCTCCGGGGTCCCATCCTCCTTCAGGGCGGGCGCCGAGCCCTCCAGGGCCGGCTCCTGGCAGCTCTGCTCGGCGGCGCCTCTGGCACAGCCCGGCTCCGAGTCCGAGGACACCCTGGTGACCGTCCTGGTGATGCTGCCGCACGAGGTCTTGATGGTTTTGATCCTCACCTTGAGCGGCCGCGAGGAGCTGGAGGAAGGGGAGTCGTTGTTGTTGTTGCCCCCTCCCTGCTCCTCCTCGTCCTCCTCCTCTTCCTCGTCCTCCTCCTCGTCCTCGGCGCTGGACACGCTCTGGGGGCTCCCCACGCCTTTCTCCAGCCCTTCCCGCTCCTCCTTGAGGGAGAGGCCGTCCCTGGGGGTGCTGGGGGGCAGCCCCCCGGGCGAGGGGGGTTTGTAGAAGGGCTCCTGAGGGCTGGGGGGCGAGTGTTTCACCTCTGCCCCCGGCAGGGCGGGCTCGGGGCCGGGCCAGGGCGGCAGGGCCGGGTCCTCCGGGGGGTAACGAACCGTCACCGACTGCAGGTGCTCCAGGGGGCCGTCCCCCAGGCCCTCGGGGCTGCGCTCACGCCCCCCAACCTCCTCGGGGTCCGAGTCCTCCTTCTTGATGGCGGTGCCCGCCTGGCCCGGCTCGAAGGGCTGCGGGAAATTCGGGGGCAGCTTCTCGGGGCCCTCCCCTTTGCAGTCCAGGCCCGGCCCGGGCGACGGGGCCAGCGAGGGCACCGCCAGCCCCTTCTCCTTGGCCCTGCCCTCGCGGGGCTGGGGGGCTCTGTCCAGCAGGGCGGGCTCCTCGCCGGGCTCGGGGCCGAAGTGGGAGAAGAGATCCAGGGCCTTGGGGCCTTTCTCCTTCCCCCAGCACTCCCCGTTGGCCCCGTCGGCCGCCCTGGCCCCGCCGGGGGGGGACCGGGGGGCGTCGGCGGCGCCGAAGCCGTTCTGGAGCAGCCGGGCCCCCACTCCGTGTGTGCCCCCCACTCCGTGTGTGCCCCCCACACCATGACCCCCCACACTGTGCCCCCCTCCCACGCCGTGCCCCCCACGCCGTGCCCTCCCACGCCGTGCCCCTCCCACGCCGTGCCCCCCTCCCACGCCGTGCCCCTCCTTCCCGCGGCCGTCCAGCGGCTCCAGCTGCTCGGGGCACACGGTGTTCTTGACGATGACGCTGACGGCCGAGATGTCGGGGTGGGGCAGGACGTGCTCGGGGGGCCCCCCTGCCGTCCCCGCCGTGTCCCCCGGGCCCTGCTTGAGGGGGGGCTCGGGCTCCTCGTGGCCCGAGTGGATGGCCTCGTTGGTGTCGATGTCGGGGATGTCGAAGGCGGCCAGCAGGTCGTCGAAGTCCGGGGTCTTCATGTCCCCCATGGTGGGGAGGGGGGAGAGGCTGGAGGGGAGGGGGAGAGATGGAGAGATGGGAATGGGGGTGTCAGGGATTGGAGCTCCCACAAAATCCCTGCTGCCCTCTGCGCCCCCAATCCCGACAGCCCTGGCGCTTCCCGAGGTCGGGAATTGCCTCAGGGCGGAGGTGACACCAAATATCGAACCCAAACTGCTCCTTTCCGGGCTCTTTTCCCCACCAGGAAAAGCTGCAGTGCCGTTAAAAGCCCGGATTCATCCACCTGCTCAGTGCCTGGGTTTGGGACAGCGACCCCAAACACAGCACGTGGCTCTTTCCCTTCTCCCAGGAAAAGTTGTTTCCCTTCCCTTTTCCCTTCCCTTCCCTCTCCCAGACTCCTCCTTTCGCTCCCCCCCCCCCCAGGACATTCCAGGAGCAGCTCCAGCTGCTCCTCCCTCCCCACGGGGCTCAGGGACAACCCCTCTGTCCCCTCCCCAAAGCTCCATTCCCACCATTCCCACCCCACATCCCGAGGATCCTGCCCTTGGAGAACCCGGAAAAAACAAAACCCCCCCTGGGGGCTGCGTTTTCCCTGGGGAATTGGAAGGGTCCAAACTCCCCCCGGAGCTCCCCCGAAGTGCTCGTTTGAGCCCCGGGAGAGGCCGAGCTTTGAAATTCCCCCTCTGGAAGAGCCCCCCGAGCGATTCCCGAGGCCGGGACTATCCCCCCCCAAAAAAAAACCCGGCTGTTTTTAAAAAGCCGCTTTTCCCGAGTCCAGGGAGGGTTTTCCCGGCTCTTTTCCCGATCCTGGGGGGGATTTTAAGCCGGGTTTAAACTCCCCCCCCTCCTCCCTGCCCGGGGCCGAGGCCGCGGCGCTCCCAACGCCACGTGACGGGATCAGCTTCCCAGGAAACCTTGGACAAAGCCTGGCCCTGTGTCCCTGAGCCCAGGGAGCCTTGGGAATGCCGGGAATACAGCCAGGGAACCTGCAGGGCCGGGCTCTGGAAAAGCGGGAATGACCGGGCCGGGTTGGGCTGAGCGGAATTCCAGCCCTTCCAGCTGTTCCCTGGAGATCTTTGGGATGTGATTCCCTTGCCCCAAGGGCCTCTCTGCATCCAAGATCCCTGCTCTGGAAGTGATCCCTGCTCCCCAAAGCCCTCTGGCACCCAGGACAACAACTGGATTGAACTGGGTTATCCAATCCCAACCCCCCCAAAAATTCCCGGGGTTATCCAACCCTTCCTCCCCAGGGACACCTCCCAGAAAATCCTCAGGGATATTGAGGAGGAGAGAGAAGAAATTCCAAGCTTTTGGAGCACCTGGCACAGCTTTTCTCCCAGAAAATCCTTCCCAAGCTCTCCCAGACCCCACTGGTGGGGAGGGAAAAGCCTGGAAATCCTGGAAATCCCCCCCATCGTTTTTGGGGGAATTTCTGCAGCTCTTCCTTCCCTTCCAGGAGTTTGGAATCACTGGACAAGGATCCAGCGGGATCAGAGCCCAGAACAACCCCCCAAAACTCCCAAGCAGGGAGCAGGAAAAAGCCACTTGGAAAATAAATCGGGATTTGTTTGGGTGGATTTTTTTTTCCCCCCCTTTTTTCCTCCAAAAAAAAAAAAAAAGGGATGTCTCCAAATTCCCTGGAAGCAGCCCCAGGGAAGCTCGGGAAGGAGCTCCGTGCTGGAATTCCCTTCCCGGGGGGATCCCAGGGAGAGGAGCCGGGAGCCCCCTCCCCATCCCAAAATCCCAATCCCAAAATCCCACCCCCCCCCATCCCGGAGCAGCTGCCTCGTCCCTCCCCGAGGCTCCGGGCAGGGATTAAAATTCCCTCCGGATGCCGGGAATTAACAACTCCCGACCATCTGCCGACCCCTGGAGGCCCCAGCGACACAAACAAGGGGGGTGGGGGCAGATCCAGGGATGCTCCCGATCCCTGGGGATCATTCCCAGTTTTCTGGGACCTTCCCAGCCATCCCTGGGGAGGCACAAAGTCATTCCAGGCTCTTTGGAGCCTTTCCCACACATCCCACGTTCTCCGCTCCCACCAAAAGCCGGGGATTCCCGGGATTCCCTCTTCCCAAGCTTTGAATTTCCCGGGACAGCGAGGTGTGATCGGATTCCCTTCCCCCCCCGGGGAGGATCCAGCCCCAAATCCCGATTGGATTCCCAGGGGTTCCCGCAGAGCTCACTCCTCAAAAACGGGAGGAGCAGGAAAACTCCCCTGGGAATTTTGGGGCTCCAAAAACGAGGCAGAAATGAAGGTGAAGGATTTGGGGGGGGTCCAATTCCCACCAATTCCAAACCCCAAGATGTTGGAATAGCTGTGACCCCCCACCAAAAAAAAAAAAACAACCTAGGAGGGGGTGACGAGACCCCCCAAAATCCCAAAATCTCAGAGCGGGAGTGTCCAGGAGCCCTCCCCAAAATCCCAGCACGGCGAAGGGACCGAGAGCCCCCCCCCCAGTCCCAGAGAGGGGGGACCCCTGACCTGGGGGAGGGGCGAGGGGACCCCCACGAGTGAGGGGGGTCCGGGAGGGTTCCTGGACCCAGGGGTTCCCCTCAGAGCTGGGATCCCATTCCAGCCCTGGGACCCCCTCAGAACTCGCTCCCCTCAGACCTTCCCCCTCAGGCCGGATCCCCCTCAGGCCTCACCTCCCAACCCCCCTTTGCGGCGGTACCTGGAGCTGCGGGCGGGGGCGGCTCCCGCTGCCCGTTCCCTTTCCCGCTGCCCGTCCCGGATCCCGTTCCCGATCCCTGTTCCTGTTCCCGGTCCGATCCCGCTCCCGGTCCCGGTCCCGGTCCCGCTCCGGCCCCTCCGCGGCGCCGCTTCCCCTCCGCCACTTCCTGCTCGGCCCCGCCCGCCCCGCGCGCCCGCCCCGCCGCGCCATTGGTGGAGCCGCCCGCCACTCATCCCAACTCGCCCTTCTATTGGCTCGCGGAGCTGTCGCTCAAGGCGGGTCGCCGCAATTCGCACTCGCCATTGGCGGAGCGTTCCCCCGCGATCATAGGAGGGTGGAGGTGTCAATCACCACGCGGATCACACCCACGGCGATGTAGAGCTTCTGATTGGTTCTGGTGCGCGTAGAGCTCTCTGCTGATTGGCTAAAGGGTTGTCCATCAACTAAACCCGCCTCTCCGCGCTCCCCATTGGTCAAGATGGGTCGTCCGTCACGAACAGGCCGTGGCCGCCATTGAGGCGGGGAAGGTTCCGCGGGGGAGGCTCCCGGTTGGGATCTTCCCATTGGGCTCCGCGCCTGTCTCTCAGAGCCAGGACCCGCTCCTCGCCTGTCCCGGACGGGGTTCAACCTCGTCCTCTCATTGGCTGGCTCAGGAGTCGACTGGTGGATAACCCTGTCAATCAATCACACCCTTCTCTCTTTTCGCTCCCCATTGGCCAATCGAGCTGTCACTCAACACAAACTCCCGCCCTCCTCCCCACCCCTTGGCCCGCGCCAATCACAACATCCGGTCCTTTCCCCGTCGCTGATTGGCTGGTCCCGCTGTCAATCTTCGGTCAAACCCCGCCCCCAGACCCCTCTGTAAACACCGCGCGGGGCGGGACGGGACGCCGGTAACGCACCCGGTGACGCCAGTGGCACACACCAGTGACACCAGCACACAATGCACCAGTAACACACACCAGTAACACCAGTAACACACACCAGTGACACCAGTATGGGGGTCCGGGGACCCAATTCCCCCAGTCCAGGGAATTCCCGGGGTCCAATCCCAGTCCCCCCAGCCTGAGGATCCCCCCCCCCCATTCCCAGGGCTCATCCCAGGACACGCCAGGCCGGAATTCCCTGGGAAAAACCTTTATTATTGTCCCATTCCAGCAGATCCAGCAGATCCAGGGATCACTTCTTGTCCTCCTCCTTCTTGTCCTTGTTTTCCTTGGAGGCCTGGGAGGCCAGGGATCCCATGGCATTCCGGATGGCCTCGTTGTTGGGATCCACCCCGGGCAGGTTCTCCAGGACGCTCTGCAGGAACTCGGGGTCCTGCATCACGTCATAGTCGTCCTCCTCCTGGGGAAAGGGGGATTTGGGATCATCCCTGTCCTCTGGGAGAGGATCTGGGATCAACCTGGATGGGTCCCCTGAACTGCAGGGAGGGACTGAGGGATCCGCCGGGATCGGTCATGGAAGGGGCTGGGTGGGAAAGGAGCTGAGGGATCATTGGGATGGGAATGATGGGATGGGAATGATGGGATGGGAATGATGGGATGGGAATGATGGGATGGGAATGATGGGATGGGATGGGAATGATGGGATGGGAATGATGGGGTGGGAATGATGGGATGGGAATGATGGGATGGGGATGATGGGATGGGAATGATGGGATGGGGTGGGAATGATGGGGTGGGAATGAGATGGGAATGATGGGATGGGATGGGAAGGATGGGATGGGAATGATGGGATGGGAATGATGGGATGGGAATGATGGGATGGGAATGATGGGATGGGATTGATGGGATGGGAATGATGGGATGGGAAGGGAATGATGGGATGGGATGGGGTGGGAATGATGGGGTGGGAATGATGGGATGCGAATGATGGGATGGGAATGATGGGATGGGAATGAGGGGATGGGAATGATGGGATGGGAATGATGGGGTGGGATGGGAATGATGGGATGGGAGTGGGATGGGAATGATGGGATGGGGTGGAACAGGGATGGAAAAGGGATGGAGCAGGGCTGGGATCCCCCACTCACCTTGGGATGGGAATGATGGGATGGGAATGATGGGGTGGGATGGGAATGATGGGGTGAGATGGGAATGATGGGATGGGATGGGAATGATGGGATGGGATGGGAATGATGGGATGGGAATGATGGGGTGGGATGGGAATGATGGGGTGAGATGGGAATGATGGGGGTGGGAATGATGGGATGGGATGGGAATGACGGGATGGGGTGGGATGGGAATGATGGGATGGAGTGGAACAGGGGTGCAAAAGGGGTGGAAAAGGGATGGAACAGGGGATGGGATCCCCCACTCACCTTGGCAGGCTCTGAGGTGTCCATGGGGTGGGATGGGATGGGGTGGGGTGGGGTGGGATTGGAGCAGGGATGGGATGGGATGGGATGGGATGAGATGAGATGGGATGGGATGAGATGGGGTGGGATTGGAGCAGGGATGGGATTGGAGCAGGGATGGGCTGGGATCCCCCACTCACCTTGGCAGGCTCCGAGGTGTCCATGGGGTGGGATGGGATGGGATGAGATGGGATGGGAATGATGGGATGGGATGGGATGGGATGGGATGGGATGGGATGGGATTGGAGAAGGGATGGGCTGGGATCCCCCACTCACCTTGGCAGGCTCCGAGGTGTCCATGGGGTGGGGTGGGATTGGAGCAGGAATGGGATGGGCTGGGATGCCCCACTCACCTTGGCAGGCTCCGAGGTGTCCATGGGGTGGGATGGGATGGGATGGGATGGGATGGGATGGGATGGGACAGGGATGTGATGGGATGGGCTGGGATCCCCCTCTCACCTTGGCAGGCTCCGAGGTGTCCATGGGGTGGGATGGGATGGAGCAGGGATGCAACAGGGATGGAGCAGAGGTGGAACAGGGATAGAACAGGGATGGAACAGGGGCTGGGATCCCCCACTCACCTTGGCAGGCTCCGAGGTGTCCATGGCAGAGCTCTCCACCTCGGCCGCCTCCGCCGGGGCGAACTCTGGGGTGGCAGAAGGAGCAGCTCAGGAAGCGTTCCCAGCCCACCAATGCCCGCCCCTGCTCCCAGGGGATCTCCCAGGGGGCTCCTCCCCTCGGGAATGGCCTCACCAGCCCCCTGCAGGGACATCTGCATGGCGTAGGCGATCTGCTCCTCCTCCGTCATGGAGCTCAGGTCGGGCAGCCCCGCCCGGCCGAACTCCTGCTGGGTGATGGTCATCTTGAGCAGGGCATCGTCCGACTCTGCGGGCAGAGACACACTGGGGGACCTGCCAGGGACCCACAGGGACCCACAGACCCCACAGGGACACACAGGGACCCATAGACCCCACAGGGACACTGTGGGACCTGCCAGGGACACACAGACCCCACAGGGACACTGAGGGACCTGCTAGGGCCCCACAGACCCCACAGGGACACACAGACCCCACAGGGCACTGCCAGGGCCCAGCTGAACCCCTGCTGGACGGGGCTCATCTTGAGTGAGGGCATCGTCCGGCTCAGGGGGCACAGCCCCACCGTGGGCACCGCTGGAGCCCTCCCAGAGCCTCCCCACCCTGCCAGGGCAGGATTTAACCCCAATCCCCGACCCAAAGTGACCCCCCAGCACCCCTGAGACCCCCCCAGGCCTCACCATCCCCAGCGGTGGCCGCGATCCCGGCCTCGGCAGCCGAGGCGGCCGCTGCCCTTCGAGCCTCCTCCTCCTGGCGCTGCCTCTGCTCCTCCATCGACACCCTGAGGGCCTGGGGGGACACGGGGGGGACACCCTGAGGGGCTGGGGGACACCCTGAGGGGCTGGGGACACAGGGGGTGAGGGACAGGGGACACCCTGAGGGGCTGGGGGGACACCCTGAGGGCTGGGGGACACCCTGAGGGCCTGGGGGGACACAGAGGGTGAGGGGGACACGGTTGGGACACCCTGAGGGCCTGGGGGACACAGGGGGTGAGGGGACACGGGGGACACCCTGAGGGGCTGGGGGGGACACAGGGGGACACCCTGAGGGGCTGAGGGGGACACAGGGGGACACCTGAGGGGCTGGGGGACACAGGGGGGACATCCTGAGGGTGGTAAAGCCCTCCCAGCCCACTGAGGCCCCCCATGTCCCATCCCCACCTCGTCACCCAGTGCCACTCAGTGCCACCTCCAGGGGTGGGGACTCCAAACCTCCCTGGGCAGCCCCTGCCGAGGCCTCACCCCCCTTTCCGTGGGGAAATTCCTGCTGATTCCCAAAACCTGCCCCTGTCCTGGCACAGCTGGAGGCCGTTCCCTCTTGTACCTGGGAGAAGACCCCCGACCCTCACCCCGCTCCCCTCTCCTGGCAGGGAATTCCAGGAGGTCCCCCCTGAGCCTCCTTTTCTCCGGGCTGAGCCCCCCCCAGCTCCCTCAGGAGTTTCTCCAGAACCCCCTCCCGGGGTGTCCCCCTCCCCAAATCTCACCAGGGCGAGCTCGGGGTCAGCGCTGGGGTCCACCCCGAACTCGAAGTCGCTGGCGCCCAGGCCCAGCATGGCCCCCCCCTCCCCTGCCAGGATGGGGGAGCTGATGAGGGCGTCGGCCAGGCTGGGCCCGGGGGGCACCGTCACCAGGTGGGAGCCGCTGCCGTCCTTGCCGTTCAGGGCGTTGATGAACGACGTCAGCTTGTCCGTGTTGGCCTCCTGGGGAGGCAGGGGGTTGGGGTGAGGGGCACTGAGGGTGGGGTGGGGACTGAGGGGGTACTGTTTTTTTTTTTGGGGGAAGATCCCAATGAGCGGTCCGGCCGAGAAACACCTGGAGCGCTCCCGAGGAGGGAAGGGAAGGAGGATGGAGAGGGGATGGGAGAGGATGGGGAGGGAGAGGGAGAGGGAAGGGGAAAGGGATGGGAGAGGAGGGATGGGAAGGATGGGAAGGATGGAGGGGATGGAAGGGGAGGGGAAGGAGGAGAAGGAGGAAGGATGGGGAGGAGAAGGGGATGGGAAGGGGATGGGGAGGAGAAGGGGATGGGGAGGAGAAGGGAGAGGAGAAGGGGATGGGGAGGAGAAGGAGGAGGAAGGATGGGGAGGAGAGGGGATGGGGAGGAGAAGGGGATGGGGAAGGGAGATGGGGAGGAGAAGGAGGGAGGATGGGGAGGAGAGGATGGGGAGGAGAAGGGGATGGGGAGGAGAAGGAGGGGAAGGGGATGGGGAGGAGAAGGGGAGGGGAAGGGGATGGGGAGGAGAAAGGGGAGGGGAAGGGGATGGAGAGGGGAGGGGGAAGGGATGGGGAGGATGGAGAGGGAAGGAGGGAAGGAAAGGGAAGGGGACTGAAAGTTGATTGAAAGGGGATGGAAAGGGGATAGGAAGGAGATGGGAAGCAACTCCCAGGTCGTTTCCCAGAGGGAAATTTTCCTCCCCATGGGATGGGAAGCAAACCCCCAGCAGCTCAGATTCCACCCCCCGTGGATGATGGAAGCCTCACCTCCTCCCCAAAATTGATGATGTCCACGTTGACTTTCTCCTTCTTGAGGCGCTTTGCCAGCTTCACCAACTGCCAGGAGGAGGAGGCACCACAGGATTAGGGCTCCTATCCACAGGGATATCCGATCCAGGCACGGAATTCCTGCCCCAGACCCTGCAGGGACCCAAATCCCACCCCAAAAACTGAGGGGGGACACTCACATCCTTCTCGTTGTCCTCCACGGGGCTCCCCACGAAGGCAATGATCCTCATCTTGTGGTTCTTGCCCTGCCGGTGCTTCAGGGCCAGCTGGGAGGGGGGAGGGCACAAATCACGCTGTTCCCAGGGGGAATTCCCAGGGAAAAGGGGTCCCCTCGGGGCGCTGGGATTGGGGGTCCAGGCTGGGATAGACCCCCCGGGAGCAGGGAATGCGAGCGCTGCCAGGGCAGGTAATGTGGGAGAGACGCTAATTAGATGCTAATTAGGCAGCGGGACTCACGTGGGCCACTCTGATGCCGGTGCAGAAGGTGATCTTCCCTTTGGGCTGCACCGTGTGGAGCTTGGACAGGATCCGCCCCGTGTCCGGGGTGAGGGTGGTCAGCACCTCGCAGTTACTGGGGACAAATCCCCCAAAATCAGAGGCAGCAACCCCTGGGAAAATCCCTCAGAATCCACCCCCCTGGCCAGTCCAACTCGTTCAGGCCAGTGCCCCCCTCAGGACCCCCCGTACTTGGCCAGGGTGATGAGCCCCACGTTGTTCTCGGGGTTGCTCCTGGTCTTGGAGTGGCACACGATGTTCACGGCGTCCTGCTGGGCCTGGAGCCGCGTGGGGAGGAAATCCCCGTTCCTCATGTACTCGCTGTTGTCCACGCTGGAACACGGCGGTGGGTGAGGGGGAATAGGTGAAGTTTGTCCTCAAATTGTTGGTTTTATTTTCCCATCCCTAAAACGTGCCCTGCTGGGCCCCTCATTATCCCCCTCAGACCCCCGAGGCCCCCCATTCCCCTCAGGCCCTCCCCGGGCGCGCCCCCTTCCCACAAGGGGATGACTCAGGAAAGCAGGATCGGCGCGGCCGCCCAGGGGTCGTTCCCACGGGAGTCCCGGTGTATCCCGGGAGTGTCCCTGAACCCCCAGAGCCCCCGGAGCCCCCTGCCCCCTCACCAGACCATGGTGCTCTCCAGAACCATCTTGGCCCCTCAGCGCCGGCCCGCACCCCCTGCCACCCCAACAACGCGCTCCGTCATTGGTGGGGAGCGCCCAGCCAATCAGCGCGCCCCGTCCTGGTAGGAGGGGCTAAAAGAATGCTGGGAGTTGTAGTCCTAAGAGGGTGGTGGAGTCCCCAACCAATCAGCGCGCCTCATGCTGGGGAGGTGAGATCGAAGGGCACGCTGGGAGTTGTAGTCCTGAGTGGTTAAAGATGGCTCCGGGGGGTCCCCACGGGAGACCACCCCAAAAATCGCGGGGAGCGGCCCCGCCCTGCGAGACATCCCAAATGAGGTGTTTGCACCTCGCCCCTGTCACCCACCCACCACGGGGGGGGTCCCGTAACCCCCGACCCCCTCCCCTTCCCCCACGCCCCCACCCCACGGGGTCTCCCATCCCCGTGTCCCCCACCCCAGGGGGGTCCCTGTGCCCCCAACCCCACCCCCACCGTGGGAGGTCCCGTGTCCCCCCCAAACAGAGGCACAGCCGAGGTGGGGGGGTTTGTTCAGCATCACACGTGTATTTTTTGCGTGTCCACGAACGTCACACGGCCCGGGGGACACCGCGGGAAGGAGAATTCCCAAAATTCCCAAAATTCCCAAATTCGGGACACGCAGATCCGACCAAAAAAATTAATTAAAATAAAAATAAAATAAAATAATAAAATAAAAAGGCAGTTTTGAAAACACCACTTACAAAGCAGAGGTTCGAGATACAAACAAACCCCCCCTACCCACCCACCCTACCCTGTCCCATTCCTGGGTAAATTATTCCCAGGAAAAGAAAAAAATTAAAAAAAGGCTTGAAATCCCCCACACTTTTTAAATACAGTTTCATAAATATTAAATCCTGGAAAAAAAAAAATCAAAAAAAAAACAAACCCCAATGGGGTTTTGGGGTTTGGGTTTTGTTTTTTTTCCCCCTCCTGGGTAAATTAAAATAAAAAAAAATAATAAGGAACTAATTCGAGCTGGGAGGGGGAAGAAAGAAGTGTCTAATATAGACAGTTATTCCAGAAAGGGAAATGTGCTGGGAGAAGGGGAAAAAAATCCAGCAGGATCTTCCCCATCCCCACAGCCCTGGGAGGGAGGGGTTTGATCCTCTGGGATCTCGGGAATCTGTTGGGAAAACAAAAAAAAGGGGGTGGGAGGAGAAGCAGCCCTTGAGATCCCAACAACTCCTGCTCCACACCCCCCACAGTAAGGCCATTCCACATTTTGGAGCAAAAAAAGAACAACAAAAAAACTCCCCAAAACCCCCAAATTTTCCTTAAAAATAAAAATATCACCAATGGGAAAAAAGGGGGAGAGAAACTCGGGAATATCAATTTAAAAAGCCAAAAAAAATCTCCTTTTCTGCTCTACATTCGTCGCTTCCTCGAGGAAAATCCCCCAGAGGATTCTTTAAATTCATGGGTTTTGGGTTTTTTTTTCCAGAGCTCTGTAAAAAAAAAAACCCCAAAAACTAAAAAAAAAAAAGAGAATTTTCCAACCTTGGAGAGTTCGTTTCGTTCCTCTTTTTTTTTTCTTTTTTTTTTCTTTTCTTTTTTTTCTTTTTTTTCTTTTTTTTTAACTTTAAAATGTTTTTTTTTTTTAACTTTAAAAAAAACAACCATTTTCCAGAAAATCCAAGTCCAAAGGTTTGAGCTCCGGGAGGTTGAGCTGGGGATGAGGGGCGGATCCAGGGGGTGATTCCAAGGGGTGTGTCCAAAATTCCTCCTTCCCGCTCCTCCTTAACCCCAAAACCGGCTCCTGAAATAAAAAAACTGGAATTTTGGGGGGTTTTCAGCTGGAATTTCAGGGTTTTCAGCTGGAATTTCAAGGTTTTCAGCTGGAATTAAGGGGTTTTCAGCTGGAATTTCGGGGTTTTCAGCTGGAATTTCAGGGTTTTCAGCTGGAATTTCAGGGTTTTCAGCTGGAATTTTGGGGTTTTCAGCTGGAATTTCGGGGTTTTCAGCTGGAATTTCAGGGTTTTCAGCTGGAATTTTGGCTTCAGTTCACTGGCAGAGGATTCTTCCAGGCGAGGTATCCAAAGGAGCTGGAAAAACTGGGATTAGGGGGGTGGGAGAAGGGATTGGTTTGGTCCTGGATTTTTTTTTCTTTTTTTAGGAAAAACTTTGAATAAAAAAAGTGCCCCTTTCTCGGGTGTTTCAGCTGCAAAAATTCCAGGAAAAGGGAGGAGCTTAAAAACAACTTGGGGTGTGGGGGGGAAACTCCAAAGAGATCCCAAATCCTCCCCCATAAAAACCAAAAAAATCCTGCTGGGAGGAGGAGGAGGAGGGAGATTTTTCCACCCCTCTCTCTGCCTTTCTCCTGTAAAAAAAAACCCAAAAAAACCCCCCAAAAAACCCCTATTTATTAATAAAATATAACAAGAATTCCCGGAGTGTGCAGCCCTAAAAAAAGGGGGCAGGACCAAATTCAGGGCAGCAATTAAATTAAAAATCCTGATGTATAAAAGAAAATCACGTTTCTCCCGGCGCCACCGAGGCTCTGGGGATCCCTCTGGGAATTCCCTGGGAATCTCCTGGGTGTTGTTTGTGGTTTTTTTGCAGTGTGACTCCCTGAAAGTCGTGGATCCTCCTTTTTTTTTTTTTTCCAAAGGGTTTCATCCCAGCTGGAGCAGCTCCTCCTCTTCCTCCTCCTCCTCCTCCTCTCCCTCTTCCTCCTCCTTCTCTTCCTCTTTTCCCAGCGGGATTCCCGTGCTGAGGAGACTTCCAGGTGCCTGCTGCTTTTCCAACACCATCCCAAAGGTGTTTTTTTTTTTATCCCAGGCTTTCCAAGCTTCCAGGGCTTTTCCCAAACCAAGAGGATCAGGTGGCTTCAGCACCGGGGTGGGGGAGAGGCTGAGGGGTTTGTGGGGCTCCCATCGCAGACTCACTGGGGGAAAGGAGAAAAAACATCTTGGGAAGGCATTCCCAAAAAATTCCTCACCCTGGGGAAGGAGTGGAGGGGGTGCTGAGGGTGTTTTTATCCCCCCACCAGGCCCTTCTGGAATAAAACTGGGGTGCCTGGAGGGCAGGATGAGTCTCCCTGGGTATTCCAGAGCCATTCCAGGAATGAGGGGTTTTCCCTGCTCTTCATCCAGGTTTTGTTTGATATTCCCTCCCTTTTTTTTTTTAACCCCCCCATTCCCAAACCCACTTTTGGGGCAGCAAATTCACCCTCCCTCTCCCTCCCAGAGCACTGAGGGGCTCAGCTTTGCCAGGGGGGCCAAGAGCTGCTCCTGCCCTCCATTCCGTGTTCCCCACAGGACAGGGATCACCCCAACCCCCCCAAAACCCTCCCATCCTGCTCCATCCTCCCCTCTGGAACACTCACAAAGCTGATCTCTGTCTCCTGCAGCTCTTGGAGCTGCTCTCTCAGCTCCAGGGAGCGCTCAGGGCCGGGGGAGCCGCTGGGGAAACAGAAGGGGGATGATGCCTGAAAAAGCAGTTTTTTAAGAGGTCAATAAAAAAAAAAAACCCCTCCCAGAGCCAGGGGGTCTGGAATTCCCAGCCACGGGGAATATTCCTGAGTCCAAACCAAACCAGCTGGGAGAACAAGCAGGGGGGAAGGAAGGTTGGTTTTCCAGAAGGTTTGGGGAGCTCTGGTCACACTTTCAACCCTCACCATGCACATTTTGGGTGCTGAACAGGCACAAACCCCTCCCTTCTGGGCCAAACCAACCCCCCAGTTAATGAATTCCACGGTTAATTATTCGCTTCATTGGGTTAAAAGCTCACAGGGGAGCAGAGGCAGTGACAGGGACGCTCAGGGGTGGGACAGGGGGATGTTCCCACGTGGGAGCCACCCCACATAACACCCCCAGAACGTTCCAGAACAGCTCCAAAGGCTCGGGAAGGGCCCAGGGGAGCTCCATCCTCACCTGTTGGCAGGGGAATTGAGGCCCCCACTGCCCAGGGAGGACGTGGACAGGGTGGTGGCCACCGAGTCGCTGTTGGCCTCGTCCACGGGCAGAGTCCTGGGCAGGAGGTCCGGGCGGCCCAGCTGGGACCCTGCGGAGGGGCAGGGGCTGCTCCAGCAAAATTCCAGGGATTGGGATCCCACTGGAGACACCCCAGGAGCCTGGAGAACCTCCTCACCCTGTTCCTATTCCTGTCCCACCCCTCCCAGGGCTTGGCATCCCACTGGAGACACCCCCAAAACCCAAAAAAGAGGTGTTTTTTTTTTCCCCCCCCTCTTTTCCCAGCTCCAATGGGATAAAAAGCTGGAAAACAGGGATTTTTTTTTTTAATTATTATTTTTTTTCCCAACCAACCTTGCTCCACATCTGCCTCTGTGGTCACTTGTGCTTTGGTCTCAGAGCCCACGTGGAGCTGGGCAGGGATTCCCCCCTGGCAGCTCCGTCTGGGAATTGCCGGCCCGCTCCGGCTCTTCTTGGAAGGGGAAGGTTTCACTGCAAGGGAAAACACCCCCCAAAATAAAAAATAAAACACTTTTAGAGCTGATTCAGGCACTAAAAAGGGCTTTGGAGGGAAAGAGATGTGCTGGAAAAACAGGGATGAAACAGCTCCTGGGAAGTTGTGGGGGGACAAGGAACGATCCGGGAGGAAGGAAGAGGTGACAAAGCACTCCCAAAAATCCCTGCCAGGGGAAAAGCTGGAGGCAGGAAGCTCCAAATCAGATAAAAAAGCTGCAAAACAGGGAGATTTCCCTATTTTTTTTTTTTTTTTTACCCAAGGCAGGAAGCCCCAGTTGGATAAAAAGCTGGAAAACAGTTTGGGTGTTTTGTTCTTTTTTTTTAATCCTAATTTTTAAATCCAGCTCAGGAGGGCAGAAACTCCAACTGGGTAAAAAACTGGAAAACTGGGGGGGTTATATTTATTTTTTTTTAGTTTTCAGGGGGTAAAAAAGCAAGCAGGGGAAGAAGGGAATTGCCAAAAAAGCCTCACGTGGGATCTTCTTGAACACCGTGTTGCACATGAAGCGCTGGAACCTCTCGGCGTAAAAGCTGGGCCTGTGCACGGACACCGTGTCCTGAAAAGGCAAAAAAACCCCCAAAATATCAGAATATCAGCCAGGAAATAACAGAAAATAAATTGTTTGTGAGGGGAGTTATTTCTGTGCCTGGGAAATGCTGGAGGGAGGGAGGGAGGGAGGAGAGCGGGGTGGTTTTGAAAAGGCTGGACAGGGTAAAAAAGGGGGTTTGGCTTGAAAAAAATGGGTGGTTTTGTTTAAAAAGGGACGTTTCCCTTTCGAAAGGGCCACTTGCCCTTAAAAAGGGGCCATTTTAGTCTTAAAGAGGGGCATTTTCCCCCTTAAAAAGTGCCATTTTCCCCTTAAAAAGGGGCCATTTCCCCACTCACCCCGTCGTGCACCAGGGCCTTCCAGGAGTGCTCCAGCTTCTTGACAAACCTGGCAAGGGATGAAGGGCACTTTGCACCTCATTTAATTCGATATTTAAGTGAAACTCCTTTCAGTGTTAAAATACTTCAAAATACTTCAATTAAAAAAAAAGAGAGGAAATTCCAAGTTTCCCCCCTTGTTTTTCCCCTTCTTTTCAAAAACTGTTTTGGGCCATTTTTTTTAAAGTCTCTTTTTTTTCCTTCGGTATTTCCCTTCTTGCTTTCTTAATACAGAAATTATATTAAATAAAACAATTTTAAGAAGGTTTTTCCCATCATTTTAGGTCGTTTTTGAGTGGAAAGCCCCCCCCCGCTGACCCCGAGGAGTCACTCATTGTGGGATCGGTTAATTAACGAACCGCTTAATTAACTACCTGTAGGACTGTAACACGTCGATGATGCCGATGTAGAGCAGCAGCCTCTCCCCCCGGGCATTCCGGGCTGGAATTCCTCCCATCCTAGAGGAGCAAACCCAGGGCGTTCATGGAATGATGGAATTGGGTGGGCTCGGAAAGGACCTGGAAGATTCATCGGTTCCAACCCCCCCCCCGCTTTTCCAACACTTCCCTCCCTCCCAGGTCGCTCCAACCTGGCCTGGGACGCTTCCAGGGATGGGGCAGCCATGGAATATCCCGTGCCAGGGCCTCACCACCCTCCCAGGGATAAACCCATCCCTCATTTTCCCCTCGGGTTGGCAGCACCGACCTGATCACCCCGCACACCCAACCGAACCCCAACCCCCTGGAGAGCCCCCCAAAATCCTTCCCATCCCAAAAAAACCCCAAACAATCCTTACTGATCATCTGTCTCGATGGTGCCCCCTCTCCTGGCCTCGCCCTGGATGGACTCCATGGCAGTGGAGTACAGAGCCTTCTGCGCCGCCGGGCGCCGCGTGTCGGCCGGGTCGGCCGGGCCCTGCTCCCGCTGCGCCACGTCCATGTTGTGGATGGCCACCAGCAGGCTGTAATCCATGATCTTGAAGCTCTGCAGCACCTTTTTTTTGTGGGGAGGGGGGAAGCAAAAGGTTAAACAAAAAAAAAGGCTGGTGGGGTCGCTCAGATCTCCCGCCCCGCAGGTTGGGAAGGCGCGGCCGGACCGGAGTCCAGGCCCTGCTCTTCACCCAACCCCTCAGGTTCTCCCCACTCTGAGGCAAAGCCACCACCTCCTCTCCAGGTAAAAAAAAAGGCCCAAAATCCAAGGGAAGATCTCCCCTCCTTTCCTTTTCCTTCCCCCCTCACCAGGCAGTCCCTCTGCAGCGTCTTGCACAGGGCGTTGTACATGTCCGAGTCCAGGAAGAGCCCGTCGGGCACGTCCTGCATGAAATCCAGGTCCTTGTAGGTGGGGAAGACCTTGTCCCTCTCCTTCTGGGACGCCCTGCGCTTGTAGGTGGAGCCCTTGAGGTCGTACTTGAGGTGCATCTTGACGGAGCGGGGCAGCAGGTTGTTCATCACCACGATGCGGATGTTCTTGCCCCCGGCCTGCACGCAGTAGAGCCCGTAAAATTTGGGCAGCAGCGTCCTGGGGTTCTGGTTTAGGTTCTGGAAGCACCAAAAACACGACAGAGAACGCATCAAAACCATCCTGGATCTTGGGTTTTTCTCCGTGGGAGAGCAGGGAGCAGAGGATGGAGGAGGGAAGGAGTTTTGTTGCTCTGCTCACAGAGGAGGGGAAATAAAAAGGATCTCGTGCTCAGATCTTTCAGATCTGACCCTGGGGATGAGCTCTGAGGTGCCTCTCCCCCCACCCCTGCTGTGGGTGCACCCCAGTTCTCCTCCTTCAAACCCCACAGGGGTCAATCCTGGTTTTTCACTTCGCCCTGAGCAGCGCTGGGAACACCCAAGGAGCTCCTTCCCAGGGCCAGCATTCCCAGATTTTTTTATTTTCCCACCCCCTGGGCTCACCATGTAGTAGCCAGGCAGCAGCTTCTGCAGGAACTCGGCCTCCTTGTGCTGCACGGTCTTGATGATGAACTCGTCGTCGCCCGACACGTAGAAGAGCGAGCCGCTGGCCCCCGAGTTGGACAGCTCGATCAGGGGCTCGTTGCACAGCGAGTACTGAGGGGCGGGGGGGGAAAAAAAGGTGGGAAAAGGGGCTCAGGGAACAGGGAATTCCGGCAGCAGCATGCTCAGGAAGGTTCCAGGCTGCCCCTCGGTGATAAAAGCTCTTTGTGGGTGGTTTGATCTGAACTCAAACACCTCTTTCCTTTCTCTCTTGGCAGGGCAATCAGGGGAGGATTTAGCACAATAATTGCACTCAGTTTTAACTTTCTGCCCTTCCAAAGGTGGCCCTTTGGCTGCCTCCTGGCTCGGAGGCACCACAACACCAACCAGGGATAAACAACCTTAAACCCAATCCCCTCCCCTCCTAAATCTGATTTTCTGGGATGTGCCGGAGTCTGGCAGACAATTCAACCTGCAGGGCACCTGCCCTGAACTGTGCTGGGCTGTGGAAGGCAATTAAAAGGGGATTTTTTTTAAGAGGACCCTGAGACATCTTGGGATTTGGATTTGAGTTGAAAATCCTTCCTGGTTTTCCATCGGGAATGGGGGGAAGGGTTTCACTCACAGCAGGGGAACAGGGGAAGGGGAAGGGAAAGGGAAAGGGAAAGGGAAAGGGAAGGGGAAAGGGAAGGGGAAAGGGAAGGGGAAAGGGAAGGGGAAAGGGAAGGGGAAAGGGAAGGGGAAAGGGAAGGGGAAAGGGAAGGGGAAAGGGAAGGGGAAAGGAAGGGGAAAGGGAGGGGGAAAGGGAAGGGGAAGAGGGAAGGAGGAAAGGGAAGGGGAAAGGGGAAGGGGAAAGGAAGGGGAAGGAAGGGGAAGGGGAAGGGAAGGAAGGAAGGGAAGGGGAAGGGAAGGAAGGGAAGGGGAAAGGGGAAGGGGGGAAAGGGGAAGGAGGGGAAGGGAAGGGGAAGGGGAAAGGGAAGGGGAAGGGGAAAGGGGGAAGGGAGGAAAGGGAAGGGGAAAGGGGAAGGGGAAAGGGGAAGGGGAAGGGAAAAAGAAGGGGAAAGGAAGGGGAAGGCACCTCCCAGCCCCCCAAAATCCAGCAGAACTCACCAGGTAATCGTCGGGCCGGATCCCGAAGAGCTCTCGGAAGTAGCGGAAGGCAACGGGCGCGTAGGTTTTGAAGCGGAAGTCGTTGTAGTGGTGGGCTGGGGTCAGGTTGCTGCCCTCGCTGCCCAGGGGACACCCAGGGGGTCAGCAGGGCCCCCGGGGGGACAGCAGAGCCCTGGGGGGGTCAGGGTGGCACCCACCTGGGGAAGAAGATGCTCTCCACCACGTAGAAGTCCTGCATGAGCACGTCCCGCTCGGGCTTGGTGCTCAGGCTGCCCACGGTGTGCGTGATTCCCAGCTGGATGGCGCCCTTCAGGGCCGAGGAGGTGGTCTGGGAAGGGCAGTGGGATGAAAAAACCGGGAGTTGGGATCAAGGGAGGGGCTCCCAGTTGAAGGCAGGGCTGAGATCTTGGAGGGGAGAAAGTTTTACAACTCCCGTCCTTTCCTTCCCGCTCACCGGCGGGGGGAAAAGGCTCCAATTCCACCCCTGTCCCATCCCAATCCCACCCCCAAAATTCCCAGAAGGGCCAGGAAGACAAAAGCTCCTCCCTCCCAGCCCCATCCCAGCAGATGGATTAGGGGTTTTCCACCTGGATCAGGGGATTCCAGAGGGGATGGGGGGTGTAATCTGGGTTAGGGGGGTTCAGCCCAGGAGCTGTGAAACCCCTGGATCCATCCTAATCCACGTCCTGGGAGTCCCCCTGGGAAAGGGAATCCACAAAACACCCACAGGGGCTTCCCTAAAATGCCCAAACAAGCCCCTTCTTTGTGCAGGGAATTCCATAGGATCTCCAGGAATTCTGGCAGCTCCCAGGGAGCCAGAGGAGGGCCTTGGAAGTGAGGTTTGAAATCCCAACCCTCCCTCCAGAGCAGCCAAAAGCATGGGAAGGTCTCTTCCCTCTGGGAATCTTCAGTCATTCCCAACTGACCCCCCAGGACACACTTCCCTTGGGAAAAAAGGGGAATTAAAAAGGAAAAGAAGGAAAAATTACCTTTTTATAGGTGGTTTCCCCCGTGGAATCCACCCCTCTGTGGCCTTTCCTGATGGTCTGGGAGCCTGGCTGGCCTGAACCTCCTGGCATCTGGGAAAGAGCGGGAAAATGGGAAGAGCCAAGGATGGAAAACTCAACATTCCGGGGGATTTGGGCTGCCTGGAAGAGTTTGGGGAGTTTGGAGCAGGAATTTCCTTGGGAAGGACGAATCTTGTGCTTCCCCTGCCCCCCCTCCCAGCACTCCCTGACTTGGGAAAAGGGTGGAAAACCCATCTGGAATTCGGGACTCACCTCGGGGGTGAGGGATTTCTTGAAGGTGGAAGAACCTGCCAGGAGAGAAAGGAAAAGCCACGCTCAGGGAGGGCTCATTCCCAAAAAAAAACCAAAAACAAACCCCAAAGAGCCATTCCAAGGCTTCGGAGGCTTTTGGGAAAGCTCTGCCTCATCCCTGCCTGGATTCCCCATCTCTGGCACAGCGGGAATGTCGTCCTGCTCACCCTAAAACTGCTTTTAGGGACGGTGGCTCTGCTAAAACTCGGCCCTGGCCTCCCCCTTCCCTGTTTTCCAGGGAATTCCGCCTTCCCAGGAATTACTGCAGGGCCAAAGGGCTCTGGGAAAAGCATCCCAACAATTCCCAAGATCCTCCCCTCCGAGGCATCTCCGGGATTTTAAGGAATATTTGCGGCATCTCAGGCGAAAGCAAAGCACGAATTCCAGCTTTTCCCTCCTCCAAAATCCCGGGATTCGGTCCAGAAGTGGCCCCAGGGATAAAAGCAGGATGAGCCAGACAAGGAAAAGCTCCGGGGTGGTCCCAGTACAACCAGTTCCCCCAGTAGGGAGGTTCCTTCCCTCCCTCCCTCCCTCCGCCCTCCAAACCAGTTTGGGAATAAAGCAACTCCTGCTGGACCGGGAGGAATCCCCACCCAGGGAGGATCAGCTGGATTCCCACCCGGATTCCCCCCCTTCTCCCTGCACAGAATTCCTGCTCTGGGGCACCGGGAATGTCACAGGTCGAGGTCAGAGAGTGAAACTGAGCCCACCCCCCCAAAAAAAAATGGGAATTCCAGGGTTTGTGGTTTTTTTCCTGCTGGAAAAGCACTTTTGTGCCACCCCCCAGGAAAGGTGGGAAATCCCACGGAACAAAGTGGAATCGCTCCCAAAAAGCTGCTGTTTCTGGAGCTGCCTCCGAACAAGAGAATTCCCGATCCAGGTGGCTGGAAAAACCAGCAAATTCCAGCCAAAAAAAAACCCTCCTAAATCCAGCCACGATCCCCAAAATCCCCTTTTCCCCCTCGTTTTCCCAACTGTGGGAGCAATCCCTCGGGATTTCTGAGGCCCAGGATCATTCCCAGCACATTATCCCTGACATGTATCCAAGGAAGGCAGCCTGAAAACCAGGATAGCGGGAGCTGCTGGGTGTCCAGAAGGATTTGGGATGAATCCTCCCTCTTCCAGGTGTTCATTCCAGAAGGACAGACACTGTTTTTAAGCTGGGATTTGGGTTTTTATCCCAAAATAAAGTGGGGGGAAACATTCCCACTCCCAAATCCGGAGCCCGGAACGCTGCTCGTTCCAGGGGGGAGTTTGGTCCCAGCAAGGGCAAAACAGCTCCTCTTCCTGCTTAAAAACGGGAATATTTTCCTACTCCATCAGCAGGAGGGTCGGGAGAGCCCGAAAAACGGGAATATCCTCCGGGCAGGAGCTCGGGATCCCGACTTTCGGACGTGGGATCGTCCCCAACTCATCCAATCCCGCCTCCAAATCCCTGGAATTCTGTTCATAGGGAATCATTCCCACAGGATTCCCTGCAAAGCCAAGCCGGGAGCGCCTCTGGAATGCCATGGGGAATGTCAGGAAGCGCTGAAAAGCAGCGGATTAATTTTTAGGATTGAGGGGGAAAACCAAACAACCCCCCCCAAAAGCTGCAAGTTTTGTCAGCCCCCCCAAAAAAAGGGAAGCCAAGGATAAAAACCATGCTGGAATTCTAGAGCACATCCATGCAAAACCATCTACCTCTGGGAAAGGACCTCCCGGAGCAGCAGGGGAAGGGTTGGAATATTCCTGGGGAAAAGAGGGATTGAAGCGTTCCAAGCCCGGTTTTAGGGCCCCCCCCAGGAGGGGTTTTAGGGATACAAATCCTAAATAAACGCTCCCATGGGATTTTTCCAGGCTGAAAACGCCCCCAAATCCTGGGAGGGAAGGGGGGTGTTTCCAGCTGCTCTTCCCAGAGGGAGCTGCAATCCCGGCCCTCAGATCCTTTGGGAAGCAGATCCGGAATTCCCGGATTTGGGGCAGGTTTAACGTTCCCAGGAGCCCCCGGGGAGGCAGGGAATGTTTAATCACCAACCAAAAAAAAAACCAGGTGAATTCCTCCTCTGGGAAGGAGGCAGAGCCCGATTCCCGGGAAAGGGGAATCAGGGGGAGCACATCCCAAAATTTCAGGGTTTTTCAGGGATGGCCGAGGAGGAGAAACCCAACCCTGACCCCTCCCCAGGGGAGGGAGGAGCAGGATTTCACTTCCCAAAGGGAAATCCGGGGAAGAATCCAGGGAAATGGGACTCACCAGAGCGTCCCCAAAGCCCTTCCCACCCTGCCTTCATCCCCACTCTGGGGCTTTTCCCACCTGGATTTTGTTATTTTGATGATGTCCAGGTTGAAAAAACAAAACAAAACAAAACAACGACAAAGAGAAAAAAAAAAAGGAGTTTTGGGGCCTCCCATGGCTCCAAAGGGGCTGTTTTGGGACAGCCCCACCAGGCTGGGATGAAGAAAAAAACTGGGATTTTCATCCCGGAGCTGAGTTTGGAATCATTGACAAGCCCTATTTTAAACCCTATTTTAAGTCCTATTTTAAGCTCTATTTTAAACCCTATTTTAAGCTCTATTTTAAACCCCGTTTTAAGCTGTATTTTAAGCCCTGTTTTAAGCTCTATTTTAAACCCTATTTTAAACCCTATTTTAAGCCCTATTTTAAGCCCTATTTTAAACTCTATTTTAAACCCTATTTTAAGTCCTGTTTTAAGCCCTATTTTAAACCCTATTTTAAGTCCTGTTTTAAACCCTATTTTAAGCCCTATTTTAAACTCTATTTTAAACCCTATTTTAAGCCCTGTTTTAAGCTCTATTTTAAACCCTATTTTAAGCCCTATTTTAAGGCCAAGGCTGCTGAGCTGTTGCTGTTGATGTTGTTGAACGAACTCCTGTCCCTCCCTCCCGCTGGGATCAGGCTCTGTCCCTCGGGCAGGAATTCGGGAATGGTTCCACACCTCCTCCAAAAGGTTCCGCTCCCAAATCCCGGTGAGGGATTTTTTTTTTTTGGTGGGTTTTTTTTTGGAGGCGTTTTCCCCGGAATTCTTTTGTCTGCGGGCCCCGGGGAGGGGCCCTGAGGGGGACAATGAACTCCCTCCCGCCCGGAATTCCCAGCTCATTCCAGAGGCACCACCGATCCCAATCCCGGCGAAAAAATAAACAAAAAAACCTCGCGGGGAGTTAAACACGCGAGGAGGGAGCCAGGTGGAAAATCCCGGGATCAATCCCTGCGTCCCCCTGTCCCCGATCCCAGCTCCAAACCTCGGGAATCCGCCCCCCACCAGGAGAAAAAAACACCAGGAAGCCGGGAAAGAACAGGAAAAGTCCCCACAAAACTCCCCCCCACCCCCTCCTGCTCCCAGGGATTGGATTTCTGGCTCTAAATCCCCCCCCAGGAAGGCAGGGAAAGGGAAGAGCCGCAGGTGGAAGCACCAAAAGTGCCCGGTTTTACCCCAAAAAAAAGGTTTCCACCATCTCCACCCACCCACCCGCGTGGATTCCCGGCCCCCTCAGCACTTCCAGCCCTTTCCCTGCACTCCCCCTGTGGCTCCCAAAGCCAAAATCCACCCGGGATTTTGATTTATGTTTATATTCCACACAACATTTTGCCCCCACTCCCCATAATTCCCAGAACTCCAGGAGGGTTCTGGTTGGGATCCCATTTAGATCCCAAAAAATTCGGGCTCCAGGCCCCGCTGCCACCCCCGGGCTGTCCCTGAGTCATCCCCGGGATCTGGGAGTCAAATTTCCCTGGCACCCAAATCCATCCCTCCCCAACCCCCTTCAAACCCCCCACCCCTTCTGAACCCTCCCTCTTTTTTAGGGGGTTCTGAGTTCCCCCAAAATCCCCACCTGTTCCCACGTTTTCCATGGGGAAAGGGGCAGATTGGAGAGAAATTCCCACAGGGAAAGGGCAGTCCTGGACCCCTCCTTCGGCACCACCAGACCCCCTTTCAGGGGACCCCAGATCCCCCTAAAATGCTCCAAGATCCACCCCACGGAACCCCAGATCCCCCCTCAAGGCAGCTCCAGACCCCCCCTCCTCACACCCCCCCAAAAACACCCAAACCCACCCCAAAAAATCCCAAAGAGCCCCCAGCCTTACACCCACCACCTCCCCACAAATACCCCAAAGACCCTCCTCAAAAACCCCCTCATCCCCACAGGCCTCTCACTCCTCAGAGCCCCCAGCCCCAAAGACCCCACAAAACACCCCTCAGCCCCAAAGACCCACAAAAACCCCTCTCAGGCCCTCAGAGCCCCCAGCCCCAAAGACCCCACAAAAACCCCCTCAGCCCCACGAACCCCCCAGCCCCAAAGACCCCCAAAACCCCCCTCAGGCCCTCAGAGCCCCCAAGCCCCAAAGACCCCCAAAAAACCCCCTCAGCCCCACGAACCCCCAGGCCCTCAGATCGCCTCCCCATTCCCGCCCCCACAGACCCCCCTCACACCCCAAACCCCTCCCCCTCAGCCCCCAATCTTCCAAACCCCCAGCTCCCAAAAATGCCCCAAACACCCCCAACACCCCCATCCCCAGCCGCCCCCACGCCCTCAGAGCCCCTCAGCCCCACAACCCTCCAACCACCCCCGCTCAACCCTGAACGCCCCCAAACCCGGCCCCCGAATCACCCCGGGAGCCCCCAGCCTCCCCTGGCCTCTTCCCGGCCCTGTTCCCGGCCCCGTTCCCGGCCGGTACCGCCGAAGCCGCCGCCGCTCCTGCCGGGCTCGGGCCCCGCCGCCGCCATCTTGGAGCGCGCGCTCACCCCCCCACCCCCACCACTCCCACCGCCCCGCCAGGCCACGCCCACTGAGGGAGGACACGCCCACTGAAGGAAGGACACGCCCACTGATGGGAGGACACGCCCACTGAGTGAGGACACGCCCACTGAGGGAGGACACGCCCATTGAGGGAGGACACGCCCACTGAGGGGAGGCCACGCCCCCGAGATCTGCCCCTCACTGCCAGGCCACGCCCACTGAAGGATGGGGAACACCCCCTCCCCACGGGGTCACGTGACGGTCGACGAATTGAATGATGTCATTGTGTGACGTCACCCTATTGTGTCATTGCCCCGGGGTGGGGTCAGGGGGCGCGTGTGATGTCACAGAGCTGCAGCCCTGACACCCCCAGCCTGTGTGTGACGTCACAGAGCCACGCCCCGGTGTGTGACGCCCTGAAACTGTGACGTCACATTAGCACATGCGCCCCCAGCCCATGATGTCACAGCAGCACATAAACACGTCCTGTGATGTCATAGGGCCGCACTCCCAATACCTGTGACACCCCCTGGTCTGTGACGTCACAGTTCCCAGCCGGACGGGGGTGGGAGAATCAGTTGGAAACCTCCCCCCTCTGTGGGGGGAGACAAAGGCGCTTCCCTAAAGGAAAACGGAGAGTTTGGGATGAACAAGGAAAAAAAACCAAAACCTGGGGCATTTATTTATTTATTTATTTGCTCCTTGGGTAATACAGTGCCTCCAGTGCCCCCCAATGTCCCCAGTGCCCCCAGTGCCCCTCAGTGCTCCCAGTGCTCCCCAGTGCCCCCAACATCCCCCAGTCCCCCAGTGACCCCCACTGTCCCCAGTGATCCCCAGTGCCCCCAGTGCTCCCAGTGCCACCCAATGCCTCCCAGTGCCTCCCAGTGCCCCCAACATCCCCCAGTGCCCCTCAGTGGTCCCAGTGCCCCCCAGTGCTCCCAGTGCCCCCCCAGTGCCCCCACCCAGGGTGGTGTCACACCCCACCAGGGCCACCCCGGTCACCTCCCTGGGGGCTCCTGGGGGGACAAAGGGAAGGGAACGACGTCACTCCTGTCCCCCACGTGGCAGGGGACACAGCTGGCGACATAGCGGGGCATCGGTGACGTCACAAAACAGTGATGACGTCATTCCACTCCGTGACGTCACCCCGCAGTTCCCCCTCCGCCCCGCTGGGCGGCGCTGCCTCCCCCATCCATTCACCCACCCACCGATCGATGTCTCGGCGCTCCCCCCGCCGTCCCTGCCGGTGTCCCGGCAGGCCGCGCAGCCGCGCGCCGAGATGAGCCTGGCGGAGGGCCGCGCCCCGCGCCGCACGGCCGGGAACCGCCTGTCGGGGCTGCTGCAGGCCGAGGAGGAGGACGAGTTCTACCAGACCACCTACGGCGGCTTCAACGAGGTGCCCACACCGGAGCGGCCCGGGGGGAATGGGGGGGGCGGGGTCTGCCAGAACACCGGGGCGGGAAGGGGAACGGGGGGTCCCGGGGGGTGTGAGGGGACAGAGACCCCACACACACACACACCCCCGGCATGGCCCGTTCCGGTTATCCCGCGGGAATCTGGGAATGGCGAGTACCGGAGGGGGATCTCCCGGGGTTCTCCGTGCTGGGCTATTCCCGGTTATCCCGCGGGAATCTGGGAATGGGGGATCCTGGGGGGGATCTCCCGGTGTTCTCCGTGCTGGGCCATTCCCGGTTATCCCGCAGGAATCCGGGAATGCGGGGTCCTGAGGGGGGATCGGTGTGATCTCTCCGTGCTGAGCCATTCCCGGTTATCCCGCAGGAATCCGGGAATGGGGGGTCCTGGGGGGGGGATCGGTGTGACCTCTCCGTGCTGAGCTATTCCCGTTATCCCGCGGGAATCCGGGAATGGGGGGTCCGGGGGGGGATCGGTGTGATCTCTCCGTGCTGGGCTATTCCCGGTTATCCCGCGGGAATCCGGGGATGGGGGATCCTGGGGGGAGCACTGGGAATCTCACAGGATTTTCCATGCTGAGCCATTCCCATTATCCCACAGGAATCCGGCGATGACGAGTCCCGGGGCGAGCACTGGGAATATCCCAGAGTTCTCCATGCTGATCCATTCCCTGTTATCCACAGGAATTCAGGGAGGACGAGTCCCGGGTGGAGGAGAGAATATCCCAGGGTTTTAATGCTGACCCATTCCCTGTTATCCCACAGGAATCTGGGAATGATGAGTCCAGGGGGTTGGAATCTTCCAGGGTTGTCCATCCTGACCCATTCCCTGTTATCCATAGGAATTCGGGGATGATGAGTACTGGGGAGTTGGAATCTCCCAGGATTTTCCATGCTGATCCATTCCCTGTTATCCACAGGAATCTGGGGATGACGAGTACCGGGGCGAGCACTGGGAATATCCCAGGTTTTCAATGCTGATCCATGGGAATATCCCAGGATTTTCCACACTGATCCATCCCTGTTATCCACAGGAATCCGGGGATGACGAGTACCGGGGCGAGCACTGGGAATATCTCAGGTTTTCAATGCTGATCCATGGGAATATCCCAGGATTTTCCATGCTGATCCATTCCCAGTTATCCATAGGAATCCGGGGATGACGAGTCCCAGGGCGAGCACTGGGAATATCCCAGGGTTTTAATGCTGATCCAATCCCATTATCCACAGGAATCCGGGGATGACGAGTACCGGGGCGAGCACTGTGGATCTCCTGGGGTTATCCACGCTGATCCAATCCCATTTATCCCGCAGGAATCCGGGGATGACGAGTACCGGGGTGTTGGAATCTCCCAGGGTTATCCACACTGATCCATCCCTGTTATCCATAGGAATCCGGGGATGACGAGTACCGGGGCGAGCACTGGGAATATCCCAGGTTTTCAATACTGATCCATGGGAATATCCCAGAGTTCTCCACGCTGATCCAATCCCATTTATCCCCAGGAATCCGGGGATGACGAGTACCGGGGCGAGCACTCGGACACGGAGGACGAGGTGGACTCGGACTTCGACCTGGACGAGGGGGACGAGCCGGGCAGTGAGGAGCAGGACGAGGCCGAGCCCCGGCGGCGCCGCCGCGTCCTCACCAAGGCCTACCGGGTACGGGGGCTCCTGCTGGGGAAACAGCCCCCAATCCAGGGATTTGGGGGATTTGGGGGATTTGGGGTGGGCTCTGTCCGGGTACGGGGGCTCCTGCCGGGGAAACAGCCCCCAGTCCAGGGATTTGGGGGATTTGGGGTGGGCTCTGTCCGGGTACGGGGCCTTCCCGGGAAAACGGCCCCCAATCCAGGGATTTGGGGGATTTGGGGTGGGGTCTGTCCGGGTACGGGGGCTCCTGCCGGGGAAATGGCCCCCAATCCAGAGATTTGGGGGATTTTGGGGGATTTTGGGGGGGTTCTGTCCTGGCTCACCCTCTGAGTGTCTTGTCCTGCAGGAGCCCCTCAAGAGCCTCCGGCCCAAGAAGCCGGAGGGGCCCCGGGGAGGATCCCAAAAGAGCCGGGAGGTGAAATCCGTCCCTTTGGAGCTGCAGGATGACGTGGGGGACAGTGAGTGTGGGGTGGGGGTGGGAATGGGGATGGGAATGGGGATGGGAATGGGAAAGGGGATGGGGATGGGAATGGGGACAGTGAGTGTGGGATGGGGGTGGGAATGGGAATGGGGCTGGGAAGGGGAATGGAGATGGGAATGGCAATGGCAATGGCAATGGCAATGGGGACAGTGAGTGTGGGATGGGAATGGGAATGGGAATGGGGACACTGTGGGAAATGGGGGCCCTTTGGTTGATCCCAGGGCTGGAAACGGAGCCCTGGGAGAGCTCCGAGCGCTGGGATGGAAATGGGAGCCCCTTTGGGAAAATCCCCTGGTGATCCAAGGGGCTGGAAACAGTGAATCCAGGCTGGGAATGGGATCCTGGGCAGAGCTGGGAATGGGATCCTCCGGGGTCACTCCCGGTGTTCCAGGGGTTGGGAAGGGGCTCCGGGGTCATTCCCGGTGCTCCAGGCCGGGGGTGCCGCCCCAGGGGCGTTCCCAGCACCGTTCCCAATCCCGATTTTCCGCAGGCAGGAAGCACATGCGCCAATCCACCACGGAGCACACCCGGCAAACCTTCCTGAGGCTCCAGGAGCGCCAGGTCCAGTCCAAGAGGAAAAAGGGGGGGACGAGCTACGAGCGGCCCCTGACCCAGGAGGAGCTGCTGGAGGAGGCCAAAATCACCGAGGAGATCAACCTGCGATCCCTGGGTGAGCCTGGGAATGCTGGGAATGGGGCTGGGATAACGGGAACAGGGCTGGGAATGCTGGGAATGGGGCTGGGATAACAGGAATGGGGCTGGGGATCCCGGGAATGGGGCTGGGAATCACCGAGGAGATCAACCTGTGATCCATGGGTGAGCCTGGGAATGCTGGGAATGGGGCTGGGAATGCTGGGAATGGGGCTGGGGATCCCGGGAATGGGGCTGGGAATCCCAGGAATGGGACAGGGAGTCTTGGAATGCCGCAGAGACCCCTGGAACGGAGCCAGGGGTGGGGAGGGAAAAGGGATCCTTGGAATGTCAGGGGATCCCTGAGGGTGGAGCTTGGGGAGGGAAACGGGATCCCTGGAATGGCTCCAGGAGCCTGGAACGGCACAGGGATCCCTGGAATGGAGCTGGGAGGGAAAAGGGATCCTTGGAATGTCACAGGGATGCCTGGAATGGTGCAGGGACCCCTGGAACGGAGCCAGGACCCCTGGAGTGGCCCAGGGATCCTTGGAATGGCTCAGGGAGCCTGGAATGGCACAGGGAGCCCTGGAACAGTGCCAGGACCCCTGGGATGGCACAGGGAGCCCTGGAATTTCACAGGGAGCCTGGAAAGGCACAGGGAGCCCTTGGAATGGCACAGGGATCCTTGGAATGACACAGGGACCCTGGCACAGCTCCAGGAGCCCTGGGATGGCACAGGGACCCCTGGGATGGCACAGGGATCCTTGGAGTGGCACAGGGAGCCCTGGAATTTCACAGGGACCCCTTGGAATGGCACAGGGATTCTTGGAATGGCACAGGGGTACATGGAGTAGCACAGGGATCCTTGGAATGGCTCCAGGACCCCTGGAATGGCACAGGGACCCCTGGGATGGCACAGGGATCTTTGGAATGGGTCCAGGACCCCTGGCACAGCTCCAGGAGCCCTGGAATTTCACAGGGACCCTTGGAATGGGTCCAGGACCCCTGGCACAGCTCCAGGAGCCCTGGAATTTCACAGGGACCCTCCAGGAGCCACATCTCCAGGCTGGGGGATTGGAGGAGGGCGAGCAAAGCCCCCTGACCTTCTCTCTCCCCCCTCCCAACCTTTCCCCCCGGCCCCTGCCCCCGTTCCCAGAGAACTACGAGCGCCTGGAGGCCGACAAGAAGAAGCAGGTGCAGAAGAAGCGCCAGTGCGTGGGGCCCGTGATCCGCTACTGCTCCCTCACCATGCCCCTCCTGCCCGAGCCCCCCCTGCTCCCAGAGACCCCCCGGCAGCCCCTCGACGTCGAGGGGTCAGTGGAACCCCCGGGATGGGGAGTGCTGGGATGGGTCTGAACCCCCATGGAGAGGGGGGGAGGTGGGAGGGACGGAATGTCGCGTTCTGGCCCCGGGGAGCAGCTCCAGGGGATGAATCCTGACCCTGATCCCAACATGAATTCCAACCTGGATCCCAACCCAAATCCCAACCCGGATCCCATCCCAGATCCCAACCCAGATCCCAACCTGAACCCCAACCCAGATCCCAACCTGAACCCCAACCTGAATCCCAACCAGGATTCCAACCCAAATCCCAACCCGGATCCCAACCCAAATTCCAACCTGAATCCCAACCTGAATCCCAACCCAAATCCCAACCTGGATTCCAACCCTATCTCCATCCCAGGAGAAGAGAGGAGGGTGGGAGGAGAAGCAGCTTTCCTCAGAGCCCCCAAACCACCCCAGACCCCAAACCCCAACCCCCTAACCCTAACCCCCAGACCCCAAACCCCAACCAGGATCCCAACCCAAATCCCCCATCTCCATCCCAGGAGAAGAGAGGAGGGTGGGAGGGAGAAGCAGCTTTTCCTCAGAGCCCCCAAACCACCCCAGACCCCTAAACCCCCAAACTGCAACCCCTAAACCCAAACCCCAGACCCCAAACTCCAACCCCCAAACTCCAGACCCCAACCCAAACCCCAGACCCCAAACTCATCAAACTCCCAAACCCCAGACCCCAAACTCCAACCCCTAAACCCCAAACCCCAACTCCCAACCCCCAAACCCCAGACCCCAACTCAACCCCAGACCCCAAACCCCATCTCATCCCTGCAGTCCCACCAATCTCTCTCCCCTTTTCCCCCCCCCATTCCCAGGCTGGATCAGGACCCCCCCCAGGCCGACCCCTCTCCCGTCGGGAAGTGCTCCCGCACCTTCATCTCCTTCAGCGACGACGAGACCTTCGAGCGCTTCTTCCCGCGCTCCAAAGCTCCGCGGCTGCCGGTGCGGGAGCTGTGCCCCGTCACCCACCGGCCCGCCCTGTACCGGGACCCCGTCACCGACATCCCCTACTCCAACATCCGCGCCTTCCGCATCATCCGCGAGGCCTACAAGAAATACATCACGGCCCACGGGCTGCCCGGGGCCTCCCTGGGCGGCCCCCCGGCCCCAGAGCCCCCGGGCCGCCCCGCTGCGGGAGGAGCCGCCCTGGAGGAGGAGGAGGAGGAGGAGGAGGAGGAGGAGGAGGAGGAGGAGGAGGAGCTGCCCCCCGGCCCGGCCGGCAGAAAATCGTCATCAAAGAGAGCGTCCCCACTGCTTGAGAGGGGATGGGGTGAGGGATGGGAGTGGGATAACACCGGGATAAAACCAGAATTGTCATCAAAGAGAGCGTCCCCACTGCCTGAGAGGGGATGGGGGTGAGGATGGGAGTGGGATGACACAGGGATGGGAATGGGATAACACTGGGATAACGCCAGAATTGTCATCAGAGTGTCCCCACCGCCTGAGAGGGGATGGGGTGAGGGATGGAATGGGATAACACAGGGATGGGAATGGGATAGCGTCGAGATAAAACCGGAATTGTCATCAAACAGAGCGTCCCCACTGCCTGAGAGGGGATGGGGTGAGGGATGGAATGGGATAGCACAAGGATAAAACCGGAATTGTCATCAAACAGAGCGTCCCCACCGCCTGAGAGGGGAGGGGATGGAGGGAGAATGTGGGGATGGGGATGGCATAGAGAAAACCGGAATAACACCAGGATAGGAATGGGATAATGCCAGGGTACAGTGGAGATGGGAATGGGATAACGCCGGGATGGGAACGGGATATCGCCAGGATACAGGAGGGGTGGGAAGGGGATAATGCCAGGATGGGAAGGGGATAACATTGGGATAGGAATGGGATAATGCTGGGGTACGATGGGGATGGGAAGGGGATAAAACTGGGATAGAAACGGGATAAAACTGGGATAAAGCCAGGGTAAAATGGGGACACTATTGGGATACCACACAGATAGCACTGGGATGCACTGGGGTATCACTGGGATGCTCTGGGGTATCACTGGGATGCAGTGGGATTGCACTGGGATAGCACTGGGATAGCACTGGGATGCACTGGGATTGCACTGGGATAGCACTGGGAGGTACTGGGGACAGATGGGGGGTCCAGCTCCCCCCAGCAGTGACGATTCCTTGGATTTATCCTATCCCGGGCTTGGTTTATCCCGTGACGAGAGTTTGGGATTTCCGTGGGTAAAACCGGGAATAAAAGGTGGGAAGTGCCGGGTTGGTTTGGGGTCGGCAGGGGGAGAGACCCTACAGTAAACACGGGGGGGGTGGGAGGGGTTGTTTTCCAGGAGACCCTACAATAAACACACCTTTCATTCCCGATCGTGATCCGGGAGAAGGAAAAACACCCCCGGGAATTTTTTTTTTTTTGGGGGGGGGATGGCCCGGGAATCCCCCCGGGAGGTTTCACCCCGGGCCGGGCAGGTTTTGGGGTGCGCGGGGCCCCGGGGCCAGGGGTAGGGCCCCCGGGGCTGGCCGGGCTCGATAAGATCCGGGCTGTGGGATATGTGATCCAGCCCCTCCCCGGCGCAGAATAAATCGCTGATCTCATGCCCTGCGCGGCCGCAGCCCTCGGGCTCAGCCGCGGGACTCGCTCCAGGCACGATCCGGGACCGGGGGGGTCCCCGGGGGTGGGGGGCGCGGCATTCCCATGGGAGAAGGGATTTGGGGAGTGGGAGGGGGTGCCCACCCTGCAGCCCCGCCACGGGGTTCACCCGCGGCGGTCCTTCCCAAACTTGGAGCGCCCCCCCCGGCCCTAAATCCCAAACCCTGGGTCGGGAGGGCTCGGTATTCCCGCTGGGATGGGGGGTTTGGGAGGGGGGGGTCTCTGGAAGCCGCATTCCTGGGATCTCCCACCCTGTGGGATCACTCAGGGGGGGTTCTGACCCCCCCTCCGGGCTCTGTCCCACCCTGGGGGGAAAAGGGAGGGTTTGGGGCAGCACCTTGGGACCCCCCCCACCCCAAATCCCCAATTCCCAACCCCAATTCCCAAGCCCAAATCCCACATCCCGAATCCAGAACGATCCCAGTTCTTGGGGGCACCTGGAGCAGCTCTGGCAGCTGAGGGGGTCGGGCCCTGCCAGGTGCGTCCCCCCCCTCCAATTTTGGGGTCCCACACCTCGATTTGGGTCCCTTTTCGCGGGGGGAAGAGGGGGACGATCCCAGGGATTCATTCCCTCGTGTTTCCCTCTCCTGCTTCCCAGTTTTTATTTGGGAAGGGCTGGAGGGAGAATCAGGTGCTGCTGGTTCGGGATGAGCCCCCCCCAGGCAATGGAGGGGGGGGAGGTTTTGGGGGGTGGGACTCAATTTTCCCCCAGCAAAGCTCCCCCCAAATCCGCTGGGACCCCCCAAATCCAGCAGGGAATCAATTCCATGGAGGTGGTGGTGGCACCAAGGGGGGTGACACGGGGGGATCCCCAAGGCATCGGGGGGTCCCTCCAGCCCCTAAACCCCCCTCCCTTTATCCCCCCCATCCCAGGACGCCCCCCAGCCATGACGTCATACCGGCAGGAGCTGGAGAAGTACCGGGACATCGACGAGGACAAAATCCTGCAGGAATTGTCCCCCGAGGAACTGGCCCAGCTGGACATGGAGCTGATGGAGATGGACCCCGAGGTGGGCTCGGGGACAGCACAGGGAGGGAAGGGGGGGCCCTGGGGACAGCGGGGACCCCCACGGGTGACACTGGGGGTGTGTCCCCCCCCCCTCCCCAGAACGTGCTGCTGCCCGCGGGGCTGCGACAGCGGGACCAGACCCAGAAGAGCCCCACGGGCCCCCTGGATCGGGAGGCGCTGCTGCAGCACCTGGAAAAGCAGGCGCTGGAGGCCGAGGAGCGCCAGGACCTGGTGCCCTTCACGGGCGAGAAGAAAGGTGGGGGGACACCCCGGGGACAGGGGGGGACATTGGGGGGACATTGGGGCGACGGCGGCAGGGCCGGGGGTGGGGTATATTTAGCTCGGCAGGCTCGGGTGTCCCGGGCGAGCTGGGCCCCGCCAGCCCCGGGCAATGTCACCCCCGGGCCACCCCCCCACACCCGGCAATGTCACCCCCCTGGATGGTCACCCCTTGGAAAGGTCACTTCCTGGCAATGCCACCCCCTGGCAATGTCCGTGTCCCCATCCCTGCCCAGCACAGGCAATGCCACCCCCGTGGCAATGTCCCCCCTCCCGGTGTGACCCTCGGGGAGGCCACCCCGGCAATGCCACCCCGTGGCAGTGCCACCTGCAGCACCCAGGACATCCCCCCGGCAGTGCCACCCCCATGGGGCCACCCAGCAGTGCCACCCAGCAGTGCCACCCAGCAGTGCCACCCAGCAGTGCCACCCTGGGCCAGGTCCCCTTCAGGTGGTGGCCACGTCCCCCCGGGCCACCACAGTGGTGTCCCTGGCCAGTGTGACCCTGTCCCTGTTGCCACCACACCCAGTGTCCCCCATGTCCCAGCGCTGCCATTCCCGGTGTCCCTGCCTGGTTGTTCCCATGTCCCTCCACCACTTCTGGTGTCCCTGCCCAGTGTGCCCCTGTCCCCCTGTCCCCATCACCGCTGTCCCCGTGCCCAGGGAAGCCGTTCGTGCCCAAGAACCCGACGCGGGAGATCCCCCGGGAGGAGCAGATCACGCTGGAGCCGGAGCTGGAGGAGGCCTTGGCCAACGCCACCGAGGCCGAGATGTGTGACATCGCCGGTGGGTGTCCCCCTCCACCCCCCCGAGGGGACAGGGGGTGTCCTGGACCTCCCCCCTTAACCCCTCCCCACGTGTGTCCCCCCTTCCTCCCCCAGCCATCCTGGGCATGTACACCCTGATGAGCAACAAGCAGTACTACGATGCCATCTGCAGTGGGAACATCTCCAACACCGAGGGCATCAACAGTGAGTGACAGGGGACACCCCCCCGGGGCAGGGGACACCCCCCTAGGGCAGGGGACACACCCTTGGAGCAGGGGACACCCCTCTGGGGCAGGGGACACCCCCTTGGGACAGGGGACACACCCCCAGGATGGGGCACATGGAAACAAAGCCCAGGGGACATCGGGACAGGCCCCCAGGACAAGGAAAACGGGGCCCACCTGGGCGGGATTTGGGGCCCAAACCCCCTGGGGGGTTGCTGTGACCCCCCATGTGTGTCCCCACCCCTGTGTCCCCGTCCCTGTCCCCGTCCCCGTGCCCCAGGTGTGGTCAAGCCCGACTCGTACAAACCGGTGCCGGACGAGCCCCCGAACCCCACGGACGTGGAGGAGACGCTGCGCAGGATCCAGGAGGACGACGCGGCCCTGGAGGACGTGAACCTCAACAACATCAAGGTGGGGGACCCACCCTGTCCCCACCATGTCCCCACCCTGTCCCCAGCGTGTCCCCAGTGTGGGTGGCTCCCAGCCCGAGGTGTCCCCAGACGGTGCCAGGGCGATGGGTCCCACCCCAGGGTGTCCCTTGGAGCCACCACCACCCCTTCAGGGCCACCTCCCCCTCCCTGGTGCCACCTCCCCCACCACTGGTGACACCCTGGTGACACCCTGGTGACCCCCCCCGTGTCCCCTGGCCAGGACATTCCCATCTCCACGCTCAAGGCCATCTGCGAGGCCATGAAAAGCAACACCCACGTCAAGAGGCTCAGCCTGGTGGCCACCAGGAGCAACGACCCCGTGGCCCACGTGAGTGTCCCCAGATGTCCCCACCCCGAGGTGACCTGAGGTGACCCCGGGGTGACCCCGAGGTCCCCCCCAGGCGGTGGCCGAGATGCTGATGGAGAACAAGACCCTGCAGAGCCTCAACCTCGAGTCCAACTTCATCACGAGCGCGGGGATGAGGAGCATCATCCAGGCCGTGCCCCACAGCCCCGCCCTGGCCGAGCTGCGCGTCGACAACCAGGTGGGCACGGGGGGCACGCCCTGCGCGGCCGCCCCTGGTAATGTCACCCTCCAAAAGGTCACCCCTCAAAATGTCACCCCCTGCACGGCCACCCCTGGCAGTGCCACCCCCCAAGTGTCACCCCCCCAGCAATGCCACCCCCAGTCACAGTCCCTGATGTGTCCCCACCCCGCAGTGCCAGCGCCTGGGGGACACGGTGGGGACAGGGGAGGTGACAGGGGAGGTGACAGGGGAGGTGACAGGGGAGGTGACAGGGGAGGTGACAGGGGTGTCCCCGCAGTGCCAGCGCCTGGGGGACACGGTGGAGATGGAGATGGCGGCGATGCTGGAGCGCTGCCCCTCCGTGGTGCGGTTCGGGTACCACTTCACCCAGCAGGGCCCCCGCGCCCGCGCCGCGATCGCCATCACCCGCAACAACGAGCTCCGTGAGCGGGAACAGCCCGGGAGCACCGGGAATGGGGGCGGGAACACCGGGAATGGGGGCGGGAACACCGGGAATGGGGGCGGGAACACCGGGAATGGGGGCAGGGCCGAGTCACGGAGAGCTCCGTGGCTGGAACGGGGCGGGAAAGCCCAGGAATTCAGGGGGTGAATCCTGGGAATTGAGGAGGGGTGGGAGGAGTCACAGGGAGTGGGAGGGGAAGGGAATCCCAGGGATTGGTGGGGAAGGGAATCCCAGGGATTGGTAGGGGAAGGGAATCCCAGGGATTGGTGGGGAAGGGAATCCCAGGGATTGGTGGGAAAGGGAATCCCAGGGATTGGTGGGGAAGGGAATCCAAGGGACTGGTGAGGGAAGGGAATCCCAGGGACTGTGAGGAGCCCCAGGGATTGCTGGGAGGGAATCCCAGACCCAACTCCCCCCCTATTCCAAAGAGCTTCGGGAGTGCCCCCGAGTCCCCTCCAGGCAGGAATTTGGGGGAAGAATCCCAGGAATTCCCAGATTTGAATCCCCCCATCCCTCCCTTTTCTCTCCCTCCCCCCCCAAGGTCGGAGGCAGAAGAAAACCTAAACCACCCAACCCCTCCCTCCAGGAATGAGAGACCTCTGGGAACGCTGGAAATAAAAGCTGGAAAGACACAGATTGGAGACCCCTTTGGGGCCAGGGGGGATTTTTGGGAATTGGGCACGGGGGGAGGTCAGGGGGACACCCCGAAAAGGCACCGGGGGGAGCAGGAAAACACCAGGATTCCCTGGATCCCCCTTCCCGAGGGCTCTGGGGGTGCCCTCCAGGCTGCATTCCCGGGGGATTTGGGCACAGGGAGGGGTCAGCTCGGTGGCAGCGCCAGGGGCTCCTCCTCGTCCGAGTCGAACTCGGCGTTCCCGTCCTTCACCCACTTCCCAGAGGGATCCTGGAGCCACCCGGAGCTGGGGAGGGAGGGGATTGGTGAGGGGGCTGGGCTGGGCCTGCCTGGGGTCACTGGGGCTCGCTTTGGGGACATTTGGGATGGTTTGGGGTCATCTGGGATGGTTTGGGGGCATTTGGGATGGTTTGGGGGCATTTGGGGCTCGGTTTGGGGGCATTTGGGGCTCAGTTTGGGCTCAGTTTGAGCTCAGTTTGGGCTCAGTTTAAGCTCAGTTCAGGCTCAGTTTGGGCTCAGTTTGGGCTCAATTCAGGCTGTTTGGGCTCAGTTTGGGGTTATTTGGGCTCAGTTTGGGCTCAGTTTGGGCTCAGCTCAGGCTCAGTTTGGGCTCAGTTTGGGCTCGGTTTGGGCTTGGTTTGAGCTCAGTTCAGGCTCAGTTTAAGCTCAGTTTGGGGTTATTTGGGCTCAGTTTGGGCTCAGCTCAGGCTCAGTTTAAGCTCAGTTCAGGCTCAGTTTGGGCTTGGTTTGAGCTCAGTTCAGGCTCAGTTTAAGCTCAGTTTGGGGTTATTTGGGCTCAGTTTGGGCTCAGTTCAGGCTCAGTTTGGGCTCAGTTTGGGGTCATTTGGGGCTCAGTTCAGGCTCAGTTCAGGCTCAGTTTGGGCTCAGTTCAAGCTCAGTTTGGGGTTATTTGGGCTCAGCTCAGGTTCAGTTTAAGCTCAGTTTGAGCCCAGCTCACCTGCGCAGGTGCAGGTGGTGCTGCAGGAGCCGGCGCCGCTCGGGGCTCAGCTCGTCCCACACCGAGGATTTCCCTTCCCGGCTCGGAGCCTTTGGAACGTCTGGAGAGGGAACGAGGGGGGTGTGGGACCCTCTGGAACGGGACAGACCCAGGTCCTGCCCCAGGGGTGCCCCCTGGCTCCCACCTGCCCTCCCGCTGCCGTGATCCAGCAGCAGGGCTGAGGATTCCCGGGATTCTCCCGCGTTCCGGAGCGGCTCCAGCACCATCCGGGTGGTGCCGGCCCGGGAGCTGCTTCCCTGGGCCCTGGGATGGGACAGGGAATTGGGGATGAGTCCCACGAACACCTGACGGCAGCGAGGACCACGGGAATCCCAGAGCTCTCCCCCACCCCAGGAATCCCTTTCCAGCGATCCCAAAGCTTCACCTCTTCCCAATCCCTTTCCCAGTGATCCCAAAGCTTCACCTCTTCCTTTCCCAGCGATCCCAAAGCTTCACCTCTTCCCACTCCCTTTCCCAGCGATCCCAGAGCCCTCCCTCGCCCTCCCTTTCCTGGGAACCCCAGAGCTTTCCCTCATCCCCTCCTGGGAATTCCAGAGCCCCTCTCCCGCCGTTCCCGGCGCCATTCCCGACCCTTTCCTGCGGCAGCAGCTGCTGTAGGGGGGGATTTCAGGAGGGCGCTCCGGGCGATCCGTCGTGTCCGTGCCAGGAGCGGGGCCTGGGATCCCTGGGGAGGGAAGGGAAGGGAAGGGAAGGGATGTGGCCCAGGGGGTCCCACGGGGGAAGGTCCCACGGGTGGGGCAGGTGAGGCCACACCCACCTGCACACCTGGAGCCTCTCCCGGAGCCTCTCCCGGAGCCTCGGAGCCGGGAGCGGGGAGCGAGTGCGGCCATAGGAGAGTTGGAGATCTGGAAAACAGGGAGGGGATGGGATGGGAATGATGGGATGGGATTGATGGGATGGGATTGATGGGATGGGATGGGAATGATGGGATGGGAATGATGGGATGGGATGGGATGGGATTGATGGGATGGGATGGGATGGGATGGGATGGGATGGGATGGGGTGGGATGGGATGGGATGGGGTGGGATGGGATGGGGTGGGATGGATGATGGATGGGATGGGAATGATGGGATGGGATGGGATGGAATGATGGGATGGGATGGGAATGATGGGATGGGAATGATGGGATGGGATGGGATGGGATGGATGGGGTGGGATGGGATTGGATTGATGGGATGGGATGGGATGGGATGGGATGGGATGGGATGGGATGGGATGGGATGGGATGGGATGGGAGGAAAGGAACACAGGGACAGGAAATGGGACAGGGAAAAGGACACAGGGACAGGGAAAAGGGGACACAGGGACAGGGAAGGGGACAGGGAAAAGAACACAGGGACAGGGAAAAGGACACAGGGACAGGGAAAAGGACAGGGAAAAGGGACACAGGGACAGGGAAGGGATGTGGGAAGAGGGAACAGGGGAGAGGGGACAGGAAAAGGGACAGGGAAGGGGAGAAAGAAGGAGCCACAGGGACTCAGGGACAGGGAAGGGACACGGGGACAGAGGAGGGCCCGTGGGAGGGGTCCCGGCGCCACCCCCACCCCACTCACTGTGCAGGTGCCTCCTGCCCCCCCTGTGCACGGCCAGGGCCGCCAGGGTGTCACACACGGGCCGGTTGGGACACACGGAGCAGGCAAACCTGGCGGCGGGGACACGCGGGGACACCGTGGGGACACCCCCGCAGGGCAGGGGGGCCCCTCGAGGCTCCCCCCGGCTCGGGGTGGGGGTCTCTCACCTCCCGCTCCGCAGCAGCAGCGCCTCGTCCTCGGGGATGGAGTTTGCCAGCAGGTCCGACACCCGGCGTTTCTGGGGGAGAGTTGGGGGGGTTCAGGGAAGGCCTGAGGGGACCCGGGTGGGCTCAGGCCGCAATACGAGGGCAACCCCGAGGTTGTGCGGAGCGGCCGGGTCTGGCCCTGGGCGCTCTGGGGGCTCCCGAGGGAGGTCCGGGGAGGGGTCGCGGCCCCACCTGCAACGCCCCGAGCGGGCCCGGATCGTCCGCATCGCGCTTGAAGGACATGGCGGCCCCGCCGTCACCATGGCAACCGCGCCGCTTCCGGGTGCCTTCCTCCCAGGGGGCCGTGCGCGGGGAGGGCAGCGACCAATCAGAGAGCGCGCCCCGCAGCATGATTGAGAGTTGTAGTTCTCCTGCAGCGCTCCGCGCATGGGGGTAAAGGGGGAGGGTGCCCCTTTAGAACTACAACTCCCGCAGGCCCCGCGGCGGCGCGGCCGGGCCCGGGGCTGAGGGAGCGGCGGGGCCGGGCCGGGACCCCCCGAGGGACCCCCCGGGCCGGGACCCCCCCCGGGCCATGGCGGGGAGCGGCGGGGCCGGGGCGGCCCCCCGGGAGCACCGCCTGCAGCCCGGGGACACCCTGGCGGGGCTGGCGCTGCGCTACGGGGTCACGGTGAGCGGGGCGGGGGGACGCGGGGGGCGGTGGAGGGGGGAGACCACTCGGGGTGTCCCCGCGGGCCACGGGGGTCAGCCCGGGGCTGGTTCCCTTCTGGCCCTCACTCATCCCTGTCCTGCCTTCCGTCCCTGTGCCATCCTCATCCCACCCCTGTCCTGGTCCCCATCCCTGTCCTGATCCCGTCCCTGTCTCCATCCCTGTCCTGGTCCCCATCCCTAATCCATCCTCATCCCAACACTGTCCTCATTCCTGTCCCCATCCCTGTCCTGGTCCCCATCCCTGTCACATCCTGTCTCCATCCCTGTCCCTGTCCCCATCCCTGTCCTTATCCCGTCCCTGTCCCCATCCCTGTCCTGGTCCCCATCCCTGTTCCATCCTCATCCCAACACTGTCCTTACTCCTGTCCCCATCCCTGTCCTGGTCCCCATCCCTGTCTGGTCCCCATCCCTGTCTCATCCCATCCCTGTCCTGCCCCTTACCCAATTCTGGTCCCCATCCCTGTCCCCACCCCATCCCCATCTCCATCCTCATCCCATTCCCATCCCTGCCCCCGTCCCGGCCAGATGGAGCAGATCCAACGCGCCAACCGCCTCTACACGTCCGACACCATCTTCCTGAAGCCCACCCTGCTCATCCCGGGGGGGTCCCAGGCCCAGCCCCTCCTGGGGGACGAGCCCCGGGACGTTCCCGACCCTCCGGAGCCGCCGCCGTCCCGGCACGACCTGTCGGCCGTGGAGTTCCTGCGGCGCCTGGACCGAGAGATCGGCCGATCCAAGGAGGCTGCGGCGCTGCAGAACCGGCAACGGCACACCCCGGGAGATCCGGGGTGGGAGAGGAGAGGTAGGATGAGAGGAGTGGAGGAGTGGATGATGGGATGGGATGAGATGGGATGGATGGGATGGGATGGGATGGAGATGGGAATGATGGATAGGATGGGATGGGATGGGATGGGATGGGATGGGATGGGATGGGATGGGATGGGATGGGATGGGGTGGGCACCAGGATAGGGACAGGGATGGGATGGGATAGGATGGAACAGGGAGGGGATGGGATGGGCACCAGAATAAGGACAGGGATGGGATGGGGATGGGACAGGGATGATGACAGAACAGGGCAGGGATGGGATGAGGAGAGAGACAAGGATGGGATGGGGACCAGGATAAGGATGGGAATGGAACAGGGTGGAGAGGATCAGGGATGGGCACCGGGATAGGGACAGGGATGGGATGGGATGGGCACCAGGATAGGGACAGGGATGGGATGTGATGGGATGGAGATGTGGATGGGATGGGATGGGACAGTGATGGGAGATGAAGACAGAGACAGGACAGGACAGGGATGGGGTCCAGGATGGGATGGGGTCCAGGGTGGGATGGGGACAGGGACAGAGACAGGCATGGGATTGGGATGCAGGTGTGGATGGGGTGGGGACAGGGCTGGGGGTCCGGGCTGTCACCGCTGTGTCCCCACAGCCCCAGCGATTCCGGAGCATCCCAGAGGATCCCAGAGGGTCCCTCGTCCCCCCGGGAAGGGCCCCGGCTGGGCCCACGACCCCTCACCAGGACCCCCCGGGCGGCCGCGCTGAGGGACACAGAGGATGAGATCTGCACCCTGTGACAGTGGGAACAGCAGGAATGGGATAATCTGCACCTTGGACAGCAGGAATGGGACAGATCTTCACCTTGTGACAGTGGGAACAGGACAGTCTGCACCCTGTGACAGTGGGAACAGCAGGAATGGGATAATCTGCACCCTGTGACACTGGGAACGGGACAGCAGGGACACCGGGATGTGGCACTGAGGACACCTGGGATGTGGCACCAGGAAAACCTGGGATGTGGCACCAGGAAAAACCTGGGATGTGGCACCAGGGACACTGGGATGTGGCACTGAGGACACCTGGGATGTGGCACCAGGAAAAACCTGGGATGTGGCACCAGGGACACCGGGATGTGGCACCAGGGACACCGGGAATGTGGCACTGAGGACACCTGGGATGTGGCACCAGGAAAACCTGGGATGTGGCACCAGGGACACCGGGAATGTGGCACTGAGGACACCTGGGAGGGGACACTGGGCACACCTGGGGTGTCCCGTTCCTGCCAGGACAGGCTGGAATTGGAATTGGGCACTTCCCTGCTCCTTGAGGGGAATCCAAAGGGCCTGGGATGGCATCGACACGGAACCAAGCGGACACTTCCCATCCCATTCCCACATCCCTCCCCAGCAGCTCCAAGCATCCCCCTTTCCCAAATCCCAGGGGCAGGAATTTGGGCCCCACTTCGACCTTTTCTTGGAAAATAAATTAACAACCCCCCCCCACCACCACCCCAACCCAGGAAAACCCAACCCCTTTTCCTGAGGAAAAGAAGGAAAAAAAAAAACCAAACGGGATTTTCCACCTTCCAACAACCCCCGCTGGGTCTCGGCTCTATTATATATAATATATATATCAGACACCCCCGCGGGGGTTATTATGGGATGGAGGGTAGGACACACAGTTCCCCCTGCCCCTCAGACCCTCCCTGCTCCCTGACTTCGACCTCCCCAGGCCCCCTTTGGGGTCCCTGATTGTCGCCGTGTGGGGATAAACCCGGGATTTTGGGGGGTCCTGGGGCTCCTAGGGGCCTGGGGGTTTGGGGGTCCTGGGGAGGGGTATTTACAGGAGGGGTCGTACATACATATTTATAGCCGGGGAGGGGAGGGGCTGCAGATTTTGGGTGGGGGAGAACGGAACAAAGTGCATTTTATACAGATCGGATCCAGCCCTGGGGGCTCAGGGGGCTGCCATGCGAGGTGGGGGTCCCACTGCCAGCCCCTGCCAGGGGGCCCTCCTTCCAGCCAAAATCCCGGGAAAACCCACCCCTGGGATTTGGAGGGGAGGGAAGAGGAAACCCCCTCCCCCTCAGCCCGTGGTTAAAGGTGGGAGGGTCCTCAGCCAGGGGGCTCTGGAGCCTGAAAGAGGGAGAAGGGGGTCAGTGGGGAAAGGGGCTCAGTGAGGGGGAGGAACAGGGGGTCACCCCTGGTTAAAGGTGGGAGGGGGCTTTAGCCAGGGGGTCTGGAGCCTGGAAAAGGGGGAAATGAGGGGGGAAAAGGGGAGTGAGATGGGAGGGTATCAAGGGGTTATGGAGGGGGGACACAGGGAAGGGGTCTCCCTCATTTGGGAGGAGTCTCACCTGGGTGTTGGCAGCCCCGGGAGGCTCCAGGAGCTGGGGGGGCTGGGGGCGGGGCTGTGCCCACCCAGAAGGGTGGGGGCCGGGACCCCGGGGGTTGTGTGCCCCCCAGCGAGCGCAGGAGCTGCCGGTGGGCGACTTCCAGGGCCTGGGGAGGGGGGAAAGGTGAGGGGGCTTCTGTGTGTGTCCCCCCCTCATGACACCCTTCATGTCCCCCCTTCCATGTCCCCCCATTCCATGTCCCCCCCCATTCCATGACCCCCCATTCCATGACCCCCATTCCACATCCTCCCCCTCCCTGTGACCCCCTTTAACGTTTCCTCCCCCAGCCCCATTTTTGGGGGGTCTCACCCTCAGCCTGTGCAGTTTCCCCGTGAGCCCCTCGATGGTGCTCAGGATCAGCTCCACCTCGCTGGGGGGTCCGGGGTCCTGAGCCCCTCAGCCCCGGGGGCCGGGGAGGGCAGGGGGGTTTGGGAGGGGCCCGTGGGGAGGCTCACGTAGAAATAATTGCCTGGGAAAAGGAAAGAACTGCTGGGGGAGGCTTGGTAGCCCCTCCCAGGGTTTTAGTGGCCCCCCAGGGTGTCAGCAGCCCCCTGAAGGGTGTTGGTGCCCCCACCCCTCCCCGAGGGTCTCAGTGGTCTCGTGGGTTTTTTTTTTTGGGGGTGTCTCTTTACCATCCACGCAAGCTCCGCCTCCTTCCCGCAGCTCGGGCTCTGATTGGCTGCTGCCTGGTGAGGGCGTGGCCTCCCGAGCCCCCTCCGCCTGGGCTGGGACCCCAAAATTGGGGAGGGGGAGGGGAGGAGGAAGAAGGGGGGGTGAGAGGGACCCGCCACCAGCACCCGAAATAACACCCAAAATCAGCACCCAAAATCAGCACCCAAAATTAGCACCCAAAAACATAATTAGCACCCAAAATTAGCACCCAGCACCCCAAATTAGCAACCAAAATCAGCACTCAAAAGCGTAATTAGCACCCAAAAACGTAATTAGCACCCAAAATCAGCACCCAAAATCAGCACCCAGCACCCAAAATCAGCACCCGAAGCAGCACCCAAAATAGCGCCCAGAAACCAAAAACACCACCCAAAATCAGCACCCAGCACCCCAAATCAGCACCCAGCAGCCGAAACCAGCACCCCAAAATAACACCTCAAAATTAGCACCCGAAATCGGCGTCCCAAAACCATCACCAGCCTCCCAAAACCGTCACCAGCCTCCCCAAACCGTCACCCACCTCCCAAAACCATCACCAGCCTCCCAAAAGCATCATCAGCCTCCCAAAACCGTCACCAGCCTCCCAAAAGCAGCACCCAGATCAGCAGCTCAAAATCAGCGAGGGGTAGGGGAGTGGGACCCCCAAACTGTGAGACCCCTGATCCCATCAGGGAGCAGGGATTGAGACCCCCCCAGCTGGGACTGAGACCCCCCCAATCCCACCAAGAACCAGCAGGGGGGGATTCCCTGAGGATCGGGATCCCTGTCCCTGTTTCCCTCTCCCCCCCTTCCCTCCCCAAATTCCCAATCCCCTCCTTTTTTACCTTTCCGGACCACTTTGTACCCGCCGGGCTGCGGCTCCTCCGGCCCCTCGGGGGGCTCGGGAAGCCCCTCGTGGGAGGAAAGCACCGAATCCCAGGTGACCGACGGCGTGGGGGTCACATCGTCCTCGGGATCCACCTCCCGGCACGGCCGCAGCCGCCGCAGGATCAGCACCCGCAGCTTCTCCACTGTGTGTGTGTGTGGGAAAATGTGGGATTTGGGATTCATCCCAACATCCCCAGAGAGGGGAGTGGGGATGGAGACACCCCACCACCCCACGGACTCACCGTCCTCCAGCGCAGCCTCGGCCACGCCGTGGGAGCCGCCGCGGGATTTGGGCAGCGGGAGGTGCGTGGGGATGTCCGGGACGGGGGTGGGAAGGTCGGGGATGGCCCTGCCGGGAAGGAGGGATGAAGAGGCCGGGCCTTCCTCGCCCTCCTCCTCCTCCTCCCCCTCGCTGCCCGCTGGTTCCTCCTCCAAAAACTCCTCCAGGGGTTTCTGGGCGCCCAGGAGAGCGGCGGGATCGCTGTCGGCTGCGGGGAAAGGAGGGAAAAACAGGGGGGGAAAAGGGAGGGATGAGCTTTCCACGCCTGGCAGAGGAGAGGGAGGGAGGGGTTCCAGGGTGACAGCAGGGACAAAGCTCACCCGAGGAACAATCCTCAGGCTCCAGCTCCGCTCCAGAGCCCCGGGACAGCTCCGGGGACACGTCGGGGTCCTGCAGCACCAGCCTGGGTGGAGGGGAGAGGAGAAAGGAGCGCTGGGAAGGAGGTGGGAGCAGGGAGGGAGACCCCCCAAATCCAGGGAAGGGACGAGGAATGAGCCCCTCCCTGACCTGCTCCTTGTTGGAATCAGGGGCCTCACTCCCATGGATTAAGAGCCACCCCTAGTTCCCCCCAGGGAGGGCTCCTGTCCCCATCCCACCCCCCCATGTGGGGAGCAGCCCCTCACCCGGCCGGTGCCGTGCCGGGGGTCTCCGCCGTCCGGCGCTTCGGGGGGAAGGTGGCGTTCCTGGTGGAGCTCTGCACCGCCTCCTCCAGCAGCTCCATCCACCTGCAGGGCCCACAGACCCCCATCAGCCCCCTCAAGGGGGGGTCTCCACCCCCCCAGGGCAGCCCCTTCCCCATCCCCGAGGAGCCTCACGTGTTTTTCTCCGAGGACGTCAGAGCCACCAGCTCGTAGATTTGGGGTCCCAGCTCCGAGGTGCAGATGATGAAAAGGGCTCTTTTATCTGGGAAAGGGATGCCAGGGGGAAGGAGGGAGGTCAGGGCATGGGGGCCACCCCTGGAGCACCTCCCTGGCACAGGTTGTTCCCATGGATTGCCCTGGAAGTGTCGGTCGGGGCTCGGAGCACCCCGGGGTGTTGGAAGGGTCTGGGTGATCCCAAAAGGGTCCCTTCCAACCTGAACCGTTCCAGGATGGTTTATGGACACTGGGGATAAATCCTTCCCTGGGGGGGAGGCACAGGCTGCCCAGAGGAGCTTGGGCTGCCCCATCCCTGCACGTGTCCCAGGACATTTTGGATGCAGCTCTAGCAGAGGGTGTCCCAGCCCTCGGTCTGGGTGACCTTTGAGGTCCCTCCCACCCCACCCCAGCCCTCAATCCCGGGATTCCCCGTCCCTACCCGTGGCCACGGAGCGGATGAGCACCGAGTTGAGCTTGAGGACGGGGCTGAAGGTCTGTTTGTTGTCCGAGGAGCCCAATGCTGTCTTGCTGTGGCACTTGAGCACCAGCTTCTCATCCTGCTTCTGCAGCAGCACCAGGAGGTCCTCCAGGAGCAGCACGTGCAGGTCTGGGGGGGCAGGAAGTGCAGGAGTTGGGGGGGGATCACCCGGGGATGAGCCGAGTGGGACCCCCCTCGTGGCAGTGGAAAAGTGGGGAAGGAGGGGAATAAAGGGGAGGGGAGACACCCAACGTCACTGGGCACGCCAAGGGGCATCTCCCAGTGCTCCCAGTGCTCCCAGCAGGCTGGGGGGGGGTGGTGGGAAAACTTCCATACCCACAGTCTTGTCCTTGCCCACGCGCCAGGTGAGGGGCCCCTCGTGGATCATGCGGCGGGAGGTGAGATCCAGGTTCTGCGGGACAACCAGGAAAGGTTGGGAAAAGGGACCCCCACAGCCCCCCAACCACCCCCTGCCCCCCGCCCAGAGCCCTGGAGGAGGGGTTTGCACCTTGAACTGGGCAGCCAGGGGGTTGCTGGTCCTCTCCAGGGGGGTGGTGTCCAGGCGTTTCTGGTAGCCCTCGAGGCGGTGCCGGTTCTCCGCCCGCTTCACCGCCTCGTTCACGTTCCTCAGGATGTCCCGGCACTGATCCCGAGCCCGGCACAGCTTCTCCAGCTCCGGGGAGCCTGCTGGGAGGGGGGGCACAGGGCTCACACTGGGGCACTGGGGATGGGGGAAAAGGGTTTTGCCCTGCCCACATCCCAGTGACATCCCAGGCACCGAAGCCCTGCTGAAAGGATCCCGGAATTCCCAGAATTGCTGAGGTTGGAAAAGCCCTCCAGGATCACCAATCCCACCCTGTGCCCCTCCTGGGCTGATCCCACCACCTCCCTGGGCAGCCCCTGCCGAGGCCTCACCACCCTTTCCACGGGGAAATTCCTGCTGATGCCCAACCTGACCCTGTCCTGGCACAGCCGCCCCTCACCCTGTTGTTGTTCCCCTGGGAGCAGATCCCGACCCCCACCTAAGACCAAGAAGGTCCCCTGAGCCTCCTTTTCCTCTGGGATAAAGAGGGAAATCCAGGACTTCCCACCAGCCTGGAATTCCCCCCCCCTCTCTGGACATCCACGGAACGCCAGGGTGGGAAGTGTGGGACGCGGGAACCCCGGGATGAGCCCCCCTCCCCACCCTGGGATAAACCCCCCGGGATCAGGGCTCGGGAATGAGCCCCACACCCTCACCCTCGGTGAACTTGATGATGTTCTCCAGCAGCAGGGGGTACTTGGTGAGCCGCTGCATCTCCGAGATGATCAGGTCCTTGAGCTGCAGCCGCCGGCACTGCGGGTTGCTCTCGGCCTCCTGGGGGGGGACAGAGGGGCTGGGACACCCCAAAAACGGGATCCAGGGGGTGGGGGGACACACAGACACCCCCACGGACCTGCATGAAGGCCTGGAACCGGCTCTCCTTGCGCTGCTTGGTCTTGATGAGCTCCAGGGCGATGGATTGGTAGGAGCAGAAGGTGGCGGCGACCTGCTGGATCTCCTCCTTGGCAGGGCCGTCAAACTGGGGGGGAAAATGTGGGGAGGATTGGGGTCAGGGACACCCCTGAGGCTCCCCCCCCAGCCCCTTTAACAGAGGGGACAACCAGGCCCTTGTCCCCTTTTTTTCCTTCCTCACCCGGGACAGCATGAGATCCCCGATTTCCTTGATGATGGGTCCTTCTTCCCGGAGCTTCTTCATGGATTCCAGCAGGGAATCTGGGATGGGGGGGGGTGGGAGACAGGCAGGACAACTGAGAGGGGTCACCAGGGAGGCAGGGGACACCCCCCTCAGGGGGCTGGGCAGGAGGGGACCCCAGAAAGAGGGTCCCAGGAGAGGGGAAGGGGAGGAGGGAGCTGCTCCAGGAGGGGTGACCCCACAACCTCAGCCCACCCCCGTGCTCCCAGGGGTAATTCCAAGGGGGAAAAAGTGGTAATTCCAGGCTGAGGGGGGGGTAGAAAAGGCGGGATCTCTCACTGTGGATGTCGATGAGGTCGGGCAGGTTGGGGAAGAGCAGCCCCAGCTCCTCCCTGGACAGCAGGTTCTCCTTCCTCATCCTCTGGTAGAACAGCAGGTCCAGGACCCTCAGGATGCGCAGGTGGGACCCCTCGGTGGCAAAGAGCTCTGGGGGGAGGGAAGGGAGGGAGAGGGGTGGGGGAGAGCTCAGGGCAACCCCCCCCTGGGGCTGGGGGGGCACTGCTGGGGGGGATCCCTCCCACCTCGGGGTCCCTCATGGCAGCAGGGGGGTCTTGGGGACACTGCTGGGGGTCTTGGGGACACTGCTGGGGGTGTCAGGGGCACTGCTGGGGGTGTCAGGGGCACTGTTGGGGTGTCTTGGGGCACTGCTGGGGGGTCTCCCACTCCCCTGGGGTGTCCCATGGGGCTGGGGGGCACTGCTGGGGGGTCCCTCATGGCAGCAGGGGCACTGCTGGGGGGTCTCCCACTGCCCTAGGGTTCCCCATGGGGTTGGGGGGCAGCGCTGGGGGGTCCCAAATCCCCCCCCTGCAGGGTCCTCACCGTTGATCACCTCCTGTCTCTCCACCTCCCGGGGGGGCAGGTTGGCCACCAGCTCCCGGCTCACCGTGTGCTGCCAGTTCTGGGGGTCCAGCTCTGGCTCCAGGTCCCAGAGCTGGCCCTGCTCGTCCTCCAGCAGGTGGGGCAGGAAGGAATCCACCCCAAAGCCCAGGCTGGGAGACTCGATGCTCCTGGGAAAAGGATGGGGGGGGGGAATTCTCCGTGTTTGGGCTGGAATTTGGAGCCCTCAAGGAGCACGAGGCTCTGACTCTGGGCCTAAAAGACTATGAATCCCCCCCCTATCCTTTATAAATGTCCTTTAAGCTCCTGATGAAAACAAGGGAAAAGGAGCCCCCTCATCCCACCCAGGGGGATGGAAAAATCGTGGGAATTCCCTCCCTTTCCCCCAGGGGAATCCAACCCCTTTGTGGTCCCTCCCCAGCCTGGCTGGAAGGCAAGGAAGAGCTAAGGAGGCAGGGGATGGAGCCCCCCCAAAATTAGGGCACAGCCCTCGGTGGGGGTTCCTACAGAGAGAATTCCTGCTCCGAGGGAAAACCTGGAGCAATCCTGGATAGTTTGGGAGAGAGGGAGGGGAGAGGGGGTCACTCACCTACGGCCCATCTTTGGAGTGAAGGGGGGGGTGGGATTTTCCAGAGACCTGGGGGAGGGATGGGAGAGTCACCTCTGTGCGCCCCAAAATCCCACCCTCCCACCCTTCCTCGAGCCCCTCTGCATGTGGAGGGCCAGTCTGGGGGCAGGAATGGGAATGAAAGCCCAGTTCTCCATGGTTTTTTTTTTCCCCCATGTAGGAGGTTCTGCAGGAGCTGCAGGGACGGAAACCCCTCAGCTCCGCCCGGCCGGGCTGGGTTTTCATCCCCCAGGAATTCCAAAACTTTCCCTCACCCCCAAGGCTTCATCTTCCCGCCCCCCTCCGGCATTCCCAGCTCCCTGGGGAAGGAGTTTCCCACCTGGTGGACAGGCTGGATGCAGAGGAGGAGGCCGACTGGTGCAGCCGGGTGGCCTCGGCCGCCGCGTCCATGTCCACGTCGCTGCGGGATCTGGGAACGTTCTCGGCTTTCCGGGATCTCTTCATCTCTTCCCGGCCCTTCAGGCTCTCGGAGCGGCCCAGCCTGACCTCGGCACGGGAGCTGGAGCAGGGAATAAACCCCGGGAAAAGGCTGAGCCCGCTGGGATGGTCCCTCCATCCCTCTGGATCTGTCCCTGCCCACCAAGACTCCCCTCCTGCCCAAACCATCCCGCGATTCCGGCGCTCCAGGAGACCCCCCCCAAAACCCCAGGATGACCCTCCCAAAACCCCCCCCACCTGTCTGATTCCAGCAGATCCTCTGGGAAGCTCCCCGTGGAGAGGCGCTGGGAGCCGGGCTCCTGGCTCTCGTAATGCTGGTTGTTCTCAAAGTGCTGGATGATATTCCTCACATTCCCGGGTCTGACTGCTGGGATGAACGCAGGGAGAAACGACACACACCCCCCACCCCACACACACACACACTGAGTGAGCCCAGGATGGGGGGAAACAGCACCCAGGGAGCATCCAGCTCCTCTGGGGAGGCTGGAATTCCCGGGGTGCTGAGTGGGAGAAGCCATCCCTCCTCCCAGAGCCCGTCCCGACAGCCAGGGAATGTTTTTGGGGGAGCTCAGGGGGTGGAAGGAGGGAAGGGGAGGGGGATACAAAATCCAACAGAAGCTCATGAGGTGAATGGCAAAAACAAAAAGGAGTTTTTACCTTCGACAGGGGACAAAGGGACATGAAATGCTGGAAGGAAGAACAACAAAACAAAACAAAACAAAACAAAAAAAACAAACAAACAAAAAAGAATGAGGTGTCAAATCAATCCCCGGGTGGCAAATCAAACCCCCTGAATCCCAGAGACCAAGGAGGGGATGGGAGAGGTGGGAAAGGTGGGAATTCCAGGCTCTGGTGGGAGGTGTCCCTGCCCACGGGACTGGATGAGCTTTAAGGTCCCTTCCCAACCCCGATTCCATGATTTCCCAGGGAATTGCTCCCAACCCTGCCAGAGCCCTGACAACTCTCCCAGGGACAGGGTGGGATTGCTGGGGCTGTGCAGGGGCCAGGATTGGACCTGGATCCTTGTGTGGTGTCCCTTCCCACTCAGGGCATTCCAGGATTCCACGAGAGCTCAGCTCTGCTCCATCCCACTCCCCCCTCACCCCAAAAAGCCACTGGAAACACGGATGGGTGACGGGATGAGGGTGTGGGGGGGGATGAGAAACATCTGGCACGGGGTGAGCAGGAATTCCAGGGGTTCCCAAGGCATTCCCAGGAAGCTGCAGCGGGCTCAGCACCTCGGAATTCCCGACACTCACTGCTCTGGGAGGAGATCTTGGGCTTCCCGATGTACTTGAGGATGGGGTTGCGCTTCTTGTCCTCCAGGGCATCCTTGTCCTTCTTGGAGCTGCTGCTCTGTTTGGGACACCCAGGAGGGTGAGACACGGAGAGGGAACATCCCCACGGGAGCCCTGGGGGGGGAATCCCAACATTCCCTGCGCTGGAATGAGCCCCTGGAGAAGGGATGGGGCCGGGATCTGCTGCTCTGCAGGGGTGGGGGGAGATGGGGATGGACGGAGCTGGGGAAGGGGCTGGAGAAACTCCTGAGGGAGCTGGGGGGGCTCATCCCGGAGAAAAGGAGGCTCAGGGGGGACCTTCTGGCTCTGGAATTCCCTGACAGGAGTGGGGTCTGGGCTGTGCTCCCAGGGAACAAGGGACAGGAGGAGAGGGAACCCCTGGAGGTGCCCAGGGAAGGCCTGGTCGTGGCACTGAGTGACAGGGTGGGGACGGGACACAGCGGGGTGGGCTGGGAGGGCCTTCCCAACCTCAGGGATCCCGGGATTCGGGGCCATCAGGGGAGCCAGCACCCACCTTCTTGGCCTTGGGGAAGAAGGGCAGCCACTTGTCCCTGTCGGGGAGCGCCGGGGCCTTCTCGGAGGTGCCGGCGGGACGAGGGTCCCGCACGCGGATCCCGGTGTGGTTCATGTAGGTGCTGAGGGCAAAGGCCATGGGGGAGCTGGAAGAGAGCAGAGCAGGGGCATGGAGAGGGATCCCACCTCTGGAAAACCCTGGGGGGAGGCTGGGATAACCCTGGGGAGAAAGCCCGGCAGGGGGATGAGGCTGAGAGAGAGGAAGGAAGGAGAGGAGGGAGATGGAGGGAGGGGAGAGGGGCACAGGCGCGAGGCCCAGCAGATCCCAAGGGGATCCCAAGGGGAAGTTCATCCTTCCCAAGGATCCCAAGGGAAGTTCCATGCCCTGGCACCACTCACCTCCTGTCCTCTTCATACTTCGACCTGTGGAGAGGATAAAATGGGTTTGTTTGGGACAACAAACTGAGGCCGCTCCTGCCCCCTCCTTTGGGGTGCCCCCCACCCCAAACCCCACAGGCATGGGGGGCACTCACAGGATGTCCCCGAGCTGGGCCAGCTGCTTCTCGGCCACCTGCCGCTCCTTCTGGGGGTCCCCATCCAGCTCCAGGAGGTCGTTCTCCCCGTACAGGCTCCCCAGGCCCATCGTCCGCTTCGTCCTGCAAGGACCGGCACCGGCACTTTGGGATGGGGCCTCGGATGGCCATCAGGGCTTGTAGGGCCTGTGGGGCCCTCAGGGCCTGTGGGGCCTAAGGGGTCTATGGGGTCTGTGGGGCCTTCAGGGTTTATGGGGCCTATGGGGCCCTCAGGGCCTGTGGGGCCTAAGGGGTCTATGGGGTCTGTGGGACCTTCAGGGTTTATGGGGCCTATGGGGCCCTCAGGGCCTGTGGGGCCTAAGGGGTCTATGGGGTCTGTGGGACCTTCAGGGTTTATGGGGCCTATGGGGGCCCTCACAGCCTGTGGGGCCTGTAGGGCCTAAGGGGTCTGTGGGCTGTCATAGGCTGTGGGCTGGGCCTCAGGGCCTGTGGGGCCTGTAGGGACTAAGGGGTCTATGGGGCTTATGGGGTCAATGGGACCTATGGAACCCATGGGGCCCATAGGGTCTATAGGGCCTAGGGGGCCTTTCAAGCCTATGGGACCCTTTGGGTCTATGGGGCTTATGGGGCCTATGGAGTCTAAGGGGTCTGTGGGGCCTTTGCAGCCTGTGGGGTCTGTGGGACCTACAGGGTCTTTGCAGCCTGTGGGGTCTGTGGGGTCTACAGGGTCTTTGCAGCCTGTGGGGTCTGTGGGGCCCATGGGGCCTCTGCAGCCTGTGGGGTCTGTGGGGTCTTTGCAGCCTGTGGGGTCTGTGGGACCTACAGAGTCTTTGCAGCCTGTGGGGTCTGTGGGACCTAGAGAGTCTCTGCAGCCTGTGGGGTCTGTGGGGTCTGTGGGGTCTGTGGGACCTAGAGGGTCTCTGCAGCCTGTGGGGCACAGGTGGCCCGTGGGGTCACCCCCCTGCAGGAGTGGTACCTGTAATCCTGGATCTGCTCCTGGATCTCGGGCATCACCATCTCCTGGGCCTCGAACAGGGCGGCCCGGGCGTCGTCCCCGTTCCGCAGGCGGCTCTCTGGGGGACGGGGAGGGCACAACCCCGCTCACCAACCGACCCCAGGGGTGTTTGGGAATCCTCAGGGAGAGCCACACACCACGAGGAGAGCTCCGGGATGGCCGGGAAGAGCTCCCGGAGCCCCCAGCCCCAAACCCTCCTCCCAGGGGACGGCCCCTCGCTCACCGATCTCCGCCAGGAGCTGCTCCGACACCTTCACCCGCAGAGGCTGCACAGGGAGGGACAACAGGGGGGCAGCTCAGCAGCTCTGCATCCCTTTTTCCCAGCTGGAAGGGGCTGGGATGATGGTGCTGGAGCCCTGAATCCCTGCCCCGTCTCGCCACGGAGATCTCACACCCCCAGCGTCCCATGAAAGATTCCCAATGGGAATCTGCTGCCTTGGAGGAGCACCTGGACCTCCATCCTCCCTTCCAGCACCCTCCTTTCCTGCCTCCAGGCAGCTGGAGTTGTGCCAGGAGTGGGGATTCCTTGTGCTTCCCAGGGGTGGAGGAACCACCAGCCCAAAAAAAAAAGGGCAAAAAGCTTTTCCAGCAGCAAAAAACTTCCAAAACACTCCCCAAAATCATCCCAGGACACGAGGGGGACAAACCCCAAATCCTCATCCCGTTTTGGCATCTTAAGGAACATCCCCACGCAGGGAAGAGGAGCTGGTGATCCCGAGGGGATCCTGCCCTTACTGCGCTCCTGTCCAGGAAGATATTCCAGATCTCCTTCCCCAAAGCCCGGGAATCCTTGGCTGTGCTCTGCTGGAAAACCTCCGTGCACAGGTAGAAGAGCTGCAGGGGAAAAAAAGGGGAAGGAGGAGAGAGGGAATGGGAAGTGATCCTGAGGGTTTGGGAGGAAGTGTCACCCCATGGAATGTGCCTCAGGATCAGGCAGGAAGGTGCCCCGGGCTCAGGGATTCCCCCTTACCAGGGGGCTGGGATCAGCCTGGGAGAAGATGTAGCGCAGGAAGACCCCCAGATGTGCCGGCCGGGATTTCAGCTTTCCCAAGTCCTGGAAGAGGGAGTCGCACTGGGGAGGGAAGGGGAGGGGAGGGAAGGAATTCACTCCTCCGGATCCACAGCCCAGCTCCCAAATCCCACCTGCTCGGCACCAACCCAGGGCATCTCCTGGGGGGGGGATTTGAAATCCCACCAGGCCTGGGGGTGGGAGGGTCCACAGAGGGGGTGAGGGGACCAAAAAACAACCCCCCAGGAGCGCTCTGTGCAGCTTTACCTCGTTGTTGAAATACCCTGGATCACAATCCTCCTCCGGGCCGATGATCAGGGGCCTTCCCGGCCGCTCCTGCCCCGGGAAAAGGGGGAATTAGGAGCCAGGAGCCCAGATCTGGGGGTATTCCCGAGGCTGGATGATCCCCCAGCTCCCTCCCCACCTGCTCTGCCGAGGCTGGGAAGGGGCTGTCGGAGCCCTGGCGCCGATGGTGCTGGAAAAGCCGCGAGGAGATGATGGGGGAGGTCCGGGGGCTTTCCAGGCCGTGGTCGGAGAGGGTGGAATTCCGGTTCAGGGAGACCTGCTCGGGATGGGAGACACAGCAGCTCGGAATCCACAGAAACAGAAACCCCCAGGAATGTGGAAAACACACCAAAAAAAAAACCACTCAGGGGATGCTGGGAGAGCTTTGGGATCGGGAGCACAAGCCGGGAATTTCAGGGGGGAAAAAATCCCTGGTTTTGGGGGGGTCAACGTGATGAGCCCGAGGAGTTCCGAGCTGAGGTCACATCTCAAGGAATTCCATTGGCTTGGGCGTCAAATGCCACTGGGATTACAAAGGGAGGTCCTCAGGATTCCCAGAGGGATCCAGCCTTGCTCCCTGGGGGGGCAGGGAAAAGTCAGGAAGGTGGAAAAACCCCCCCTCTCTCACCTCACTCACAGAGGGGAATCGCTCAGTCCCGGATTCCAGCCCGCTGTCCCCATCCTGGGAGTCCAGGGAGAGGCGTCCTGGGAGCACAGGAGGGATTGATCCACGGATCCCGGAGCTGGGAAGGCCGGGATGCTCCGAGCCACCGGCACCACCCGCTCACCTTCCAGCGACCTGAGCCCCGCCAGGCTGGAGTCGCTGCTCAGCCTGGAATCCTGCAAGAGGGAGAAGTTTGGGAATCACTGCCCAGGACACAAGGACAGGGAGGAGGGAACTCGGAGTAATTCCCTGTGCAGGAATTTTGGGAAGGGAGGGCCACCCCGACACTTTGGGAAGGGGTTCCTGAGCTCAGAGGGAGTCAGAAGGATGGGGTGGGGGCATGGGGTGACTCCCCCCCAATCCACCCACCAGGGAATTGCCGGTCTCCTGCAGGATTTTGAGCTGGAGCTGGCTGACCCTGCGGCGAGCCCCCTCCATCTGCTCCTCCACAGCCGCGCCGGGGTTCCGGCTGTACAGCTCCTGGAAGCGCTGGGGGGGAAGGAGAGGGGTGTGTGGGACACACACACACCTTCACACCCACCCCAAAAGCCCGGAAATCCCATCCCAACAACCCCACCAGCAAGGGTTGGAGGGTGCCCAGATGGCATCCGGATGGGGATGGAGCCACCTGGGCCGGTGGGAGGTGTCTTTGATCCATCCCACGATTCCATAACGGGGCTGGAGCAGCACCAGGACATCACCAGGACATCCACTGTGCCTCCAGGGAGGGAATAAAGGGGGAAAAAGAGCCCCACACACACCTGCAGCTCGGCCTCCTCCTGCCGCAGCATCTTCCGCAGGATCTGCGTGGCGTGTTTCTGCACCTCGGGGTCCTGCAATCCCACAGGGGATCCCTCAGCTCACCCTGTCCCCAGCGCTGGGAGGGGTTGGGGACACCCCCACACACGGGGCAGGGTGGGCTGTGGTGACCTGCAGGGGTCTGGGCTCGGTGATTCGCTGCGGCAGCGGCGGCGCCGGGGGGGGACAGGCGGGGGGGCCGTGGGGGGATCCCGCTGTTCCCACATCCTGCTGGGAGCTGGGAACCCCCACCGAGGCAGGGGGGGATCCCAGCAGGGTCAGAGCGACGTAGGCACCGGCTGGGGAAATTTGGGAGGGGGAGAGGGAGAAAGAGCTGCGTGATTTAGTTGAGAAACTCAGCTCGGCCTAAACTCAATCTAAACTCAACCCAGCTCGACCTAAACTCAACCCAAACCAACCCAACTCAACCTAAACTCAACCCAACTCAACCCAAACTCAACCCAATCAACCTAAACTCAACTCAAACCAACTCAACCTAAACTCAACCCAAACCAATCCAGCTCAACCTAAACTCGACCTAAACTCAACCCAACTCAACCCAAATTCAACCCAACTCGACCTAAATCCAACCCAGCTCGACCCAAACTCAGACCTAAACTCAACCCAACTCAACCTCAACCACCCCGTGGGCACACTGGGTTGGGCACACCATCCCTGCCCAGCGGCTCTGCCACCCCGGATCAAGCCGGGCTTTCCCATCTTTTCCAACTCCCCCTCCCAAAAAACCCAAACCATTCCATGCGGGAAGATCAACCAACACTCACACTTGATCAACTTCACCACTTCCAGGTGGGAGCTGTTGGTCACCATGGTTCCATTCACCTGGCAGAGGGGAGAGCAGGGCTGGGAGAGGCCGGGAAGGGGGAAGGGGGAGCGGGAATTCCAGGGAGGAGGGGCTGGGAACGCTCACCTTGACGATGCGGTCGCCCTCCTGCACCCCGGCTCTCATGGCAGCCCCACCTGGCACACAGGGAGGGGTCAGGACGGGCTCCTGGCGGTCCCAGACCCTCCTGACAACGTTCCAGGGGGACACAGGGAGCGCCAGGCACGGCATTCCCGAGGGATGAGCCCGGTGAGCGAGCCTTGGGTGCTTCCCAGCACCCGTCCAGCTCCTCCAGGCAATCCCTGTGCTGCCCATCCCATCCTTTCCCATCCAGCTCCATGGAATATCCCCCCACATCCATGGGAGGGGGGTCCCAACCTGTTGTCCCACCATCCAGGTTGGCTCTGGCACATCTGGAAACGCCTGGATCCAGAGGCAGGAGCAGGGCACCCCCCCCCAACCCCATCCCCGTCCCTGCTCCTCAAAGGATCCAGGAAAAATCCGCTTTTTCCAGAGCCAAAAAACCAAGAGGGAAATGTTTCCACTCGGTTCAGCTCCCAGGCCGAGGGTCTGAGAGATGCAGGGAGCGGAAAGTCCTCCCAGTTGTTGGGATTCTTTGGGGTTTCATGGGAAAATGAAGGGAGTGGGAATGTCCCTCCCTGGGGAACCACAGCCCTGTCCCCAACTTCCAGGGATAACTCCAGCTGCAGGAGGGCTGGAGCTCCCAGGCCTTTCCCCTTTCCCACATCCTCGTTTTTCCTGGCTTTCTGGCCCGGGAGGGGAAGGGGGAGGAGCCGGGAACATCCGCTGGAAAAGAAGCAGCTCATTGTCTGTCTGAACTGCAGCTCCAAAGCCACGGAGCTCGGGAGCCAAATCCACGTTTTCCAGGGGCTGCAACAGGGAATTCCCACCCCACCCACCCACCCAGCTGTTCCTTGGGATGTACAAGGAAAGGGCAATCTGGGGGAGCTTCCGTGGAATCATGGAAAGGTTTGGGTTGGAAGGGATTTAAAAATCTCATTCCACCCCCCTGCCTTGGGCAGGGACGAATTCCATAGGCCAGGACACTCCAAACCTCATCCAGCCTGGCCTTGGACACTTCCAGGGATGGGCCAGGGTCTCACCACCCTCCCAGGGAAGTATTTATTCCCAATATCCCACCCAAACCAGTGCAGGGAATGCCAGGATGGTTTAGAATGGAAGGGACCTCAAGGCCCATCCAGTCCCAATTTTCCCACCCAAAACCAGCAACATTCCAGAAGGAAAATCCCCTTGTCCCAGTGTTCCCTCCCCCTGGGTGGGGTGGGGGGATCCCTGAGGGACGTGCTGTGCCCCCCCAAGACCCCTGCCAGGGGCTGGGCTGTCCCACCTGGCCGCACCGACTGCACCAGCACCACGCGGTCGCCGCTGACGGTGAAGCCGAAGCCATGCTGGTCCTTCTGGATGATGACACAGCGCTGCACCAGGCCTGGAGGGGGCAGGGAGGGAGGGAAAAGGGGGAAAAGAGGGAAAAAAGAGGGAGAGGAGGGATGGGAGGGAGAGCAGGAGGAGGTGGCAGTGAGGTGGCCCCTGGGTTTGGCCCCCTCAGCCTCTCCCACTTTGAGGGGCTGGGCTTGGAGCCACACGGGGTCATCCCCCCCCCAAAAAAAAAACTCCTGGGACCCCCAAATTCGGGGTGAAAAGGAACCTCCCATATCTGAGACCCCCCCAAACTGGGGGTGAGAGGGTCCCCCAATCCACCAAGAGCCCCAAACTGGGGGTGAGAGGGTCCCACGGACACCCCTGTGCTCGAGCTCATCGAGCATGACCGATGCACCCCACGAATCCCTGGGGTTTGGATCCCCAATTCCCAACAAAAAAAAACCCAAACTTGGGTGTCTGGGGACGGGAAGGGTGGCAGCAGCAGGGAATTCCCACCTGTGGACTCGGAGGAGTCAGAGGGCCGCCGGTGGTGCCCGGGGGGCCTTCGCTCCGACGAGGAATCCCCCAGCGAGGACAGGCTGCTCAACCTGGGGAGGGGGCAGGGATGGTCAATCCAGGGAATTCCCGGGCTTGGAAAAGCCCTCCCAGCCCGTGGAGCCCCCACCCCTGTGCCCCCATCCCCACCTGGTCCCCCCCTAGTGCCACGGCCAGGGGACAATCTCAGGGGGTGGGGACTCCTTCCAAGGCCTGTTCCCTTTCCATGGGGAAATTCCTGCTGATTCCCAACCTGCCCCTCTCCTCCTGTCCCTGTTCCCTGGGAGCTCCCTCTCAGCTCCCCCCTCCTGTCAGGGAATTCCAGGAGGTCCCCTCTGAGCCTCCTTTTCTCCGGGATGAGCCCCCCAGCTCCCCCAGGAGCTTCTCCAGCCCCTTCTCCCCTGCTCCAGCCCCATTCCCATCCCTGGCCGCTCTCCAGCCCCTCCAGGAACCTGGACATGGCCCTGGCTCTTCCCTGCCCAGCCCCCCTGGCCCAGGGGGGACGATCCCTGCGGGATTAACCCCACGGGATTACCGGGCAGACAGGATGGGGTGGCCCCAGCAGGTCAGCCCTGCGGGTGGATCCGGGATTGGGAGCCCCCCCCTGGGATTCAGGGATGCTCCTGAAGCCTCTCCCTCGGCGCAATTCCCGGATTCCAGCACCACACCACTGCCTTCCCAAACCTGCAGCCCCTCCAGGAGCTTCAAGGGGGAAAAATCCAGGTGGAAGTTGCTGGGCCAGCCCTGGCTTAGCCGGGCTAAAAGAGTCGCTTAATTCGGATTTGCATAAGCTCCTTCCTAATTGCTCCTTCCTAATTGACTTATGGGGGGGGGGCCAAAACACGGCCCCTGCGATCCCAAATCCTGCCCCCTGCAATCCCAACTCCTGCCCCCTGCAATCCCAAATCCTGCCCCTTGGAATCCCAAATCCTGCCCCCTGCAATCCCAAATCCTGCCCCTTGGAATCCCAAATCCTGCCCCTTGGAATCCCAACTCCTGCCCCTTGGAATCCCAACTCCTGCCCCTTGGAATCCCAAATCCTGCCCCCTGCAATCCCAAATCCTGCCCCTTGGAATTCCAGCTCCTGCCCCTTGCAATCCCAACTCCTGTGGGAAAAATAGGGATATATATGTGGGAAAAATAGGGATAAAAATGGAAAAAATAGGGATATATATAGGAAAAAAAGAGGGATATATACAGAAAAAATAGGGATATACATGGAAAAATAGTGGAAAACCACACAGAATTCAGGAGCTGGGAAGGGAAAAAGTGTCTTGATGGGATCCCTCCTGAGAGGAATCTGCTCCCAGCAGTGTGGGCTGGGAACACGCCAGGGGCTGTCCAGGATTTCCCAAGCCAAGCCCCTGCCTTCCCAAGGCCAGCCTGCCCTGCAGGCAGTTCCCAACATTCCCGGGACAGGAAGGAAGGAATTCCAGCTTAAAAAAAAAAACAAAACAAACAAAAACAACAAAATAAAATAATTTAAAAAAAATGATTCAGCTTCCTCCTCCCCTTCCCCCCTCCCGGATCGTCCCTTCCCGGCGCTCCCACTTGGAGCAGCTCCAACCTCCCGGCACCGGGAGGACACTCAGCTCCTGTCCCTGTGGGAATGGGGGAGGATCCCGTGGGAATGGGGGGAGGATCCTGTGGGAATGGGGGGTGGATCCCCTGGGAATGGGGTTGGACCTCCCTGGGAATGGGATTTGAACCCCCTGGGAATGGGATTTGAACCCCCTGGGAATGGGGTTGGAACTCACTGGGAATGGGATTTGAACCCCCTGGGAATGGGGTTGGAACCCCCTGGGAATGGGATTTGAACCCCCTGGGAATGGGATCTGAACCCCCTGGGAATGGGGTTTGAACCCCCTGGGAATGGGGTTGGAACCCCCTGGGAATGGGGTTTGAACCCCCTGGGAATGGGGGGTGAACCCCCTGGGAATGGGGTTGGAACCCCCTGGGAATGGGATCTGAACCCCCTGGGGGGGAATAATGGCACAGGGGAGGCTCCATTCCCAACATTCCCAACCGTCTGAGTGCTCCAAAGCTGCACAATTCCCAGTCCCCCACAGGGAGGGATGTGGGGAAAGATGGGATTTTGGAAGGGCGAGGCCCCAGCCCCAGAAAATCCGTTGGGATTCGGAGTCACAGGGCCCAAAAACGGCCCCTCCGAGGGGAAGGGAGACCCCAAAAAGACCTCCTGGGGGAGATTCCCAGCGGGATCAGCCCCGGAAGGGGATGGGGACAGGAATGCTGTGGCAGGCAGGGAGCGGGAAAAGCCTGGGAAGAGCTGTGGGAGCCAAGGAAGGAGCAGGGAAGGATTTCCACCCCTGTCCTGCTCCATGAAACTCCAGCTCCGTCCCAAAACCCTCAGGATCGGCGCCTGGAATGCCACCCTTCCAGGAAAACTCATGGAAAAGCCGTGGAAGGGGTTGGATCTGCTCCCAGGGGCCGGAATTCCCGACTTCCCCGAGCTCTCCCGGAGCAGGGCAGGGTAAATGATTAACGGTGCCACTCCAATCCTGGAAAACCGGCACCGGCAGAGCTGGTTTGGCCGGCACCGAGGGCGCTCCCGGCCTCAGGAATCCCGACGGGATAACCTTGGCCCCCAGGGATGGATTTTTGTTTTGTCCCTAAATCCAAAAAGCCACGGGGTTATGGGATGGGATGGGTTGGGAAGGGGACCATTCCCACCGTCCCAGCTCGCTCCATCCTGGCCTGGGATGCTTCCAAGTTTTCCAGGCTCTCCTCTCCTCCAGCTTTCCCGGGAGCTCCTTCTCCCAGGAGAACTAAAGAGCAGCACCCAAATTCCCTGGACAAGCCCCCATTCCCGATGTCCCTTCTCCATCTCCCAGTTCCAGAGGAGAGGATCCATCCTGGTTTCCTGCCCCTTTTCCTGGGACATCCCAATTCCTTGGACATCCCAAAGTTACCGCTGGAACAGGAGAGCTGGAGCTGCTTGGAGAGGATGGGGGGGGTTCCATGGGGGAAAAATCACTCAAATTATCCCTTTTTTTCTTTTTTTTTTTTTTTTTAAATGATCCCATTTTCCAGGGAGTTTTGATCGTTTCCCAAGGAATTTCTCCCAGCTCCCCCAAGCAACTCCTGACCCCAAACACCCCCTGGAGCATCCCTGGCACCTCAACCACCTCCCCAATTCCCTAAATCAGCTTTTCCAGGGACACAGGGAGGGAAAACAAACCCTCTTTTTTTTTTGGGGGGGTGGGGGACAAAGCCAGAGGGAAGGGATGCTGAGGATTCCAGGGAATCCCAGCCCTGCACCAGGGGCACCGGGAACCTCCTTGTCCAGAGGTTCACAATTCCTAAAGTCCCAATTCCAAGAGCAAATGGGGTTTCCAAAAGGGTTTATCCCACTGGATCTCATCCCTAAAATGTCCAGTTTATCCCACTGGACTCACAGTCCCTAAAATCCACGGAAAGGGATTTTCCAGGGCCACAGGGAAGCTCCTCACCCAGTCACTCACAATTCCCCCAGCAGGGACTCCTGAGGTCACAGAATCCCCAAAATCCACAGCCCCTCAAAAGCCACAATCCCAAAAATTCCAATCCCCCCTTTCCCTGGGACAAATTCCAATCCCCCCTTTCCCTGGGACAATCCCATTTCCCAGCAGGGATGGATTTGGGGGCTGGGGGCTCCCCCCTTATGGGGCACTGGGTGGGCTTTGGGGGGCTGTCCTGGTGTCCCCAGGGGTCCCCCGAGGATCCAGGCTCCCAAAACCCCACAATTCCACCCCAAAACGCTGCTGATTCCCCCCAGGGGGTCTATGGGTGAGCCCCCCCCCCCGGGGGTCCATGATCCCAAAATCTCAGAGTTTCACTCCAAAACACCACTCTCCCCCCCGGGGGTCTGTCCAGGGTGGGCTCAGCCCCCTCCCCCGGGGGTCCATGGTCCCAAAATCTCAGAGTTTCACTCCAAAATGCCACTCTCCCCCCCGGGGGTCTGTCCAGGGTGGGCTCAGCCCCCTCCCCCGGGGGTTCCAGACTCCCAAACCTCCCCAGTTTCACCCCAAAACGCCGCTCCCCTCCAGGGGTCTGGGGAGGGATCCAGGGTGGGCTCAGCCCCCTCCCTGGGGGTCCAGACTCCCAAATCCCCTCGATTTCACCCCAAACCCAGGGGTCCATCCCGGGGGGTCTCAGCCCCCTCCCCCTGTGTGTGTCCCCCTCTCCCCACACTCGGGGGTCTCCCCGTGCTCCCCCTCCCCACGCTCGGGGGTCTCTCCCCGTGTACCCCCCTTCCTCTCCCCACATCCCCTCCCCACACTCGGGGGTCTCCCCGTGCCCCTCTCCCCAAGCTCGGGGGTCTCTCCGTGCCTCCCTCCCCACGCTCGGGGGTCTCTCCCCGCGTCCCCCCTCCCCTCTGTCCCCACATCCCCACACTCGGGGGTCTCTTCCCGTGCCCCTCCCCACACTCAGGGGTCTCTCCGTGCCCCTCCCCACACTCGGGGTCTCTCCCTGTGTCCTCCTCCCCTCTGTCCCCACATCCCCACGCTCAGGGGTCTCCCGTCCCCCTCCCCACGCTCGGGTCTCTCCGTGTCCCCTTCCTCTCCCCACATCCCCTCCCCACACTCGGGGTCTCCCGTGCCCTCTCCCCACACTCGGGGTCTCTCGTCCCCCTCCCACGCTCGGGGTCTCTCCGTCCCCCTCCCCACACTCGGGGTCTCTCCGTCCCCTCTCCCCACGCTCGGGGTCTCTCCGTCCCTCTCTCCGCCCCCGTCCCTACCTGTCGAGGGGCCTGCGGAGGCCTCACGCTCATGGTTCCTCCGCGTCCCTCAGGGCTCCCGGAGCCGCCGCCGCCGCCGCCGCCGCTCCGGCCGCCCCCGCCACCATCCCCGGCCCCGGCGGCCCCGGCGGCCTCGGGGGCCCCGAACCGCCCCCCGCCGCCCCCTCGCCCTGGGGCTGCGGCGCGATCGCGGCCCGGGCCCGGCTCTGGGGTCCGGCCGCCCCGAGACCCGCCCGTGGGCAGGGCCGAGGAGAGGCCTAGGGCCGCTCCCAATCCCCGCGCTCGCCTGGCCCCCTCGGCCCGGGGACATCGCGGGAGAGGGGGAAGGAACGGGGAGGGGAACGCGGGGAGAGGGGAGGAGGAAGGGGAGATGGGGGCATGGGAGAGGGGTTTGGGGGCATGGGAGACACAGGACAGAGGGACAGAGGGGATTGGGGGGACACAGGGACAGAGGGGTACGGGGGGACACAGGGACAGGGAGGTTTGGGGGACACAGAGTGACCTCTGGGTATGGGGGACACACAGGGACAGAGGGCGCAGGGGACACAGGGACAGAGGGGGTTGGGGGGCACAGAGTGACCTCTGGGTATGGGGGACACACAGGGACAGAGGGGTACGGGGGGACACAGGGACAGGGAGGTTTGGGGGATAGGATGGGTATGGGGACACACAGGGACAGGGGAGTTTAGGGGGACACACAGTGACCTCTGGGTATGGGGGACACACAGGGACAGAAGGGTTTGGGGGACAGGGTGGGTATGGGGACACATGAACAGGGGGTACGGGGGACACAGGGACAGAGGGGTTTGGGGGCACAGAGTGACCTCTGGGTATGGGGGACAGGGACAGAGGGTTTGGGGAGACACACAGGGACAGGGAGTTTGAGGGGTCACAGAGTGACCTCTGGGTATGGGGACACACAGGGACAGAAGGGTTTGGGAGGACACAGGGACAGAGGGATTTGGGGACACAGGGGCAGGGGGTTTGGGGGACACACAGGGCAGGGGGTTTGGGGGACACACAGGGACAGAGGGGTTTGGGGGCATGGGGACACAGGGACAGAGGGGTTTGGGAGGACAGGGTGGGTGTGGGGACACACAGGGACAGAAGGGTTTGGGGGACAGGTAGATGTGGGGGACACAGGGACGGGGGTTTAGTGGGACACAGGGACAGAGGGGTTTGGGGGACAGGGTGGTGTGGGGGACACACAGGGACAGGGGTTTGGGGGACACACGAGGACCCAGGTGTTTGGGGGACACGGGGACACAGAGTGACCTCTGGATATGGGGGACACACAGGGACAGAGGGGTTTGGGGGTACGGGGGACACAAGGACAGAGGGGTTTGGGGAGACACAGGGACAGGGGGCTTGGGGGACACAGGGACAGAGGGGTTTGGGGGCACGGGGACACACAGGGACAGAGGGGTTTGGGGGACACAGAGTGACCTCTGGGTATGGGGGACACAGGGACAGAGGGGTTTGGGGGGACACACGGGACAGAGGGGTTTGGGGGACATGGGGACACAGAGTGGGTATGGGGGACAGAGGGGTTTGGGGGGACACAGGGTGACAGAGGGGCTTGGGGGACACAGAGTGACCTCGGGGTATGAGGGGGACACAACAGGGACAGAGAGATTTTGGGGGAACCCACAGTGACCCCTGGGTATGGGGGACACAGGTGGGCTTGGGGGAACACGCGGGGACAGGGTGGGTTTTGGGGCACCCACAGTGACCTCTGGGTATGGGGGACACACAGGGACAGGGTGGGTATGGGGGACACGCGGGGACAGGGTGGGTTTAGGGGACACAGGGACAGCAAGAAGAGCTCCCCACACATACCATGAGAAGAGGCCAGAGGGGGGTCCCCAAAAAGCACAGCGAGGCTCTTCCCCCCACCTCCCAATCCCCCTCACTCCCAGAGAGTGGAAAACATGGAAAAGTGAAAATAAAAAGGAATCGTTGTCCGGAGGCACCGGTTTTAAAAGGGGGAGAATCAACCAAACCCCCTGTCCCCAGACTGGTTTATTGTGGGGGGAACTGGTGGGCTCTTTGTACTCTGTCCCGGCCCCCCCGGGGCTCATCCCGGGGCTCATCCCGGGGCTCATCCCGGGATTAGGGGTGCCCACCCCAGAGCTGGAGCCAGCCCTTCCCAAGGCTCCCTGCGGGATCCCACGCGGGATTCCCTGCGGGATCCCACGCGGCCGTCCCGGCGCTGGATCGGGCCCATCCCAGCAGGGGAAAGGGGCACTGGATCCACCCCCCGGCCCGGGAGCCCTTCCAGCCGCTGCCCGGGGCGGGACAGAGTCCAAGTGGGACGGGAGGGCAAATCCCCGCTCCCGAGTGGGTGCCCGGTCCTGTGTCCCAGGCGCAGCCGCTGGGTGCTGCTGTGGGATCGGGATCGGGATGGGGATCGGGATCGGGATCAGCCGCGGGACGGCCGGGAAGGACACGGGATCCCCCCACATCCCCCCCTCCCACCCCCGCCAAAGACCTGCCAAAGGCCCCTCGAGACCCCACAGACCCCCAAAACCCTCCCAAAACCCCTCAGCCGCCTGAGACCCCACAGCCCCCCAAACCCCACAGCCCCCGAGACCCCACAGCCCCCTCCAACACCCCACAGCCCCCTCGACGCTTCCCCCATCCCAACACCGGCTCTCTCCGCGCCCCCCCACTTACACATCCCGGCATGGCCCCCCTCTTCTCCGGGGGCGTCCCGAGGTCCCAGGGACCCCAAAAGCAGCGCAGGGGCTCCAGCAGGAACCCCGGCATCACCTGGGATGGGGGAAGGGGGTGGGAGGGTTTGTGGGAGCACAGCCTGTCCCAGGGGTGTCCCCGGCCGGGTGGGGACCCCCAGCACCTCCCACCGCCCCCTGTACCTGTGCGGGCACGGCCGGGGGTGCCGGGGCTGGCGGGGGATCCCACGGGGTGGGCAGCGGGGATCCCACGGGGTGGGCAGCGGGGGTCCCACGGGGTGGGCAGCGGGGTCCCACGGGGTGGGCGCGCCAGGAACAGGAGTTTGGGGAAGTTGAACTTGTAGGTGAAGCGTTTGCCCTTGGACTTGTGCAGGATGTGCTTGGGGTAGTAATACCTGATGGGGGAGTGGGGAGAGAAAACGGGGGTGTCGATGGAGAGGGTTGGGGTCCCTGGGATGGTGCCCCCCCCGCCCCCAATTCCTGGGGCATCACCTGAGGGCCCTGCTGAGCTTGTCGTAGTTCATTTGGGGTTTGCGTTTCCTCCTCCCCCACAGCCGGGCCACCTCCTCGGGGTCCTTGATGACGAACTCGCCGTCCCCCCCGCGCTGCCAGGCGATGACGTGGCGGAATTCCTCCCTCTCCAGCAGCTCCAGGATGAAGTGCCACAGCTGGATCTGCCGCGAGCCCGGGCGGGATTCGCCTCCCGGTGCCCACTCGGGAACGGGGGCACTGCGGGGCCGGGCTGGGGGGTCACCCCGGGCAGGACGGGCATCACCTGGGCCAGGAATTCCCACGGCATCGTCCGGCCTGGGGGGGGCAAAGCACGGGAGCCCCGGGGGGAGAACCCGGGCACCGGGATCCATCCAGGATCCAACCGGCACCGGGGGGATCCATCCAGGACCTGAGGGATTCATCCAGGACCTGGAGGGTTCATCCATCCCCTGGGATCCACCCAGCACCTGGGGGGTTCATCCAGGACCTGGGGGGTTCATCCAGGACCTGAGGGATTCACCAGGACCTGGGGGGTTCATCCATCCCCTGGGATCCACCCAGGAACCTGGGGGGTTCATCTATCCCCTAGGATCCACCCAGCACCTGGGGGGTTCATCCAGGACCTGGGGGGTTCATCCAGGACCTGGGGGATTCACCAGGACCTGGGGGGTTCATCCAGGACCCAAAGGATTCATCTAGGACCTGAAGGATTCATCCAGGACCTGAGGGATCCATCCAGGACCTGGGGGTTCATCCAGGACCAGAGTGGGGGTTCATCCAGGACCTGGGGAGTTCATCCATCCCCTGGGATCCATCCAGGACCTGGGGGGTTCATCCAGGACCTGGGGGGTTCATCCAGGACCTGGGGGATTCACCAGGACCTGAAGGATTCATCCAGGACCAGGGAGGTTCATCCAGGACCAGAGAGGGGGTTCATCCATCCCCCAGGATCCACCCAGGACCCGGGATCCATCCAGCCCCGGGGGGATCCATCCAAACTCCCAGGAATCCTCCCAGGAATCCTCCCAGCTCCGGCTCCAGCTCCTTCCCGGTGGCTCCCGGGGTTTGAGGGGGGAGAGGAGGGGAGATCCCAACCCCTCCCCTCCCTCACTCACCTGAGGGGCTTTTCCCGGGCTGGAAAATGGCACTGAGGGTCTCCTGGAGCATCTCCCGGGATATAAAGGCTGGGATGGGGGTTGGGGGGGAAGGTTAAGCCTAAATCTGCTTATGGGGGAGGGTGGGGGGAGCGGGGGAGCAGAGGCAGGGGGGAGATTTGGGGGTCCAAAGGAAAACCCCAACGTGTTTGTTTGTTCCCAGCCTCGGGAATATCCCAAGCAGGATCGTTTGGGATATTTGGATCAGCCTGGGGAGGCAAACGGGGCTCTGGGAGCAGCAGGAGGTTGTGACACCCCCCCACCCTACAAGGGCCTGGATGGTGGGAGGAGGCTCCATTCCCAGATTTTTCCCTCTCCCAGTTTGCTTCCCCATCCTTATTAATTCCCAATTTCTCACTTCGAGTCTCGGGGAGACCCCCAGGGAATTTTGGAGCCACCTCCGAGTCGGATTTTCCACGGATCAGGGGAAAGACGACCCCCAAATTGGGATGGGGGGGGCTCCCAAATCCCACCGGGAGCTCCTTATCCAGCCCTGCCCGGGTGCAGGTGAGGGGCTGTTTGTTGAGAAGCCTTTAATCCTATTAAACCAAGAGGATTTGGGAACGTCGGGAGCAGCTGGAAAAACCCCCGCAGGGCTTGGGAATGGGGGGGGAGGAATCTGGGCTGGGCACTGAGAGAGAGAGGGGAGCCCTGGATCCAACTTCCAGCCTTGGAGCTCTTCCAGGTGCCCGGATTTTGGAACCGGGATCGAGTCCCCTCCATCCCCTGAGCCCAGTCCTAATCCCCCAAAGCTCCTTGGGGGTTTTCCTTCTCTGCCCAAATCCTCTTTTGGAGCGGGAGGGGCTGGCACGGGCGCACCGATTCCCGGAATTGGGAAAATGGGGAAAAAAGAGGGAAAAGGCGGGGAAAAGGAGACGCTTTCCCCGCCTGCACCGACGGGAGGGAAGGGGGAGAAGCCCCCTGGAATCGCAGCTCCCTGCCCCGCCGTCATTCCCACCCCGGTGGCGCGGCCATTCCCGGGAATTCCAGCCGGCTTTTCCCTCTCCCAGCTCCGATCCCGGCTGGATCCCGGTTGGATCCCGGTTGGAGCCAGGCGGGCGCGTCCCGGCAGCGCCGAGCCGGGCGGAGCCCGGGAATGTTTCTTGTGGATCCAGGAGCTGCCCCGGATCCCGGGGGGTGCCCACCCAGGGCGCTGGGAGCCGCGCCAGGCGGGAATTCCCCTCCCCGCGCCTTTCCCTGCTTGGAAGTGCGGGAGGAAGGGCCCGGTGTGCCCGGGCTGGAGCTCCTGGAGAGCGCTGGGATGGGGAGGGAGCGCCTGGAGAGCGCTGGGATGGGGATGGAACGTCTGGAGAGTGCTGGGATGGGAGAGGCCGAGCGCCGGGTGGAGGAGCCTGGACGCTGGGATGGGGATGGAACGTCTGGAGAGCGCTGGGATGGGGAGGGAATGTCTGGAGAGCGCTGGGATGGGGAGGGAACGTCTGGAGAGCGCTGGGATGGGGAGGGAACGTCTGGAGAGTGCTGGGATGGGGATGGAACGTCTGGAGAGTGCTGGGATGGGGAGGGAGCGCTGATGGCTCCGGATCCGCGTCCTGCCCGGCCCCTTCCCCGCGGAGCCGGCACCGAGCTGGGATGGTCCCGGTGCAGCCCTTGGGGGTGATCCCAGTCCAGTCCCAGGGAATGTTCCCACTCCATCTCTATGGGATGTTCCCATTCCATCCCTATGGGATGTTCCCACTCCACTCCTATGGGATGCTCCTGGTCCAGTCTTTAGGGATGTTCCCAATTCAGTCCCAGGGGATGTCCCCAATCCATCCCTATGGGATGTTCCCAGTCCATCCATACGGAATTCTTCTAGTTCAATCCCCTTGAATAATCCCAGTCCAGTCCCTGGGGATGTCCCCAATCCATCCCTATGGGATGTTCCCAGTCCATCCATACGGAATTCTTCTAGTTCAATCCCCTTGAATAATCCCAGTCCAGTCCCTGGGGATGATCCCGGTCCATCCATACGGGATTCTCCTGGTCCAGCCCCTGGGATAACCCCAGTCCAATTCCTGGGGATGATCCCAGTCCAGTCCCCGAGGATGTTCCCATTCCATCCACATGGGATTCTTCTGGTCCAGTCCCCTTGGATGATCCCAGTGCAATCCCTGGGGATGTTCCCATTCCATCCCTATGGGATGCTCTTGGTCCAGTCTTTAGGGATGTTCCCAATCCAGTCCCAGGGATGATTCCAATCCCAGTCCCTGGGGATGTTCCCATTCCATCCCTATAGGATGCTCCTGGTCCAGTCCCTGGGGATGATCCCAGTCTAGTTCCAGAGGATGATCCAAATCCAGTCCCTGGGGATGATCCCAATCCATCCCTATGGGATGCTCCTGGTCCAGTCTTTAGGGATGTTCCCAACCCAGTCCCTGGGGATGATCCCAATCCAGTCCGAGGGAATGTTCCCAATCCATCCCCAGGAGATATTCCCACCCCACCCCCAGGATGTGCCTCAGCTTTGGGAAAAACCTTGGAGAGATTCCCCCCAACCCAACCCAACCCCACCCAACTTCCCCCCCCAAAAAAACCGAGGCCCAGCAGCGCCAGCTTTGTTAAAAGGTTTTTATTTAACTTTTTAATTTGAGGTAAAATACTTTTTTTTTTTTTGTTGGGATTTTTTTGTGTGGTTTTTGTTTGTTTTTCTTTCAACTTCCATAACAAAATACAGAGCTATCAGATACCCCTGGAAAAAAATATGTATATTATACATATATTTCTATAACATTACATCATATATATATATAATATATATATGCAACCTTTTTTTTTCTTTTCTTGAAGACTTTATAGAAAGTGGAACGTCTAAAGGCACTGCACAATGGAGTATTGAACTACTTTACATGGTATGTACATGGACACACACGTTCCATCCCAGGCTCTGGGGATGCATCCTCACTAATCCCTGCGGAATCAGCTCCAGGAAAAGTCAAAGAACATGCCTCGGGAAAAGTGATTTTGGGGAGAAAAAAATTAAAAAATCATCAAAATAACCCCCCTTTTCTACCTCAAAAGCACTAAAGAAATCAACGTGTTGTGTTTTTTCTCTCCTCGTTAAACTGATTATGGTTATTTCAGCAAACCCCCAAAAGAAATTCCTTTTTTTTTGGCGTTTTTTTTGGTTTTTTTTTTTTTTTTTAGAAACCCCACCAAGATCCAGAAGACAAAAAAAATAAAAGAGAGAGAAAAAAACCTGACGAGAAAAAAAAAAAAACACCAGTTTTTAAAAACCAAAAACCATAATTATGGAATAAATAAAATAAAATAATTAAAAAAAAAAAAACAAAACACGAGGGACAACCGAGCGAGGGCCCCGTTAATGCTCCTGGAAAGGGGTTTTTCCTCCTCCTCCTCCTCCTCCTCTTCCCACCTGGATTTGGGAAGGGACAGAGCTCTCTTTGCATCCTCCCTGTCCCACCTGGATGGTCGGAATTCCCAAAAAAAAACAACCCCCCCCAAAAAAAAAAACAAACATCTTGGCCTTGCTGCCCGATTGTCCCGTTCAAAGTCTCTTTTCCTACGGATTCTCTACCAACTAAAAAAAAAAAACCAACCAAAAAATGGTTTTAAAACAATTAACACATGCTCTTGATTAATCCGTTCCAGGTGCGGACGTGGAGATCCCGAAAACCACTGGAAAACTTGACGAGTTTGTCAAAAGGTTTTGGCACATCGGAATATATATATATTTTTATTTCCTTTTTTTGTGTGTTTTTTTTTTTTCCTCTTTAAATCGATTATTTTAAATGTATTTATAAGCGCCCTCCTCCTCCTCCTCCTCTTGTTCCTCTTCCTCCTCCTCCTCCTCTTCCCAGGCTTTTCCAGGCAACGGGAAGTCCGGTTGGGATCCCGAGGGGGGTTTTGGGGGGGTTGGGGGATCCGGTGGCGGCTCCGCTGTTCCTGAGAACGGGAATCCTTTATCCCTGACCGTGGAGCTCCCGCTTTTGCAGTGCAATGGCTATGGAAAAACAACCCCCCCCTCCCCCTCTCCCACCCCCAATTCCAAACTTTTAAAGCCAAACCAGTTCCAACTTTTTTTTTTTTTATGGTTTTTTTGTGGTGTTTTCTTTCTTTTTTTGCCTCAGACAAAAAAAAAGGGGCGGGGCCATCCCGAGCGCCCCCAAACCCCCCCAAAAAAATTCCCGATTCCCGCCAGGCTCCGGCACTTGGAGGATATGGATCAGAGACGGCAATCGGGAAAGGCCTCGTGTTTTTCTAATTCCTGAGTTCAACTCCTGGACACCCTCGGAGGGGTTTTTTCCTTTTTTTTGTGTGGGGGGTGTGGGTGGGGATGATCCAAAGGCTCCTCCTCATCCCAGTTTTCCACCACGCTCCGGGAATGCAGAGCCCCATCCAGGCGGTGGCGGGATCCAAATCCCAGCTCCCGGCGTCTCATCCAGGCCCCCGAATCCCTGCCCGGTTCCGCTTCCAAACGGCGCTCCTGCCGCTCCCAAAGGCCTCGGGAATCCTTGGGAATCCTCGGGAATCCTCGGGAATCCTCAGGAATCCTCCTCTCGGGATTCAGCTCCGTCTTCTCCGGCGCCTTCCCGAGGAATCATCGAGGGTCCGTCCCGGCGTTCCCGGCTCGGGGAAAACGGGAGGATCGCAGCGAAAAATCCAGCGGGAAAATCCAGGAACCACCCGCGAACTCCGAGCGCTCCGGCGCCGCTCCCGTGGCCGGAGATCCCGCCGGGAATTCCAGTCCACGTAGTTAAGGCATGAGTCAAAGGTGATGGGGTGGGAGGGAGGGGTGTGGGGGTCCGGGCAGAGGCGATCCCGGCGTTCCCGCCGCGACCATTCCGACGTCTCCACTTCCAATCGCTCCCAAACTCCACCCACGCGGATCCGGAGGGGGGGGAGAGAGGGAACCCTCTCCCAAACACCCTCCAATACATTTGAGTGCGTCTGTTAAAGGCATTGGGTTAGTTTTTTGACATCCCGTTCCCGTTCCCGAAAAATATTCCCTGAAGGATTGGCAAGGGTTTGTTTTTTTTGTTTTGTTTTGTTTTTTTTTGCTCATGGCTTTTCTGCAGGAAAAGGCGAAGGGAAGGAGCCCGGGGAGAGCCGGGAACTGCGGGTCCCTCGCTCGTGTCTTCGTCCCGAATCCTTCCCCTGCTCCGAGGACAGTGCAATATTCCCCCTCTTCCCAGTCCCCCTCAGCTCCCGAGGCGGGAATTCCTCTCCGTGGAAATATATATTTATATATATATATAAAAAAAACCCACCCCAGCTCCCAGGGAATGCCATGGATTTGGAGATTCCTGCTGCTGTCAACACCCAGCAGATGACAGAAGATAGGCTGGAATTCCTCCAGTCCTCAGCTCCCCTCGGGAGGGGAGTCCGTGCTGGGAAAAAGGGAAAAAAAGAAAAAAACCAAACAAAAAAACACACCCTACTCGGGAACCAAACGGAGCGGGAACGACCCCGGAGAGGCCTCACCTGCAAGTCAACAACGAAAGAAACAAAGAACACAAACCCCCCCCCTCCTCACACACCTCCCTCCTCCCCCCAAAACAAACAAAAAGCTCCTAAAATCCCCCAAACCAGGCTAATAAACCCCTGCCCACCCCCTGCCCACCCCCCCACCCTCCCTATCCCCTTTTCCCCCCAGGCTTTGCCCTGTGAGCCCCCAGCTCAGGCGTCGGAGGCGGCGGCCACGGCCTTGGGGCCGCCCCAGAGCCCGCTCTGCTCGGGCGGCTCCGCCTGCCTGTCCCTGTCCCTGTCCCTGTCCCTGTCCCTGTCCCCGTTCCAGCGGCGCTTCAGGCGCAGCTTGGGGGGCATCAGGGCGTCCTCCCTCTTCTCCTGAGCTCCCCCATCCGCGCTGCCATCCCGGGGGGGCTTCTCTGCGCCCCCCACTCCTCCACTGGTGGTGTTGGTGCCGCTGCTCTCCCCGTGCTCCGGGGGTTCTTCCGAGGAGGACTGGGCGGGCTGGGCGAGCCAGGAGGAGGAGGAGGAGGGAGCGGCCGGGCGGGCGAACACCGGGCCCTTGTCCTCCCCCTCCGTTCCGGAACCTTCCTCCCCGTCCCTCCCCTGGGGCTCCGGGGGCTCCCTGTCGGCGGGGGGTTCCACCTTGACCCGCAGCTGCGCCGGCTCCTCGGCGCTCTCCGGCCTCTCCCGGTTCTTCCTGCCCACGGGGGGCGGCTGGAGCTTGATGGGGAACTGGGGCTGCTCCTCCAGGGGCACCGGGCACTGCAGGGGCGGCACCACCAGCGGGTAGCGGGGGAAAGTCCGCGGGCTCAGGTGGTAGTTGAAGACGGAGCAGGCCTGGGAGTGCAGGTAGTGTTTCATCTCCTCGGGGTTGAAGGAGAAGCAGCTGCCGCCCGCGAAGGGGCTGAGCCCCGGCGAGGGGCTGTAGGAGAACAGGGTGGGCGTGAGCGACAGCGCCGGCGACAGGGGCACGTTGAGGACCCCCCCGCGCCCGGCGGCCAGCGGGGACACCGCGAAGGGGCTGTGGGGGTCCGGGTACATCCCCGGCCGGGAGAAGAGCGGCAGGACGATGTCGGGCTTGCGCTTCTGGGGGGCGACGCCGCCGCCGCCGCCGCCGGGGCGCCGCCGTGGGGGGCCATGAGATCCACGCCCCGGCGCCAATCCGAGGAGGGATCCTCCAGCTCCGGCACCTCCGGTTTTCTGTCACCGCCGTCCCCCAGCGCCTCGGCCGCCGCCGCCGCCGCCGCCGGCCCAGCGCGGCCCCCGGGAAGCGGCCGGGCTGGGAATCCTCGGTGGGAGAGTGGGTGTCCAGAGGAGGGAAGTGGAAGCGGGACGAGGCCGTGGGCACGGGGGGAGCGCTCTGGGGGACCACACCTGGGGGTGGGGGAATGGCAGAGTCAGGGGATGGCTGAGAAGGGGACACACACACACACATAAAAATCAGGGATTGTCCCATCCGGGAATCCCTCAAGCTCCCAGAGCCTCCTGCGGCACCCGAACACCCTCTGGATGAACAACCGGTCCCTGATTGCCACCTAATCATTCCCCCACCCTGCAAGAACCCCCCCTGAGGTCCTTCCAGCTCCCTCTGCAGCTCCCAGGGAGTTAAATCCCAGGGAAAGGAGCAGCTTCTTCTCCGGGGCTGCGCCCGCGGGCGTTTGGAAGAGCAGCCCGAAAATCCCACGTGCCCCGACAACGAGGCAGGAGGGGAGGGGAGAGAAGGGGAGGGGAGGTGCCTTTTCCATCTGCTCCCTTTCCCTGCCCACCTCAGCTCCTGCCACTGCCTGGCAGAGGAATCCTTCTCCTCTCCCAGGGGTTTTTGGGAAGCTCGAGGGTCAGCAGGGAGGAAGTTTTTGGGATGCCCCTCCCTGACCTGTTTGCTGAGGAATCCTATCCCATAGAACCCTCCAGCTCTGGGGGGAAAAAAAAAATTAAAAAAAAAATCCCTGATTTGTGCTTTTCTGGGAAGAAAATCCCTCCTACAGAGATGGATCAGAGCTCCCACTGGCTGCTCTTCCTACGGAGCCGCCCGGCCCCCGACTCGGAACGAGCCACATCCAGGCAAAAAAAAAACCCTCACGCTTTTCTCCCTCACAACCTCCACAATGAACCCCTTCATTCCCACTTTTTTCCCTTCCAAAAAAAAAAAAAAAAAAAACACAGGAGAAAAGAAGGAGAAGAAGAAGAAACCTGATCCCAGCAGCTCCAAACCCCGAGCAGGTTCGGAGCTCCCAACCCCCCCCCCTCCTCAAGAGCCAGGAGGGAAGAAGAAAACAGGTTGTAATTAGACAAAAGTGCATTCCAGTTCTCTCTCTCTCTCTCTCTCCCCCCCACAACCTCCCAGAAAGAAAAGTTCTTTTTTTAAATGCCTGCCCCAGAGATAGGAGGGAGTGGCTGGAGCAGGGAGAGGGAACATGGGGAGCTGGAACTGCCCAGACTCGTTGCTGCAAGTAATTATAGATTTACAGAGCAGCTCCAGACACATCTTCCACCCCCGTTCCCTCGGCTCAGGACGCCTGGAGAAGACATTTCCTTCTCCCCTGGGAAGGCACAGGAGCGAGGAGCAACACCTTGAGGAATATTTCCCCCCCTCCTTCTCCCTCCTCCCAGCCCCTTGGGGCTTTTTTGGGGTGTTTTGTTTTGGGATTCCTGGTGGCTCTGGAGAGACAAAAAAGCCTGGGCGGCAACCTCGGTGCCAAATCCGGCTCCGGGCCCTGAGAAATCCTCTTTGCCCACATGGAAACCTGTTTTTCCTCAGCCCCCCTCTGGAAGGAAGGGGGGGGTGTTCAGGTTTAACTTTCCAATCCCTGTTTTCCCTGCTGGATCATATTCCAGGGGTTTTTTCCTCCCCCCCCTCCTCTCTCCACCTCCTCGGGGCACCTCTGTGTGAGAGTTTGGGCGTCAAGAATTCCAGAGGTTTTTTTTTCCTTGTTTTCCTGGACTCTGTGGCCCAACAACCTTCCCTGTTTTCACCCAGATGGAAAAATTTGGCTTTCAAGGTGGGGGGAAGGGGGGGGTTTTAACTCCTTGCAAACAGGACCCTCTTCCCGAGGAATCGACTCTGGGAAAAACCCCCAGCAGGGCAAGAAAGGAATTGTGTTCCATTCCCAACCTTCCTTTTTCCATCCTCCTGTTCCAGGGAGAACTGGGAGATCCCTGGGACTTCACTCAAGCCCGGGAGAGCTGGAAAATCCCTGTGATTTGAACCCAACTCCCGTTTTCCTCCGGGAGACTCCGCGTTCCCCACGGAGGGAGGGGCAGAGCTCGAGAGTTTGGGGCAGAAATGGGTTAAAAAAAAGCTCTTTTTGGTTTCCAAAGGAGGCAGAACTGAGCAAACAAAGCTGGGGGGGGAGGATTGGGAGGAGCAGAAGCCCCCAAGTTTCGGCCTCTGAAACTTCAGCCACGTTTATCCGGCCCCATAAAACGGTCAAACACCGGGGCAAGGCAGGGGCTGAGCAGCCCCACTAAACCCTCTTATCCCAAGGACACCTCTCCAACCCACCCAGCAAAGCAAACCAACCCAAAAAAAAACCAAACCAAACCTCCCCACACACCCTGAAATCAAAGCCTGAACCCACCCGGAGCGCTCAACGGGAGCCCCAAAATTCCTCATTTCCCACAGCGCTCCCGAGGGGGGAAAAGGAGCCCCCAGAGGGAAAAGGAGCCCCCAGAGAGGGAAAAGGAGCCCCCAGAGAGGGAAAAGGAGCCCCCAGAGGGAAAAGGAGGCCCCAGACAAGGCTTTTATAACCCCCCCCAGCAGCACTGATGATCCCAGGGCCATTCCCAGGTATCGGAGGGGATTTGCAGGAGCCCCTGGAATTCCAAAGGGCCGGAATTCCGAGGCCCCCACTCACCGTTGGGCCGGATGTTGATGAAGGGGTAGTTGGGCATCACCAGCTTGTTGAAGTTGAACTTGTAGGTGAATCTTTTGCCCTTGGTCTTGTGGAGGATCCTCTTGTTGTAGTAATATCTGGGAAAAGGGGGGGGAATGGGAAGAGATGGATCAAAGGGCTCCCTGTTTTGGGGACCAACCCCCCCCCACCTCCTGCTCGAGGTCCCATCAGGAATGGAGCTGCTCCAAACACCTGGAAAAGGCTCCCTGGCTCCTTTTTTTGGGGGGATTTCCATGGATATTTGAGTGATATTTCCATGGGTATTGGAGAGATATTTCTGTGGGTATTGGAGAGATATTTCCATGTATATTTGAGTGATATTTCCATGGATGTTTCAGAGATATTTCCATGGTTATTTTAGAGGTATTTCCATGAGTATTGGAGAGATATTTCCATGGATATTGGAGGGATTTTTCCATGGATACTGGAGGGATTTTTCCATGGATATTGGAGAGATATTTCCATGGATATTGGAGAGATATTTCCATGGCTATTTCAGAGGTATTTCCATGGGTATTGGAGAGATATTTCCATGGATATTTCAGAGGTATTTCCATGAGTATTGGAGAGATTTTTCCATGGGTATTGGAGAGGTATTTCCATGGATATTGGAGAGATATTTCCATGGGTATTGGAGAGATATTTCCATGGATATTGGAGAGATATTTCCATGACTATTTCAGAGATATTTCCATGGGTATTGGAGAGATATTTCCATGGATATTTCAGAGATATTTCCATGGGTATTGGAAAGACATCTCCATGAATATGGAAGAGATATTTCCATGGATGTTTCAGAGGTATTTCCACGGATATTGGAGAGATTTGTGTGGCTTGATGATCTGTATCCCTGGACTGATGAGATTCCCTCTCAGGTGAGGGGGTTTTTTAGGGATATCTGAGGATTTTTTTTCCCGGAGGAAACTCCCGTGTTTGCCTTCGGCAGCTCCACCCAGGAGCTATCAGAGGGCGTGGGACTGATAATTCCATGACCTCTCAGGGACTTGGGGACACTCCTGGAAGGGCTGGAGGGTGGAAACACCTCCGGGGGGGGGGGGTCGGGAGGGTTTCTCCGAACTCCAATTCCCAAACACGCACAGAGAAAAACTGGGACAAAATTCCCTCCCCAATTCCATGGAAACAGGGAGAGCTGGAGGGTTTGGAGTCAGACAGGAATGCTCAGCCCTTGTAGGGCATTATGGGATGGGCTGGGCTGGAAGGGACCTCCAGGATCATCAAGGCCACGACTCCAGGTGGCTCCGAGCCCCTTGGCCTTGGGCACTTGCAGGGATGGGGAAATCCATGGAATTAGGCCATGCCAGCCTGCCAGGGAAAGGATTTACCCCCATTATCCCATCCTGGAATGCTCTGGGCTGGCAGGGGGGACCTCCCACCACCCCAGGTCGCTCCAAATCCCACCCGAGCCGCCCTCGGCCGCTTCCCAAATTTCCCCCCCGAAGGAGCTGGGTGGGAGGGTGAAAGTGAGGGGGCTCCTTTCCCACCCCAATTCCCATCCATCACCCCCCTCCTCATTCACCTGAGGGCCCTGCTGAGCTTGTCATAGTTCATCTGGGGCTTGCACTTCCTCCTGCCCCACAGCCGGGCCACCTCGTCGGGGTCCTTGATGACGAACTCGCCGTACTCGCCCTGCTGCCAGGCGATGACGTGGCGGAATTCCTCCTTCTGCAGCAGCTCCAGGATGAAGTGCCACAGCTGGATCTGCCTGGAGCCCGGGCTCGACTCCGTCTTGTAGGCCCACTCCGGGAAATGGTAGCCTTTTGTTGTTTTGGGGAGGGGGGAAGAGCAGGTGATGATGGGGGTGGTCTGGTATGGGGGGCTGGGGGGGATCCCTCCCAACCTCAGGGGAGGAATCTGTAGGGGGGTCTGAGGGGTTTCTGTGGATTGATGAGAGATTTGTGTGGATTGATCAGAGATTCCCATGGATTGATGAGAGTTCTATGGATATCTGAGAGATTTGTGTGGATATCTGAGAGATTTCCGTGGATTGATGAGAGATTTGTGTGGATTGATGAGAGATTTGTGTGGATTCATCAGAGATTCCCATGGATTGATCAGAGATTCCCATGGATTGATCAGAGATTTCCATGGATTGATGAGAGTTCTATGGATATCTGAGAGATTTGTGTGGACATCTGAGAGATTTCCATGGATATCTGAGAGACTTGTGTGGATATCTGAGAGATTTCCATGGATATCTGAGAGATTTGTGTGGATTGATGAGAGATTTCCATGGACTGATCAGAGATTTCCATGGATTGATCAGAGATTTCCATGGATTGATCAGAGATTTCCATGGATTGATGAGAGTTCTATGGATATCTGAGAGACTTGTGTGGACATCTGAGAGATTTCCATGGATATCTGAGAGACTTGTGTGGACATCTGAGAGATTTCCATGGATTGATGGGATCCCCCTCTCAGGTGTGAAATCTGTAGGGGCATTTGAGGGATTTCTATGGATACCTGAGCTATTTCCATGGATTGATGGGATCTCCCTCAGATGAGAAATTTGCAGGGGTATTTGAGGGATTTCTATGGATTGATGGGAGATTTCCATGGATATCTGAACTATTCCCATGGATTGATGGGATCTCTCTCAGATGAGAAATCCGTAGGGGGAATTTGAGGGATTTCTATGGATACCTAAAGGATTTCTATGGATTGATGAGAGATTTCCATGGATTGATGAGATTCCTCCCCCCGCCCCAGACCAAAGATTTCCATGGATATTCCCAATATTTCACCCTCAGGTGGGGGATTTGTGGGGACACAGCCGAGATTCCAGGTCTAATTCCAGCTGGTTTAATTCCAGTGGGGAAGAGACCCAGCTCTCCACCTCTGGCTGCTCATTCCAAGCTCCTCTCAGCCCCCGATTTTCTTGGAGAATCCCTAAAAAAACCCTCCCCAAAAAATGAGCGGGATGGGAGGCGTGAGGAGCCCGAAAAAATAATCACAATAAAAAATGATAATAAAATAAAATAATAATAACAAAAATATCAATAATAATAATATCAATAATAATAATATCAATAATAATAATATCAATAATAATAATAATAATAATAATAATTAATTCTTTTCAACCCAGCACTGGCGACCCACCAAGGGAATCCCACCCCAGCCACGGGAAGATTTTAGGAGAGGAAGAATTAACCCCCCTGGAGCAGCTTTATCCAGGGAAAAACATGGAAAACTCGGCTTTGGGGCCTCCCTTACCTCCTCCTCCCTCAGGTTTGTCCACGATGCTGCAGCCTGCTTTCATCTTCTCCCTCCTGCCAGCTGGGGGGCACAGGGAGAGCGGTGTGAGGGGGCCCTGCCCATCCCCAGGGATGCTCCCCAATTCCCAAGGGATCCCCAGCCCCCCTGGAGCCCGGGAAGGAGCCCGGGCAGGGCCCTCAGACAGACACAACAAGCCCAGCTCAGTTCGCCTCCCGCTCCCAGACGGGCTCTGCTGCCAAAACACACAACTCCCAGATGGGCCAGGGAGGGAATGAAAAAAAAAAAGGGGAGGGGATTCAAAAATCCCAGCTCCTGATCCCGGGATTCAAAAATCCCAGCATTAAAAAATCCCAGCTCCTGATCCTGGAATTCAAAAATCCCAGCTCCTGATCCTGGGGTTTCAAAAATCCCAGCTCCTGATCCTGGGGTGAAAAAATCCCAGCATTAAAAAATCCCAGCTCCTGATCCTGGGATTCAAAAATCCCAGCTCCTGATCCCGGGATTCAAAAATCCCAGCTCCTGATCCCAGGGTTCAAAAATCCCAGTTCCTGATCCTGGAATTCAAAAATCCCAGCTCCTGATCCAGGGATTCAAAAATCCCAGCTCCTGATCCCGGGGTTAAAAAATCCCAGCTCCTGATCCCCCCCCCCAAAACAGGAGCCACTTTCAGGTGGGGGATCCCCCTCTGGTTCCTCCTCCTCAAAAAGGGGGGTCCGAGGGGTGACAGCGCTGTGGGACCCCCCCCCCTTGGGAAGGGTCTGGAGCCCCTCGGGAGGGTCTGACCCCCCCAAATCCCACCTTTCCAACCCCCCGGGGCTTTCAGGAGGGTCCATCCCAAACACCCCCCCAAAGGGGGAGGAGGGTCCGACCCCCCCAGCCCTCAAAACCCCCCAAGGAGTGACCAGATCCCCCCTCCCCGGGGTTGTTTCACCCCCTCCCCGGGGTTGTTCGACCCCCCCGGTGTTTCCCAGCGCCGGGAGGGGCTCCAGGCCCGCCGGGAGGGGCCGCGTTCGGCGCCGCCGCGGCGGGGCCGGGGCCGGGGCCGCTCCGTTACAGCCCCTGCCGGCCTGTCCCGGCCTGTCCCGGCACGGCCCCGCCCCGGCCCCGCCCGAGCCCCCGGGGGGAGCCGCCCCGACCGGGAAACCCACCGGGAAACAGCACCAGAGACACCCCCCCCACTCCCACCCCGGGAACGGGGAGCGCCGGGATCCACCGGGATCCACCCGGGACCAACCGGGACCAACTGGATCCACCCGGGAACCGTCCAGCTCCCCCCACACCCCGCGGTGGAACGAAACACCGGGAACACCCCCAAACACGGCCTCGGGACCCCCGCGGCCTCCCCGCGCCGGGAGCACCGGGCGGGTCCTTCCTGCAGCCCCCGGTAACCGGGGAAGGGGGGTCCGTGTTTACCCTCGAATCGAGATACCCGGGGGCCGTCCTGTTTAATGTTCCCCGGTAACGGGGGTCTCGTTTACCCTCCCGGTAACGGGGGTGTCTCGTTCACCGCTCCCGGTAACCGGGGGGTCCGATGTTTACTCCTGGGGGTTCATTTATTCCTCCCTGGTAACCGTGGGGGTGGTAAACGAGCCCCCTCCCTCCCCGTTTCCACCCCCTCCGCCTCTCACCGGTCCCTCCCCGCCCCGGGGCCTCCGTTCACCGCCCCCACCCCGTTGCCCCCCCACCGGTTTGTCCCCCTTCCATCGCCCAAAACGCCTCCATTGCCGCCCCCTCCGCCACTCCCCCCGTTACCCTCCCGGTTCGCACCTGCGGGGCGGCGCGGGCGGGTCCCGGTTTTTGGGGGAGGGGTGGCTGTGAGGGGGGTGGCGGAGCGGGCGGGGATGTGGCGGGTGCGGGGCCTGGGCGCGCTCGGAGCCGCTCCCGGCGGGGGTTCCCGGAGCCGTTCCCGCTTCCCGGAGCCTCCCCCGGAGCCGCCGCCGCCGCCGCCGCCGCCGGAACCGGAACCGCCGCCGCCACCGCCCACGCGCTTCCGGCCCGCGCGGCCCCCGCGCCGCTTCCGCTTCCGGTGAGGGAGGGGGACGGCCCGACCCCCCCCCAAAATAATAATAATAATAAAACTAAACAGTAATAAAATAAAAACACGACGGGGGAAAGGATCATCCTGCCCTTCCTCCAAAAACAAACAAAAAAAAAAGGCTCGCAGCGGTTCGTTCCACACCCCCCCCCAAAATAAATATATAATAATGATAATAAAGAATAATAACATAAAAACGTCACGGGGGAAAGGATCATCCTGCCCTTCCTCAAAAAAAAAAAAGAAATAAAATAAAAAAAAATCCAGGCTCGCAGCGGTTCGTTCCACACCCACCCCACCAAAAAAATATATATAATAATGATAATAAAGAATAATAACATAAAAACATCACGGGGGAAAGGATCGTCCCGCTTTCCCCCACCACCTAATAAATAAATAGATAAATAAATAAACAAAGATCCAGGCTCGCAGTGGTTCGTTCCAACCCCCCCCATACACACACCCTCCGAAAAAAATATAGAATATAAAAATGCAGGGGTCCAGCTGTGCGGGGATCCTGGTTTATGGGGATCCAGCTGTGCAGGGATCCAGCTGGGCAGAATTCCCCCATTTCCCTGCCCTCGAAGCAGCTCCTGGGGGGCCCCTTTGGTCCCGGTGCCCCCCCCCGTGTCGGGGTCCCCCCATAAATCCACCCCCACCTCTTTTTATTCCACCTTTATTGAGCTCATTGATCCAAAACACGGGGGGGGGGGATGATTTGGGACCCCCCCAGGCCGGCCCCGCGTGGGGGGGACACGAGGGGACATCGCGGGGGTCCCGTCCTGCTCGGGGGTCCTGCTGGGGGGGGAAAGGAGGGTGAGGACAGAACTGACCCCCCCTGGGGGGGGAGGGACAGGGGACAGACCCCCCAGGGCTCACCTGGCGCTCACACCTTCGCCCTCAGCTCGCAGTAAATGGTCCTGGGCTGCTCCTGCTGCTCGGGGGGGCACAAAATAAGTCAGGACCCCCTTTTCACACCACTGAGCCTCGGGAAGGGGGGTGGGCGAGCTGGGACGGCCCCCCCCGGGCACTTGGTGGCCCTGGAAGTGGCCTTTGGTGTCCCCTGCCCGGGAGTTCCGAGCCAATTCCAGGGGAGGGGGAGGAGGAGGAGGAGGAGGGAGGGGAGGGGGGCTCAGAATTTGGGCCCCCCATCCCCCCAGGACTCACCCCCTCGCGAGGCTCCCGGGGGTTTCCCCTCTGGATCTGGGCGTACAGGAGCTCTGGGGGGGCGAGGGCACCTACGGGGGGGAAGAGAGAGAGGAGAGAGCCCAAGGATGGCTGGAGGGGGGGTCTGGAGCCATCCCGGCCCCTCCAGGGCGGGCAGAATCCCGGGAATAACCGAGGCTGGAAAAGCCCTCTGGGGTGGTCGAGTCCACACCCAGAGAGCGACCAAAAAAATATATAAAAAATATTTTTATATTTAATATTTTATATTAATTGTTATATTAATTATTTATAATTTTATATTTTTATATTTAATATTTTTATATTAGGTATTATATTATATTTATAATTTCATATTTTTGTATTTATATTTAATATTTTAATATTAAATGATATATTAATTATTCATAATTTTATATTTTTATATTTATCCCCGTTTTTCCAGGGACAAAACTCACCACCACCACCACCAGGTGTCCAACCTGAACCCGGGGCCGTCTCCTCTCGTTCTATCCCTTCTTCCCTCCCGGGGCTTGACACCCCTGGAAAAAAAAAAAAAAAAAATATCAAGAGTGAAGGGAAAAAAAACCTTTCCGGGCTTTTCCCACCCCATCTGCCCGCTCAGAGCCCGGCAGTGCCCACCTCCCTCGGGTTTTTTCTTCCTCCTCCTCCTCCTCCTCCTCCTGCAGCAGATCCAGGCGATGCCGGGCAGGGCTGCGGCACCCACGGCCCCCACGAGCACCAGACACGCCGCGTGGCTCCTCGTGCCTGCGGGGGACGAGCCGTGCTGGGCTCCAGGACCCTCCGGGGGGGTTGGGGAGGGGTCTCAGGGGGGTTTTTTTTTTACCCTGCTGAGGGCACAGGGTGTGCGGATGGACCGAGGCGTTCCGCTCCTGGGCGGGACCGCGGGCCACGCAGGTGTAGATGGAGTTAAAGGCGGGGAGCGGCAGGGCCAGGCACAGGGTCTGGCTGTCCCCGCAGGGCTGTCCCGGGGGGGTCCCGGGGTGCCAGGACACCGTGGCGTTGGTGCCCGGGGGCGGCTGGCACCGCAGGGTGAGGTTGCACTGCCGGGGCGAGAGGGAGAGCTGCTCCCTGCGGATCTTCGGCTCGGGCAGCGGATCTGTTTGAGGTGCAAACAAACCCCCGTCACACGCCCCGGGCACGGGGTGGAAGGGCAGAGATAAAGAGGGAGAGCTCCCAGGGGAAAAAGGGGAAGCGCCGGGGCCGGGGTCGGTCCCAGAGAGCCGGGACCATCCCCGTGGAGGATGCTCCGCGGCAGCCCCAGCGATTTCCCTTCCCCTTTCCCAGCGGGGGCTGGGAGGGCGCTCCCAGGAGCTGCTGCTGCTCTGCAAGCACCCACCGTAGACGGAGAGGGTGAATTTCTGCGCCTTCAGCACCGCCGGGTGCAGTTTAAGCCGAACCTCGTAGTCTCCGCTGTCGCCCCTCTCCAACCTGCGGATCCTCAGCGCGCTCCCGTCGGGCATCTCCAGCCGCTCCCCGAACCGATCCTGGGGGTCGGGGCGCTCGAATCCACCCCGGCCGAACTCGGCCACGAGCCGTGTGACGCTGCCGACGCCTGTAAAGGCCCACTCGACCTCCTTCACCTCCGTCCCGTTGAGGGGCAGGTCCGGGGAGAGCAGCACGGACCCCCCCGCCACGCCGTTCACGAGCCGCGTGGGAGCGTCCACGGCACCTGGTGGGGACAGGGACGGCGTGGGGGATGGAGACCCCCCCCAGCACCAGCCCCATTCTGTCCCTCTCTCCCCTCCCGAGGTGCCCGTGGGTGCCCTGCCCACCAGGGCCTGACTCACGGGAGCTCCCGGGAGGGATTAATTTAAACCCCCACGCCCGTCCCTTTCCCTGGCGGCGTTCCCGGCTCTCAGGGGGTTGGGGACACCCCGGGGGCTCGCGGGGCCTTGTCCTGGTGTCACCCTATGCCCCCCCACCCCTCCGTGTCACCCCCACAGTAGGGACGCCACAGCCCCCATCGTCCCTAAGCCCGAGTGGGGCTCAGACCGGGTGGGTTTAAAGTTAAACCTCCAGAAAATGTCCCCAAGGGTCAGGGACCGACCAGGGACCACCCTCGGGGCTGGGGACCCCCTGGGATCGGGGGGATGCTGGGGGCACACGATGCCTCGTCCCGGCACAGGTAGAGGAAACTCTCCCCGCCGCGTGGGGCTGAAACAGGGGCAGGGTTTTAAGGCTAAACCTTGGGGAAACGGCTCGCCAGGAGCCCCCCCCGGGGTGAGATTGGGGGAACGGACGGAGCGACAGACGGTTCCCAGCCCGCAGCCCCCGTCCCGTCCTGCCCTGCCCGGGGCCGGCCCCGCTCTCGCTCCCCCCGCGGCCACTTCGCTTCTGCAGAGACGGAGCCGAGGCGAGGGGGAAAAGCGGGGCCGAGAAACCGCAGCCCCGCCGCAGCCTCGGGGGGTTGGGGGGGGGGGTTAATTCATCGCCCCCCCCCCACTCGGCTCACGGGATGTGTTGCTGAGGAGGAGGAGGAGGAGGAGGGGGATCACTTTGGGACCCCCCACACCACGGGCTTGGCCCAGCCAAGGGGTCCCAACAGCCCCCCCCCGGGGGATGACCCAGCCCCTCCGGGCACCACGAGCCCCTCGGGGATGGATTTTTGGGCGGCGGGAAATCAGGGAGGGGAGGTTGAGCGACGCCCCCTACCCCCCCTCCCCTCCCTGAGGGACCACCGGTGCCCTGGGACATCATTCCTGCTCCTTTTTCCCCCCGGGACACCTCACGGATTCCCCCCCCGGACCCCCCCAAATTCATTTCTCGTGCGGGACCCAAAGTCGCGCTCTCGGCTCTCTCCCAACCGCTCCGAGGTCTCTGAAAAATTGGGGAGGGGGGCTGTTCTCCCACCCCCCCGCACCCACCTGCCACTCCCAGGAGCAGGACCAGCAGCCGGGGGAGCCCGGGGCGCTCCCACATCGCTCCAAACGCACCGAGCTCGGCTCTGAGCGCCCCGGGGAAGGGAACGCGAACCCAAAAACCACCTCGCAGGGGAGTGGCGAGCGCAGGACACGGCGGGGGCGACGCCGAGCCCCGCGCGCGGCGCTGCCCCAAAAACCCCGGCGGGGGTCGGGGCGATCTGCACCCCTCCCCGCTCCCCGGGTTCCCCCGGGGTTCGGAGCCGCTTCCCAAAGCACTGCTGCCTCCCGGCCTTTGTTTCCCACCTGGAACCAGGTGCGGTTGGAAGAGGGACGGGCCGGATGCAGCCGGCTCTGGGCAAACAAAACCATCTGGGGTGGCTGAGCCACGAGTGGAGTCCTTGTCCCTGTGGCGGGGACGGGCTGGGGGTCACGAGGGGTTGGAAATCCGGGGGAGGGGGCTTGGGAATATCCCCGTTGGACTCCCGGTCCTGGGATGCTCCTTGAACCCCACGCTCGGGGTGTCCCGCCCGCCACTCCCGGGATGCTCCTGTGCCCTTCATCCCGCGTGTCCCGTCCCCTGCATCCCCAGTGTCCCGTTCCCCATTCCCAGGACGCTCCACACGGCCCCAGGATGGTCCATGTGGCCCTGGGAGCGCACACGCGTGTCCGTGTACACACCCACAACACACCCCGTGTCGCTGTGCCCGCCCCTGCCCGCCCCTCCCTCTCCTGCAGCTCCCCCGCGATCTCACCAACATTTATTTGCTGTTTTTACAGTGGTGGGGTTGGAGGGGGGGTCTGGGCGGGGGTCCCCGTGGCAGTGGGTGCTGGACACGCAGGCGGTGAGACCCCCTTTCCGTGCACGGAACAGCGAGGAGGAGGGGAAGGGAGGGAGGGGGCGTTTCCCGTGGCTCTGCACCGGCGATGGACGGTCCTTCTTCTTCACCCCCGCAGGTCGGGGGACACCGCGCTGTGTCCCCCCCGCTCCGTGTCCCTTTGGCAGTGGTAGGTTGGCAGTTCCCCCCCCCCGTCCCCCACGCGCGGGCATCTCCCCACGGAGGGTCCCTGCGAGACCCCGGGGGGAGCCCGAGGCTGGAGAGGGGGGTGGGGTGAGCGGAGGTCCACGCGCTCCGGGGGGGTTGGGGGGCTCATCGCCGTCCCGCCGTGCCACAAAGTGTCCCCCGCCATGTCCCCCCCCTTGCCCTCCCTGGTGCCCCCAAAAACCCCATCCCCAACCCAGGCCAAGTCCCGCGGCGGCAGCGCGTGGAGGAGGGGGCGAATCCAGGAGGTTTTCCCCATCCTGGAGCATCCCGGAGCACGCGGAGGGGGTGGGGGGGGACACCACGGAGGGACCCCCAGCTCGGCCGCCACCGCCTCGGTCCAGGATCCCGCTCCCCAAACAGTCTCGGAGGGCACCGGGGAAGGAGGTGGGAGATGAACCGGAGGAGGAGGGGAGGGGGATGGTGGTGATGGTGGTCGGGAGGTGGGAAAAGGGTCCGTCCGGCTGAAGTCCCGCGCTGGAGCCTCCCGAGCCCGGAGCCGACGCCGGGGAGGGGCTGGAGGGTTGGGATTTGGCACACGACGCACTTTTACAGCCCTTCCAGGAGATCCCGGCGCTCCGGCCCTGCGGGTACCTGCGGGACACAGGAGCCCCTCTCAGCGCTCCCCGCGCTGCCAGACCCTCCTCCCTGTCCCCCCTGTCCCCCTGTCCCCCTGTCCCCCTGTGCCCCCTGTCCCGCACCTGAGGGTCTATGTCACCTCCTCGGCCGTGTCCCCTGGCGCTGCCTGGCCCTGCTGCTGCTCCTGGCCGGGGGCGGCCGCTGCTGCTGCTCCTTTCTGCGGCGAGCTCTGCTCCTGGTTATTCTCGGGGTGACTCGGGCCCTGCCGCACAATTTGGGGGGGGCTGATGAGGGTCCTGCTGGCCCCCCCCGGGGAAGCCCCCGTGGGATGCTCTGCCACGGCTGTGACCCCGGCGTGGTCGGGACCCCCGGTTTGACTCTGTGGGACCCTCCCCCGCACCCAAATTGTGACTGTGACCCCCCCCACGCAGCCCCTCCGGGGGCCTCACCTGGTCATTACCTTCCGGGGGGCTCCTGCACACGATGTCGGTGTACTGGGGCTCCGAGGGGCTTTCCTCGGCGGGCACCGTGGGGGTGGCGGCTGCAGGGAGCCCGAGAGTTCCAGGAAAACAGACCCTCCCCACTCCCCTGAGCCCCTTTCCCACTCCCCCGAGCCCCTTTCCCGCTCCCCGACCCCTTCTTCACTCCCCCAGCTCCTTCTTCACTCCCCCAGCCCCCTCCTCACTTCTCCAGCCCCTTCCTCGCTCCCCAGCCCCTCCCCACTCCCCAGCCTCTTCCCTTCTTTTCCACTCTCCCTCCCCTCAAGCCCCCTCCCCACTCCCCAGCCCCCTCCTCGCTTCCCCATCCTCTTCCCCCTCTCCCCAAAGCCCTCCCATTCCTTGCTCCCCAGCCCCTCCAGGACCCCTCGGGAAAGTGGGAGGTGGTCGGGGGGGGGGTCTCCTCTTGCCTGGATCCGACGCCTTCTCGCTGTTCATCCTCCAGCACCAGAAGGCCCCCCCCAGGCTCACGGCCAGCAGGATGAGGGTCAGCACGATGTACCCCGACGTCGAGAAGGACGTTTGTCCCCCTGCCAGGGCACAGAGGGGACACCCTGAGCTGTGCCCACCCCTTGACAAGAACCACCCCCTCCCCTCCACGGGGTGAGGGTCTCCCCCACCTCCTCCCTGGCAGATGGTCTGCAGGTCGAACAGGGCGACCTTCTGGTCGGCGGGGTTGCTGACGGTGCAGGCGTAGGTGACGTTGGCGGCCGTGGGGGGCAGGTTGACCCTCAGGGTGGTCCCGTCCGGGGACAGCTGGTGGCGGTCGGGGAGCAGGTCCCAGGTGAGGCTGTCGCGCTTCCAGGTGACGTTGACGGCGCCTTTGCCCGAGCCCTGGCACTGCAGGGTCAGGTTGCACCACTCCACGGTGCTGGCCAGGAGCTGGCTGCGGGTCCGGGGGCTCGGCACCGACTCTGCGCCCGAGGAAGGGCTGGCTCAGCACCTCCCCACGGCAGGATTTGGGCCGCTGAGTGTCTAAACCCCCCCCCTCGGTCGAGTGTTTGTGCTCGGGGCTTTAAACCCCTCCTCGAACCCCAGCGTCGTTCTGTGCCTCAGTTTCCCCACCCGCAGAGGGGTCAATTCTCACCCTCGGGGCTCCTCATCCAACCAACCCCACCGTTGTTCTGCTCCTCCCTTTCCCCCGCACTCTCAGGGGATTTAGAGCTCGCCCTCGGGGCTTTCTATTTATCCCCAAATCCCCCACCAGCGCCTCGGTTTCTCCTCCTGCAAAGGGATTATTTCCCACCCTCGGGGCTCTCTATTTACCCCTCCTTCCCCAGCGCTGCTCCGCGCTCAGCCTCCCCACCCGCAAAGGGACTCAGAGCTCCCACTTTGGGCTTTCTTTCCCTGTGTCCCCTCAGCACCCACCGTAGACGGAGAGGTTGAAGGTTTGATCCTCCACCAGCGCGGGGTGCAGTTTGATCCTGGCCCCGTAGACGCCGCTGTCGCCCCTCTCCAACCTGCGGATCCTCAGCGCCGTCTCGTTGTGCCTCTCCAGGCGGTTCCCGAAGCGGTCCCGGGGGTCGGGCCGCTCGAAGCCGCCGCGGCTGAACTCGGCCACCTGGATCATGGCCCCGGTGCCGGCGGAGAAGCTCCACTCGATCTCCTTCACCGTCTTGTTGGGGGGCAGGGCCGGCGAGAGCAGCACCGACCCCCCCAGGACGCCGTTGACCTGCTGGGGCTGCGCCCGGGCTTGGCCGAAGAGCAGCTCTGGGACAAGGACAGAGTCACCCAGGGGCGTTTGGGGACAGCGAGGGGACGAGGCGGGGGACAAGGCAGGGAGGGACAGGAGGACATTCAGGGAAAGCCTCAAAGCAGCATCTCCTGCCCTGCTCTGTCCGCTGGTGCCTACCCAAGCCGGGACGGGGGGGATGTACCCCCCAAAAAAATAAAAAAAAAGAGAGGGAAAGACGCTGGGCTGGAGGGACCAGAAGCCAAAAACTACGAGAGCTCTACGGGTTCAAGGTGCGGGTGCCCCCTCGGGACGCCGGGTCTGCAAGGATCAGGTGCGGGTGCCCCCCAAGGGGGTGCCAAGCTCGGGGAGCGGAGGCTCAAAAAGATAACGGAGGATCTGCGAGGTTCAGATGCGGGGGCAGCCCCCACATATCCGAAGCCCGAGGCTCTCACCAGAACAACGCTCCAAGAGAGTCTGGGAGGAATTCCCAGCCAACACCTCCAAAACCTCACTGTCCGCCTCGGCCCAGAGCCCTGCGGGAGATCGACAAGGGTTAAGGGGGCGGGCTGGGGGCAGCTGGGGGGTCCCTGTGGGCTGAGGGTGCTGGGCCAGCAGGGATGGAGCCCCCTGGGAGCCCGTGGGACGGGTGATTCCCACGGGGATGGAGCCTTTTCCTTCCTTATCCAGACCCTGAGCCTCCACCACGGAGAGGGGTTTGGGATTTTAGTTGCAGCATCTCTGCAAAAATCCCACTGCCAAGAGCTGCTCGACGGTTCCAGGCAGGGATGGAGCCCCTGCCGACCTGTGGGGTGCGTGATTCCCGCAGGGATGGAGCCTTTCCCTCCTGCCTTCTCCCAGCCCGAGGAGCAGATTCTGAGCCTCCACCGCGGGTGGTTTGTGTGGTTTTTTTTTGGCAGCATCCAGAGGTCCCTGATCCAAGAATTCTGCTGCCAAGAGCCGCTCAGCATCACCTCCCTCACTCCTGGCACCTCCAGGGAGGGACCGAGTCCCTTCCAACCTGTGGGATCGGGGCCATTCCCACAGGGATGGAGCTTCTCCCTTCTCCCAGCGGGCTGGGCCCGAGGGGCACGTTCTGAGCATCCATCACGGGTGTTTTTGGGGTGGTTTTTTTTTTTTTTTTTTTTTTGCCTTTTGCAGCATCCTGAGCTCCCTGCAAAAATCCCGATGCCAGGAGCCGCTCGGCACCACCTCCCTCGCTCCTGGCAGCTCCCGCCTACTTCCAAGCTGTCTCCTGCGCTGGCCCCGGCCCCCGCATCCCCCCACGCCCCTCTGCCTCGGAGAACACCCCCCCTTTTCTCTCTCTCCCTCTCCCCTTCCCACGCAGAACGGGGGAGGCGGGATGGGACGAGCGGCATCAGCTCCGTCCTGGCTGGGACGGGGCGTGAATTCCCGGGATCGTCCCCCCTGCTCCGCTCCCCTCCCAAAAGGAGGCAGAAACAGCCGAGCCCGTCCCTTAAAAGCAGATTAAACGCGGCCAGCGCAGCGTGCGCTCGATGTAAACCCCTCCGGCAGCCCCCCAGGACGAGCCGCCTCTGGGCTCCGCTCTCCGAGCCGCTGGAAGCTTTTATTGCTCTCATCCCGCTCATCCCGGGCTCGATTCCCGCTCCTCCAGCCCGGGCTCCAACCCGAATGAGTTCCCAAAACACTTCTCAGTGGGGAAAACGCAAAGTTTTTGGGGCCCCGTGAAGCCGCAGCAGAGCCCGAGCAGCAAAACAGAGCTTGGGGTGGGATGTTGTGTGTGTCTGGGGGGATGAGGATGCTCCAAAATCCCCTCGCTCTCCTCACGGAGGAGCTCAGAGAGATTCTCCCTTCCCGATTTCCTCGCTGCCAAGGATGGAGCCGCTCGTGTGTCCGTCGGTCCGTCCATCCATCAGCCGGCCGGACACCCCCCCACCCCAGAGCATCCTCCTCCTCCTCCTCCTCCTCCTGGGAGGTTTCCCTTCCATGCCCGCCCCGGGGGGGTCCCCGCCGGTCTCCCCCGCGCTGTCGGAGGGGCGGCCGGAGGAAACGAGGGCCGGGAAAAAGCCTTGGCCTCCGCCAAGCGCCTCCCCGGCGTCCTCCCGGCTCATCCTGTTTACCCCAGATTTTTTGGAACACGAGGCTCCGCAGCCCCGGCTCCGCTGCAGGATCCGCGGGGGGGTTGGAGGCGGGGAGGGAAGGAGGATAAATATGTTGATGCTCGCTGCGTTTGGCAGCTGGATTAGCCCGACTCGAGCGTTCATCAGACCCCAAAAAAACAGCTCTCCGGGGGGGAAGAGGGGGGGGCCGATTTTAACCTCGGGTTTATTCACCCCGACCCCGAGGTTTCGCTTCTCCCTCGCCCTCCCCGCTCCCCACGTTCTGGTGCAAAATGATTTTGGTCCCGAAAAGCAGCCGGAGAAGTGCAAAAAGCGCGGAAAAACGGGCTTTTCCCCACCGAGCTGGGGCAGATATTTGGCATCACCTTGTGACGCTGCCCGGTGCTTTGGGCGCCGGCCCATCCCTCTCGTGAGGCCAATTAACCGCCGGGAAAATCCCCCCCCCCCCCAAATTAATCTGCCTGTACTATCAGATGCTTTTCCGTAGGAATCGGGAGGTATTTACAGGAATTATCAAGCGCGGGGATTAGCACGCCGGGAATTAAAGGGGATTCCTCGCTCCCGCTTTACGTAAGGAGCCGCTTCCCGGGCGGATCCGGAGCGGCCCCAGGGGCTCGGGGCTCTGAGGGCGGGGGAGCGACAGAAACTGGGACGGACCCCGAAGGTGTGGGGTGTCGTTCCCAAACCTCTCCTTGAGGCTGGAATCGGCCTTGCAGACCCCAACCCGCGGGGCGGACGGGGTGGGAAGGGGCGGGATGGGGGCTCCCCCAGCCCCGAGCCCACCTCCCCCTCTTTTCCACGCGCGTCCCGCGGGCCTGGGGGGGGCTCGAGGAGTGATGGGGGGGGGTCCGCGCACTCACCTGGCCCGAGCCCCAGCAGCGCCAGGAGCAGCGAGGGCAGCCGGGCTTTGCCGCGGGGCAATTCCCCCTCCATTTCTGCTGCTCCGGAGAGCGCGGCTCGGGCGGAGTGGGGGGGAAGACTCAGCGGAGGGAGAGGCGGGGAGGAGCGAGGCCGCCTCCCGCCGCAGCCCGTGGGACGCGGAGCATCGCGGGGCGCTCGGCCGGAGCGTTAATCAGCTCTCCGCCGGTTAATCGGTGGTGCTGGCGGCGGCGGGGAACGGGGAGCGGAGGGGCGGCGGGAGCGGCGGCGAGGATGCCGAGCAGTATGGCGGGGGCTGCCGGTGACCCCCGACCCTGCGGCACCGGGCGGGGAGCAGTGCCCGGATTAACGGGAGCGGAGCCCCCGCCGAGCCCGCCCGGCCCTCTGCGAGCCGCGCTCCGGAGCCCCTTCCCGGAGGGAGCGTCCCGGGCTGCTCCCAAAACACCTCATCCCCCCCTCCAAAAATAAAACAAAACCAACCCAAAACCTGAGGGGGGATGGCCCTGAGATCGGGGCTGAACCGGCCTCGGGAAGAGGAGCCCCCCTCCCGAGGGTCTGGGAGCGATTGCGGGGGTTGTGGAGCTGCCAGGGCATCTCCACGGGCTCCCTCTGATCCTCCACGCACCTTTCCCCGACCCCCCCCAAAGCAGAAAAGCCCCGAGCCCTCCCGGTGTATTTTTTATTTAATTCCCAGTGGAAAACAGGGAAAGGGGTGGGGAGGAGAGCGGGGAAAGGGGGGGAAAACAAGCTCTGCAGCAGCAGGGCTGGTGTGTCCGCAGCAAGAGGGAGATGTGGGGATGGTGGGAATCGTTAAATCCATCATTTCCCCCCGGACAACTTCCCGTAGGATCCCCGAAAGGCTGGAGAAGGAAGGGGATGAAGTTGCTGGAAGGGGATGCGGTTTTTGGTGAGGGGCAGCCAGGGAAAAGCACCCAAAGAGGGGAGTTGGTTGGAGGTGGGTCCAGATGTCTCTCAGCTGGATTTTTGGGAGGCTCCAGAGCATCCCTGAAGCCTCCCTGGCCAAGGACCACGCCGAGGGCCCACCCGGAGCTGTGGGACAGCCCTGGGGGCGTCCAGGGGACACCAGAACCCCCCTGGGGACCCCTCATTCCAAAGGCTCTCCCCCCAGAGCCAAACCCAGGGCTCGTGTCCCTCTGCGGCCCCTTCAGCTCCTTCAGGAAGGCCCCCAAAGAACGTTCCCAATTCCCTCCTCCAAACGGCAGCAGGGAGGATCAAAAACAGCGTTTTATTATTTATTAACACCCTCCTCCCGCTAATTCCGTCTCTCCGGGAGCTCGCTGGCGGCCGTGGCGCTGTTTGGCCTTTGGGAAGCGCCGTTTTTCCCTTAGAGTGGGACCCAAAAACCCCTCGGATTCCCTGGAGCGTCTGAGGGCCGGGCGCGCTCACGGGGCTATTTATAATCTCGGGATCGCGCGGAGTGTCGCGAGGTTTGAGGGAGCCCCCTCCGCGCGTGGGAAGGGGCGGGGCCTCTCCCCATGACGTCACGCTCCCCGTCGCGGGTGGGGGGGGCACCGGCGACACGGGGGGGTCCCCGGGGGGGTCTCGTGGGTGACAAAGGACCCCCAAGCCCCTCTGTTCCCTCCCTGTGGCCCAACCAGCGCCGTGGCCAAGGGGAGCAGCCCTGGGGACACAGGGGGGCACCGGGGGGTCCCGGGTGGGGGTTGGGGGCACCGGGGGTGCTTCTGATGCCTGGGGGCCCCCAAACTGCCCCTGAGACCCCCGAGGAGAAGATCATTCTTTCCTGGGGAAAGGGCTGGACCCTCCCCCACACCCCTTCCCAACTCCTTCCCTGCCCTTGGGTCCAAAACGCAGCTTTTGGTTAAAGTGGGAGAAATGGTGTTTATTGTCATCCAATTGAGGGGGCGGGGGAGAAGGTGAGGGCAGCCCCTAAAATCTTCACACACACACACACACACCACAACCCTCCAGATTTGCAGGGTTGCGATTTGGGGCCAAATCAGCCATTTTTGGGGTAAAAGGGTGGGGAAAAGCGCCAGTTTTCCATCGGGGGAGGGGTGAAGGGGCTCAGGGGTCCCGGGTGTTGGGGACAGAGGGGAGAGGCTGAGGAGAGGGGAGGGAATCACGAGCGTTTCATCTGCAGGGTCTCGTAGGTCTCCTGGTTCCCAGAGCTGAGACCCTGTGGGGTTTGGGGGGGTTATGGACGTGGTTTTTTGGGGGTTTCTCTCTCCCCCAAGGAGCCGGAGACCCCCTGGATGTCCCCTCTCCCCCAGGACAGACAGAACCCCCTTCCCACTCACGGCATAAATGGCCTCTTCCTTTTTCTGCAAAGAGAAAGTAAAAAGCCTTGGGAAGTGGAGGGGAGGGAGGGGAGGCCCAGCAGGACCACCCCCAAAACCCCCCTCCCAGCCCCTCCACCCTCCCCTGCCCCCATTTACCCCAAACCTCCCTTTACCTGTTCAATTGCTCGCCGTGCTCGCCGGGCCTGGAACTGGGAGGGGAGGGATCAAAAGTGAGGAAAATAAGGAAAAAAGGAATAAAGGGAAAAGCCCCCCCACGCCAGGGGGGACCCCCAGGAATGAGGGGGGGTCCCCCAGCAATGGGGGTCCCAGGCTCACCCTGAGGCGGCAGTAGAGGCCGGTGAGGACGAGGCTGTAGAGGAAGAGGACGGCGTCCAACACGTAGCAGATTTGGGGCTCCACCAGACCCCCTGGGGGGATTTTGGGGGGGGGTCCCTGGGTCAGCAGGGAGGTGACACCCCCCTCTCTGGCCCCAAAAGTTTGGGAGGCCCCAGGGGGTGAGGGCAGAGGGGTCTAGGGGGTTGGCACCGATGTCCCCCATGGGTGGCACCGGGGGGGGAGGTGGCACCCAGAGGGTGGCTCTGAGAGCCCCTGAGCCCCTCGGGACCCCCTGAGGGGACCTGCTGAGACCAGCCCTGAGCCAAACCCTGGGCCACCCCAAAAATCTCAGCCATGTGCCCAGCTCCCCCCATCCCCCTCCCCAGGACCCCCATTCCTCAGCCCCCCTTCCCATCTCCCTGGGTGCCCCCCCATCCACGAGACCCCACCCCCAGGGACCCCAATTCCCAGGAGACCCCTCCCCATGTCCTTAATTCCATCCCTTGAGCCCCCCATCCCCTGCAACCCCTCCCTCCTCCCCTGGGCCCCCAAAACCCCAACCTGCCCCCCAGGTCCCACCTGCAGCCAGGGTGGGCCCCCAGCAGGGTGAGGATGCCCAGGAGCCATCAGGAGCCCCCCTGCCCATGGCCCCCAACCCCGGGTGTCCCCCCAGGCCAGGCCGGTCAGAAGTGACCGCAGCAGCTCCTCCCTCCCTCCCTCCCTCCCCTCCTCCCACTTCCTCCCTCCCCCCTCCTGCTGTCCCCAAGTGTCACCCAAGGCCACCACCCCTCCAGCCACTCCCCACACTGAGGGGGGGGAGGGACTGGAAAGCCCCCCCAGGGAAGGGGAAGCTGCACCCCCGTGGGACAGAGGGAGGGACAAGGACACTCAGGACCCACTTTAGCCTTTATTTGACCCAGAAATAAAGTGGGGGGCGCAGGAGGGGACCCCCCAAAGCAAGGCAGAGGGAGGGGACCCCCCCAAAAGCAGAGCAGCACACAGGGGGTGTCCCCCCACCTCATCGATCCACCTCCCCAAACACGATGTCCTGGGTGCCTGGGGGGGGGGAAGGGCAGAGTCAGGACACCCCAAAATGGGGGAGGAGCTCCCCCAAAATGGGAAGAAGATGCCAAAAAGGGAAAAGGAGCCCCTCCCTCAAAAAACATGGAAGGGGCTCCCAAAGTGGGAAGAGCCCCCCCAAAAAAGGGGAAGGACGTACCGATGATGGCCACCACGTCTGCCAGCATGTGGCCCTGGGACATCCTGTCCAGCCCCGCCTGGCACGGGGGGGAACCCACCAGTTAACACACAGAGCCTCCCAGAGACCCCCAGTTAACCCACAGACCCCCCCAGTTAACCCACAGACCCCCCCCAGAGACCCCCCAGTTAACCCATAGACCTTCCCAGAGACCTCCCAGTTAACCCACAGACCCCCCCAGGGACCCCAACAATTCAGGGACCCCCAATCGAACCACAGATTCCCTTCAGGAACCTCCAATTAAACCTTTTATCCCCTTTGTCCTGTCCCCCCAGCTGTCCCCTGTCCCCCCAGTGTCCCCTGTGCCCCCAGCTGTCCCCTGTCCCCCCAGGTGTCCCCCCAGGTGTCCCCTGTCCCTCACCAGGTGAGCGAATCCGGGGGCCTTGATCTTGCAGCGATAGGGGCGGCTGCTGCCGTCGGACACCAGGTACACCCCAAACTCCCCCTGGGGACACGGGCACAGGGTTGGGGACAGGGGCACACACACAGGGACAGGGCTGGGGACATGGGCACACACACAGGGACATGGGCACACACACAGGGACAGGGCTGGGGACAGGGGCACACACACAGGGACAGGGCTGGGGACAGGGGCACACACACAGGGACAGGGCTGGGGACAGGGGCACACACACAGGGACAGGGCTGGGGACAGGGGCACACACACAGGGACAGGGCTGGGGATGAGGGCACACACACAGGGACGTGGGCACACACACAGGGACAGGGCTGGGGACAGGGCACACACACAGGGACGTGGGCACACACACAGGGACAGGGCTGGGGGCGCAGATGGGGACAGGGACACCCCTGCCCCCATCACACGGCCACAAGTGTCACCTTGGGGGCCTCGATGGCCGTGTAGGTGGCCCCGGGGGGCACTTGGTAGCCCTCGGTGTAGAGCTTGAAGTGGTGGATCAGGGACTCCATGGAGGTCTGGGGAGAGAGAGGGGAGGATCCTACAGCAGGTGTCCCCTGCCCTGGGTGCCACCTGCCCCCGGTGTCCCCCAAATGTCCCCTGCTCACCCTGCAGTGACCCCTTTTTACCTTCATCTCCGCCCGTTTGGGGGGCGAGATTTTGGCGTCATCCACCTTGATCTCGCCGGGGGGCATCTTGTTGAGGCACTGCAGGATGATCCGCAGCGACTGCCGCATCTCCTCCACCCGGCACAGGTACCTGGGCACCCCAAAAAGAAAAGAGACTGGGTTAGGGGGGATGGCTGTGCCCCAGAGCCCCCCAGGGACACCCTGTCCCCTCACCTGTCGTAGCAGTCCCCTCGGGAGCCGATGGGGACGTCGAACTCCACCTGGTCGTAGACGTCGTAGGGCTGCGTCTTCCGCAGGTCCCAGTGGATGCCGGAGCCCCGCAGCATCACCCCGCTGGGAACCCCCCAGAAACACACCTGAGGGCTCTGCCGTGCCCCTGCCCACTCTGCCTGGGCACGGGGAGGGGCAGGGGGGGCTCACCTGAAGCCGTAGTTCAGGGCCTCCTCGGCCGTGATCACCCCGATGTCCACGGTGCGGTTCTTCCAGATGCGGTTGTTGGTGAGCATCTGGTGGGGGGGGGGACACACCTGGCACACCTGGCACCTGTGCAGGGCACCTGGCACGTGGCCCTGGCAACCCCCTCACCCGTCCCCCACCCCTTCCCCAGATTGCCAAACTGCCCCCTCACCTCCTCCACCTCGTCGATCCGGATGGAGAAGTTCTTGACGAACTCGTAGATGTCGTCCATGAGCCCCAGGGGCAGGTCCTGGAACGGGGTGGGGGGGGACAGGTGGGGTTGGAGGGGACAGGTGGGAGCTCAGGTGGTATTGGGGGGGACAGGTGACAGCTCAGGTGGGGTTTGGGGGGACAGGTGGCAGCTCAGGTGGGGTTGAGGGGACAGGTGGCAGCTCAGGTGGGGTTTGGGGGGACAGGTGGGAGCTCAGGTGGGGTTTGGGGGGGACAGGTGGCAGCTCAGGTGGGGTTGAGGGGACAGGTGGCAGCTCAGGTGGGGTTTGGGGGGGACAGGTGGGAGCTCAGGTGGGGTTTGGGGGGACAGGTGGGAGCTCAGGTGGCACCAGGGAATGTGGGCAGGGGGAGGACCAATGGAGGTCCCGGGTGTGGAGGGCTCAGGGAATGGGGGGCTGTCCCTGGGGGGGTTCCAGGAAGAACAGGAGGTCCCAGGGGAATGGGGGTGACCCCTGGGAGGGGGGTCCCAGGGATGGGGGTCCCAGAGGAGCCCCCTTACCTGGTGCACCCCCCCGGGGCGGATGTAGGCCGCGTGCATCCGCGCCCCCGACACGCGCTCGTAGAACTCGAACATCTGCGAGGGCACAGGAGACCCCCGGTCTGCTCAGGCCCCCCTGGCACTCTGGGGGGTGACTGGGGGGCACTGGGGGACACTGGGGAGCACTGAGGGAGTGCTGAGAGCACTGGGGGACACTGGGAGTGCTGGGGGAGCACTGGGAGTGCTGGGGGAGCACTGGGAACGATGGGGGAGCACTGGGAACGATGGGGGACACCAGGAGTGCTGGGGGGCCACTGGGAGAGCCTGAAGGTCACTGGGAGACGTTGAGGGTCATTGGGAGCACTGGGAGAGCCTGAGGGTCACTGGGAGCACCGGGAGAGCCTGAGGATCACTGGGAGAGCCTGAGGGTCACTGGGAACACTGGGAGAGCCTGAGGGTCACTGGGAGAATCTGAGAATCACTGGGAGAATCTGAGAATCACTGGGAGAATCTGAGAATCACTGGGAGCACTGGGAGAGTCTGAGAATCACTGGGAGCACTGGGAGAATCTGAGGATCACTGGGAGCACTGGGCAGCACTGGGAGAGCCCGGGAGGATCACCAGGAACACGGGGTGGGTCACTGGGAACTCTGGGGAGCACCGGGGACTGTGGGAGGGGTGGGACAGCACCGTGGGCCCCCCCACAAAGCCCAGACCTTCTCCCTCTCCTCAAACATCCAGAAGAAGGGGGTCATGGCCCCGATGTCCAGCGCGTGCGTCGTCACCGCCATGATGTGGTTGAGCAGCCGCGTGATCTCCGCGAACAGGACTGGGGTGGGGGGGGGGAGAGGAAAAAAGGGGGTGATTCCCTAATCCTGGGGGGGTCTACAGAAATGTAGGAATGCTGAGACGCTCCCCCACACCAACCTCGGATCCACTGGGCCCGCAGAGGGGGGCGGATGTTGAGCAGCTTCTCCACGGCCAGGGAATAGGCCTGCTCGTTGCACATCATGGACACGTAGTCCAGGCGGTCGAAGTAAGGCAGGGCCTGTGGGAAAAGGGAAGGGAAACGCTGGGAAGGAGCACTGGGAGGGGAAGGCAGGGCTGGGAGCAAGCCCGGCTTGGGAATGGGAATTGGGAATGGAGGTGGAAGATCTGGGAAGAACAGAACCCCTGAGATGGGATGGGGGCTGGAGGGACCACCCAGGGGGTTGTTGAGGGTGGAGAAGGGGGTCCCACCTGCAGGTAGGTTTTGTACTCGATGAGTTTCTCGGTGCCCCGGTGCAGCAGCCCCACGTGGGGGTCGCAGCGTTTCACCGTCTCCCCGCTCAGCTCCAGCACCAGGCGCAGGACCCCGTGAGCCGCCGGGTGCTGCGGCCCGAAGTTGATGGTCAGGCTGGAGACCTTCTTGTGAGCCACGGGGTCCTTGTCTGGGGGCAGCAGGGCACACAGTGGCGAGAGGGAGTCAGGGAACAGGGAAAACACCAGGATAAACCCCCTCACACACACTTTCCTCTCAGACAGGGCTCAGTGGCACAGAACGATCCCCCCCCAGGGCACCTGACACCCCCCTAAAACCTTGACCTTCCTCCTCAGGGCACCCCCCTCCAACGCCTCAGTTCACCTGAGTTCACCTGACAACCTCTCCAAGGCCTTGAATTCCTTCCTCGGGGCCCCCCAAATGCCTCAGGACACCCTTAGTGCCCTGACCTCCTTCCCCAACACCATCCCTCCCCCCCAAAGGCCTGGGGACCCCCTCACGTCCCCCCACGCCCCCCGGCTCTCCCCTCACCGTTCCAGGGCGGCGGGACCCACTTCTCGGTCTCCTTGCTGGGGTACATGACGGCGCCGGCGAACTGCTGCGCCCACTCCACGTCGGGCTGCCATTGCCGCGACCTGGCGTGGGGGACAAGGACCGTGACGGGGGGGAGAAGGGTCGTCAAGGGGTGTGTGTGTGGGGGGACACCCATGGATCACCCACACACACACCCCGATCCCCCTCGCAGACCCCCCATCCCTCCCCGGTGCCCCCCCGGCTCTCACCGGGCAGGGGCCGGGCCCAGGCGGGGTCCCAGCGCCCTCAGCCCGGCGGGGCCGCGGAGCCGCCACAGCGCCCGCAGCGCCGCCATGGTGCCCTTGGCGCTGCGCAGGCGCGGGGCGGGGCGGTGAGGGCGGGGCCCGCCATGTTGGGTGAGGGCAGGGCGGGACCCGCCATGTTGGGTGAGGGCAGGGACAGGGTGGGGGTCGTGAGGGACCCTCGGCCGGATCAGCCGGGTTGGGAAAAAGGCCCCGTGGGATCATCGAGTCCCACCCGTGACACAACATCGCCCTGTCAACCAGAGCGCCGTGCCCAGTGTCTTCTTTAAAAGACCCGGAATGGGGTCTCGGGAAGGGGGGAAAAGGGGGATGGGGAGGAGCAGGAATTTGGGGAGGGGGGAAGAGGCACTAAGATGGGGGGGGCACGGCAAGGGGGGTTCATCAGGGGGGTACATCGGGGTCCCCACCTCCCCCCACACGGCTGGGAACAGAGCTGACACCCCCAAAATCAGGGGGAACTGGAGTCCCCCCAGCCCATATATCCCTGACACCCCCAAAATCAGGGGCACTGGACCCCCCCCCAGCTCATATATCCCTGGGGAGGGGGGCACTCTGACACCCCCAAATCGCACCCCCCCATCCCCAGGCAGAGGCAGCACTTTCGTGTTCAATCCTTTATTTGCTTCATCCAAAAATCCCCCCCTTGCAAATCCGGGGGGGTGTTGGGGGAGGCCTGGGGACCCCCCCCACTGTAAGGGCACTTGTGGTTTTGGGGGGGGGGGACACTCTCAAACCCCTCCCCGAGGTCCTGAGGGGGGGGCACAGCACCGACCCCTTGTGCAGAGGGGGAAAGGCACTTTGGCACTTGGGAAAACAGGGAAAAGAGGTGGGAATGAATTCCCAGGGGGGTCCTCCAAGGCAAAAGAAGGGGGAGTTTTCCAGCCCGGTGGGGCCCTCCCTTGGTGTGGGGTCTTCCCCCCCCAGACGAAGAGGATGGCGCAGAGGGGGGAAAACGAGGCACTTTGGCACTTTGGGAAAGGCGGTGGGAATGAATTCCCGGGGGGGATCTCCCAAGGAGAGGGGATTGGAATGAAGTCCTGGGGGGGGTCCCCAAACAAGGAGGGGATTCCCACTCTGAGGGAGTCCCCAAGGCGAGGGGGGTGGGTTTCCCATCCCGGGGGTTGGATTTCCCATCCCAAGGGTTGGGTTTCCCATCCCAAGGGTTGGATTTCCCATCCCAAGGGTTGGATTTCCCATCCTGGGGTTTGGGTTTCCCATCCTGGGGGTTGGGTTTCCCATCCTGGGGTTTGGGTTTCCCATCCTGGGGGTTGGGTTTCCCATCCCAGGGGTTGGGTTTCCCATCCCAGGGGGGGTCTCTCCCGGGAGGAGTCACCCCCTGATGAAGAGGATGGCGCTGACCAGCGCGAAGCCCGCCAGGACGACGATGACCTTGGGCACGCGGTGCCCGGGCTGGCCCAGCTCGTGGGGCAGCACCTCGAGCGTGGTGACGTAGAGGAAGGTGCCCCCCGCCAGGCCCTGCAGCACGGCCCGGCACAGGCTCTGCCGCGGCCCCGCGCCCGCCGCCAGCGCCGCGCCCGCCCCGACGCCCAGCGGGCACACGAGGGCCAGCAGCGCCAGGCACGCGGCCACGGCGGGCGGGCGCAGCCGCAGGCGCAGCAGCTCCAGCGCCAGCCCGAAGGCCACGGCGCCCTTGTGCAGCAGCAGCGCCAGCAGCACCCGCAGCGCGGCCGCGCCGCCCCGGCGCAGCCCCAGCGCCAGCCCCTCCAGCGCCCCATGCAGCGCCAGCGCCAGCACCAGCGCGGCCGCGCGGACCCCTCCCGGGGCTGGCACCGGCGCTGGCGCTGCCGGGCTCTGGATGGAACCGTCGGGCAGCAGCGCCCGCGACTCCTCGGGCGGCGGCTCCGCCAGCTCCCGCTGCGCCAGCGTCACCTGCTCCAGCACCAGCACCAGGAAGAAGCCCATGGCCAGGATGAACTCGGGCAGCGGGAACTGCAGCTGCGGGGGCGGGAAGGGGAAGTTGTTGGATGGGGGGGGATGTTCCTGTGAGTCACGAGGTTGGGGGGGTCAGGCTGTGCCCACCCCGCCTGCTCTGCTGGCACCGCTGTGGCACTGCCGGCTCCCTGGCCCTGCCGCCACTCTCCTGACCCATCCCCACCATCCTGTCCCCATTGTCCCCTTCCTCGCTGTCCCCCTCCCACCATCCCATCCCCACTGTCCCATCCCCACCATCCTGTCCCCATTGTCCCCTTCCTTGCTGTCCCCTCTCATCATCCCCTCCCCACTGTCCCATCCCCACCATCCTGTCCCCATTGCCCCCTTTCCTGCTTTCCCCTCCCACCATCCCACCCCCACCATCCCCTCACTCTTGTCCCCTCCTGCCATCCCCACCGTGGTGTTCCCGCTGTCCCCCTCCCCACCCTCCCACTCCCGCTGTGTCCCCACCCTTCCCTGTCCCACCTCCAACCCTCCTGTCCCCGCTGTCCCCTCCCAGCACCCTCCCGGGCTCAGGGACACGGGGTCACCCTGGGGGTCTCACCGTGACACGAAGCCCCTCGAGGGCAGCGGAGATGCTGCCCAGGTAGTCAGGCAGGAGGTCGAGCAGGAACGTGCCCAGGAAAACCCCCGGCAAAGCAGCTCACGAGGCTCAGGACGGGGCTGCATGGGGTCTGGGGGAAGATGGGGGCTTAGGGGGCTGAGAATGGGTCTGGGGGTGGATTAGGGGTTAGGGGACTGAGACTGGGTCTGAGGGAGTGGATTGGGGGTTAGGGGGACTGAGACTGGGTCTGGGGGTGGATTAGGGGGTTAGGGGGACTGAGACTGGGTCTGGGGGAGGTTGGGGGTCTGAGAATGGGTCTGGGGGGCACTGGGGGATTAGGGAGGCTGAGACCCTCCCCAGCCCTGCACCCTGACAGGACATTTGGGGACATGGGGACATTGGGACAGCCTGTCCCAGACCCCCGCACACCCTCGGACCTCCCCAGGACCCCACAACCAGCCTTCCCAGGGACCCCCTGGGACCCCTGGATTCCATGAGCCCCCAGGGATCTCCCTGACCCCCAGGATCCCCCCACCCCCAGATCCCTGAGACCCTCCCAGACTCCCTGGGACCCCCCCGGTCCCCCCCAGCCCCCCCAGCCCGGTACCGGGGGGCTGTCGGAAGCAGCAGAGGGGGGCGAGGCCGCAGGCGAGGGGCAGCAGCAGCAGCGGCACCAGCGAGCCCAGTTTGACCCCCAGTCCGGGCGGGGGCTCCAACTGGGCCTCCTCGGGGCTCCAGGCGAGCACGGCCCCCGCGTCCATCCCGATCCCGGGGAAACTCCGAGCGGGAACCGCGGCTGGGAACGGGAATGGGAATGGGAATGGGAATGGGCCGGTCAGAGCGGCTGGAGCCGCCCCCCGACCCCGGTGACTCACCCGGGACAGACCCCCCCGGAGGGGCCTCCGGGAATGGAACCGCGGAGGGAGGGACCGGGAATGGGATTAGGGATCAGCGACCGGGACCGGGAACAGGGAGTGGGATCGGGAACAGGGAGCGGGACCGGGAACAGGGAACGGGATCGGGAACAGGGAACAGGGACGGGGACCGGGAATGGGAACAGGGACCGACATCGGGTTTTTCCGGGAACGGAAGTGGCTTTTCCGAGACAGGGATGGGGAACCAGGGACCGGGACCGGGATCAAGGACCGGGATCGGGAACCGAGGACCAGGGACCGGGATCAAGAGGCGGGATCGGGATCAAAGACCGGGAGTGGAATCGCGACTGGGAACCGATTGTCCGGGACCGCGATGGGGAATTGGGCACCGGGATGGAGTTTAAGGACCGGGAGCGGGGACCGGGACCGCGATTGAGATCCCGGCTGGGATCGGGAACAGGTTTTCCGAAACCGGGATCAAGGACTGGGACTGGGACCAGAATCAAGGACCGGGACCGGGATCGGGACCAAGGAACGGCACCGGGATCAAGACAGGGAATGAGGAACTGGGGACCAGGATCGGGGACCGGGACCGGGAACTGGGATTCAGGGGCGGGATCGGGAACTGGGAACCGGGATCGGGGACGGGTTTCTCGGGACGGGGAACACGGACGGGCCCCCCCTGACCCCCCAGCCCCCCCTCTTTGTCCCCGTCCCCCACTCACGTCCCGTCACATCCCCCCGAGCCGCGGGCGCTCAGGGGGGCGGGCCCGGCGCTGCGGGATCAGCCAATGGCGGTGCGGTACTCCTCGTGACGTCACTGAGTGACGGGCCGAGCAGCCAATGGGGAGTGAGCAATGCGGGCGCGGTCCCGCGACCACCGGGAGCGCGCACGTGGCCGGTCCGGCACGGGACGGGGGGGATGCCCCGTGTCCCCCCCTCAGTGTCCCCTCCCCAGTGTCCTCCCCTGTATGCCCCCCGACCCCGTTACCGGGGGGTGTGGCTGGGGGGGGGGGCACCGGTCCCGGTCCGGAGCCGCCCCAATCCCGACCCCCTTCCCGGCTCCCCCGTTGGACCCTCCGGGAGGCGGCACCGGGACAGCCCCGAGCCCCCCCAGTACCCTCCTGGTGCCCCCCGGTGCCTCCCTATGCCCCGGCGGGGGCGGGATGTTCCCGGCCCTTCCCGGTGGGGGCGGGACTTGGCGGGATTCCCCGGGATCCCGGAGATCCTGGTCCCAGCCCCGGGACGGGGCGGACGCGGTGGCACCGCCTGGGACCGCGGTGTGGCCCGGGGGACCCCGCGGAGGGGGCACGGGGGGCCCGTCCCGGTGGCGTCGGGGCTCGGAGCAGAGCGAGGGTCCCGCGGGGGGGTCCCCAGGGGTACCCGATGGAGCCCCCGGAGCTGTTCCCGGACCTCCTCTCACTCCCGGGATTCCAGACCGTGATAATCGCCGGGGAGGACGTGAGTGGGGTGGGAGGGGACGCGGGGCGGGCGGGACCCTCCGGGGTCCCCAGGAATGTCCCGGGGTCCCCACCGCGTATCCCCCCGCCCCGCAGGGCAGCGGAGCCGAGGAGCTGCTGGGGCTGACGGTGAACCCCGACCTGGCCTGCGGCACCGCCCCGGAGCCCCCGGCCCGCGGACCCCCCGGTGCTGCTGGAGGTGGTTTGTGACCTCAGCCCCCCACTGTGCCCCCCGCTGCCCCCTCTGCCCGGGCCTGTCCATGTCCCCCTGCCCGCGGTGAGTCCCTGCGACCCCCGGCCCCCCAGTTCATCCCCAGAGCCCCCCAGTCTGTCCCTGGACACCCCCAGTTCATCCCAGTCCATCTGTGTGTGTCCCTCCCACTGTCCCACAGCTCCGGCTCACCGAGGAGGAGAAGCGGCTGCTGGAGCAGGAGGGGGTGACCCTGCCCGGGGAGCTGCCCCTCACACAGGTGAGGGGACAGGGGGGACACGGGGGTCAGGGGTGACCCAGCCCCTCACACAGGTGAGGGGACACGGGGGGGACATGGGGGGTCAGGGGTGACCCAGCCCCTCACACAGGTGTGTTGGGGGGGACACGGGGGAGGGACAGGGGTGACCAATCCCCTCCCCAGGCCCAGGAGCGGCTCCTGAAGAAGGTGAGGAGGAAGATCCGGAACAAACAGTCGGCTCAGGACAGCAGGAGGAGGAGGAAGGAGTACCTGGATGGGCTGGAGAGCAGGTGGGGCCGGGGCCGCTATCCCGGCATTCCCGTTATCCTGGCATTCCCTGGTGCAGTCAGGTGTGTCCCCCTCACTGTCCCTGTCCCTGTCCCTGCAGAGCAGCCGCCTGCTCGGCCCTGAACCAGGAGCTGCGGGAAAAGGTCCGGGAGCTGGAGAAAAGCAATGGGTGAGGGACGGGGAGGGGGAGGCACGGGGGGCTCCTGGGGATGGGAATGGAGCCGGGATGGGGACACTGGGATGGGGACACTGGAGAGGGCACTGGGATGGGGACACTGGGAGGGGACACTGGGAGGGGACACTGGGATGGGGACACTGGGAGGGTCTCCAAGAGAGGCAGGAGCCGATCCCGTTCCCGCAGGTCCCTCCTGCAGCAGCTCCGGGCGCTGATCAAGGAAACGTCCACCAAGGCCGCCCAGACCGGCCCCTGTGTCCTGGTACGGCCCCCCTGGACCCCCCTGGGACCCTCCAACATCCCCCCCTCCCTGGGACTCAAAATCCCATCCCTCTCCCAGATCCTGTTCCTGTCCCTGGGCCTGATCCTGCTCCCGAGCTCCAGCCCCTTCCAGCGGGAGCAGCGGGACAACCTCGGCCCCACCGCAGGTACCGGAGCTGGGGGATGGGTTTGGGGGGTGGGCACAGCCCCCCCCTCCCAGTGCTGCCCATCCTGCTCCTCCCTGTGCCCACAGTGATGTCCAGGAACATCCTGACCCGGCCGGAGCCGGGAGCGGCCGGAGAGCCCCCCATCCCGGGGTGGGGGTGGGGGCACGGCCGGCACCAGGAGCGGAGGATGGAGCCAGGGGGGCGTCTGGGGAGGGGTTTGGCCCCCCCAGCAGGGATCCAGGCACCAATTCCTCCAGGCAGGACGTGGGGACAGGGGGACACGGGGACGAGATGTGACCCGGAGACCCCCCCCCGGAATAAACCCACCAGGATCGGTGACAAAAACCGGGATCTGTCCCAAGGACCAGCATTTATTCCAGGGTGGGATCCTGGGACCCCCGGGATGGGATCCTGGGACCCCCCAGGGTGGGATCCCGGGGCAGATCCCAGCGGGGAAGGGGATCCCCGAGAGAAGAGCTGCGATGATGCTCCCCGGGGGGGATTCCCGAGGGGATTCCCGAGGCAGGAGCTGCAGCCGGGGGCTCAGATGGACTCGATCTGCTTTCGGACCTTCTCCCGGGCTCTCCGGTCGAGCTCCCGCTGCCGCAGCACCACGAGCGCCGCGGCCGCCGCCGCCACGGCCAGCGCCGAGCCCACGAAACGCCAGAAGCGCCGCGACTCCCGCGCGGCCGAGCGGCAGCTGAGGGAGCGACACAGGGAGGGGGCGTTCCGGGAGGGAGCCCGCGGGAATTCTCAGTCCCGCCCCCTGCGTGAGAATTCCAGACCTCGCTCCCGTGGGAATTCCCGAGCCCCCCGCCGACACTCACCTCTTGAACTCCTCCCGCTGGGACGTGGGGCAGCTGATCCTCTCGATGAAGCCGGTGGGGGCACAGTCCGGGAGGGTCTTCTGAGGGCAGGGAGAGACCCCCGAGTGAGACCCAAAGTTCTCCCTCCCCATGCGGGAGGGCCCCGACTCCACTGGATCCTTCAGGGTAAGGAGGGGGGATCCCCTGCCCCCCGGTTAGGGTTCCCACCAGCCCGGTTGGGGGGTCCCAGCCCCGCTCACCATCTGGAATTCCGAACACGGGGCACATTCCTGGGCCACCACGAACTGCTCCACCCGCCAGCACGGCGTGGCCACCGCGGGGCTCGCTGCGGGGAGAGGGACAGGTCAGGGGGGACCGGACAGAGCCCCCAGACCCTGGATCGAGATCCCCAGCCCGGCTCCGCTTCGAGCCTCCCGGGACCCAACCGAGCCCAGCCCAGCCCGGCCCCCCAGACCCCCGAACCCCCCGGGACCGGACAGAGCCCCCCAGACACCCGCGCTCACCGGGCCGCTCCTCGATCGCCGCCGCCGCCGCCGGGCTGTGGGCACAGAGGAGCCGCCGTGAGGGCCCCGTTGCGGCCCCGGCCCCTCCGAATCCCCCGGGACCCTCCCACAACCCCCGGCCCCGCTCACCGCAGCCCGCCCAGCACCGCGCTCAGCACCGCCAGCAGCGCCGCGGGGCCCATCGCGGCGCCGGGAACCGCCCGGGATCCTCCGGAACCCCCGGGATCCCCGGAACCCCCCGGGATCCCCCGGGATCCTCCGGGAATCACCGGGACGACCCGGCCGGACCCCGCCGCTCCACCGGCGCCGCCATCTTGGACCGCGGGGTCTGCCGGGAACGAAAGGGCGGGGCTGGACGGAGGCGCAACCAATGGGAGCGGAGAGTTTGCTCTTGGGGGCGTGGCTTGAACGAGAAAGCGGGGCTGTCAATACATGTGGGCGTGGCCTTTGATGTGAGACGCGGGATGGGGCGTGGCTTAATCTGCATATGCAATGAGGAGGCGTGGCCTAATGCCAGCTTTGGTGTTTGTGGGCGTGTTTTCATCTGGGCGTGTCCTTTTCAAATGAGTGGGCGTGGCCTTGGTGGATATACTATAAAGAGGCGTGGCTTACAGACGGGGCGGGGCGCATCGCAATAATTTACAGTATGGGCGTGGTTTTACGGCGATGGGCGTGGTCTCCCATCAAATTTGGTGTGCGGGGGCGTGGCCTCACGCCCACCCCCCTCGCTTCCTTTCCCCACTCCCCCCCAATTCCTGATCCCCCCCAGTTCCCGACCCCAAAGACACTCCGGAGCCGGGACAAGGCACAGCGGGGCTTTATGGCACGAGGAGGAGTGGGGGGGGGGAGCCCCAAACCCCCCCAAAAAACCCCCCCGGGTCCCCCCAGAGAGGCGCCCGCGCTGCCCCGGGGCCTTCCCAGGGGGGTCCCAGGGGGGTCCCGAGCCCCTACCCCAGGGAGCATCTCCCGCCGGCCTTTTTGGGGGCTCCGGGCTCCAGCAGGGCCCTGGTGCTGCTGCTGCTGCCGGGGGGCTGCGGGGACAGGGGGTCAGGCTGGGGTGGGGGCACAGGGGGTCCTCTCCTGCCCCCCTCTCACCCCCAAACCCCACCCCGGCCCCACTCACGCCTTTCCGGAAGGATTTGTGCAGGATATCCCGGGCCAGCGTCCGGAACGCCTGGGGGAGGAAAGGGGTGGTTGGGGGTCCACTGCCTTTGAGGGGGTCCCAGTGCCTTTAGGGGTGCAGACCCCCCTCTGGGACCCTCCCTGACCCCCCAGACCCCCTCACCTCCTCCACGTTCTCGCTGGACTTGGCGCTGGTCTCGAAGAGCGAATCCCGTGTTCCTTGGCCAGCTGAGGGACCAGGACCCCCTGTGACCCCCTGAACCCACAAAGACCTCCCCAACCCCTCCAGTGACCTCCCCCAACCCCCTTAGTCCTGTGTGGTCCCTTCAAACCTCCCCAGCCCCACAGGACCCCCAGTGCCATGAGACCCCCAAGCCCCACAGAGCCCCCCAATCCCAACCCTAAGAACCCCCACAGACGCCCACAGACCCCCCAGCCCCACAGATCCCCCCAGCTCCCCAAGAGCCCCCAATCCCAGCCCCAGGGACCCCTCCCAGCCCCACAGACCCCTCCCAGCCCCAGGACCACCCCCAGCCCCTCCCAGCCCCAGGGACCACCCCCAGCCCCCTCCCCACCTTCTGGGCCGCCTCCTCCGCACTTTCCTCCTGCTCTCCATGTCGCTCTTGTTGCCGAGGAGGAGCCGCTCGACCCCCGCCGAGGCGTTCTGGGGGTGGGGGGACAACAAAACACGGGCAGGACCCCCTCCGGACACCCCCTCGCCCACCCCCAGCCCATCCCACCCCCAAATCACCTCCTGGATGCTCTTCATCCAGCCCTGGATGTTCTCGAAGGATTTCTGGTCCGTGATGTCGTACACCAGGATGATGCCCTGTCGGTCAAGGGGGGGGTCAGGACCCCCAGCCTGCGGGTTTAGGGGGTGGTCTGAGCCCCCCAGGGCCTCCCCCACCCTGATCCCACCCATCCATACCACAGCTCCTCGGTAATAGGCCGTGGTGATGGTTTTGAAGCGCTCCTGCCCCGCCGTGTCCCTGCGGAGAAAGGAGGCATTTGGGGGGATTTTGGGAGGTTTGGGGGGGATTTAGGGGGTTTGGGGGGATTTAGGGGGTCCCAGAGACACCCCCCCCTCAGACCTTCCTGCCCCCCAAGACTCACCAGATCTGCAGTTTGATCTTCTTGCCATCGATGTCCACGGTCCGGATCTTGAAGTCGATCCCTGGGGTGGGGGGGAAATGGGAGAGGGGGACAGAACTGGACCCCTCCCAGTGCTCCCAGTGCTCCCAGTAACCAGCTGGCACCCGGGAAAGGGGGGTTCTGGGAGGGGGTCCCCGGTCGAAGGGGTCCCATCAGGGTGTTCCAGGGGGGGTTACAGGGTGGGGGGTCCCGGGGGATTCCAGGGGGTCCCAACTGGGGGGTCCCAGCAAATCCCAGGAGTCCTGGGGTGGGGGTCCTGGGAATCCTGGGGTGTCTCATTAGGGGTGCCGGGGGTCCCAGGGTTGTAGGTCCAAGTCGGGGGGGTCCCGGGGTGAGCAGTCCCGGTGGATCCCAGAGTGGGGGTCCCAGTTCGGGGGTCTCGGGGGAGGAAGGTCCCATTGAGGGGTCCCGAGGGGTCCCAGAGTGGTGGATCCCAGAGGGGGTCCCAGGGTGGTGGGTCCCAGTCCGGGAGGGTCCTGGGTGGGGGTCCGGTGGGTCCCAGAGTGGGGGTCCCACTGGAGGGTCCTGGGGTGGGTGCTCCCGGTAAATCCCGGCGGGTCCCAGCTGGGGGGGGGTCCCGCGGGGGGGTCCCGGGGGTCGGCACTGACCGATGGTGGAGATGTAGGTGCTGCTGAAGTCGTTCTCGGCGAAGCGGATGACGAGGCAGGTCTTGCCCACGCCGCTGTCCCCGATCAGCAGCAGCTTGAAGAGGTGGTCGTAGGCCTTGGCCATGGCCCCCGCCGCCGCCCGCCGCCACCGGGGCCGGCCCGGCCCCCCCCGGGCGGGGCCTGCCCGGGACCGGCCCTCCCCGTGACATCACGGACCCGTGACGTCACACCGGGATCGCCTGACGTCACGAAACGGCGAGACCTTCCCACGATGGCGGGGACACGACGACCTTCCCAACATGGCGGCGACGGAACGACCTTCTCAATATGGCGGAAACAACCAAACGACCAATTTAAAGGATGAAAGAGAATGGCTGCAACGCGAAGGACCTTCCCGTGGTGACGGAAACATTAACGACCAGCCCAAATGGTGGCGTTATAAACGACCTCCCCAATATGGCGGTAAAACACCCCTCACACCGCCACCCCAAGATGGCGGCGCTTCCGCCCCTGGGGCCGCCCCGCAGCGGAAATGGCGGCACCGGGGCCAGGCCCGTCCCTTTCCGGCCCCTCACGCCGCCGCCGCCATGCCCGTGAGTGCGGCCCGCCCGCCCCGCGCTCCCCGCGCCCGCCGCCAGCGCGGCCTCGCGCCCGCCGCGCCCGCCCGGGGACAGCGAGCTCTGGGGAGGGGGCTGGGAGGCGGCGGGGCCGGGGGCGCAGGGCGAGCGGGGTGAGCGGTGAAGGGAGGGGGGGGATGACAAGATGGCGGCCTGAGGGGCCGTTGGGGGGCGGGGGGGTGCGCGATGCGCTGAGCGAGTTCCGACCCCCGCCGTGTCCCCGCAGCTCGCCAAGGACCTGCTGCACCCGTCCCCCGAGGAGGAGAAGCGCAAGCACAAGAAGAAGCGGCTGGTGCAGAGCCCCAACTCCTATTTCATGGACGTCAAGTGCCCCGGTGGGCACCGCGGGCCCTGCGTGGTCCCTCCTCGGGTCCCTCCACCCCCTTCGTGTGTCCCGCTGTCCCCTCCGTGTTTCTTCCGGTGTCCTGGTGTCTTTCCCTGTTTTTTGGTGTTTTTTTCTTTTCCCCCAGGAGCGTCCCCCGGTGTCCCGGCCCCTTTCTCTCCACGTGTCCCTCCGTGTGCCCCGGGGTCCCTGCGTGTCCCTCTCCGTGTCCCTCTCCGTGTCTCCCCCGTGTCCCCCCTGCTGTCCCCTGCCCCGGTGTCCCCCCCCTCCGCTCCCGGTATTCCCTAACTGTCCATAATTCCCATTTTTTCCCCCCTCCAGGCTGTTATAAGATCACCACCGTGTTCAGCCACGCCCAGACCGTGGTGCTCTGCGTGGGCTGCTCCACGGTGCTGTGCCAGCCCACGGGGGGCAAGGCCCGGCTCACCGAGGGTGGGTGACACCCCTGGAACCCTTGGGGGGGCTCAGGGACCCTGGGGGAGGGCTGGGAATCCCGGTGGGATGGGGGAATGTGGGAATGCGGTGCTGTGCAGGGTGGGGAGGGGGCTGGGGGGGAGCTTGGAATCCCTGGATGGGCATGGAATCTTTATGGAATCCTGGGTGGGGGGTCCATTCCCACCTCCTGGGTGGTTTGTGGGACCCCCCAGGGTGGGCTCAGAACCCTTGGAAAAGGGGGTCGGAATTCCAGAGGGGGCTTGGAATGTTGGGAGGGGCTTTGTGTGACCCCTTTGGGGGTGGGGGGTCGGGGGTTGGAATTGGGGCGGTTTTTGGGGATGGGAGGCCTGGAATTGCCGTTCCCAACGGGATTTGGTCCCCCCTCCAGGCTGCTCGTTCCGGAGGAAGCAGCACTGAGGGTCCCGGGATGCCGACGGAGATGGGAATTCCGCCCGGTCCCTGCAGCCCCTCCCGCCTCCCACCAATAAATTTTGGATAAAACACCCATAAAAGGGCCCGTGCTGGTTCTTGGCTCCGCATGGATGATGGGATTTGGGAATGGGGGGCTGGGGAAGGAATTCCAGCCCTGGGTGGTGGGGGTTATCCAGGGATTTTGTGGCTGGACATCCCTGGAAGTGTCCGAGGCCGGGTGGGAATTGCCCTGGGGATGATCCATCAGGTCCCTCCCTTCCCAAACCGTTCCATGATTCCCGAGGGATCTTCCCCGTTCCATGATTCCCGAGGAACCTTTCCTTTCCCAAACCATTCCATGATTCCCGAGGGACCTTTCCCTTCCCAAACCATTCCCGAGGAATCCCAGTGCAGGTGGTGCCGCGACCACCCCGAGGTGGGACAAAATTCCAGAACTCCGGAACGGGAATTCCGGGTGGAAAAGCCCTTCCCGGGCCCGGGTTTAATGGGAATAACTGGGAATATCCGCATCTCCCACGCCGCTCCAAGCCCGGCCCCATCCACGTTTTCCCCCACCGAAAAGGGAATAAACCGGGATATTTCCCAGGTTCTGACTCCGGGGCTGGGGGTTCATCCCCCTTTTCCTTGGGAGCCTCATCCCGGATTTCTGGGCTCCTGGAAGGGCGACCCTTCCCCTCCCCCTTCCCCTCCCTCCCCCCTCGTGTTTTTTTGGGGCGCCGGCAGCGAAACCGAAAATCGGGGCTTTCGGTTCCTCCTTCCCGCATTTCCTGGCTCGTGATTTTCTCCCGTGGTGCCTCTGCCGGACATTCCCGGCCGATCCCGGAGCCTCATCCCCCTCTCCAGGTGGGGGCTGGAATTCGGAGTCCCCTCCCCTCCCTCCCCCCGGAACAGCTTTTTGAGGTAATTTGAGAGGTTTTTTGGGGTGTTTTCACCGCCCCCCCTCCCCCCCCCAGCCCGGAGCGCTTTGAGGAAGTCAAAAAAAACTCCGGGAAAAGCGGCTTTGGATCCGTCTTATCCCGAATCTCCCACCTGGATGGTGGGGAGAAAAACTGGGAATTCGGGGGGGAGGGGGTTATATTTATATTTTTTTTAGGGACAGGTTTGTCCCGGGAGGGTCCCCCGGGGCGGGGCGGGGCGGTTCCCACAAAGGGGTTGGCTCCGGGATTGTCCCCTCCAGGGGATCCAGGGAATTTCGGGATGCGTGTCCGGGCGGGTCGGGATGTTGTCACCTGCCTTGTCCAGACGGGATCGGTCACCCAGGGGTCATTCCCGGCTTTGGGATCGCTCTCCCAGGGGTCATTCCCGGCTCCCAGCCCTCCTCCCGTCCCGCTCCGCATCCCGGGATGGAGCCCTTGGCTCCCGTCGCCTTCCTGGCCCTGCTGGGGGTGGCCCTGGGAATTCCCGATCCCGACCCCGCCCTGGATCGGCACTGGGAGCTCTGGAAAAAAACCTACGGCAAGGAATATCGGCACCAGGTGGGGAGAACGGCCCGGGAATGACACCTGGGAATGTTCGGGGGGTCCAGGGAGTCCTGGGAATGTCCTGGGGTGGGGGGTCCTGGGAATGTTCTTTGGGGGGTGGGGGTCCAGGGGTATCCCAGGGGTATCCAGGGGTGTCCTGGGATGAACTGGGGTGTCCTGGGAATGGTCCCAGGGGTGTTCTGGGCACGTCTTGGCGGTGTCCCAGGATTTCCAGGGGGTCCAGGGGTATCCTGGAAGTGTCCCAGGGCTGTTCCAGGTGTATCCCAGCTGTATCCAGAGGTGTTCCCCCATCAGGGGAAGATCCAGGGGCTCCCTGGGGATGATCCCACTGGGATTCCCTTTACTGGAGGGGGATGGGGGGGTTTGGGGGGGCTGTCCCAGGGCCTCAGGAAGCCCCTCTGGAATTCCAGGAGGAGGATTCGCTCCGTCGGGCGACCTGGGAGAAGAACCTGCGGCTGGTGACGCTCCACAACCTGGAGCATTCCCTGGGAATGCACTCCTACAGCCTGGGAATGAACCACCTGGGGGACATGGTGGGTGCGGGGGGCGCCTCTGGAATTCCCAGGGAGGCGGGGGGGGATTTTCCTGGGATACCCCAGCGGGTCTGGGGTGGATCCCGGCCGGAATTCCACCAGGAAAGAACTCCCTGAGGTGGCATTCCAGGGATTTTGTGGGGGGGAGGGCTGGATTTGAGCCCCGTTTTCCCTTTGCCACACGGGAATCACCCCTAAAAAAACCAAGGATTTCAGGATTCCCCAGCTCGGGATTCCCAATCCCCCAGTCGGGAGGGATTCCTGGAGGGTGGGAATCAGCAGCTGGAATTGTTTTTCCCCCCCCTTTTCCCAGACCAGTGAGGAGGTGGCAGCTCTGCTGACGGGGCTGAGGGTGGCTCCTCATCCCAGGGGGGTCTCGGCATTCCCGCCCCGGCCCCTCGGGGACATCCCGGAGGAGATGGATTGGCGGGAGAAGGGATGCGTCACCGAGGTCAAGAACCAGGTGAGCCCCTCCCGGGAGCCTCCAGGAATTCCCAGATCCTGAACCTTCTCCAGGAATTCTCAGATCCTGAACCTTCTCCATTCCGAGATCCTGAACCTTCTCCCGGATCCTGAACCTTCTCCATTCCCAGATCCTGAACCTTCTCCTGGAATTCCCAGATCCTGAACCTTCTCCAGATCCTGAACCTTCTCCATTCCCAGATCCCGAACCTTCTCCCAGATCCTGAACCTTCTCCTAGATCCTGAACCTTGTCCATTCCCAGATCCCGAACCTTCTCCCAGATCCCGAACCTTCTCCCAGACCCCGAGCCCTCCCCAGGAATCCCCGGGATCATCCCCTGATCCCTCCCCGTGCCTCCCCCAGGGCGCCTGCGGCTCCTGCTGGGCCTTCAGCGCGGTGGGAGCGCTGGAGGCGCAGGTGAAGCTGAAAACCGGGAATTTGGTGTCCCTGAGCGCCCAGAACCTGGTGGATTGCTCCGGGATGTACGGGAACATGGGCTGCTCCGGGGGCTTCATGACCGAGGCCTTCCAGTACATCATCGACAACCACGGCATCGAGTCCGAGCAGTCCTATCCCTACACGGCCCAGGTGGGAAGGGCGGCATTCCCGGGAATCCCCCCTGCTTCCCTTTGGCTCCGGATCCGGAGCCTTCCCCGGGGGAAGTTTGGGAGTGTTTTGACGGAGCGGGAGCTGGGATTCCTGCGGGGCTGTTGCGCCATTTCTTGGGCAAACGAGCCGGAGGGGAGGGGAAGAAGTGGGTCAGGAGCCTCTGGAAAACACAAGCCAGGGAATGTGGGTCAGGGCAGCCGCTCAGCCCGAGGGAAAAGTGGGAATTGACTCCCCCAAACGTGGAGAGACGGAGGGAAAAGCTGCTGTTCCCGCTGTCCGGAGGGAATGGGAAGAGGTTGTGGATGGGGAGGGTGAGGATGGAGCTCCAGGGAAGGGGTTGGATAAGGATGGAGCTCCAGGGAAGGGGTTGGATGAGGATGAAGCTCCAGGGAAGGGGAGGATAAGGATGGAGCTCCAAGGAATGGTTTGGATAAGGATGAAGCTCCAAGGAAGGGGTTGGATAAGGATGAAGCTCCAAGGAAAGGTTTGGATAAGGATGAAGCTCCAAGGAAAGGTTTGGATGAGGATGGAGCTCCAGGGAAGGGGAGGATAAGGATGGAGCTCCAGGGAATGCTTTGGATGAGGATGGAGCTCCAGGGAAGGGGTTGGATAAGGATGAAGCTCCAGGGAAGGGGTTGGATAAGGATGAAACTCCAGGGAAGGGTTTGGATGAGGATGGAACTCCAAGGAAATGTTTGGACACCGCTGGAGCCTCGTGCTGGTTCCTCTTGGGATCGGGAGGGCAAACCCAACCCCGGGGAAACGCTGGGAACGTCAGGTTTTTTTTTTTTCTGGGGGTAAAAACACCGGGATCAGGATCAGCTCACCCGCCAATCCCAACAAATCACCCGGGGTGGGGCAGGGGGTAAAACCCGGAGCCTGAAGGGGCGAGGGGGGGGTTCCCTCATTCCCTCATTCCCTCATTCCCGGAATTCCCGGCAGAACGGGACGTGCCGCTACAACGCCTCTGCCAGCGCCGCCTCCTGCTCCCGCTACGTGGAGCTGCCCCCGGGGGACGAGGCCGCCCTCAGGGACGCCGTGGCCACCGCCGGGCCCGTGGCCGTGGCCATCGACGCCACCCGGCCCACCTTCTTCCTGTACCGCGCCGGTGAGCGGGCTACGGCGGGAATGGCGCGGGAATGACGCAGGAATGATGCGGGAATGATGCGGGAATGGAGGGAATGGAGGGGTTGGAAGGGCGGAGCGGGATTTTGGGGTTGGGTTTTTTTTAAGGGATTTTTTTTTTTTCCCCAACCCCCTGATCCCCCCACCTGCTTCTGGTGGTCAGAGACCCTTCTGGGAAATGGGGAGTCAGGGATTTGGGAAGTTTTTAAAGGGGGTGAATTCCTGGAGGGAGGTTGGAATGGGAGGGGCTTTGGAGGCTTTGGGGCTTTTCCAACCCCGTGATCCCGTGGTGGGACAAACCCCACCTTCTCCTCCTGACTTTCCACCCCTGGAGACCTCCTGGGAAACCGGGAATCAGGGGGAATTTGGGAAATTTGGGGGTTGATTCCTGGACAGAGAGGCTGGAACTGGAGGGATTTTAAGTCACTGGGGACTCTTCCACCCCAACCTGATGGGACAACCCCACCTTCTCCTGCCCTTCCACCCCGGGACCTTCTGGGAAATCGGGAACTGGGGGGGATTTTGGGGAAGTTTGGGGGTTTATTCCTGGAATGGGTGCCAGAATTCCCGGTTTTCCCTCCCCCCAGGGGTGTACGACGACCCCCAGTGCACGCAGGAGGTGAACCACGGGGTGCTGGTGGTGGGATACGGATCCCTGGACAACAAGGAATACTGGCTGGTGAAGAACAGGTGAGTCCACGGGGCAATCCCGGAATATTCCCGCCTGGCAGGGACCCACAGGGAGCAGAGTCCCATTCCCAGCCCTGGACACCCCCCAAAATCCACCCCCCCCCATCCCTCAGGTGCTCCTTGAGCTCTTGGAACACGCAGGGGGTTGGGATGTTGATCCGTAACGTCCCTCCCGATCCAACCCCTTCCGTAATTCCATGATTTTTCCGCCTGGAATCGCCCAGACCCGCCTGGATGTGGCACTTCCAGGGCCACAATTCCCTGCTGGGGGGAACGGGGTGGTCCTGGAGAGCTTTTCCAACCCCAACAGGCCCCTCATTCCCTGAATCCCACCGGCTTCCCGGCTGGAATGAGGCTCCTTTTTCCCCATCCTGGAGCTCTTTCCCAACTCCATCCCACGACTCCACGATTCCATGGGCTCATTCCGTGACTCCACAAGGCTCCATAACCCTATTCCACGATTCCATCGGCTCATTCCACGATTCCGTTGGCTCATTCCACGATTCCATTGGCTCACTCCATGATTCCTTAATCCATTCCATGATTCCATTGGCTCATTCCATGATTCCATTGGCTCATTCCATGATTCCATTGGCTCACTCCATGATTCCTTAACCCATTCCATGATTCCAATGACTCATTCCATGATTCCATAACCCATTCTATGACTCCACAACCCCATCCCACAATTCCACAACCCCATCCCACAATTCCACAACCCCATCCCACTCTTCCACAACCCCATCCCACCTCTTCACCCCTCCCTCCTTCCCGACCCCCCCCCGCTCCCCGTCCCAGCCGTCGGTGAATCCGGGATAAAAAGCGGGAATTGAGGTTTTTTCTGCCTGTTCCTGCCCGGTTCCCGGAGCTGGGGGGTTTGGTTTGGAGACTCGGGATACATCCGGATGGCCCGGAACGCTTCCAACCGCTGCGGCATCGCCAGCTACGCCTCCTATCCCGTCATTTAGATGGATCCTGACGCTCCTGCCCGGGATTCTTCTGCTTCCAGGGGCCTTTCCCGACCGTGGCTCCCGGGTTGGGGCCGTCGGAGACCTGGGAATGCTGGGAGGGAATGATGGGAGAGAGGGGGGAGTGGGAATGGTGGTGAGAGGGGTCCGGGGGAGGGGCTTGGGGTGGGAAAAGGGGATTGGGAGGGTGGAGGGAGGGGGTGGGACAGGGATGGTGGGGATGGGATACAGGGATTGGGATACAGGGATTGGGATACAGGGATAACAGGGATAATGGGGATTGGATGCAAGGATTGGGATACAGGGATGGGAAACAGGGATAACAGGGATGGGATACAGGGATTGGGATACAGGGATTGGGATACAGGGATGGGAAATTGGGATAACAGGGATAACAGGGATGGGAAACAGGGATAATGGGGATGGGAAACAGGGATAACAGGGATAATGGGGATGGGATGCAGGGATTGGGATATAGGGATGGGAAACAGGGATGGGATACAGGGATGGGATGCAGGGATAATGAGAATGGGAAACAGGGATTGGGATAATGGCATGGGAAATAGGGATAACAAGGATGGGAAACAGGGATGGGAAACAGGGATAACAGGGATGGAAAACAGGGATAATGGGGATGGGATACAGGGAATGGATACAGGGGTGGGAAACAGGGATAACAGGGATGGAATACAGGGATAACAGGGATGGGATACAGGGAATGGACACAGGGATGGAAAACAGGGATTGGAAACAGGGATAACAGGGATTAGACACAGGGATTGGACACAAGGATAACGGGAATGGGAAACAGGGATAGCAGGGATTGGAAACAGGGATTGGACCCAGGGATCTCAGGGATCAGCCACAGGGATCTCAGGGATCGTGGGATCCTCCCTCTGGATGAGCAGGGAGCTGCTGCCACCCCGCTGGAATTGCAGATATTCCTTGGAAAATAAAAGGCTGCATTCGCTGGCTGGAAACCTCTGATGGTTGGGTGTGAACATCTGGATAAAATTCCCCCTCAAAATCCAATATTTGGATATAAAAATCCCATAATTGGATGGGAATATTTGGAGATATCCCCCCAAAAATCCCACGTGCCCGGAGCGGCTCCAGGACTTCGGATCCGGGCTGGGAGGGGCTGGAATTCCAGGGAAAACAGCGCCAGGTGGCAGCACCGGGACGAGCACCAGTCCGGCCGCACTGGGAGGACTGGTTCCAGGCGCTGCTCCCAGTTCGGGTCACTCCGGGCTGATTCCCGATGGATTTTCCAGAGTTTTTGGGTGGTGGAGAAACCCCTGAGGCTCGTCCGGCCCTTCCCACCCCTCCCCTTTTCCCACCGTCCCAGGGCCGGGGGCGGCTTTGGGGCTGCTTCAGGAATTTGGGGCTGCTTCAGATTTTGGGATCAATTCAGCCTTTTGGGGCTGGTTCAGGATTTGGGGCTGATTCAGATTTTGGGATCAATTCAGCCTTTTGGGATCAATTCAGCCTTTTGGGACCACCCCCTGGGGCTCTGCCCTCCAATCAGGAACAAACCCAGGACCCCCCAAAGCATCTCCAGGGACCTCACCCGACTCTGTGCCCGAGCCCTGGAGGGTTTTGGGGTCACTGCCCCACCCTAAAAACCTCAGACCCCAAATCCTCCCCAAACCAACCCATAAACCCCCCCCTCCAGGCAGAGCCAGCTGCCCCTGCCCCCCAAAACGTGCCAAGCTCTGCCTCCCCCACCCCAAAAATCTCCCGGGGGGGCAGCAGGGCCGTGTTTTTCCCCACCAGGGGCTGGTTTGGGGTGAACTTGAGGAACCCCGGCCCTAATTAGGGCAGCTCCTCGTTAGGAACCCGCAATGCCAGACCAGAACAGGGCCATTAGTCCAATTTGGCCTCCTTTTGACCTCCCAAATTTTGGCTTCAGAGTCCTTTGGGGTGTGGGGGGGGTGAGGGCTGGGCTTTGTTTCCTGTTTGGGACTTTTGGGGTGTCCTGACATCACCTGCTGGGTGGGGTTTGGGCTCTTTTTGGGGAGGGGGGAATGGCAGGAATGGTTTGGGGTTGGTTTGGGTTTTGGGGCTGGTTCAGGTTTTGGGATCAATTCAGCCTTTTGGGGTTGGTTCAGCTTTTGGGGCTTTTTCAGCCTTTTGAGGTCAGTTGAGGTTTTGAAGCAGGTTCAGCTTTTTGGGGCTGGTCCAGGAATTTGGGGCAGGTTCAGGTCTTGGGGTTGGTTCAGTTTTGGGACCAATTCAGCCTTTTGGGACCAATTCAGCCTTTTGGGGCAGGCTCAGCATTTGGGGCTGGTCCAGGAATTTGGGGTAGATCCAGGAATTTGGGGTAGATTCAGGAATTTGGGGCAGGTTCAGGAATTTGGGGCAGGTTCAGGAATTTGGGGCAGGTTGGGGAATTTGGGGCAGGTTCAGGTCTTGGGGCTGGTTCAGCTTTTGGGACCGACTCACCCTTTTGGGGCTGGTTCAGCTTTTGGAACCAACTCACCCTTTTGGGGCCGATTCATCCTTCCTTTCCCAATCCTGCCTCCCCCCCCTCCCCATTTCCCCTCCGGCCGCAGCTCCAGCTGAATCCGAGTGTTTGTGCCTGCAGAATTCCTGAAAATCCAGCCCTGGCCGGCCCCCTCCTCCCCCCCAAAAAAAACAAAACCACGAGGCCACCTCATTACGTTTATTAGGGCCGTTCTTCCCGGGCGTCCTGGAATGCCAAGCCGCGCTGCTGCTGCTGCCCAGGGATCATTATTCAGGAATCCCTTCATATTCACCGAGGGGCGGATGAAAAGGGTGACACACAAACAACAATGAGTAAATTCTTACTCCTCGTCTTCAAAGCGCTGCTGCTGCTGCCCCTTTTTGGGGTTAATGCCCTCCTGCCCCGGCGTCACCATGGAACCTGAGTAATCCCGGGGAGTCATTAAAGTCCTCGGGAAAAAAAAAAAACCAAACCCAAACAACAACCGGTTAATTATCCGCATTTTTACAGCCGGGGAAATGGGGGCAGCGGCGGCTTCGGTGATTTCCTCCCGACCACAGCCTGAGTCACCCCCGGGAAGGAGGGGGGAGAAGGGGGAGCCCCAGCCTCGGGGATTCCAGGAGGATTCCAGGAGGATTCCAGGGCGCTGGAGCAAAGCCCGAGCCTGGGCAGGTTGAGGGGGGGAGAAAAACTTCCCAAATCCTTCCCTGGGAAAGGCACGTGGGGCTGAAACCCTCCCAGCCTTTGGATCTTTGGGGCTGAACGTTCTGGGGGGTGTGGGGGGGGGGGATTTGGGGGTGTTCCAGGAGATCCTGCCCGTCCATCCCCATTCCAGCCCACCCTGGTGCCACTTTCACTCCCTGTTTCCCATTCCTGCCACCCCCCAAATCCGGCAGAGCTGGAATTCCATCCTGGATGGATCCAGGAATCCCATATTTGTTGGATCCAGGAATTCCATACTGGTTGGATCCAGGAATCCCACTCTGGTGGTACCCAGGAATTCCATGCTGGAGGATCCAGGAATCCCATACTTGTTGGATCCAGGAATTCCATACTGGTTGGATTCAGGAATTCCACTCTGGTGGTCCAGGAGTCCCACTGTGTACCGGAATCCCATACTTGTTGGATCCAGGAATTCCATACTGGATGGATCCAGGAATCCCACTCTGGTGGTACCAAGGAGTCCCATACTGGTTGTACCCAGGAATTCCATCCTGGTTAGATCCAGGAATCCCACTCTGGTTGTACCCAGGAATCCCACCCTGGTCTCCACAAATCCCACCCTGGTCATGCCCAGGAATCCTGCCCTGGTCTCCACAAATCCCACTCTGGTTGTACCAGATCCCACCCTGGTATCCAACCCCCCCTCGCTGTTTGTTTTCCACCCTCCCCATCCCGGGGTTGCAGGGAGTGACCCTCTCAGGGCACGGGGGTGCCCCCTTGTCCTGTCCCCAAACCCCCCCAGGACAGGGCTGGCCCCAGCCCTGGCAGTGCCATCCTGTCACCACCGTGTCACCCGTGGGTGACACCTCCCTGGGGGGGCAAAGCAGAGGCAGCAGATGATGCAAACAGGGAAGGAAAAAAAAATAAATCCAGGGAGAGGGGGATGGGGATTGGCAGCTCCCGAGGGTTGGGAGCCTCGGGATCCACAGGAGTGGCTCTGATTAATTCTTGGAGCAGCTGGAAAACAAGGGAAAGGCTGGGCCGGGGCAGGGGACAGCGTGGGGACACTGTGGGGAGCCTGCCCATCTGTCCATCTGCCCATCTGTCCATCTGTCCATCTGCCCATCTGCCCATCTGTCCATCCCAGTGTCCTTTCCCAGTGTCCATCCCAGTGCCCAAGTCCAGTATCCATCCCTGACATTTATCCCAGTGTCCATCCCAATGTCCATCCCAGTGTCCATCCCCAATGTCCATCCCAGTGTCCATCCTGGTGTCCATCCCAATGGCCATTCCCAGTGCCCATGTCCAGTGTCCATCCCAATGTCCATCCTGGTGTCCATCCCAGTATCCATTCCCAGTGTCCATCCCAATGTTCATCCCCAGTTCCCACTCCCCGGTGTCCATCTGTCCATCCCAGTGCCCATCCCAGTGTCCATCCCAGTGTCCATCTCCAATGTCCATCCCAATGTCCATCCTGGTGTCCATCCCAGTGTCCATCCCAGTGTCCATCCCAATGTCCATCCCAGTGTCCATCCCAGTGTCCATCCCAGTGTCCTTTCCCAGTGTCCATCCCAGTGTCCATCCCAATGTCCATCCCAGTATCCATTTCCAGTGTCCTTTCCCAGTGTCCATCCCAGTGTCCATCCCAGCACCGTGGGCCGAGCCCCGTTCCATCCCCATCCCCATCCCGGCCCCGTTCCCGTTCCAGCCCTGTCCCCATCAGGGTCCCCCAGGGCCCCCAAATGCCGGACGCTGCCCCGCACGTGCCGGGCCGGCCCCGGGTCCCGGGCAGGGCTGAGGCCGAGCCGTGAGCTCAGCCCAGAACTGGAGCAGCCCTGCTGGCCTGGGGGGGTTTGGCCGTGCCGGGCAGGGCGGCGGGGCCGGCTCGGCCAGTCCGGGAACCTTCCGGAAGGACCGAGAGCGGCCCCGGGGCAGAGCCGGGCTGGGATGGGACGGGATGGGATGGGGATGGGATGGATGGGGATGGGATGGGGACAGGGACATGGCATTGGGGAGGGGGGCACGGCACGGAGAGGGGGTCCCAGCCCAGGGTAGGAGCTCAGCCCCTCAAGGCCCTGGGCAGGAACAGCCATCCTAGGTGGGTGCTGTGACCCCCCCGGGGCACTTGGGGGGGATTTGGGATCTGACTGGGGGTGCACCATGTCCCTGTGTGTCCCTGTGTGTCCCCACATCCCACTCTCATGGGTGTCCATGTCCCTGTGTCCCCACATCCCACCCTCATGGGTGCCCATGTCCCTGTGTCCCTGTGTCCCTGTGTCCCTGTGTCCCCACATCCCACCCTCATGGGTGCCCATGTCCCTGTGTCCCTGTGTCCCCACTCTCATGGGTGTCCATGTCCCAGTGTCCCCATGTCCCCGTGTCCCCACATCCCCACCCTCATGGCTGCCACCTCTCCTGGGTGACCTCAAGGGACATGAGCAGGGACAGTGTCCCTGACAGTGGCTTCCCACGGGGCTGAGCCCCCCTGGTGTGACCCCAACCCCTGCTACTGAGAGTCCCTGTCCCAGCTCCTCCATCCATCCCTGTCCCAGCTCTTCCATCCCCTGCTGTGTTCCTGTCCCAAATCCTCCATCCATCCACCCACCCATCCATCCATCCATCCATCCATCCATCCATCCATCCATCCATCCATCCACCCATCCATCCATCCATCCATCCCTCCCTCTCCCAGTTCCTCCATCCCCTGTCCCTGTCCCTGTCCCAGTCCCAGTCCCAGCCTGTCCCCATCCCCATCCCCATCCCCATCCCCGAGCCATGACCCTTGGGCTCTGTGGGTTCTGTGCCCGCCATCCCAGGGGGCAGGTCCAGAGGAGGGATCTGCTGGGATTTAAAGAGGGATCCACTGGGATTTAAAGAGGGATCCGCTGGATTTAAGCTCCAGCCACACCTTTAAGCTCTCCCAGCTGTGCCCACCTCCCAGCCCAGAATCCCTCCGTGCTCCCCGGGGCTGCTCCTTGGGGCTTTCCCCTGTGCCCACCCCGGCCCCGAGCCCACCCCATCCCGCCCTGGGGGTGCCGGGGGGGGTGAGGAGGGGTCTGTCCCCCCCCCGTGCCGGGCTGGCCGCGCTCCCGCAGCCCGGCCGTGCCTTAATTAGGGGGTAGGAGCGGAGCGAGGGGTGGCATCGACGCACAGCTCGGAGCCACTCACTCATGCCAAAGGCATCCGCCCCACGGGGAGGAGCGCCCCGCCACAGCGTGTAAAAGGGCCCCGCGCGGCCCCGGCGCTCGGAGCCTTCCTCTTCATCCTCCTCCTCCTCCTCCGCACGGCTGCAGCGGCAATGGCAGGGCACGGCGCCAGCCTGCTCCTGCTCCTCGGGGTCCTGCCAGGTACGGGCCGGGCGCCCGGGCTGCGTCCCGGGGCTCGGGGTGGATCCCGGGGCTCAGCATGGATCCCGGTGCTCGGGGTGGATCCCAGAACTCAGGATGGATCCCGGTGCTCAGGATGAATCCCGGCGCTCAGGATGGGTCCCGGCGCTCAGGATGGGTCCCGGTGCTCGGGATGGATCCCGGAGCTTGGAGTGGATCCGCGCTCGGGGTGGATCACGGAGCTCAGGATGAATCCTGGAGCTAAGGATGGATCCCGGCACTCAGGATGGATCCCGGAGCCTGGGGTGGATCTCGGCACTCAGGATGAATCCCGGAGCTCGGGGTGGATCTCGGTACTCAGGATGAATCCCGGAGCTCGGGATGGATCCCGATGCTCTGGATGAATCCCGGAGCTCGGGATGGATCCCGGAGCTCAGGATGGATCCCGATGCTCAGGATGAATCCCGGAGCTCAGGATGGATCCCCGCGCTCGGCTGGAGCGGGTCCTGCCCCCGCACACCTGAGCCGGGCAGGGGACACCGAGCCCGCCCCCAAATTGGCCCCCGGGACACCCACGCGGTGCTGAACGAGCCCGGGCACCCATCGCGGGGCTCTGGGGCTGCTCGAGGGGTCCCTGCCCCCCCGGGGGTGGGGTCGGGCGTCAGGTGCAGCTTGGGTCGATGGTCCTGCCCATCCTGCCCTGCAGGTTGGGGCTGCAGGCTTTGGGGGTGCCAGGGCATAGGTCGGTGCGCTGGGTCCCATCCCTGTGTCTGCTCCCCACAGCTTGGGGGCTGCAGGTTTGGGGTTCCAGGTGTGCCAGGGCACAGGTTTGGGGTGTGATGGGTCTGTACCCCATCCCTGTCCCCATCCTTGCACCCTTGCTGGCTGTGGGGTCAGAGGTGCTGTCTGGGGGTCAGGGCACACTGTGGGGTCAGAGGTGCTCTCTGTGGGATCAGGAAACCCTGTGGGGTCAGAGTTGCTGGCTGTGGGGTCAGGGCACCCTGTGGGGTCAGAGTGGGATCAGGGGGTGCCGGGCACGGGGTCAGCGGTGCCGTCTGCGGGCTGGGCGTGCCCTGGCACACAGATCTGGGGGTGCCAACCCTGCCGTTCCCCCCCCAGGCGTCCTGCAGGCCGTCCGGATCAACGGGCAGGGCCGGGAGGTTTTGTACCTGGCCAAGGGGGACTCGGTCAAGCTGGGCTGTCCCTACGTGCTGGAGCCCGAGGACAACGGCCCGCAGGGCGTGGGCATCGAGTGGATCCAGATCAACCCCGAGAGGACCGGCCCTGAGAACGTGGTGAGGATGAGGGAGGGGCCAGGAGGGGAGGGCAGGGGGGGCTGAGCGGGGGATGGAGCAGATGGAGCCCAACTGAACAGGCAGGGACAGGCAGGGAAGGAGCAGGCAGGGTTGGGATGGGGTGATGGGATGGGATGGGATGGGATGGGATGGGATGGGATGGGATGGGATGGGATGGGATGGGATGGGATGAGGATGGGATGAGGATGGGATGAGGATGGGATGAGGATGGGATGGGGGCCAGCTGAGCAGGCAGGACAGGCAGGGACAGGCAGGGCAGAGCAGGCAGGGATGAGAGGGATGGGATGGGATGGGATGGGATGGGATGGGATGAGGATGGGATGAGGATGGGATGAGGATGGGATGGGGGCCAGCTGAGCAGGCAGGGACAGGCAGGACAGGCAGGGACAGATAGGACAGGCAGGGACAGGCAGGGACAGGCAGGGACAGGCAGGGCAGGCAGGGCAGGGAAGGTCTGGCAGGGCAGGGATGAGGCAGGACCAGGAGCAGGGTCTGGGAGTGCCAGGCTGGGAAGGACCGGGCAGGGCAGGCAGGGACAGGCAGGGCAGGCAGGGCAGGGACAGTCACAGCCAGGACCAGCCAGGTAGAGGCAGGGAAAGGCAGGCACAGGCAGACACAGCCACCTGCAGGCAGCCACAGGCAGGCACCGCATCCTCCCCGCGCTCACCGCTGTCCCCCCGGGCTGTGTCCCCACCCGGGGCTGTCCCCTGGCGCAGTTCCTGTCCTACCAAGACCACCACGTGAACTACGGCAGCGGTTCGGGGCTGCAGGACCGCGTGGCCTTCGTGCAGACCGACCCGGGGCAGCACGACGCGTCCATCCGCCTGGCCGACCTGCAGGTGTCGGACACCGGCACCTACCAGTGCCGCGTCAAGAAGAACACGGTGGCCGTGCACGAGGTCATCGTCACCGTGCAAGGTGAGGGAGGGAGGGAGGAGTGTCCCCCTGTCCCCTCTGCCCCCCTGGCGGGTGAACGCCGGTGGCACCGGCGGTGTCCCCTGTCCCTGTCTGTGCTGACTGTGGCTGTCCCAGCAGAGAAACCGGCGACCCCGCAGTGCTGGAGCGAGGGGGAGCTCATCGAGGGGGGGTCGGTGCTGCTGCGCTGCTACAGCCGGGGGGGCACCTCCCCCCTGTCCTATCAGTGGGCAAAGCTGGCCGAGGGCTACGGGGGGGGCCGCCTGCCCTCGGGCACCGTCCAAGGTGGGTGAGGGACCCCCAGGGGGGGATTGTGGAGGGGTTGGGGGGTCCCTGCCCTCGGGCACCGTCCAAGGTGGGTGAGGGTCCCCCGGGGGGGGTTGGGGGGTTCCCTGCCCTCGGGCACCGTCCAAGGTGGGTGAGAGACTCCCAGGGTTGGGGTCCTGCCTCGGGCACCGTCCAAGGTGGGTGAGGGTCCCCCGGGGGCTAGGGGTCTTTGGAGGGTCCCTGCCCTCGGGCACCATCCCAGGTGGGTGCTGTGGCCATGAGGGGCTCTGGGGGTTCCTGGTTGGGGGTGCAGGTGGGGGGGGGGTGCACACAGGTAGGTGGGGTCTGGGTGTTCCCTGTGCTCCCATTCCGTGTGTTCCCGTGTCCGTGTGTGTCCATGTCTGTGTCTGTGTTCCCAATCCGTGTGTTCCCAATCCATGTTCTCCCGTGTTCCTGTGTGTTCCCAATCCGTGTGTTCCCGTGTTCCTGTGTGTTCCCAATCCGTGTGTTCCCGTGTTCCTGTGTGTTCCCAATCCATGTGTTCCCGTGTTCCTGCATGTCCCCGTGTGTTCCCGTGTGTCCATGCCCATGTGTCCATGTTTCCACATCCATGTTCTCCCATGTCCCTGTGTCCCTGTGTCCCCATGTCCAAGTGTCCCCATGTCCCCGTGTCCGTGGGTGGCCCTGTCTCTGTCCCCATGTCCCTGTGTCCCCATGTCCCCGTGTCCCTATCCCCGTGTCCGTGGGTGACCCTGTCTCTGTCCCCATGTCCCTGTGTCCCCATCCCCGTGTCCATGGGTGACCCTGTCTCTGTCCCCCCATGTCCCCTGTGTCCCCATGTCCAAGTGTCCCCATGGCCCCGTGTCCGTGGGTGACCCTGTCTCTGTCCCCATGTCCCTGTGTCCCCATGTCCCTGTGTCCCCATCCCCGTGTCCGTGGGTGGCCCTGTCTCTGTCCCCATGTCCCTGTGTCCCCATGTCCCCGTGTCCGTGGGTGACCCTGTCTCTGTCCCCATGTCCCCATCACCCGTTGTGCCCCGGCATCCGTGTGCTCCAACATCCCTGTGCTCCCATGTCCCAGTGCTTCCAGGTAGGTGGGTGTCCCCCTGTCCCCCTGTCCCCGTGTCCCCATGTCCCAAAACATCCCCTGTCCCCACATCCAGTGTGCTCCCATGTTCCTGGGTGTCCATGTCCGTGTGTCCTTGGCTGTGTGTCCCCATGTCCCTGTCACCCATGTCCCTGTGTGTCCACTGTCCCCCTGTCTCTGTGTCCATGTCCCCCTGTGTCCTTGTGTGTCCCTGTCCCTGTGTGTCCCTGTGTGTCCCCCTGTCCCTGTGTGTCCCTGTGTGTCCCTGTGTGTCCCTGTGTGTCCCCGTGTCCCCCCCCATGTCCCCCACACCCTGCCCGGGGTGGGGGGGAGCGCGGGTGCCCCCCGAGGTGACAGTGCCACCCGTGTGTGTGTCCCCCCCCCCCAGGCCGTGGCGCGGGTGACCTCCTGATCAGCAGAGTGACCCAGGTCCACGCTGGCACCTACCAGTGCCGCGTCACCAACCGCGTGGGCTACTCCGTGTGCCAGCTCACCCTGAGCCCCGCGGCCCGTGAGTGCCACCGGGGGACGAGGGACACGGGAGGGAGGAGGGGACACGGGGGGGTGCTCGGTGTGCCAGCTCAGCCTGAGCCCCGTGAGTGCCACCAGGGGGGACAAGGGACACGGGGAGGGGACAGGGTGTCCCGGGGGTGTCTCTAGGGGTGGGGTGGCACTTGTCGTGCCTCTGGGTGGCACTGGGAGGTCCCTGGTGCAGGGGGGACACCAGGGGTGTCCCGGGGGTGTCTCAGGGTGGCACTGGGGTGTCCCTGGTGCCCCGGGGGTGTCTCTGGGGTGTCCCTGGTGCCCCGGGGGTGTCCCTGGTGCCCCGGGGTTGTCTCTGGGGTGTCCCTGGTGCTGGGGGGACACCAGGGGTGGCACTGGGGTGTCCCTGGTGCCCCAGGGGTGTCCCTGGTGCCCCGGGGGTGTCCCTGGGGTGTCCCTGGTGCCCCCGGGTGCCAGGGCAGCCTTGGGCAGCCGGCGAGGCCGGCGGTGACAGGCTGTGGGGGCCCTGCAGGCGGGCGCCAGGCTGGCATCATCGTGGGCTCCATCCTGGGCTCCCTCCTCCTGCTCAGCCTGCTGGGGCTGCTCATCTGGGCCCTCATCGCCCGCTACCAGCGCAAGGAGTGCCAGCCGGCCTGCAGCGACTGCAGGTGGGCAGGGGGGGACAGGGGGGACACGGGGGGGACACGGGGCCAGCGGGCACCCTGGGGTGTCACTGGCCACCAGGGAGGGTCACTGGGCACTGCTGGGGGACTTGGGTGCTGCCAGGGACCGGTGGTGGGTGTCACCGGGTACAGGTGGGTGGCACAGGTCACTGATGGTCCCCAAGGGGTGCTGAGGGGTGGCACAGGTCACCCGTGGTCCCCAAGGGGTGCCACCAGTTCCAGGAGGGTGTCATAGGTCCCCAAGGGGTGCAGATGCGTGCCCCAGCTCCCCAGTGGGTGCTGAGGGGTGCCCCAGGTCCCCAAGGGGTGTAGATGGGTGCCCCAGGTCCCCAGTAGGTGCTGATGGGTGCCCCAGGTCACCAAGGGGTGCAGATGGGTGCCCCAGGTCACTGATGGTCCCCAAGGGGTGCAGATGGGTGTCCCAGGTCCCCAAGGGGTACAGATGGGTGTCCCAGGTCCCCGGTGGGTGCAGATGGGTGCCCCAGGTCCCCAAGGGGTGATGATGGGTACCCCAGGTCCCCAAGGGGTGCAGATGGGTACCCCAGGTCACTGATGGTCCCCAAGGGGTGCAGATGGGTGTCCCAGGTCCCCAAGGGGTACAGATGGGTGCCCCAGGTCCCCGGTGGGTGCCGAGGGGTGCCCCACGTCCCCAGTGGGTGTAGGTGGGTGTCCCAGGTCCCCAGTGGGTGCAGATGGGTGTCCCAGGTCCCCAGTGGGTGTAGGTGGGTGTCCCAGGTCCCCAAGGGGTGCAGATGGGTGTCCCAGGTCACTGATGGTCCCCAAGGGGTGCTGATGGGTGCCCCAGGTCCCTGGTAGGTGCAGATGGGTGCCCCAGGACCCCAAGGGGTGCAGATGGGTGTCCCAGGTCCCCAGTAGGTGCAGATGGGTGCCCCAGGTCCCTGGTGGACCCCAAGGGGTGCAGATGGGTGTCCCAGGTCCCCAGTAGGTACAGATGGGTGTCCCAGATCCCCAAGGGGTGCAGATGGGTGGCACATGTCACCAAGGGGTGCTGATGGGTGCCCCAGGTCCCCGGTGGGTGCCGAGGGGCGGGTGCCCGTGCCCTGACATCCCGTCCCCGCGGGTTGGTGGGGTCTCCTCCCCCTCAGGAGCAGCTCCGGGGACACGATGCCCCGCGGGGCGTGCACGGTGTGCGCCCACCAGGGCTACTCCCCGCACGGCATCAGCTACCTGCAGTGCCAGCACGGCGGCGACGGCGACGAGCGCGCGGCGGCCGCGCTGCTGTGCCAGGAGGGGCTGCGCCACCAGGTCCCCTGCCCGGGGATGTGAACAACCCCCCCCCACTGCTCCCCAAAAAACCCCCCGCGACCGACCCCGTCACACCCACCCCACCCGGGAGAGGAGGGGCCGGCCCTGCGGGAGCCACCGCGGGGTTGAGGGGTGGGAGAGACCTCCCTTCCCCCCAAAAAACCACCCCCGCCCCCTCAGGAACGCCTCGGTTCTTTATGGGGGGTTGGCCCTTTTACGTGTGTGTGTCCCCCATCCCCGCCGGGAGCTCAGAGACCCCACGAGACCCCCACGACCCCACTCCAGATCCAAGAGAACTTCCCAGAGACCCCCTCGGATCCCAGAGAATTCCAGGAGCACCCCCGGATCTCAAAGACCCCCACCAAGCTTCCAGAGACCTCCCCACTCCCAAAGATCCCACAGAGCTTCCAGAGACCCCATGGAAATCTCAGAGACCCCACAGAGATCCCAGAGACCCCACGGAGATCTCAGAGACCCCTCAGGCTCCCAGAGCCCCCCAAGATCAGAGAGACCCCACAGAGCTCCCGGAGCCCCCCGCCATGGATCCCAAAGCCCCCCCAGGCTCTGGGAGCCCCCCGTGTCCCCCCCACGGGGGATTTCTTTGTCACCGGGTGGGGTCGGGACAGCCCCAAAGAGGCCCCTGCCTGGTGTGTCCCTCCCCCCTCGCGCCCCCCACATTTCGGAATTGGGGGTGTTTTTTTGGGGGGTCCCGAGGAACTGGCACCAGGAATTGCTGTTTGGACCCAGGAAGAAAAAAAAAAAAAAAGGCAACAAAACCAAAGGACAAAAAAAAAAAAAAACCAAACAAAGAAAACAAAACACAAAAACAAAACAAAAAAAAAAAAAAAAAACGAAGGAAAGAAAAAGGTAAAGAAAATAAAATTGAAGCGAATTGAGAGGGGGTGTCGTGATGTGGGGACACCGCGGGGGGACAGGGACAGGGGCGGGGCCAGCGGGAGGGGCGGTGCTTGTAACAGTGACGTCACCGATTCGAACGGGCCGCCAGGGGGCGCCAAGGGGGCAGGGTTGCCCTGGCAACCAGAACATGGCAGGGCAGGTGGGGGGACAGGGGGACAAACTGGGACAAACTGGGACAAACTGGGGCAAACTGGGGAAAAGGGGGACAGGGGAGGGATGGAGGAGCGGGGGACATGGGGGATATGGGGGATCGGGGGAATGGGGGGATCGGGGGGCAATGGGGGATAAGGGGGGACATGGGGGACACTGGGGGGGCAAAGGGGGACACGGGGGTGCCCGGGGTGGTCCCGGCTCTCACCACCACCCCCACCACCCCAGTACGAGGACGCCTTCAACCCCCCTGCATGCAGTGCTGGACCGTGCCCCGCCCCTCGCAAGGTACCCCGGGAACCCCTAGGACACCCCAGGACCCCCAGGACCCCTAGGACCTCCCTCACCGTGGCCCAGCCCCTCCCTGGACCTGCAGGGACCCCCAGCCCCAGCCTGGATCCCCGAGACCCCCATCCCCTCCCTGGACCCCCTGAGACCCCCAGCCCTCCCTGGCCCCCCCGAGACCCCCAGCACCTCCTGGACCCCCTGAGACCCTCCAGCCCCTCTCTGGACCCCCGAGACTCCCCAGCCCTCCCTGGGACCCCAGAATCCGCCCCCGGATCCCCCAAGGACTCCCCTCAATCCCATCCCAGCCCCTCCCTGGACCCCCAAACCCCCAGGATCCCCCAGGACCCCCTCAATCCCAGCCCCTCCCTGGGACCCCCAGGACCCCCTCAACCCTGTCCCAGCCCCTCCTTGAGATCCAGGACCCCCTCCCAGCCCCACCCAAGACCTCTCCAAACCCTGTCTTGGCCTCCCACCCCAATCCCAGCCCTTGAGACCCCTCACCCCAATCCCAGCCCTTCGGGACCCTCTCACCCCAATCCCAGCTCCTTCGGGACCCCCTCACCCCAATCCCGGTCCCCTGGGACCCCTGACGCCCCCATCGTCCCCAGCTGCCCCGCCCGGACCCCCACCCATTCATCGCCGACGATCAGGGGCACCTCCTGCCCGGCGTGCCCCGCTCCCACGTGAGTCCCACGGGGGTTTTTTTGGGGGAAACCCCTGTGGGGGTGGAAGGGGAGGCATCGGATCCCCACCCCCTGTGTGTCCCCCAGGAGTCGCCGTAGGGCACCTTTGGGCACGTGGGAGATGCCCCCAACATCCCCCCGCCCTGGCTCGACCTGACCTCGCTCAGCGGGTCCGCGCGCCGAATCCTCCGAAATCAGCCCCAAATCCTGGGCCGGGTCTGCAACGGGATCCGAACCCGCGTCACGGGCAAGGTGGGAACACCCCCTCCCTCCCCAAAAAAACCGGGATGGGATTGGATGGAGGGGAGGAGAGGGGATGGGATGGGATGGGATGGGATGGGATGGGATGGGATGGGATTGATGGGATGGGATGGGATGGGATGGGAGGATGGGATGGGATGGGATTGATGGGATGGGATGGGATGGGATGGGATGGGATGGGATTGATGGGATGGGATGGGATGGGATGGGATTGATGGGATGGGATGGGATGGGATGGGAAGGGATGGGATGGGATGGGATGTGATGGGATGGGAGGGATAGAGGGGATGGGGATGGGATTGATGGGATGGGATGGGATTTGATGGGATGGGAGGGGATGGGATGGGATGGGATGGCAGAGAAACCACGGGAGAGGGGGGCAAAACAGGGATGAGAGTTTGGGGGATAAAGGGGGATTTGGGGATAAAGGGGAATTTGGGGATAAAGGGGGATTTGGGGATGGGGAAACAGGGAATGGGGGTTTGGAGGATAAAGGAGGAACAGGGATTGGGGATTTGGGGATGGGGAGGATCTCTGGACCACCCCCTCCTCAGGGACCCCCTGACCTCCCCCTTTCCCCCCTGCAGCTCCAGGAGCCTCGGCAGGCGCAGCCCCCAGGGAATCCTCTGGGAAGGCCCAAGGGACAGCACAAGGACCCCCACCCCAAAACCCAGCCCAAAATCCCCCCCAGACCCCCCCCAGCTCCTGAGCTTTGTGTGTGTGTCCCCCAAAAACCCCCATCCCCCAAAAAAGGGGAATAAAGCCTGGGAAGAGCAGGAAATCACGGGATCAACCCCAGATCCAAAGCCCCCCAAACTGGCCTTGGCTCCTCCCAGACTGTTGGATTTTCCAGGTTTTCCCACGCCAGGCCCCTCTGGGAAGCAGCAATTCCCCAAAATCCCAAAGGAGAGCCCCCCTTCCTTCCTGAGGTGTGGGACACAGGACACGCTCGGGGTGGAGGGGTCAGAGCTGCTTTATTCCAGAGGGGAGAGAAAAAATGCTTCCCAAGAGGGAAAAAAAGGGAATTCTCATCATGGGGGCTCCAGGAGTGGCTGAACTGGGGGATTCTGGGGGATAAGGGGCTGGAAAAAATGGGAATTCTCGCTCCCGGGGGCTCCGGGAGTGGCTGAGCTGGGGGATTCTGGGGGATAAGGGGCTGGAAAAAATGGGAATTCTCGCTCCCGGGGGCTCCGGGAGTGGCTGAGCTGGGGGATTTTCAGGGATCAGGGCAGGGATGCAGGATCGGGGCGGTGTCCCCTGTCCCCCCACCCCCTCCCGGGTGCCCTCAATGGGCTCCTTGTCCCGTTCCCACTCATGTCCCCAGTGTCCCCCCCCCGCCGCGGCCGTGGGGACACAGAGCCCCCATTGTCGCCAGGGTGGGGACAGGCGGGGACGGCCCCCGGCGCGGGCGGGGAAAGAAAGCAGCTCCGGCCAATTCCAAGGATTTTCTGGGCGGGAAGCGCCGCCTCTCCCCGGAGCTCCGGGACGGGGCGGGGCATTCCCAGGATTCCCGGCATTCCCGGCGGGAATCACAGCGCGGCCAGGGCGGCCGAGGAGAGCAGGGACAGCGCCAGCACCGCCACCCCCGACTGCGTCACCTGCGGCAGCCGCAGCCCCTTGCCCAGGTCCCAGGCCTGTGGAACACCGGGATGCTCCTGGGATCGGGGAAGGGCACGGGGGGGGAGAGTGTCCCCCACGTGTGTCCCTCCCCGAGTGTCCCTGCTGGGGGATGTGTCACCCCCTGCCAGGTCCTTCATGGGGACTCACCAGGTGCCCCATTCCCATCCCAAGGTGTCCCATTCCCATCCGAGGAACCCACTCCCCATCCCAAGATACTCATCAGGTGCCCCATTCCCATCCCAAGGTGTCACATTCCCATCCCCAAGGGCACATTCCCAGTCCCAAGACACTCATCAGGTGCCCCATTCCCATCCCAGTGTGTCCCATTCCCACCCAAGGAGCTCATCCCCAGTCCCAGGACACTCATCAGGTGCCCCATTCCTTCCCAATGTGTCCATTCCCATCCCAGATGCCCATTTCCAGTCCCAGGTGCCCCATTCCCATCCTACTGTGTCCCATCCCCATCCCAATGTTCCCATTCCCATCCCATTCCCATCCCCAGCGGTACCAGGTGGCGGATGCCGTTCCAGGTGTGGTGGGATGTTCCCACCCCCATTCCCATCCCCATCCCAATCCCATTCCCATCCCAGGTGTCCCAGGGCCGTACCAGGTGGCGGATGCCGTTCCAGGTGTGGTAGGACAGCGGCAGTGCCAGCAGGAACTTGGCCGAGCAGAGCAGGGCGGGGCCGAGGCTCAGGGCCCTCACCTGGGCCAGGTAGTGGGGGAAGGGCTCGGGCAGCAGCAGCGCGGCCAGGCCGAACAGGGACACGCCTGGGGGGCACCCAGGGGGTCACAGCCTGGGCTGCCACCCCCTCCATGTCCCCACTGTGGAGGTGACACGGCCCAGGCCACCTCCCAGGACACCCCCCATGACCCCACTGTGGGGGTGACACGGCCCAGGCCACCCCCCATGTCCCCACTGTGGGGGTGACACGGCCCAGGCCACCCCCTGCATCTGCCAGGACCCAAATGGGGCTGGCCCCGACCCCCTAATGACCCCCAGGGGTGTCCCAAGGGTGTCCCATCACGTCCCAGGGTGTCCCATCATGTCCCAGGGGTGTCCCAGAGTGTTCCAGGGGTGTCCCAGGGGTGTCCCATCACGTCCTGGGGATGTCCAGTCATGTCCCATCACATCCCATCATGTCCCAGGGGTGTCCCTGTTGGTCCCCCCATGTCCCAGGGGTGTCCCAGGGGTGTCCCATCATGTCCCAGGGTGTCCCATCATGTCCCAGTAGGGTCCCAGGGGTGTCCCATCACATCCTGGGGATGTCCAGGAGCAACCCAAAGGTGTCCCCCCATGTCCCATCATGTCCCAGGGGTGTCCCATCATGTCCTGGGAGTGTCCCAAGACTGTCCCATCACGTCCTGGGGATGTCCAGTCATGTCCCATCACATCCCATCATGTCCCAGTAGGGTCCCAGGCGTGTCCCAGGGTATCCCATCATGTCCCAGGGGTGTCCCAGGGTGTCCCATCACGTCCTGGGGATGTCCAGTCATGTCCCATCATGTCCTGGGTATTCTGGGAGCATCCCAAAGGTGTCCCCCCATGTCCCATCATGTCCCAGGGGTGTCCCAGGGATGTCCCAGGGGTGTCCCTGTTGGTCCCCCCATGTCCCACCATGTCCCAGGGGTGTCCCCATTGTCCCCCCGTGTCCCAGGGGTGTACCATGGGTGTCCCCCCGTGTCCCAGAGCTGTCCCCTTGGTCCCCTCCCCCCACACCCACCCAGGCTGAGGGCGACGCCGGTGCCGCGGTGGGTGATGGACATGGCCATGGGCAGGGACCACCTGCAGTGGGAAACACACGGAGTTACCCCCAAAACCCACGGCAGGGGGCCCTGGGGGGGGTGTTGGGGTGCCCAGGGGGTGGATTTTGGGGGGTCTCACTTGTAGATGGTGACGTGGGGGGACAGGGGCCGGTTGGACCTGGTGTTCTTCTCCCAGAAGCGACTCATCTCCTCCCTGGCCGTGCTTCCCATGGGGATAACCCTGGGAAAACAGGGAGAACGGGGCGTAGGGGGGGGGATTGGGAAGGGTCTGACCCCCCCTCAACAGCTCCTCACCCCCCAAGCCACCCCCCCAAAATCCTGGGAGGGAAATCTCCCAAGGAATTCCCCCCAATCCCAGCATGGGGGAAGAGCAAAATCAATGGGATTTGAGGGGGGGGGGGCTCCAAAATCTCCCCCTCCCCCCGGATGGGGGATGTCCTGGAAACATGGGAATTGTGGCCAAAAATATTCCCTGGATGGATCCCTCTGGGACAGAACTTCAGCCCAGTTGCTGCCAGGCTGTCCCAGTCTCTCCCAGTCGCTCCCAGTAACTCACTGCTGCAGGGTCGGGCCGGGGCCCAGCCGGGCCAGGAGGCAGCGCCGCCCCAACCCCCTGGAAAAGAGCAGGGAAAAGTTTGGGAATGACCAAAAAAACGGGATGGGGGGTGACATTGGGGGAGGGGGACTTGTGGGGGCCACGGGAGGGGTTTGGGGGTGACACGGGGGAGCACCGGCCGTGACACCCCCCAGACCGCCGTGTGGCCCTGGCACACCCCGTGTCCCCCCCACGTCCCCCAATGTCCCTCAAGACCCCCAAACCCCCGGTGTCCCCAAACCCCCGGTGTCCCCAAGCCCCCGGTGTCCCCAAACCCCTCGGTGTCACCTCAGCGCCAGGGCCGCCATCTTGGAGCCGCGGCGGCGGAAGCGACCTTGACGTCACTTCCGGCTAACGGCGCGAGAGGGGACACCGGGATAAAAAAATGGGATAAAAATGGGATAAAAATGGGATAAAAATGGGGTAAAAATGGGATAAAAATGGGATAAAATGGGATAAAAATGGGATAAAAATGGGATAAAGTGGTACTAAAGTGGGGTAAAAATGATGTAATAATGGGATAAATATTGGGTGCAAATGGGGTTAAAATGGGATAAAAACGGGGTAAATCGGGGTAAGAATGGGATGGAAATGGGGTGAAAATTTGGTACAAATTTTTAGGATAAAAATAGGATAAATTGGGGTAAAAACGGGATAAACCCGGGAGAAATTGGAACTAAATCAGGGATAAACCTGGGATAACAGCAGGATAACATCCAGGATAAACCTTGGATAACACCGGGGTAAAACCTTGGGATCAACCTGGGATAAAACCCCGGGACTGTCCGGAATAAACCTGCCATAAATTCGGGAGAAACGCCCTCCCCCCCGAAAAAAAAAACGAAACCCCCTCAAAATTGCCCCAAACCCCCCAAAATTCCAAAACCCCCCCAAAATCCCCCCCAAAAACCACATCCCAGCCCCTCCCAAATACCCCTTAAGACTCCCAAATATTCCCCCCAAAAATCCCTCCCAAATCCCTGATTTCCCATGACCCCCCCAATCCCTCTTTATTCCCCACAAATCCCTCTTTATTCCCCCAAATCCTTCTTTTTCCCCCCAAACCCCTCTTTATTCCCTCAATCCCTCTTTATTCCCCCAAATCCCCGTTTTCCCCTCAAATCCCTCTTTATCCCCCCAAATCCCTCTTTTTTCCCCCAAATCCCAAATTTTCCTTCAAACCCCAAGTTTTCCCTCCAAATCCCTGGTTTTTACCCCAAATCCCCGTTTTTACCCCCAAATCCCAAGTTTTCCCCCAAATCCACTGTTTTCCCCAAATCCCTCTTTTTCCCCCAATCCCTCTTTTTCCCCCAAATCCCAAATTTCCCCCCAATCCGTTTCCCTCCAATCCCGGTTTCCTCCAAATCCCTGGGTTTTCCCCCAAATCCCTGGGTGTTTTCCCCAAAATCCCAAATTTTCCCCCAAATCCCTCTTCCCCCTCGCTAGGGAGCCGTGGGGACCCGGAGGGGACCCCGAGGGTGGTCCAGGACGGGAGGGGACACCCAACCGCCCCGTGTCCCCCCATGTCCCGCCGTGTCCCCCCTTGTCCCCGCGTGTCCCCCGTGTCGCATTCCAGCCCCGCCGCCCCCGCCCCTCGGGGAATGCGCTGGTGACAAAGACCGCAGTGTCCCCTTCCCCCCGCCTGCCCTAAATGTCCCCTTTGAGCCCCCCGTGTCCCCCCGCGTCCCGCTCCCATTGGCCGCGCTCCGGGGTGCAGCTGCCTCGGGGCCACCCTAAAAACGCGGCGCGCGTGGCCGTGTCCCCTCCGTGACGGGACGGCAGCGCCACCACCGCCATGTCCCCGAGGGCCACCCGCACCCTCCTGCTGCTCGCCGGGCTGCTCGCGGCGATGGGTGAGCCGGGGGGGACACGGGGGGGACACGGGTGGGGACACGGGTGGGGACACGGGTGAGGGACACGAGGGGGGACAGGGGGCCCTTTTTAGGGGGTGGTCGTGGGGCTGGGGGACACCCCCCCCCCACGCGCGGGGGTTGGGGACTGTCACAGGTGGGGATGGGGTGTGGCACTGTCACCTCCCTGGGGACACGGGGAGTCGGGTGTGGCACTGTCACCGTTCTACCAGGAGGGTCCCAGCACCTGTCACCTCCCTGGGGGCACAGGGAGGGGGTGGCACTGTCACCTCCCTGGGGACACGGGGAGCAGGTTTGGGGCTCCTGTCACCTCCCTGGGAACAAGAGGGGGTCGGTGGCACTGTCACCTCCCTGGGGACACGGGACGGGTGTGGCACTGTGGTGGCCGCTCGGTGACGCCTCCCGGCGCCGGGTGGCGGTGCCCGCGTGTCGGTGGGGGGTGTGACAGCCGCGTCCCCACCCCCCAGGAGTGTCGCGGGTGTCCCCGATCCACGTGTACACGGCGCGGGAGGTGTACGGCACCGTGGGCTCGCGGGTCACCCTGTCCTGCAGCTTCTGGTCCAGCGAGTGGATCTCCGAGGACATCTCCATCACCTGGCACTTCCAGGCCGAGGGGTCCCGGGACAGCATCTCCGTGAGTGTCCCCAGCTGTCCCCAAGTGTCCCCAAGTGTCCCCAATTGTCCCCAGCCCCAGCACTCGCTGTGTCCCAGCTGCAGCCCCAACAGGACAAGTCCCTTCCCCGCGGGTCACGCCGTGTCCCCCCCCCCGCTCTGTGGTGACACCGGGGTGTCCCCGTGGTGTCCCCTCGTCCCAGTGCCCACCAGATCTCCGTGCCAGTTGTGTCCCCTCACGCTGTGGTGACACTGGGAATGTCCCCGTGGTGTCCCCTTGGCGACTCCCCCTCTCGCTGGGGAGGGGTGGGTGTGTCACCTGCCACCCCCCCCACCCCGGGCACGATGTCACCGCTGTCCCTGTGTCCCCCCCCAGATCTTCCACTTCGCCAAGGGCCAGCCCTACATCGACGACGTGGGGAGCTTCAAGGAGCGCATGGAGTGGGTGGGGAACCCGCGGCGCAAGGACGGCTCCATCGTCATCCACCGCCTGGAGCCCACGGACAACGGCACCTTCACCTGCGACGTCAAGAACCCCCCCGACATCGTGGGCAAGTCCTCCCAGGTCACCCTCTACGTGCTGGAGAAAGGTACGGGGCGGGGAGGGGACACACGGGTGCCCCTGTCCCCTCCCCGCTGCTGGGGGGTGACACGGTGCCACTGCCCGCTGCTGGGGGGCTGACACGGTGCCACTGCTGGGGGGTGACACGGTGCCACTGTCCCCACAGTGCCCCCCCGCTACGGCGTCGTGCTGGGCTCGGTGGTGGCCGGGGGGCTGCTCGTGGTGGCCGCGCTGGTGGCCCTGGGCTACGCCACCCGCTCGTGCTGGCTGCGGCGCCAGGCGCTGCTGCAGCGACGCCTCAGGTGAGCCCCCCCCCTCCCTAAAAACCTCCCAAAGTGAGCTTGGGGAGGGGGCACAACCCTCCCAACCCCCCTGTCCCCCCCCAAATTGCAGCGCCATGGAGAAGGGGAAGCTGCAGCGCTCGGGCAAGGACGGCTCCAAGCGCAGCCGCCAGGTGAGTGCCCCGGGGGGGCGGATTGGGGGCACAATGAGAGGGGGGGTCTCCCCTCATCCCGAGGGGGTGGGAGGTGAATTGTCCCCCCCCCGCGCTGTCCCCGCAGGCCCCGGTGCTCTATGCCATGCTGGACCACGGCCGGGCCGCCAAGAAAGCCAAGGGAGCCCCCGGGGATTCCCGCCGGGATAAGAAATAGCGGTGGGAGGGCAGGGAGGGTCCCGCGCCCCCCCCGGCCCCGCCCCGGCCCCCCAAAGTCGTCATGACCATCGAGATGGAGCTGCGGGGGGAAGGGGGGGCCGAGCCCGCCCCGGAGCCCCCCGCCCGCTCGCCCAGCAGGGGCAGCCTGGGGAGCGCCCTCAGACACATCATCCACCCCAACTCGGGGGTTTGACCCCCACACCCGCCCACGGCCCTCCCCCAGCACCCCCACACCCCACCCGGGCTCGGGACCCGGCGAGGAGCGGGGTGTGGTCCTCGCCAAGGGTCCCCCCCGGCTTTGGGGACACCCCCGGGGTGGGGGTGGTGGGGGGTGGGGGGTCCCGTCCCTACCCAGCCCCCGGCACGGAGGGAATTCCTCTCTTGGGACACTCAAAGCCACCACCGGATTTTGGGGCGGTGCTCCCCCCTCTGGGGACCATGTCACCCCAAAACCCCGAGGGAATTTGTGTCTCTTTGACCCCGATTTTACTCCTTTTCTGGCCGTTTTCTCGTCTCCCCCCGCGACCGACCCCGAATGACGTCGCGGGGTGGCCCCGTCACTTTGTCCCCTCCCGTCCCTCCCCATTAACCCCCCCCAGCCCATAACCCATCCCCCCAAAAACCGGCTGGAGCCCCGCGGGGGCGAGGCTGCAGCCGGGCGGGGGTCGCTGCCCGTGCCCACCACCCCACCCACCCCACCCACCCCACTCAGGCACCGCTCCCACCCCACCCCACCCCCGCCACGCGTGTCCTGTCCGTGTCCCCTCCCTGTCCCCGCGGTGCCGTTAATAAAACTGACATCTCCGGGACCCCCGTGCGAGTCTGGTCCTGGAATTCTGGCTCCCACCGGGATGGAGGAGCCCCCCCGGAGCTGTCCCATCCCCCGAGGATAATTGGCCTTTCCTAATAAGTCTGCACAGCCCGAGCCCGCCGTGTCCCCGGGCCCTGCCCACGGCCACTGTTTTTCTTTCCAAGGAGCTATTTCTGGGTCTCCCCGCCCGATCCCGCCCTTCCCGAGCCCCCCGCGGGCAAAATCCCCTGGAATTCGGGGAGGGAAAAACTCCCCCCAAATCCCATAACTTTATTCCCCCCCCCCCTTTTATCCAGGGCTGAGACCCGGCAGGGGATCTCCAAATCCCCCCAAAAACCACAGCCCGCCCTCCTCTTCCTCGCAGTTTATTCTCTGGCGGTGACAGGAGGGTGGGGAGGGGATGAGGGACCCCAAATTTCCCGCGTGGGGGACCCGTGCGTGTGTCCCCCCCTGCCCCCCGGCAGGTGCCACCTCTGGGGTGGGACAGGGGGCTCCCCTGGCTTGGGGACACCGGAACGGGGGGATCCCCGGGGAACTGGGGGGCTCTTTCCACCCCCGTCCACTCCGGGGGGACACCCCCCGCCCCCCCACGGACCCCCGCGTGTCACCCCGGGGGGTTCCCAGGGCAGGGAAAGGGTCGAGCCCCCCCTCCCCGGCCCCCGTCGCGTGGCGGGGTCAGGGCGGGACCCTCCCCACGGGGGTCCCCGCGCGGGTTGGGGGTCCCGGGACCCCCTTCCATCATCCTCAGGGCGCCGACTCCTTTTTCCGCCTCTGGAATTTGCGGAATTTCCCTTGGATGGCGAGTGCCGCGCGCTCCGTCTCGGGCGCGCTCAGGTCGATGTCGATCTCCTCCTCCTCCTCCTCCTCCTCCTCCTTCTTGGGGTCACCGGCCTTGCCTGGGGGGGGCACACAGGACAGGGGGTACCCTGGAGACAGCCTGGCACCCCCAGGGGACAGCCTGGCACCCCCAGAGTCACCCCAGGGACCACCGGGTACGCCCAGGGGGGACACTGCCACCCCCAGAGTCACCCCAGGGAGCGCCGCTCCCCCCAAATCAGGATGTCCCGGGGTGACACGGGTGACGGGGCACCCCCCGGGCCGCCCCCCACGCGTGTCGGGGGGTCCTCACCTTCCTCCTGCCCGCCGGGAGCCTCCGCCGCCGAGGGGGGGTCATGGGGGCTGCGCTGCGGAGAGAAGGGGGTCAGGAGGGTGACACGGGGGCTCCGCTGTCCCCAAGGTCCCCCCCGCTGTCCCCCGAGGGTCCCCCGAACCTCCAGCCCCCCCCCCCTTTCCCGTGGGTGCAGCATCCTGCCCCCCGTTCCCGTTCCCGGGATGTGCCGATGCTGAAACAGCGGGAAAAGGGGGAAAAGCCGCTGGTCCCGGTTTGTTCCGACCTGCGTGGACCCCTCCGAGCCCCCCACACACCTCGCTCATGTCCACGCGTGGCCGCGGCTGCTCTCGCTGTGCGGGACCCGCGCCCCCCCCACGCCGCTTTTGTAAGGGCGGGGCTGATTGACAGCCAGCGCAGCCAATGGGGAGCGAGGGCGGGGCCGCGGAAACGCCCTCCTTTGGGGGGGGGACACGCGGGGACATCGCGGGGGCTTCGATTGACACGGGGGGGGAGATGGGGGTTCAAGGGGGGCTTGGGGGGACACGAGAGGTTTGAGGGGACACGGGGATGGGGAGCTCACGGGGCCGGGACACGGGGTGTCTGTCCCCTGCCTGTCCCCCCGCCTGTCCCCTGCCTGTCCCCCACACCTGCCACACCTGTCCCTCTCCTGTCCCCCCACGCGCTGCGTGTCTGTCCCGTGTCCTCCCCCGCTCCAGGTGCCACCTGTCCCCTCCCCGCCCCACGCTCTGTCCCCGCCTGTCACAGCCGCGCTCAAGTTCAAGGTTCAAACTCCACGGGGCTCTGCCTGGGACCGGAGGGGACACTCAGGGACCGGAGGGGATACTCAGGACCGGAGGGGACACTCAGGACCGGCGGGGACACTCAGGGACCGGCGGGGACACTCAGAGACCGGAGGGGACACGCAGGGACCGGAGGGGACATTCAGGGATCAGAGGGGACACTCAGGGACCGGAGGGGACACTCAGGGGACCGGAGGGGACATTCAGGGATCAGAGGGGACACTCAGGGACCGGCGGGGACACTCAGGGACCGGCAGGAGCACGCGGGGACCCGCAGGACACGGTCAGGGACTTGGGGCTGTCCCCGTGTCCCCAGCCATGTCCCTGTCCAGCCCCTCGGACGCAGAGCGCAGCCCCCGCCCCCCGCAGGGACCCCGGGACCCCCCGGAGCCCGACGGGGACAAAGTGTGTGCCGTGTGCGGGGACAGGGCCAGCGGGTACCACTTCCACGTCATGAGCTGCGAGGGATGCAAGGGCTTCTTCAGGTGGGGAACACGGGGGGGAAATGGGATGGGAGGGGATGGGGTGGGAGGGGATGGGATGGAGTGGGAGGGGATGGATGGAGTGGGAGGGGATGGGAGGGGATGGATGGGATGGGAATGATGGGATGGCATGGGGTGGCATGGCCTGGCATGACATGGCATGGGACAGCCCCACAGACCTGGGGAGCGGGTGGCACAAGCACGGGGTCACCCAGCGGCTCCAGGTGACAGTGGGGACACCCCCAGCCCCTGCTGGCCCCGTGCTCCCCCGGGGACACGCGGTGACAGCGCCGGTGCCCCCCCAGACGCTCCATCATCAAGGGGGTGCAGTTCAGCTGCCCCCTGGCCCGGCGCTGCCCCGTCACCAAGGCCAAGAGGAGGCAGTGCCAGGCCTGCCGCCTCCAGAAGTGCCTCGACGTGGGCATGAGGAGGGACAGTGAGTGACACGGGGGGACACCAGGGGGATGGGGGGACACTGCGAGGGGGGGACAGGGGTGGAGGGGAGAGGGGACGTGGGGGATAAAGGGGACAAGCAGGGGACAAGGGGGGACCTGGGACAGAGAGGAGCAGCCTGGGTGGGGTGGCAGGGGAGGGGACGGCAAGGGGACGGGGCACAGAGGGGGCAGCGGGGGGGGAGGTGGCAGCGCGGGGACAGCGGGGCCGGTGTCCCTCCCTCCCTGGTCGCTGTCGCGGCCGCTCCCGCTGCCCGTGGCGGGGGTGGCAGCGGTGACAGCGGTGACAGCGGTGACAGCGGTGACGGTGCCGCGGGCAGTGATCATGTCGGAGGAGGCGCTGCAGCGGCGGCGGGAGCGGCGGCGACAGCGGGGACAGCCCGGGGGACAGCCCGGGGGCTCACGGCAGAGCAGCAGGAGCTCATCGACCTCCTCATCGCCGCCCACCAGCGAACCTTCGACTCCAACTTCTCCCAGTTTGCCCACTACTGGGTGAGGGGGTTGGGGGGGAAAACGGGACCCCGCTGCGCCCACGGGTGACCCCACTGTGCCCACGGGTGACCCCACTGTCCCCACGTGCACCCTCCCTGTCCCCACAGGTGTCCCCCCTCCCTGACCCCCGTGTGTCCCCCCCAGCCCGCCGTGCGCCTGTACATCCCCAGCCCCCGGGCCGGGCGGGGCCGCAGGGGACTCCCCCGCCGCTCCCCACGGAGGACGTGCTGCCCGACGTGTTCTCCATGCTGCCCCACTTCGCCGACCTGAGCACCTTCATGATCCAGCAGGTCATCAACTTCGCCAAGGAGATCCCCGTCTTCAGGTGCGTGGGGATGGGGGGGTGAGGGGGGTGGGGGGAGCACACGTGGCTGGGAGACCCCAGTGATGCCCCCCTGTGCCCACCCCCACCAGGAGTCTGCCCATCGAGGCCCAAATCTCGCTGCTGAAGGGGGCCACACTGGAGATCTGCCAGATCCGCTTCAACACCGTCTTCAACGCCACCACCAAGGCGTGGGAGTGCGGCCAGCACTGCTACACCATCCGCGACGGCGCCCTGGGTAGGGACCCCCAGGGGGGGTTTGGGGACATCCCTGTGCCCCCCCTTCCCCGGGTCACTCTGTCACCCCCTGTGTGCCCCCCACACCCAGCCGGGTTCCAGCAGGTCTACCTGGAGCCGCTGCTCAAGTTCCACGAGAGCCTGAGGCGGCTGCGCCTGCACGAGGCCGAGTACGCCCTGCTGCAGGCCATGCTGCTCTTCTCCCCAGGTGGGCACGGGGGGGGGCAGCTGGGGGGCACAGGGGGGTGTGATCCTCCCCCCCGGGGTCCCACTGACGCCCCCTGACCCCCCCCACAGACCACGCCGACATCGCCGAGCGCGACCGCATCGACCAATTCCAGGAGAAGGTGGCCCTGACCCTCAAGAGCTACATCGACCACCGGCACCCCGAGGGCAGGTGGGGGCGCGGGGAGGGGGTGGCAGCGTCCCCTGGGGGTGGGGGGACACAGGGGACAAGCCAGCAGGTCTGTGGTGTCCCCCCCTGCCCCCAGGTTCCTGTACGCGAAGCTGCTGCTGCTGCTGACGGAGCTGCAGACGCTGAAGGTGGAGAACACGCGGCAGATCCTGCACATCCAGGACCTGTCGGCCATGACCCCCCTGCTGTCCGAGATCATCAGCTGACCCCCCCCCTCGAGGTCCCCAAGGGCCACCACGGGGCACAGAGTAAAGCTCCTTTATTTATGCAGCCCATGTGTGTCACTGGGGGGGGGGACACACTGAGGCACAGGGGACAACACCCGGCCCCCCCTTCCCGCCTTGGGGACCCTCAGCCCGCGGTGGCAGCGGGGACAGCGGGGCCCCCCAGCAGCCACCGCGCCCCCCCAGCGCTGTCACACGGCGTCCCCAGGCCGGGGTGTCCCTGCAGCCCCCCCGGGGCCAGGCCTGGAGCCTCCCTGAGCAGGACAGTGCCCCGTGCCCCCCGTGCCCCCCGTGCCCCCCACGCCCTCAGCCCACGGTGACGCTGAAGCCGCAGTGGAATCGGTTCCTCCAGTGGTTCAGGAAGGCACCCAGGGCCAGGGTGACGGGCAGGGGGGGCAGCTTCTTTTCCAGGACCCCCCCCACGCTCCAATTGCTGTCCAGGAGCCCTGCAGGGTTGGGGGTGAGGGGAGGGCCAGGTGAGGGGCACAGGGTGGGGGCACAGCCTGGGGCTGGGGTGGGGGAGCTTTGCCCACCTCTGAAGACGACGTTGGCGCGGGGCAGGTTGAGCTGGTACCCGAAGGCGAAGGTCGTCTCCTGCAGCCTCGTGTTGGCCTCCAGCTCCACCCCCACCTGCACCTTTTTTTTGGGGGCAGCGGGGTCAGGGGGCACGGGGACACCGCGGGGGTGGTGGGGGGCACCCACCTGCTCGTTGGCCCGGTGGTAGTAGCTGGCGTGGGCCCCCCCGTAGCCCACGTTCAGCGTCGCCACCCACTTGGGGGCTGCAACAGAGACACGGCACGTGGGGAGGGGGGTGGGGGACGCACAGGAGCGTCCCCAAAAGGGGCAGGGGACCCCCGGGCGTGCCCCCTTACCCGTGTACTTGCCCGCCAGCGTGAGGATGGCCCCCTCCTCGCCGGGGCGCCGGTGGTACACGAGCTCCCCGCCCAGCACCAGGCGGGCCGTGAGGCTCTGCAGGAAATGGGCCACCACGATCACTGCGGGGACAGCACGGCCACAGCCCAGGCTCAGCGGGGCCGGGGGGCCCATGGGGTGCCGGGGAAGGGGGTGGGGGAGCCCCCCCAGGAGCTCACCGGAGCCGCCCAGCACGTCGGGGTTGCCCAGCGTGAGCGTGGCCGTGCAGTCGTCGCCGCGGTACTCGCCGTCGAACTGCCACGTCACGAACTTGGCCTGGTGGCTCTGCGGGGGGAGGGGACACACAGCGTGGAGAGGGGCTGCTGGGGAGCCCCCCCCAGCTCGGGAGTGACCCCCAGGCTCACCTGGAACACGGCTTTGAGGCGCAGGCGCTCCCCCAGCAGCTGCAGGGCCTGCGCGTTGAGGCTGCCGGCGCTGTCCATGTCCCCCACCAGGGTGGGGAACACCTGGGGGCACCGCGGGGGGAGGGGGTCAGGGGGGATGGGGACAACCCCCCCCCCCAGGGCCTGGCTGGGAGGGAGCATCCCCATCTGGGCTGGTGGCACCTCTGTGCCAGCCAAACCGAAGAGCGGGCCGGTCCTGGGGTCGCTCACCACTCTGAGGCCACCAATGACCCCAAGGCCACCCTGGGGTCACCCACCACCCACCTGCCACCCCAGGACCACCTGTCACCCAAGACCCAGGGTGTGGGGTCACCAACCCCCCCAGGGTCACCTGGGGCCACCCTCTGCCCCCCCGGTGCCACCCACGCTGTCACCTCGGTGGGGCTGAGCTGCCGGTCCCCCACGAAGGTGGCATTGAAGCGGTACCCGGAGGGGCCCAGGGTGCTCATGTGCACCGTGTGTGTCACCTGCGGGGACAGGGAGGGTCAGGGGACAGCCCGGGGGAGGGGAGGGTCACAGCCTCCCCCTCCACAGTCCCTGTGTCCCCCCACCCCAATCCCTGACCTGGAAGTGGCTGCTCAGGGTCTTGGTGACGATCAGCTTCACCCCCTCCATCTGCGGCGGGAACACCTCTGGGGGGACAGGGCTGTCACCTCCCTGGGGACAGGGCTGTCACCCCCAGGGCACGGCTGTCACCCCCAGGGCACCCACAGCCCCCCCCCGGACACGGCTGTCACCCCCGGGGCACGGTTGTCACCCCCCCGGTGTCCCCCCGGCCCCGGTGTCCCCCCCTCCCCGGTGTCCCCACAGTCCAGGTACCCCCAGTGCCCCCACCCCCGGTGCCCCCTCACCCCACGCCCCCTCCCCGTTGGCTCAGGGCGCACCTTTGCAGAGCCGGTGGAGCTCGTCGAAGCTGCCGGGGTTGCCGCGGGGCTCCCCCCGCCGCGGGGCCCGGCCCGCCGCGTTGCCCATGGCCCCTACGGGCCCCCCCCGCCCGCCGCCATGGCGGCCGCGGGCGGCGCCGCCCGGAGCGGCTTCACGGGGGCACCCGCGCCATCTTGGGCTTGGGCAGAGCGGGCCCCGCCATTGGCGGAGCGGGAGGGCGGCGCACCGTGGAATGGGACCCCCCGCGGGATCCTCGGCCGCGCGTGGAGACGTTCCGGGGGTGCCGCGTTCCGCCCCCCCCACGCGTGTCACGCGTGTCCCAAATTCCTGCCTGTCCGCGCTCCCACCGCGTGTCCTGCTCCCGCCGTGTCCCCCCGCGTCCCCTCCACGCATCCCGTGTCCCTCCTTCTCCCCTCCCTGCATATCTGAACACCCCCTGTCCCAAATCCCACTCCTGTCCCAAACCCCACTCCTGTCCCAAATCCCACCCCTGTCCCAAACCCCACTCCTGTCCCAAACCCCACTCCTGTCCCATGTCAGCCCCTCATCCCTGCTCCCCTCGTGTCCCCCTGTCCCCTCCCCACCTCCCCGTCCCCTCCTGGCCGTGTCCCAGGTGTCCCCTCCCCGTATCCCCTCCGCCACCAGCCCCACGCAGGACCTTCCTCGTGTCCCTGTCCCTTGTCCCCATCCCTGTCCCCCCACCCCGTCCCGGCGGGGCCCTCAGTGCCCGGGGGGGACTCCGCCCTCTTGTCGCCGGTGCCACCACGCGCCCTTTGTCCCCAGCGCGGGGTGTCCCCGCTGTCCCCCCACGGGGGGATCGAGGGTCACTGACACGGTGGGCGCCGACCTTCGCCCCCCAGCCCCAACCCGCGGGGCCCCCGCGCTCCTCCCCCGCCCTGCCCTGCCCTTGGGGACACGGGGACAGCCCGGGGGGGGGGACAAGGGACAAGGGGCCCCCCCGCGCTGCCCCCTCGGCCCCGCAGTGTTTGCCCAGCCCGGGGGCGGGGGCTGCGCGGGGATAAAAACGGGGCCTGGGGCGACCCCCACTGAACCCGCACCTGAACAGGTGAGAGGGGCTGGGGGACGGGAGGGGGAATGGGTCAGGAATGGGGGATACTGGGGGTGGGATGAGGGTGTGGGGTCAGGAATGGGGTGGGATGGGGTGAATTGGGTGAATTGGGGGTGGGATTGGGGCTGGAGGGAGTTTGGAGCAGGAAAGGGGGTGGGAGACGGGGTTGGAGGGGGGTGTGGGGCAGGGATGGGGTTGTGGGACAGGGATGGGGCTGTGGGACAGGGATGGGGCTGTGGGACAGGGATGGGGCTCTGGGGCAGGAATGGGGCTGTGGGACAGGGATGGGGCTGTGGGACAGGGATGGGGCTGTGGGACAGGGATGGGGCTGTGGGGCAGGGATGGGGCAGGGCTGCAGCTGTGGGGCTGGGATGGGCTGGGAAGGTCCTGTGGGTCAGGAGTGGGGTGCCTGTCCCTCTCCCCAGCCATGAGAGCCCCCCTGGCTGCTGCCCTGCTCCTGCTCTGCGCCCACCTCGGGGCCTGCCTGGTGCGCCGGGAGGCCCCCGAGACCCCCGAGGACGCCGCCCCGAGGCCACCCCCGACTTCTTCAGCCGCCACTTCCAGACCCTGAGCGACTTCTTCAGCCAGGAGCTGCCCCAGAGGCTGCAGGCGGAGCAGCTGCGCAGCCAGGCCGAGTACGGGGGGGCCAGCCCAAAATTCCACCCCCAGGACCCCATCCCAAACATCCACCCCCAGGAACCCATCCCAAATATCCACCCCAGGAACCCATCCCAAATATCCACCCCCAGGACCCCATCCCAAATATCCACCCCCAGGAACTCATCCCAAAAATCCATCCCAGGACCCCATCTCAAATATCCACCTCCAGGAACCCATCCCAAATATCCACCCCCAGGACCCCATCCCAAATATCCATCCCCAGGATCCCACCCCAAATATCCACCCCCAGGACCACCCTGACCACGCTGCCCCGGGCACCAGGACCCCCCACATCCTCCCATTTCTGGGCATTGGCCCCTCCAGACCCCCCTTTCCTGGACCCTGGGACCCCCTGGATCCCCATTCCTGGCCTTCCCAGCCCCCAGACTCCACTTCCCTGGGGGAGCTGGGGGGCTCGGGACCCCCCCAGCCCCACTGACAGCCCCCCTGTCCCGCAGGCAGTACCTGGACAGGGCCAACAAGCAGCTGGCACCGCTGGCACAGGAGCTGAAGAGCAACGTCCTGGGGCTCTTCTCGTCCCTGCTGGACCTGGGCAAGGGCGAGGGGCAGCCCTGAGGGCTGAGACCACCGGGGACGGACCCCCAGGGACACCCCTGAGCCCACCGTGGGACCCCCAACAAAGCCCCGAGCTCATAAATGGTCCCCCCAAAAACATCCCTGAGCCCTTTGGGCAATGGACCCCCAATAAAGCCCTGAGTCTGTTGGGGTGGGATTGGACCCCCCATAAAACCTTGAGCCTGTTGTGGTGGGATTGGACCCCCAATAAAGCCCTGAGTCTGTTGGGGTGGGATTGGACCCCCAATAAAACCAGGAGGTCCCTGGTTCTGGGGTGGGGGGTCCCTGCTGTTGGAGGGGGTTGTCAGTGGGACTGAGGGATGTCCCTGGTGCTGTGGGGGATGTCCCTGGTGCTGTGGGGGATGTCCCTGGGGCGGTGGGACCCCCCCTGGGAGGGTATTTTTGGGGACAGGGGGCACGACCCCAGCCGAGCCCCCTCAAAACTTCCCCGTGCCAGCACTAAACATGGCGGCGGCGGCGCCACGCCACGAACGTGCCCTCAGCCAACATGGCAGCATCCACCCACCCGCGGCGCCCGGCACTCGGGGGGGGTTTCTTAGTCTGCGGGGGGACCCCTGATTCTTTAGGGGGTGTTTCTGTGAGGATGGAGACGCTATTGTGAGGTGAGGGGGGGGCACAAGGCCAGCTGAGCCCCCACAACCCCGCCAGCACCAAACATGGCGACGGCCGAGCGCGCCCTTAGCCAAGATGGCGGCTCGCGTCAGTTCCGGCGGGGCGGGGCGCGATGGCGGCGGGGCCGGGCCATGGCGGCGGCGGAGGCGGCGGCGCGGCGGGCGGTGGCGGAGCTGCCGCTGCTCAGGGCGCCGGCGGGGCCGCGGGACCGCGAGGGCTGGGCCGAGCGGCTGCGCGAGGAGTACCGGGCGCTCATACAGGTCGGCCGCCCGCGCGTCCTTCCCCGTCTTCCCTTCCCCGGTGTCCGCCCCCACCCCCGGTGTCCCCTCCTCTGTCGCCGGTCCCGATCGCTCGCGGTGTCCCCTCCCCGGTGTCCCCCGCAGCTCAACCCCCCTGTACCGCATCCTCAGTGCTGCCTCAGAGCCCCCAGCTCATCCCAGGTGTGTCCCCCGCAGTACGTGGAGAACAACAAACGAGCCGACAACGACTGGTTCCGCCTCGAGTCCAACCTCGAGGGCACCGGTGGGTCCGGGGGCAGGGGAGCGCTAGGACCCCCGGGGCTCACGGGACCCCAACCCCAGGGTGGACTTGGGGGTGGGGGACCACTGTGAGGGAGGGGGGTCCCAGCCCCGGGGGTCCCGGAGGGGCTGCTTGGTGACCTTGGGGGTTCCCAGGGCTGGGGGTGATGCTGCAATAATTGGGGGATCTCTGGGACTGAGGGGGCTGGGGGCTGTTTTGGTGATTTTGGGGGGATCTCTGGGACTGAGGGGTTGGGGGCTGTTTTGGTGATTTTGGGGGGGATCTCTGGGACTGAGGGGGTTGAGGGACTGTTTTGGTGATTTTGGGGGGGGATCTCTGGAACTGAGGGGTTTGGGGGGCTGTTTTGGTGATTTTGGGGGGGATCTCTGGGACTGAGGGGGTTGGGGGCTGTTTTGGTGATTTTGGGGGTCCCTGTGGACTGAGGGGGTCTCTGGGCCCCCCCTTGCCCCAGGTGGTCCGGCAGGTGCTGGTACATCCACGAGCTGCTCAGGTACGAGTTCGCCATCGAGTTCGAGGTGAGGGGGGTCACGGGGGAGGGTGGGGGTGCAGGGGTTGGGGAGGGGCTCTGGGGTTGCTGAGACCCTCCTGGTTCCCCCCACCCCACCAGATCCCAGTGACCTACCCTGGCACCGCCCTGAAATCGCCATCCCCGAGCTGGATGGGAAGACGGCCAAGATGTACAGGTGGGATTTTGGGGGGTCCTAGGGGGTCAGAATTCGGGGAGGGGGCCCTGGAGGGCATCTTGAGGCCAAGGGGGTCATTGGGGCGGTGGGGAGGCCCTAAGGGGGTTTCTGGGGGGCAGGTCTTGTGGTTGGGGGTCCTGGGGAGGGTCCCAGGGCTGGGGGGTTTCTGGGGTTCCTGGGGGTTGGGGGATCCTCGGGGGTCTGACGGCTTCTTTTATCCTCCCAGGGGGCAAGATCTGCCTGAGTGACCACTTCAAACCCCTCTGGGCCAGGAACGTCCCCAAATTCGGGTTGGCCCATCTGATGGCCCTGGGGGTGAGCAAAGGGGGGATATTGGGGGTGTCACCCCTGGGGGCACCGGGAGGGGGTATTGGGGGTGTCACCCCTGGAGGTGGGTGGGGGTGACACTGAGGGGGTGTCACCTGTGGGGGGCAATGTGACATCGTGGGGGGGCTGCCACCCATTGGGTGGGGGGTGACACAGGGTGGGGGTGTCCCCCGTGGCAGGGGGTGACACAGAGCGGGGGTGTCCCCCCCCTGTCCCCCCAGCTGGGGCCCTGGCTGGCCGTGGAGATCCCCGACCTCGTCGCCAAAGGCATCATCCAGCACAAGGACAAGTGACCAAGGAGGAAGGGGGGTTCAGTGCCCCCACCCTCCCCAGCTGCTCCCACCCCTCCCCGCCGCTTCGCTGCTGCTCTGCAATAAACAGTTCAGACCTGACTTTGCCCCCGTTTATTGTCCTGGAGGGGTGTGTGTGTTAAGGGGGGTTCTCTCCGCGCGACCCTCCAATAACACGCGCGACCCCTCCAATAACACGCGCGACCCTCCAGCAATAACACGCGGCGGTCCCTTTAAGACGCCGCGCGGTTTCCATGGCGACGCCGGCGGCTCGGGGGGCGTGGCCGTGCGGGCGGCGCTTGCGCAGAGCGGGCGGCGAGGCCACCGGGGGGCGGGGCCGGGCCAGGCAGGACCAAAGATGGCGGCGGGTGCGGCGGGAGTTGTTGCCATGGCGGCCCGCGGGAGGTGCGGGGGGACCGGGGGGGGCCCGGGAGGGGTCCTGGGGGACTGCGGGGGTGGGGGAGCTCGAGGGTAACGGACACCCTCCTGTGGGCACCCGGCGGGCGGGTGGGGGTGCAGGGCAGGGCCCGGGGGTGGGGGGACAGGGGGTGATGGAGGGGGACAAGGCCTGGGGAACCTGAGGGGCTTGGGGGTCCTGGAGGGGCTGCAGGGGTGGAGTGGGCTCGGGGTAACGGACATCCCCTTATGGGCACCCTGGGGCCTGGTGGGGATGCGGGCAGGCCCAGAGGGGGAGGGACGGCCCGGGGTGATGGAGGCAGGAAAAGGCCTGAGGGGGTCTGGGGGCTCGGGAGACGGCGGGAATCCCACGGGAGGGGTCCCCGGGCTGGGAGGGGGTGGCGGGCAAGGCCCGGGGAGAGGAAGGGTGGGCCGCGGTGATGCTGGGGGGAGCAGGGCCGGGGGTCTTTGGGGGCTGTGGGGGTAGAGGGGCACCAGACACCTTCCAGGGGGACCTCAAAGGATCCCCACGAGACTGGGGGGGTCCCTGAGGTTCAGTGAAGGGGGTTGGGGGTCCCCACGAGCCTGGGGGGTCTCTGGGGTTCAATGAAGGGGATTGGGGTCCCTCGAGCCTGGGGGGTCTCCCCTTGTCCCCCTGTCCCCCTCCTGGGGGAGCAGGACCTGGCTTAGGGTGGGCGCAGCTCCCAATGATGCCAAACCCCTCTGCGACTGCCCAGGGGCCTGGCACCGGTCTGGGAGTGCCCTTGTGTCCCCCCTATTAACCCCTGGTCCCCCATTATTAACCCCTGTGTCCCCCATTATTAACCCCTTGTGTCTCCCCCATCCCGCAGGGCCCCCGCCGACGGGACGCTGTGTCCGGCCGCCGGGCGCAGGGGGCTGTGAGCAGGTGAGTGCCCTCTGTGCTGCCCCCTCCCCATCCCTGTGCCCCCTGTGTGACCCCCTGTCCTCCCCTGTCCCCACAGGCCCCGCCATGCCCCAGGCCTCGGAGCACCGCCTGGGCCGCGCCAGGGACGGCGCCGCGCCCGCCGTGGTGGTGACGGCGCAGCCCCGGCCGGGCCCCCGCCTGCCCAGCGGGCACCGGGCGCTGAGCCAGGAGCGCCATGCAGGCCCCGGGGCTGTCCCCGGCCCCAAACTGCGCCTGCTGCCCCCTGGCCTCCGCCGCCCCCAGCCACAGCCCGAGGAGCCCCCCCGGCCCAAGAAGCCGGAGCTGGAGCGGGGCCGGGCGGCCAAGCGCGGGGACCCCCCCGCCCCCCGCGGGCCGGGGGGCCGCCAGGGCCCCGTCAAGGGCGACCACGGCGTGCGGGTGCCCGGGGGGGCCCCGGCCGTGCCCGGCAGCGCCTCCTTCTCGCTGCCCAGCGCGGCCGAGCGGCGCCGCAGCAACCTGGCCCGCTCCAAGTCCATCAGCATCGGCGACCTCAGCCAGGGGGGCGGCACGGCCGGCGGTGGCACCGGTGGCGGCTGCGGCGGTGGCGGTGGCGGCCGCGCCGAGGACGTGGCGGTGGCGCTGAGCCGGCTGGTGCTGCGGGACTGCGGGCACCCCCTGGGCGCGCTGGCGCTGCGCAGGAGCTCCTCGCTGCGCAGGGTGGCCGTGGGGCCCCCCCACCCCGGGCAGGACGGCAAAGCCGCGGGGGTGTCCCCGTCACCCGCCCCGCTGCTGCTGTCGGTGCCGCGCCCGGAGCCCCCCGCCCACTACGGCAACGGCAGGAGCGACGACAAGGCGGCCGCTGTAAGAGATGGGGGCACTCCCAGGGGGTGTGGGGAGACACCCGGGGTGGCCTGGCGAGGGGGCACGTGGGGTGAGCTCTGGGGTGTCCTCGGGGGGGTCATGGGGCTGTGGTGGTCCCCGGTCCAGGGGATGTGATGGGACATCCTGGGGGTCACCAGGGGGTCATGGGGACGTGGTGGGATCACTGGGGTGTCCCTGGTCAAGGGGACGTGGTGGAATCCCCAGGGTGTCTCTAAGGGGCCACAGGAACGTGGTGAGACCCCCAAGGGTGTTCCTGGTCAAGGGGGAACGTGGTGAGACCCCCAAGGGTGTCCCTGGTCAAGGGGATGTGGTGTGACCACCAGGGGTCCCTAAGGGGCCATGAGGATGTGGTGAGACCCCCAAGGGTGTCCCTGGTCAAGGGGATGTGATGGGACACCCTGGGGGTCACCAGGGGTTCATGGGGGTGTGGTGAGATCCCCAAGGTGTCCCTAAGGAGAGACCTCACCTCTCCCTGCCCCACTCCTGCTTTGGGGACCCCCACAGCTCCAGGGGGGTTGGGCGTGGCCGGTGCCACCCCTGTGTCTCTGTGGGGGTCGAAGGTGGCCGGTGCCATCCCCATTTCCGTATCCGCTCCCCCCCTCCCATCCCTGTCCCCCACCTGCCCGGCCACGTGTCAGGATCAGGATCGGGATCCCTGAAATCCCCCCCCGCCGAGGGGACAGGTGTGACCCCCACCATATGTCCCCAGCAGTGCCACCTGGGGTCCCCCAGCCCCACCGAGCCCACCCCAACCCCTCCATGGTGGCGGGGTGGGGGATTTGGGAGGCGTAGAGGGGGAGATGGGGTTGGTGTTTTTAGCTCCTCACCCCTTCTCCGGGCGTTCCCGCTGTCCCCCGGGGCGGTGCCCGGCCGATTAATCCCCCCCGGGGGATGAGCGTGCCAGGAATAGCCGTGGCAATCGGATCAGCTAATGAGCTGAAGGGTGTGAGGGGGCTTGGGAAGGGGACACAGGGTTGGCACCGGTGCCATCCCCGCCTCGGGGGGACCCTGTTGGCGGTGCCGCCATGCCCGGGCTGCAGGGAGCGACGCTGGTGGAGCTGCCCAGGAAGCTGCAGCGCTCCTCCTCCCCCGGCGGGACCTGCCGGGCCGCGGCGGCGCCGACATCGCCGAGTCCGTGGTGCACACGGCGGTCATGGGGCTGCTGCTGGTCACCGGCGAGGTCCGGGGGGCCGGGGGGGTGCCAGGGCTTGGGGGGTGGCTGTGCCGTGCTGGGGAGGACGTGGCTCACGCGTGTCACCCGCTGTGTCCCCATCCCCCAGACCCACCACTCGCTGCTGCTGGGCTCGGGCCACGTCGGCCTCAGGAATTTGGGCAACACGGTAAGTGGCCGTGGCCGCCAGGCCTCGCTGGCTCCCTGGGCTGGGCTGGGGGAGGGGTTTGGGGTCTCCTCGGCGTCACCTCGGGGTCCCCCCAGGCTGGTGGTGGCAGTTCCGTCCCGCTGGGGACGTCACGTCCTTGGGGACCCTCAGTGCCACAGCACGGCGTCCCTGTGGCCCCCAGCCCTGCTGTCCCACTGCCCTGGGCTGCACGAGGATTTAGGATCCCCTGAGGCCTTCTGGAGTCCCCTGGCGTCCCTTTGGGGTCACCTGGGGGTCCCTCAGGTCTCCCATCCCCGTTCCTCCACAGTCCCATCCCACCGGGTTGGGGACATCTCCAAGGACCCCCCAGCCCCACAACACAATTGGGGGTCCCTGAAACAATTGGGGGACCCCCCAAGGGACCTCTGGTGACCCCCGAAGTCCCATCCCCATCCCCGTGTGCCCTCCCAGTGCTTCATGAATGCGGTGCTGCAGTGCCTGAGCAGCACCAAACCCCTGCGCGACTACTGCCTGCGCCGGGACTTCCAGCAGGAGCAGCCCCCCGGCCCCAGGGCCCCCCAGGAGCTCACAGAAGGTGGGAGAGACCCCCGAAAAACTCAACAGCCCCCCAGAAGTGTTACATAACCCCTGAGACCCCCCCTGTCCCCGCAGCCTTCGCCGACGTCATCGCGGCGCTCTGGCACCCGGACTCCTCCGAGCCCGTCAACCCCGGCCGCTTCAAGGCCGTGTTCCAAAAATACGTCCCCTCCTTCACGGGCTACAGGTGAGGGAACCCCCCCCTTTCACACCTCATGGGACCCCCCCTGGGGAGGGCAGAGGGGGTGCAATGTGTCCCTGTGTGTCCCCCCCAACCCCAGCCAGCAGGACGCCCAGGAATTCCTCAAGTTCTTCATGGACCGGCTGCACGTGGAGATCAACCGCAAGGGCCGGCGCACCCCCAGCATCCTGTCAGACACACGGAGAGCCCCCGCCCTGGAGGACCCCGAAACGCTCAGGTGAGGGCTGGGGGGGTGTGCCTGGAGGGGGTGGGAGCCCCGTTTTTGGGCTTGACCCTTGACCTTCCCCCCCATCCTCACGGCAGCGACGACGAACGCGCCAACCAGATGTGGAAGCGCTACCTGGAGAGGGAGGACAGCAAGATCGTGGGTGAGCCCTGGGGGTGGGGGTCACACCCCCCTCCCCCCCTTCCCTGAGACCCCCCCCAGTCCTCTCAGGGTACCCCCTTCCTTGACCCCCTCTTGCCCCCCAGACCTCTTTGTGGGGCAGCTGAAGAGCTGCCTCAAGTGCCAGGCCTGCGGGTACCGCTCCACCACCTTCGAGGTCTTCTGCGACCTGTCGCTGCCCATCCCAAAGGTAGGGGGTGGGGTGCAGCCCCCCCAGACCCCTCCCCTCATCTCCAGACCCCCCCAGACTGCCCCCTGACCCTGCGCCCCTGCAGAAAAGCTTTGCTGGGGGGAAGGTGTCGCTCCACGACTGCTTCAGCCTCTTCACCAAGGAGGAGGAGCTGGACTCGGAGAACGCCCCGGTGAGAGCGTGGGGGCATCACCCCCTCTGTGACCCCCCCAGGCCCCCAGTTTGTCCCCCCTGAGCGTCCCCTCCCTCAGGTGTGTGACAAGTGCCGGCAGCGCACGCGGAGCACCAAGAAGTTGACGATCCAGCGCTTCCCCGGATCCTGGTGCTCCGTATCCTTCCCGTTTGGGGCTGGGGAGGGGGAACGGGGGTGGGGAGGGTCCACCCCTTCCATCCAGCTTTGCCCTGACAGCCCCCCAGACCTGAACCGGTTCTCCACCACCCGCTACTCCATCAAGAAGTGCTCGGTGTTCGTGGATTTCCCGCTGCAGCAGCTCAACCTGCGCGAATTCGCCAGCGAGAAGGCGGGTGAGGGGGCGGGGGAGGGCAGGGGGCGAGCAGAGGGGTGAGGGGGCAGCGCTGAGCCCCCCGGTGTTTGCGTCCCCCTCCCCACGCAGGCAGCCCCGTGTACAGCCTGTACGCCCTGTGCAACCACTCGGGCAGCGTCCACTACGGCCACTACACGGCCTTCTGCCGCGACCCCGCGGGCTGGCGCGTCTACAACGACTCCCGGTGAGTGCCCCCGCCCCCTGCCTGCCCCGGGCACCGCCCCGTGCCCGCCCACCCCCTGGGCTAAGGGTGTCCCCGCAGCGTGTCGCCCATCAGCGAGAACCAGGTGCCGTCCAGCGAAGGGCTACGTGCTGTTCTACGAGCTGAGGAGCCCCCGGCCGCAGACCCTGAGCCCCCTGGGACCCCCGCGCCGGGAGGGTGGTGGGCGATGGGGGAGTTGGGGGTGTGACCCTCCTGTCCCCCTCCCCACTCACCCTCCGGCCCCCGTGGCAGGGGAGGCGCGGGAGGGGTGGGGGTGGTGCGGCCCGCGCGGCCCTGGGGGTTTTGTGAATAAATTTACTAAAAAAACCGAAAAACCCAAAACCACGGAGTCTTGGGGGCGTGGCAAAGGAGGAGGGGCGGGGCTTGTGGGAGGGCTAGCGAAGGAATGGGCGTGGTTTAATGGGGAGGGTGTGGTTGTGGGGGCGGAGCTTGCAGATTGCTATCTAATTACAGGGGGCGTGGTCAATAAGAGAGGGTGGGCGTGGTTAGAAGTAGGGGGCGTGGTTTTTCCTCCATGGCGCGCTCCCTCGCCTGTCCATCAAGGCACGGCGCCTCCCTATTGGCCAGCCGCCCCCCGGAGCCCCGCCCCCTGCCCTTATCGGGCCGGAGGGGGCGTGGCCAGCGCGGCGGACGCCGGGAGAGGTGCGGGGGGGGCGCTCCGGGGTCGCGGGGGATCGGGGGTTTTGGGGGTCCCTGAGGCCCCCTGATCCCCCGGCCCAGGTTCCCCTCATGGCGCCGACCGTGGCCGTGGTGGGGGCGGCATCAGCGGCCTGGCCGCCTGTTACCACCTGCTGCGAGCCCCTCGCCCGCCCAAGGTGAGCGAGAGACCCCCGCCCCGCGACCCCCCGAACTTAACCCCCGAATTCCCACCTGGGATCCACGGACTGACCCCCTCCGATCCTCCATTCACCCCCCGGCTCTCCCCAAGACACCCCCTGTCCCTCCAGCCGCTCCCGCGACCCCAAACTCTCCCCTGGGACCCCCAAACTCTCCCCTGGGACCCCCAAACTCCCTTCCCGGGATCCCCAAACTCCCTCCTGGGACCCCAAACTCCTCCCCAGACCTCCCCGGGACTCCCCCGGGGTTCCCAAAACTCCCCACGGGACCCCTGTCCGCCGTGGGGTGCCCGTGGTGACGTTGGGGGTGGGTGGGGTCTCTGGGGTCCTCAGGTGGTGCTGCTGGAGGCCAGCGGGCGCTTTGGGGGGTGGCTGCAGAGCACCCGCACCCCCGAGGGGGCCGTCTTTGAACACGGGCCCAGGGGGGTCCGACCCCACGGCGTGGTGGGCGCCGAGACCCTGCACATGGTACGGGGAGGGCTTGGGGGTCTGGGGCTTGGTTTGGGGTGTCAGAAAGGGTCTGGGGGGTCCCTGGGTGGTTGTTGGGGGTCTCAGTGCTCTGGGGGGGTCCCCGGGGCTGGGATTGGGGTGTCAGAAGGGTCCTGGGGTGCTGGGGTTTGGGAGGGGTTTGGTTGGGCAGGGTTTTGGGGTCTGGGGTCCCTGGGTGGGTGTTGGGGGTCTCAGTGCTCTGGGGGGGTCCCTGGGGCTGGGATTGGGGTACCAGGAGGGTCCCAGGTCCTGGGGTTTGGGGGGGTTTGGTTGGGCAGGGTTTTGGGGTCTGGGGTCCCTGGGTGGGTGTTGGGGGTCTCAGTGCTCTGGGGGGTCCCTGTGTGGGTGTTGGGGGTCTCAGTGCTCTGGGGGGTCCCTCCATAGGTGCTGGGCTGTGTTTGAGCCCCCCCAAACCTCCCCTCTCCCCCCAGGTGTCGGAGCTGGGGCTGGGGGGGGACGTCCTGCCCGTGCCCGGGGACCACCCGGCCTCCCGGAACCGCTTCTTGTTCTGCGGGGGGAGCCTGCACCGCCTGCCCTCGGGGCTGGGGTAGGGACCCCCTGCTCCTGCCCCCACCCGGGGCACTCCCCGACCCCCAGTGCCACCTCCTGCCCCCCAGTGCCACCTCCTGTCCCCCCAGTGCCATCTCCTGCTCCCCAGTGCCACCTCCTGCCCCCAGAGTGCCACCTGCTGAGCCCCCTCTGTCTGTCCCCAGGGGGCTTCTGTGGCCTGGATCCCCTGAAACCCCCCCACCTCCCAGTGCCAACCCCCTCAGCCCCTGTGCCCCCAAATAACCCCCTCCCAGTCCCCAAGGCCACCCCCTGTCCCTGCTGTGTCCCCAGGGGCTTCTGTGAGCTGTGTCCCCCATACACCTGCACCCCCATGTCCCCAGGGTCTCATATGGCCATGCCCCCAAACACCCTTGCCCAGTGTCACCCCTGTCCTGCTGCATCCCTAGGGGTCTTCTATGCACCGTGCCCCCATACACCCCATACACCCCCTGCACCCCCATACACCCCTGACCCCCTGTGTCCCCAGGGGTCTCACTACGAGCCGTGCCCCCATACCCCTAGCCCCCGTGTCACCCCGACCCCTGTGTCCAGGGTCTATGGGCCTGCCCCATACCCCTGTGCCCCAGTGTCACCCCTGACCTCCATGTCCCCAGGGGTCTCGTATGGGCTGTGCCCCCATACACCCCCTGTACACCCCCATACACCCCTGACGACCCCCATGTCCCCAGGGGTCTCGTACGGGCCGTGCCCCCTTCTCCCGGGCGCTGCTCTGGGCGGGGCTGCGGGACCTGCTGACCCCAGCGGGGACGGAGCCCGACGAGAGCGCCCACGGCTTCGCCCGGCGCCGCTTCGGGCCCGAGGTGGGTCTGGGGGGTGTGCTGACCCCCCACAACAACCCCCCAGCCCTCCATAACCCACCCCCACCCCGATAAACACCCCCCCGGGTTTATCAGCCCCCCCAGGTGTGGGCGCGGCCCGGGCGCTCCCGGGGGCCCCGCGGTGGCCCCGTGGTGACCCCGTGGTGGCCCCGCAGGTGGCCGAGGTGGCCGTGGACAGCCTGTGCAGGGGGGTCTTCGCCGGGGACAGCCGGACCCTCAGCGCCCGCTCCTGCTTCCCGGCCCTGTTCCGGGCTGAGAGGAGCCGCGGATCCGTCCTGCTGGGAATGGCCCTGGGACACGGTGGGGACACTGGGATAGACTGGGGATACTGGGACACTGCTGGGAATGGCCCTGGGACACGGTGGGGACACACTGGGGACACTGGGATAGACTGGGACATACTGGGACACTGGGATACTGCTGGGAATGGCCCTGGGACACGGTGGGGACACACTGGGGACACTGGGGATACTGGGACACTGCTGGGAATGGCCCTGGGACACGGTGGGGACACTGGGGACACTGGGGATACTGGGACACTGCTGGGAATGGCCCTGGGACACGGTGGGGACACACTGGGGACACTGGGATATGCTGGGACATACTGGGACACTGCTGGGAATGGCACTGGGACACTGGGGCACACTGGGGACACTGGGACACTGCTGGGAATGGCGCTGGGAGACGGTGGGGACACTGGGACATACTGGGGATACTGGAACACTGCTGGGGACACTGGGACACACTGGGGACACTGGGACACTGCTGGGAATGGCGCTGGGACACTGGGGCACACTGGGAAACTGCTGGGAATGGCGCTGGGAAGTGGTGGGGACACTGGAACACACTGGGGACACCACAGCGCAGTGGGGCTGGCACTGGCATCTGGTGGGCACTGGGGTGGGGACCCCCTGGGGACATGAGGGGACAAGGGTGTCACCCCTTGCCTGGCCCTGGTTCAGGGGGGTCTCTGTGGGGACAGCAGGGCCGAGGATCCCCCCAGGGACCCCCCCCGGGTGTTGTCACCGCATTGTCCCCACAGGTGAGGGGACCCCGCCTGGCCCCGACTCGGGGCTGGCCCGGCGGGCACGGGCCGAGCGCTGGAGCCAGTGGTCCCTGCGGGGGGGGATGGAGACCCTGGCCCGGGGGCTCGTGGCCTTCCTGGCCCCCCGCGGGGTCGAGCTGCGCTGCCACAGCCCCCTGTGCCACCTGCGCCACCGCCACGGCCGCTGGCAGGTGGGGACCCCCCCCCTGGAGACCCCCACCCCCCATCCCATTCTCCATCCCCTCCCCGGTGCCCCCTGTGCCCCCACCCACCCCTCTCTCTCCCCTCCCAGCTCACCCTGCCCGATGGCACCATCACCGCCGACCACGTCGTCAGTGCCCTCCCCGCCGCAGGTACGGCCGGACTGCCGGGACCCCCGCCCTCAATGTCCCCCGCTGTCCCTGATGTCCCCTGATGTCCCCCAATGTCCCCTGATGTCCCCCAATGTCCCCTGATGTCCCCACTTCGTCCCCAGCCCTGGCCGAGGCGCTGCCCCCCGAGGCGGAGCCGCTGGCGCGGGAGCTCCGTGACATCCCGGCCGCCTCCGTGGCCGTGGTCAACCTGCAGTACCAGGGGGTCTCGCTGCCCGTCACGGTGAGAGGGGGGGGTCCCGCGGGTGTCCCCAGCCCCCCAGGGGTGTCCCCAGCCCCCCAGGGGTGTCCCCAACCCGTGTGTCCCCCCGCAGGGGTTCGGGCACCTCGTCCCCTCCTCGGAGGACCCGGCGCTCCTGGGCATCGTCTACGACTCGGTGGCTTTCCCGCAGCACGACGGGGCCGGGCCGCCCTCGGTGCGGCTCACGGTGGGTCCCAGGGGGATTTTGGGGGTCCTGGGGGGATTTTGGGGGTCCTGGGAGGATTCTGGGGGGCTCACGGTGTCCTGGAAGGCGCCTGGTTCTGCCAGAGCTGTGGGGACCCAGCAGGCCCAGGAGGCTGTGTGGGACCACCCGAATCCCAAGGGGGGTCAGGGGTGATTTTGGGGGGGTCAGGGATGATTTTGGGGTCTCTGGGTGTCCCCCAGGTGATGCTGGGAGGCGCCTGGTTCCGGCAGAGCTTCGGGGACCCGGCGGGGGCGGCCCCGGCGCTGCTGCTCCGGCGGGCACAGGAGGCCGTGCGGGACCACCTGGGGCTGGGCGGGACCCCCGCCCGCTCCATCGTCCGGGTGCAGCAGGTGGGTGATGGTTGGGGGGGGTTGGGGGGCACAAGGAAGGATCTTGTGGGGCTCACCTGTGCCCCTCTCCCATCCCCCAACAGGGCTGTATCCCCCAGTACACGCTGGGCCACTGGCAGCGCCTTGGTAAGAGGGTCCTGGTGCTCTGGGGGTCCCTGGGGCTTGGATTGGGGGTGCCAGAAGGGTGCTGAAGTTTGGGGTGGTCCCTGGGGCTCGGTTTGGGGTGTCAGAGGGGTCCTGGGTCTGGAGGGGGGCCCTGGGGCTTGGTTTGTGTTACCAGGGGGTCCTGGGGTGGATTCTGGAGTGAGGGGTGGGAAGGAGGGGGTGGGAAGGAGGTGACCCCTGGGTGGTTGTTGAGGGTCCCAGCGGTCTGGGGGAGTCCCTGGGGTGGTGGTGTTGGGAGGGGGGGGTCTCCCAAACCCCATCTCCACCCCCCCAGAGCGGATCAGGCAGTTCGTGAAGGAGCAGCAGCTCCCCCTGAGCCTCATCGGGGCCTCCTACGCGGGGGTCTCCGTCAACGACTGCATCGCCAGCGCCAAGGCCGCCGTGGGGGGCTCCTGGGGACACCTCCCTGAGCCCCCCCATGCCCCCCTCATCCGTGCCCTTTGTAGGACAAAGTGATTCTTTTTTTAATAATTGCAAAAAAAAAAAAAACCAACCCCTTTACAAAGGTCGGGGGGGGGGGAGAGCGGCTCATAAATACAATAAATACCCGCGCACCCGGATTTGGGGACCCCCGACCCCCCAGAGACCCCCCCCTTGGGGTCAGGCAAGCCCTGAGCCCCCCCCATGGCCCCCCCCCAGTCCATCCAGCGAGGCCCTGGCGGGGGTCTCGCTGAGCTGAGTCCACGGGCGGCGGGCGGGTTAAGGGGGTCCCTGTGCCAGGCTCTGGTTGCCCCCCCGGGCGGGGGCCGTGCCCGGGGGGGTCCCCACGCCCTGGGTGATGTTGCTGGGTGGGTGTGGAGCCCCCCGTGGCAGCCCCGGGGGCACAGGAAGGTCCCCCCGGGGGGGTTTGCGCAGCATCTCCTGGCGGAAGCGGCTGGAGCTGCCGGGGGGGCCGAGGGGGCCGGGGGAGCCGCGGGAGCCGCGGGGGTCGGTGCCGATGTCCACGGTGAGGTTGGTGTAGAGGGGCTGCAGCTGCTTCTCCAGCAGGACGTAGGTCAGCGAGTTCATCCCGTCCTGCGTCCACACGCGCTGGGTCCGCACCAGCAGGTCGAACCTGGGGGGGGGGCACAGGGTGGGGGGTCAGTCAGGGAATTATGGAATCACAGAATTGTGGAATCACAGGATCATGGAATCACAGGATCAGCCAGGCTGGAAAACCCCCTGAGCTCATCCAGCCCAGCCCTCGCTCCAACCCAGCCCGTGGCACTGAGGCCACATCCAGTGCCACCCTCAGCACCTCCAGGGAATGCAGGGGGTGACTCCACTCCCTGCCTGGGCAGCCCCATCCCAGGCCCTGATCCCCCTCTCTGGGAAGAATTCCTTCCTGATATCCCACCCAAACCTCCCCTGGCACAGCTGGAGACCCTCCTGTCCTATGCTGGGAGCAGAGCCCAAACCCCCCCAGCTCCCTCAGCCTCTCCCCACGGGAATTGTGCTCCAGACCCTTCCCCAGCCTCCCTGCTCTTCTCTGCCCCTGCTGCAGCCCCCCCAGAGCCCCCTCCCCACCCCCAGGACCTGTGGGGGTTCTCCTCGTTGCCTTTGTCCCCCTTGTGCTTCACCATCTTGTAGTGGCCGATGGAGATGGGGGGGCGGGAGATCTTCATCCCGGCCAGGCGCACCCTGGGGGGGGACACGAGGTCAGGGGGGGACAGGGACACCCCCCTGGGAGGGGACATGGGCTCAGGGGGGGACAGGGACACCCCTGGAGGGACATGGGCTCAGGGGGACAGGGACACCCCCCTGGGGGGACACGGGGTCAGGGGGGGACAGGGACACCCCCCTGGTGGGGACAGGGCATGGGGACAGGGACACGCCCCTGGGGAGGGACGGGGGGTCACGGGGGGGGACACAGGTAACAGGGACACCCCCCCAGCCCCAGGGAGGGGACAGTGGGACCTTCCCTCCCCCTCCTCCACCCCAGGGAGGGGACAGCAGCCCCCCCCCCGTGTCCCCACCTGGTGGCAATGTCGTCGTCCTCGCCGCCCCAGCCCCAGTACTCGTTGGGGAACCCGTTGATCTTCATGTACTGGTCGGGGGTCAGGGCCGAGACCCCCCCGAAATACTGGGGGTACGGCAGGCTGGGGGAGGGGGGGACACTCAGCCGCTGTCCCCCCACCCCAGGGACCCCCAAACCCCCCACATTGAGCAGCTCCACCCGGTCCAGGTGAAATTCCTGCCCGGAGAGGGTGGGAAAAGGGGGTCTGGAGGCACTGGGGACCCCCCAAAACCCCGTGACCCACCTGTACCCGAACTTGTTCATGGCCACAGAGACGTGCTTGGGGTTCCAGGGGTCGCAGGTGTACAGGTTGTGGTCGTTCTCGGGGATCAGGTCCACGTCGTGCAGGAAGAGGCAGTCCCAGTCCTCGTCCTTCAGGGCCTCCTTCACCCCCACGTTCAGCAGCTTGGCCCGGTTGAACGTGGAGTTCCCGGCCTGGAGAGGGGGGAAAAGGGGGATGGAAGAGCTGGGGACCCACAACCCTCCCGAGGGGACCCTCCAAATCTCCCTGACCCCTAAAACCCCCCCCTTCACCCCCACATCGTTCATCTCCACCCCATCGCACGCCCAACCCCTAGCACGGGGTGGGGGGTGGGGGGGTGAAAAGGAGGGTCTGGGACCCCCCAAATCCCCCCCAGCCCCCCCCTCCCGGACCTGGTGCACGACGTAGATGCCGTAGTGGAGCTGCTGGCGCTGCAGGAAGGGGTGCAGGTAGTAGAGCAGGTGGCCCAGGTGGCTCTCGCGGTTGCGGTGCGGGACAATGACGGCCGTGCGGGACCGCGCCTCGCACAGCGGGGGTCGGTACCGCCCCCCCGGCCCCACCCCCGGGTTCTTCAGCCGGATCTGCTCCAGCGACGGCACCCGCGAGAACGTCACGGTCAGGGGACCCACTGCGGGGGAGGGGACAGCGGGGGTTGGGATGGGTGGGGTGTCCCCACCCCCCATCTCAAAGGGGAGGCTTTGTCCCCACCTTACCCCAAATTGGGGTGTGATCCCCCCCCAGTCCCGAATCAGGGGAGCCCCGGGATTGTCCCCCCACCACAGTCCCAAACCGGGGGGGGTCCTGGGGGTTGTGTCCCCCCCATCCCAAAATGGGACCCTCAGGGTTTGTGTGTCCCCCCCCTCCAATCCCAAACCAGGGTGGGGAGGCTCTGGGAGTTTGTCCCCCCCATCCCAATCCTCCCCCAAACCCCCCATTTCCCTCCTCAGAGATCTCCCAAACCCCTCCCAACCCCCCATTTGCCCCCGTTCCCCTCACCGAGGAAGGGCGATCTCTCCGGGCAGAAGGGGAGGGGTCTGGCGGGGTCTGAGGGCGGGGGCCGGGGGGGCAGGAGGCGGCTCAGGTTCTCGTACACGTCGTGGGTGCGGGAGTAGTCGAAGGTGGGCCCGGCCCCGCGGCCGAAGAGCGCCGTGAGGTTGCGGAACCCGCCGAGCGAGAAGTAGGCGACGAAGGCGAACTGGCAGCCGACCAGCAGCGCCAGCGAGCACGGCCGCTCCAGCAGCCGCCGCAGCATCGCGGGGGCTTCACCGGCACGGGGCGGCGGCGCCGGGCCGGGATGAACGGGCTGCGGGGAGCATCGCGGGGGCAGCGCGGGGCAGCGCCGGGCACAGCGGCGGCATGGCGGGGCTGAGGGAGGGGACAGGGGAGGGGGGAGCCGGGATCAGACACCGCCCGGATCACCGGGAGCGATCCCAGCTCGGACACCGCCGGTGCTCCCGGTAACGGCACCGCCCGCCCCCCGGTAACGGCACCGCCCGCCCCCGGTCCCGCCAGGCCCCGGCTCAGCCCCTCGATCCCGGTCCCGGATACGGTCCCGGCCCACCCCCGCTCAGCCCCCAGTCCCGGTCGTCCCACCCTTGTCCCGTTCCAGCCCCGCGCTCCCGCTCCCGGTCCGTGCCTGGGCCCGGCTCAGCCCCTCCCGGCCGCCGCCATCTTGGAGCGGAGGGCGCGGTGTGATGACGTCACAGGGCGGGCGCGCGGCGGGGTCAGGGCCGGGCCGTACCGGGGTGGGGGAAGGGGCAAAAACGGGCCCGGGGGGCACCGGGGGGTCCTTCGGGGGGCCGGGAGGGCCGCGGGGAGCGCGGAGGACCCCCGGGCGTGGCGCGGGGTCCCGGTGAGACCCGGGAGAGCCTCTGGAGGCGACGAGAGGCGTGGTCACTCACACAGGGGCGTGGCCACAGCAAGAGCCGTTGCCGCGGCAACCGAGCTGGCCCCGCCCTTTTTTTGAGACGTCACGGGAGGGGCGCGCTGTGATTGGGCCCGAGGCCAGAAACGGCGCGTGGAGGGCGGGGCCAGCGCACGTGCGCCCCCAAAATATCCCCCTGAAACACGCGTGTGTCCCACCCCCCCAAATCGAGGGGGGATCAGTGGACACTCAAACTGATGGGGATCAATGAACACCCAAATTGAGGAGTGATCAATAAACACCCACACCGAGGAGTGACAGCTGTCCCCATGTCCCCTGTGTCCCCATCCCCAGGTGACGCTCAGGTGCCATCAGCCACTGTTGCTTTATTGCCCTCAGCAGCACAAGCACTGTGGGTGGAGGTAGCCAGTCCCTGTTCCCATCCCTGTCCCAGTCCCTGTCCCCATCCCTGTCCCTGTCCCTGTCCCTGTCCCATCCCCTCAGGGTCTCTTCACGGTGCTCTCGATGAACGACTCCAGCACGAAGATGGTCTCATCCACCTGGTTCTCGCTGGCGTCGATCCTGGAGGCAGACATTGAGGGGCAGCCCCTGGGGGGTCCCCACCCCCGGGGCCCCTCCCTGTCCCCCTCCCCGAGCCCCCCTCACTTGTTGACGCTGCGCTTGAGGCTCTCCAGCTGCTGCCTCTCGGGGCCGGTGATCATCTCCTCCACCTCGCGCAGCTGCGCCGCCTCGGCACCCGTGGCCTGCATGGAGGCCAGGATGGCCTCCACCCGCTGGGACTTCTCCAGGAGCCTCCTGCCAGGGGAAGGGGGACAGGGACACGTGGGCGTGGCGCTGGTGGCCCCAGACCCCCCCCAGATCCCCCCCTGGCCCCGCTGAGCTCACTTGTTCTCCCGCGTCTCGTGCTGCCGGCGCTCCATCAGGTTGGCGACGCTCTGGGGGGGCAGACGAGGGGGTTGGGAGGCGTGGGGACACCTGGGGACGGTGGCACCGGGAAGGAGGGGGCTGGGACAGCCGGATTCCCCGGGAATTCCCGCACGGATAGGCCGGGATGGCCGAGGCCCAGGCCCCTGGGGGCTCACCTTGTAGCACCTGTGCAGCAGCATCCGAGTGGCCGCCGCCACGTTCACCGTGTACAGGTAGAAGGTGCGGGACGGGGCGTGGTCCGGGGTCTTGGGAATCTCCTGTGGGAGGGAGAGGGGTGGATGTGGCAGGGACCCCTCCCCAGAGCTGTCCCTGCTGGGATCCCCCCTTCCCAGAGTGTTCCCCGTGCCGGATCCCTGGAAGCGCATGGAAACCCCCCAGGGGGGATCCTCTGGGATTCCCGGCACTCCCTCACCTGCAGGGACACCAGGTTCTCCGAGAGCATCCTGTAGAGCATGTCCTTGGCCTCCTTGGCCGGGATCATGGCGAAATCCTCCACCTGCTTCTGCTCCAGGTGCTTCTTGCGCAGGAGCAGGCGGAATATCCGGGCGCAGCGGGAGCCGAACCTGCGCGGGAAGGGGCGGGATGAGGGAAAAGGGGGGTCCTGGAGCAGCCCTGGGGGGCTCCCAGGTCCCCCCCTGTCACCTCTCCTCCACGATGGACTCCAGCGTGGCCGTGGCCAGGGACGCCAGGGCCTTGTGCAGGTCTGCAGGGGGGATGAGGTCAAGGAGAATTCCAGAGGTTGGGAATGCTGCGGGCCTGGGAACAGCAATTCCATCCCCCCTCAAAGGATACTGACGGTGTAGGTGCCCCCACCGCTGTCCCCCGACTTCCCCACGAATTCCAGCTGCAGGGAGAGACAACAGGAAACACTTCAGGACATCCCCAAAGGAGGAAAATAATCCCTGATAAATAACCTCAATACCTGCTCAATGCCTTTGATATCTGTTCAATAACTTCAGTATTTGTTAAATCACTTCAGTATCTCTTAACTACCTTGAATATCTCTTAAATATCTTCAGTATTTTTAAGTACCTTCAATATCTGATAACTATCTCCAATATCTTTTGAGTAACTTTAGTGCTTGATAAATAATTTCAGTATCTGATCAAAAAATTTCCAGAAAAAACCCGTTAACTCTGAGTAAAACCCGCTTTCCCCTGGGACAGCCAGAGCAAATTCCATGGAAGCTGGGAAATTCCAGAGGCTGGAAAAGCCCCGGAGTGCCCAGAGTGCCATTCACCCACCGGATCATCGGCCAGGAGCGCCAGGTACTGGTCCAGCACCTGCTTCCCGATGTTGTAGCCGGCAGGAAGAGCCCGGAATATCTGCGTGGGGGGGGAAAAGCAGGGAATGTCAGAGGGATTCCCAAGGGATTCCCAGCTTGCCAAGGGCGTTCCCAAGGGACCCACCTCGTTGGAGGAGAGGGGCTGGGTGTGGGAGGCGCCCGAGGCCGTGGTCACCTCGCTCATGCGCAGCATCGTCCGCACCACCTCGCTGCTGGTCTGGGGGGGGAAAACCGGGATTCAGGGCAGGGAAAAGGCTGGATCCGGAGCGGGAATGGATGAGGGGGAGGCTCCAGACCTGGTCCATGCGGCTGCCCACGGCGCTGACCACAGCCTGGTCACGGAAGTGCTGGTGGAAGCGCTCCAGGTTCACCTGCCAGTAAATGCCGTCGTCCGGCGGGGGCTGAGAGGGGGGGAGAGAAAAGGGGATAAAAATGAGGGAAAAGGGGGCAGGAAAACCGAGGGGAAAATGAGGAACAGGAGCCACAAAACTCCGGGAAATGGAAGGCAGAAATAAGGGAAAAAGAGACGGAGAAATGAGGGAAACGAGGCACGAAAAGAATGAGGGAGAGGAGCCACAGAAGTGAGGACGAGGAGGCAAGAAAAGTGGGGAGGAGGAACCACCACAAAAGATGAGGAGGAGGCACCAGAAAAACGAGGAAAAGGAACCACAAAAAACAAGGAAAAGGCCTCACAACCCCCCCATGGTTTCTCCAGCTCAGGAACACGCCCATCCCACCCTTCCCAGACCCAGAGTCCTGGCATTGCCGGTACCTCCGAGCTTCCTCCCTCCTCCTGCCTCTGCCTCTTGGCCTTGCGCTGCCCGTCCTCCTCCTCCTCCTCGTCGCACGAGCGGCTCCTCTTCCCTTTCCCTGCCGGCCCAAAAGTGGCGTCTCCCGGGGCCGTGCGGCCTCCCCGGGCCCCCCCGAATCCCGGGAATGCCCTCACCGGCCAGGCTGAGGCGGGGCACGGCGTACATGTCCCTGTCGGCGACGGCCAGGGCGGGCGCGGGGGGCTGTGGTGCCCCCCCCTCAGCGCCCGGGGGGCTCTCGGGGACCATGGGGCACCTCCGGATGAAGTGGGTGTCTGCCAGGCGGGCGAACGTGCTGCACACCTCGGAGTAATCCATGCATTTCCCGTCTAGGAGGGAAGGGGAGCCGCGGGAGGACGCCCTGCAGACCCTCCTGGGGTCGAACTCCCAAAGCTCGCCCCTGTTTTTTTTTCCACCCCCTCCCTCCCTCGCACCTTCCATGGTGTCGGTGAGGCGGTCGGCCACCCTGGCGACGGCGCAGCTCATGGCCAGGTGGCCGTGGAGCAGCAGCTCCTCCACCAGCAGCTCCCCGGGGTCCCCGTAGAGCGTCTTGGCCGTGTAGATGTAGCGGGGGTAGCGCAGGATCCGCAGGATGCGCCGGCCCCGCGCCTCGTACTCCACCGGCCCGCGGGGCTGCGCCTCGAAGCGCGCCAGGTCGTGCTGGAGCAGCACACACAGCGCCTTCTTCACCTGCGGGGGGCACGGGGAAGGCTGGGACCCCGCTCTGCCACCCCCCTTTTCCTCCTTTGTCCTCCTCCACCCATCCAGTCCTGTCCCTGGAATTTTGTGCTCCCCACACAGCACCAGTTTCCCTCCTCCTTCCTCAAGGTTTTCCAGGCACACACGAACCTCCCCACTCCTGATTTATCCCGTTAGAATTTCCTCGCCTGCTCCACGTTTTCCCGCCGGTTTGTCCCTCTGCCCTCACCCACCCAGCCCGTACCTGACCCGGGAGCAGCCCCGTGTCCCCCACCAGGAGCCGCAGCGGCCGCGGGCCCGTCCGGAGCAGCGAAGTCCCGACTTTCTCCACGATCTCCCCGAAGTGCTCCTGGAGCAGCAGGGAGCAGAGCCGCAGCTCCGCCTGCGTCATCCCGGCGGCTCTCGGGGATCCCGGGGAGCGTGGCTGGGGGAAGAAGAGGGGGGACAGATGTTGACCCCCGTCCCCTCCTGGGGCGAGTCACAGGGATCCCGGCGCCCCCTCCCGCCCCTCTCCAGGTGGGATCTCCCCTCCTCCCCCCCTCAGGGGTCCCGCGCCCTCCCCGCTCTCACCACCAGGCCCGGCCTAGGCCGCAAACGCCGCCATGGCAACGGCAACTTCCGCTTCCGCCACTTCCGCTTCCGCCGCTCCCGCCGCTTCCGCCGCCGCCCGCCCTCGTTGGGAGGACCCTCCACCGGGGGGCGCCCTGCGCGCTCCCCACAGCCGCGGGGCCGCTCTGTCCTCCCGCCCTCGCTCTCCGCTGCGGGCGCGGAGCAGACGAGTGGAGCGGAAGTGCCGGGCCGCTCTGGCCCGCGCTCGGTGCCCGCCCCCCCCCTCCCGGAGGAGTGACGGCGGGCCAAGATGGCGGAGGCGGCGGCGGTGCCGCAGCACCGGTTCTTCTGCCACAGCTGCAAGGGCGAGGTCAGCCCCAAGCTGCCGGTGAGCCCCGGGCGGGAGGGGGGCTCGGGGGAAGCTCCGAGCTGCCGGTGAGCCCCGGGCCGGGCTGGGTGGGACGGTCCGGCAGGCGGGGGTGACCCCCCCAGTCCCTCCCTGAGCCCTCAGAGGAAGGGGTGACCCCCCCCTCATCCCCTCAGGGGTGAGATCCCCCCAAATCCCTGCGGGAAGGGGTGATCCCCCTCCCGATCCCCGACCCTTCGGTGCCTCCAGCCCTCCCACATCCCTTTAGGGCCCCCCCAGCCCAGAGGGGTCTCCCCATCCTGTCCCCTCCCCGCCCTGGGACCTCCCAAAACCTCCCGACCCTTCAGGGACGGCGCGACCCCAAAATTCCCCCACGGAACAGGATTGGCGACCCCAAAATCCCCCTTTCCCCCACCCCCAATCCCCCAAGTCTGAGGACTGAAATTTGGGATAATCCCGTTCCCTGAGCATTCCCCCCATCCTGGCAGGGAAAAGCAGGGAGCTGATCCCAGGGATCTGCGGGATCCCACGCACTCTCTGTTCCCCTTTTATCTCCCCCTTTTCTCCCTCCCAAATTCGTCCCAAATGCCATTTTTATCTCCCTCCACCTCCTGGGTGGGAGGGCTGAGAATTCCCAGATGGATTCCAACAGTGTTGGGGAGGGGGTGATGGAAAAAACATTCCAAAGCTTCCAGGGCTGCATTGGCATTCTGGGATTAGGAGGGAAAAAAAGGGAAAGGGAAAGAGATTTTTGGGCAAGGAAAAGGCTGGGAAGGAGGGGACGGAGTCTGGGAAGAGCCAAACGTTTGGATAGCCTGGAATGACGTGGAATGGTCAGAATTGGAGGAGTGAGGGGAATAACACTGGATTGAGGTGGGATGGGGGAATTGGGGTGGGATAGTTTGGAATTGAGGTGGGATAGTTGGGAATTGAGGTTGGATGGTCTGGAATTGAGGTGGGATGGTTTGGAATGAGGGGGGATGGTTTGGAATGAGATGGGATGGTTTGGAATTGAGGTGGGATGGTCTGGAGTTGAGGGGGATGGTGGGAATTGAGGAGGGATAGTTTGGAATGAGGTGGGACAGTTTGGAACTGAGGTGGAATGGTTTGGAATGAGGTGGGATAGTTGGGAATTGAGGGGGGATGGTTTGGAATTGAGGGGGGATGGTTTGGAATTGAGGAGGGATAGTTTGGAATGAGGTGGGATAGTTTGGAATTGAGGTGGGATGGTTTGGAATTGAGGTGGGATGGTTTGGAATGAGGGGGGATAGTTTGGAATCAGGTGGGATAGTTGGGAATTGAGATGGGATAGTTGGGAATTGAGGTGGGGATGGTTTGGAATTGAGGAGGGATGGTCTGGAATGAGGTGGGATGGTTTGGAATGAGGAGAAATAGTTTGGAATGAGGTGGGATGGTCTGGAATTGAGATGGGATAGTTGGGAATTGAGGGGGGATAGTTTGGAATCAGGTGGGATGGTTTGGAATTGAGGAGGGATAGTTTGAAATTGAGGTGGGATGGTTGGAATTGAGGAGGGATAGTTTGGAACGAGGAGCTTTGCCCAGGATAAAGTTGTGGAACTGAGGCTGTCTGTGGGACTGGTCCTGGGCATTCCCAAGGGAACAGGGATCCCCTGGGATGGGGATCCAGGGGTGAGCAGGCCCTGGGGGTGGGAAGGTGGGAGCTGGAGCGTCCTGGGAGCAGCAGAAGCCGCGGGTGAAGCCGGAGCTGCCGGGTTGGGTTACCGGGAGGTGTCACCTGGCCCGGCCCCGGAATCCGATCCCGCTGGGAATCCACGGGAAGGGTTTGGATGGAGATCCCACAGAGCTGCCAACCCACAGGGCTGGGGCAGAACTCTGGGAATGAGAGCAGGGAAGGCTTTTCCTCCCCCAGATCCCTGGGGATTGGGATCGGGAATCTCCCTGGCAGGGCTGGTTTTCCCCTGGGAGATCCCAGTGTTCCCAGGCTGATCCCAGCTCATCCCTGTGCCCCCAGGAATACACCTGTCCCCGCTGCGAGTCCGGGTTCATCGAGGAAGTCACTGAGGATTCCAGGTACGGCAGAATCCCGGGATGTCCCGGGATGGGCACCTTTTCACTTGTATTTTTTTCCCCCTTTTATTTTTTTTTTTAACATTTTATTGGAGTTTTTTGACCTTTTTTTTTACTTTTTGACCTTATTTTGCTTTTTTTTTAGTTTTTGTATTTTTTTACCACTTCTCGTGGTTTTTTTATCTTTCCTTGTATTTTTCAACCTCTTCTTATATTTTCAACCTTTTTTTGTATTTTTAGCATTTTTCTATATTTTCCAACCTTTTCATGTAGTTTTTCAGGGATTTTTTTTTTTGAGGGGGAGGGGGAATTCCAGGAAACAAAACAAGGATTTGGGAGCACAGGAGGGAATTTTAGGATCCCAGAGGGGATTTTGGGAAGGGGCCCTGCCCTGACTCTCCCTCTTTTCCCAGTTTTTTCGACGGCAGCTCCCTGGACGGCAGCCCCTCCTCGCAGTTCGCAGAGGTGAGTCCTGCCCTTCCCCCCACCCAAAATCCAGAGGCTTTTCCCGAGGTGTCTTCCCTGGCAGCTCCTTCTCCTGGGATTTCACCGCCCCTCCTTCCCTCGCAGCTCTGGGACCACCTGGACCACACGATGTTCTTCCCGGATTTCCGGCCCTTCCTGGACGCCGAGGGCCGGGACGCCGACAGGGCCCCCCCGGGCGAGCTCTGGGGGTCCGGCCGCCCCCCCCGGCTGCCCACGGGCCGCAGGTACCGAGCCCGGGGCAGCTCCCGCCCGGACCGCTCGCCCGCCATCGAGGGGTGAGTGCGCGCTCCGGGAAAAACGGGATTTGGGAAGGGATCTGGGGGGAAATAACGGGATCCCAGAGCTTCCCGTCAGCTCCCCCGGCACAATTCCCAGGGGATTTCCTTCCCAGCGCCGGGATGAGCGCCTGGATTCCTTGGGTTGTTTTTCCAGTGGTTTTTTCCCCCTGGTTTTCCCTGTCCCTTTTTTTTTTTTTCCCCTTTTTCCCCTTCCTTTGGAACCCGAGGCATTCCCAGTCCCCCCACCCTGGGATGAGCTCTCTTCCCTAAATCCCTCCTGCTGTTCCTCTGTTACAGGGGCTTTATCCAGAGATTTTCCTCCAGCCACACATCCACAGGGGCAGGAATTCCTCTTTTTCTCCTGCCCATCTTTTCTCCCACCTTTCATTCCTAACCCACTCACCCCTTTCCCCCCTTCCCTCTCCCTCCTGTGCTTTCCCAGGATAATCCAGCAGATCTTCGCGGGGTTTTTCGCCAACTCGGCGGTGCCCGGCTCGCAGCACCCCTTCTCCTGGTGAGTAAACCCCCCCTTGGCCGGGCGTGGCCGGCTCCGGGAGGAGGTTTGGGATGGGATGTGGGGTTGGAATTCCCGGGCTGTGCCGCCGGCAGGAGCGGGATGCTGCACTCCAACCCCGGCGACTACGCGTGGGGACAGAGCGGCCTGGACGCCATCGTCACCCAGGTGAGGGGCCCCTCTGCCAGCTGGGGGGGGGATCCAGGGGGGATCCCTGCTCCTGAGCCTGGAATTCCCATCCCTCACAGCTCCTGGGGCAGCTGGAGAACACGGGGCCGCCGCCGGCCGACAAGGAGAGGATCTCGTCGCTGCCCACGGTGCCGGTGACGCAGGAACAAGTTGGTGGGTCCCTCCACATCCCATTCCCGCTTTTCCCCCCGCTCTGGAAGCTGCCACATCCCGAGTTTTCCCACTGCCATAGCCAGGAATCACTCAGCTCCTCCGGAGCGCTTCGGGAATCCTGGAAAACGCTTTTCCTACCCCCCCCGGGGTGCCTTTTCCCATCCCAAATCCCTGCTTGTACTCTCCCCCAACATATTCCAGCCTGGAAATGCCACGGAAAACTCAGCCAGCAGGGAGCTGGGGGTGCCTGGGAGCAAATCCTGGCTTTGCAATTCGAAACCTCGGGAATTTTTTCCCTCCCCACCCCACCCCGTCCCAACCGCTCCGCTGCCGGAATCCGATCCCTCCATTATGGTTAAACCGGGCGATCCCACACGGGATATTTTTATCCCGTGGGTTGTTTTGTTTTTTTTCCACACCCCTTCTCCTGGGAATCCAAAGAGGAGCAGCTGGAATTCCGCTCTGGAGCCCTGATTCCCTGTTTTCCCTGCAGACACGGGGCTGGAATGCCCGGTGTGCAAGGAGGACTATTCGGTGGCCGAGCAGGTCCGGCAGCTCCCCTGCAACCACGTCTTCCACAGCAGCTGCATCGTGCCCTGGCTGGAGCTGGTGAGAGCTGGGGGGGCTCAACCTGGGCAGGGGGGGCTCGGGGGGCACCTCCCCACTCTCCACAACCCCCTGGGATGGGGCTGCCCAGGCAGGGAGTGGAGTCACCCCCTGCATTCCCTGGAGGTGCTGGGGGTGTCACTGGATGTGGCCTCAGTGCCATGGGCTGGGTTGGAGCCAGGGCTGGGCTGGATGAGCTCAGGGGGCTTTTCCAGCCCCGGCTGAGCCCGTGATTCCATGATTCTATAATTCCCTGGTTTTCTAACTCCACAATTCCCCGCAGCACGACACGTGTCCCGTCTGCAGGAAGAGCCTCAAGGGGGAAGATTCCACCCGGCAAACGCCCAACCCCGACGCTTCCGACAGCCCCGTGCAGGAGCCATGGACTTTCTGACCCCTCTCCCGGAAGGTTCTGGAGCATTCCAGAGGTCTCCCAAGGCCGGAGCAGCCCCCGTTCCGGGCGTACGTTGTCCGAGAATTCCGAGAAACCCTTCCCCCCCCACCCCGAGTAGCGGGAATGAGGGGGGGCCCCACCCCTTTGGGAATTCTCCCGGGAATTCGTCCTCCCGCTCCCCGGAGCCGCCTCCTTCCTCCTCAGCTTGGGGGGGTTTCAGGGAGCGGATTCTGGAAGGAGGATGGGATAGAGGGGTTTTTGGGAAGGGGGGGGGAGGATCTCCCCGCGCTCCGGGAAGCTGGAATTGTCGGGCAGGAGGGATTTGATTGCCCCGCTCGGGGATGGAACCCTCGGGGTCTCGAAAATCGTGGAGGCAGGAGAGGGTCTGGACCCTCAGGAACCACCCCCCTCTCCCCACCCTGGGGCTCTGGGAATGCTCTGGGAACGCTCTGGGATCAGGAATTGCTCCGAGCAGGATTTTGGCAGCTCCAGAATCCTGGACTGGTTGTTTTTTTGGGTTTTTTTTGTTTTGTTTTTTGGGGGCAGGGGGAGGAGATGGGGTTGTTTTGGGTTTTTCCAACCCCTTTTTTTTTTTCCACGTTGTGCCTGTGGCCCCAGGTGTGTCCAAACCTCCCCCCTCCTCGCCCCGAGTCATTCCAGGCGGGAATTATGGACCACGTTGCTCATCCCTTGGGAATTTCCCCCCTTTCCCCCCCGTAACTTAAGGAAAATGTTTATTTTTGCTGATTCTTTGGTTGTTTTGAGGGAGGGTTCCCCCTGCCCCCATTTCTGTGGAGTTTCATTCAGGTCTTTAATCCTTGGAATTATCCTCGGACTCCTGGAATCCGCTGACCCCTCCCCTGGGAAGAGGGTGGGACATTCCCAAACCCCTTGGGGTTGGTTGGTGGCTCCGTGTCCACGTGGATTTAATTCCCCCGTTTCTTTGCTCTTCCGTCCAATAAAGGCCTTTCTCAAGGAATTCCCATTCCCAAGGGATCCTTGGAGCTGGAAAAGGGTGGGAGGGGGAGTAGGAGCTCAGGAAAGGCTTTTTGGGGAAGGAAACCCCCGATTTGGGGAGTGATCCTGCAGGAGTTGGGAATGGTGTCCCTGCTCCTCTGGGAGCTGTTCCTGGGGATCCACAGGGATTGGGAAAATCCAGACAGATCCTGGGTTCATCCCAGTGCTTTTCCAGGGTGTTATCCAGCGTGTCCCAATTCCCCGATTCAAATCCCTTCCCCCCGTGTGGCATTTGGGGTCATTCCAGAGGTTTTTTCCTGGGCACACACAGGGATGTGGGATCCGTCGGGACCACGGGGCTGGAATTTTATTGCTGGAGCTGCTCCCGCCCGTCCATCCCGACTCCTTCCCTGCCTCTCCCTCCTCCACGCTCCGGCCTCGGCTGCTCAACCCCCGCCAGCCCAATCCTGCTGGGATGGAATTCCCAACACCCCCCACCCCCGGGATGGCCCTGGACACATCCTGGGAATGTCCTGAAGGATCGGGAAGGGCCTCAGTGCTGCTGCTGCTGCTGCTGCTCCTCCTCCTCTTCCTGGGGCGGCTTCGGGCGGGAGAAGAATCCCAGCTGGGGGAGGGAGGGGGACAGGATGGATTGGGGGGGGTGGGAAGAACCCCCTCGTGGCGAGGGGGATCATTGGACCCCCCCAGGGGACACTGGGACCCTCCACAAGGTGACAGTGACACCGTAGCTGACACTGTGATCCCCCAAGGTGACACTGTGACTCCTCCCAAGGTGACACTGTGATCCCCTCAGGTGACACTGTGACCCCCCCAAAGGTGACACTGTGATCCCCCCAAGGTGACACCATGACCCCCCCAGGTCACACTGTGACTCCTCCCAAGGTGACACTGTGACCTCCCAAAGGTGTCCCCCAATGACACCAAGACCCCCCAGGTGACCTCCCTCACCCAGGTGACAGTGACCCCCAGGTGAGCCCCCTCACCCAGGTGACACCGTGACCCCCAGGTGACAGTGACCCCCAGGTGACACTGTAAACCCCCAGGTGACCCTGTGCCCCCTCAGATGATAGTGACCCCCAAGATGACAGTGACCCCCAGCTGAACCCCCGTCACCCAGGTGACACCGTGACCCCCAGGTGACAGTGACCCCCCAGGTGACCCTGTGCCCCCATGTGAACCCCTCACCCAGGTGACACAGTGACCCCCAGGTGACAGTGTAACCCCCAGGTGACACAGTGACCCCCAGGTGAACCCCCTCACCCAGGTGACACCAGTGCCCCCCAGGTGACCAGTGACCCCCAGGTGACACAGTGACCCCCCCAGGTGACACTGTGACCCCCCCAGGTGCCCCTGTGCCCCCTCACCCTCCAGAGGCCGAGGCTGAGCAGCGCCAGCAGGAGGAGCCCCCCCAGGGCGCTGCCCCCCAGGATCCAGAGGGACACGGGCACCCTCCGGCCCTGCAGCACCTCCAGCGCCAGCTGTGGGAAAACACGGATTGCAGGGGCAGGAAAACCGGGATTGGGGGGGAAATGGGAATTTTGGGTGGAGGGGAGGAGGAGGAGGGGGTGGGTCCTGTCCTACCTCCCTGCGCTGCGCCCCCTCCCCCAGCACCAAGAGCCCCCCCGAGACCCCCAGCCAGGCACTGCCCACGATCCGCACGCTCCGGAATTTCGCCTGCAGGGGAGAAAACGGGGGTTGGGGATGATCCCCCAGGATCCTCCCTGGAGGGGGTCCCCAAATAATCCCCCCAAACCCCCCCCATCTTGGCTCACCCCGCTGAAGAAGCCGTTGTGGAGGGTGCGGAGCAGGCGCACGGAGACCCCCCCGCCCCTGTGCAGCCCCCCGAGATGGCAGCTCAGCTCCTGGCACCACGTGTTGGAGCAGTCCTGGGGAGGAGCAGAAAATTAGGGGGGAAGTGGTGGGAACCCCCCCAAAAAAATCCCTGCTTTGAGGGGGGGACACGGAGCCCACCAGCCTGTCCACACGCAGCAGATCTTCGGGCGGCACCGGCACCACCCGGGTCCCCTCGGGGGGAGGTCGCAGCGTGCAGGTGGCCTGGGAGGGACAGAGGGAGGGTCAGAAGGAGAGGGGAGGGTGAAAAACCCCCTGTAGGCCCCCCTAAACCCCCCCATCAGCCTCACGTTGTCCTCGGGCAGCACACGGGTGACAGACAGGATGGGTGCCCGGCCGTGCCCCAGCGCGGGCAGCGCCACGTGCAGGGTGAGGTTCTGCACGGGGTAACACCCCAAATTCTGCACCTGGAGTGGGGAGGGGGCACACAAGATGAGACAGGACCCCACCCCCAAGGACTCCACCCACCCCATCCAGCCACCCCTCACCTTGACCGTGGTGGTGAACTCGGGGCCGGGGCGAAGGTGCCGAGGGGATGGACCTCGTAGCGGTGCAGGTTGGTGTCACTGCCACCAGTCAGGGGAGGGGGACACGGGGGAGGGGGGGTCACACCGAGGGGGTGTCCCCTGTGACCTCAGCCTGCTCCTCACACACTCCCCACAGACCCACCTGGACAGGAACAGGTCGGGCTCGTAGCGGATGGGGATGGAGAGCTGGGCCAGGTTGTCCTCTGGTGTGGCCTCGGTGCTGTCACTGCAGGGGGAAGGACACACACACAGTTGGGAGGACCCCAGACCCCCCTAGGCCCCCTCTGGGGGTGCAGCCAAACCCCTCCCCAACTCCCAACCCCTCCTCTCCTACCTGGTGGCCTCGAGCGTGACCTCGGCGCGGTCCAGGAGGACGGAGCAGCTGAACTCCAGCTCCAGGGTGAAGGACACCTGGGGAGGGAGGGGGGCTCAGGGGGTTGGGATGGGGGTTTGGGGTGCCTCAGGGGATAAGGGGGGGTGTTCTGGGGGTCCTACCTTGGCCTGCGAGCGGAACACGGGGTACCCGACGCTGCAGCGCCGCCGGTGCCCCCCCAGCGCCGAGCACTCCAACTTCACCGAGCCGGGATCCTGCCGGGATTTGGGGGACACGGGAAGGGGGGAGGGGGGCGATGGACCCCCCCCAGAGGGGATTTTGGGGGGATACCAGTGTGTGTGGCAGGTTACCACAACGGACACAATGGATCCCCCCTCCCCGCCAGATCCCACAATGATCCCCCTTCCCCATCTTTGTCCTGGTGGGACCGGGGAGTTTTTGGGGGGATGGGGGGTGTCTGCCCGGGGATTTGGGCCCCCCCGGGGCCGTACCTGGAGCACGAGGCTGGAGAAGTGCAGGTTCCCGGGCAGCTGCAGCCACAGGCTGGCGTTGTAGGCGTTCTCCTCCCGGTTCTCCAGCTCCACCCGCACCAGCATCCGCCTCCGGCCCTTCCGCAGGACGTGGGGGCTCTGCCTGCCATCCGTGGGGTCACAGGGGATCCCAGGGATGCCCACGGGTGGGGGGGGGACACACTGGGGCAGGGGGGGACAGCAGGGGGCACCTGGAGCCCGCGATGTCGGCCGTGGCGCGGAGCACCAGGTCGGTGACGCACTCGTCGTCCTCCCCACAGTCCTTGAAAAACGGGATCTGCCGGGAGCTGGGCGTGATCCCAACGTCCTGGGGAGGATCCCAGGATCGGGTCACCCCCCCTCAGTGCCCCCAGCACCCACCAGTTTGCGGAGGGCGGTGGGAGACGCCTCATCCAGCACCGGCCCCGCGGCTCCGTCCAGGGCCCAGGCCAGGCTGAGGCCGAGGGGCCGCAGATAATCCGAGGTGTCCTGGGGGATCAGAGGATCTCGTCAGCCCCCAGGGATTTCTGGGGGGGAGGAAGAGGGTGGGGAGGGGTCCCAGGGCTGACCAGGACGTGGAAGGGGACGCGGATGCAGCTCTGCCTCCCCAGCTGGAGCTCGAGCCGGCGCTGCAGCAGCCACCGGGAGCCCGAGTCGAAGGCAGCGCGGGATCCCGGGATCTGCTCCTCCAGGGACACGTTGTACCGGAGATCTGCGGGGCAGGGGGGGTCAGGGACAGGGACACACCCCGGGGGGGAGTGGGGGACACCCGGGGATGCTCCAGCAGGACTCCAGGGAAGTCCTGGGATGCACCCCTGGGATGCTCTGGAGGGCTCCAGGGAAGACTGGGATGCTTTCCCTGGGATGACACCATGGGATGCTCTGGAGGGGCTCCAGGGAAGTCCTGGGATGCTCCAGGAATAGCCTGGGATGCTCTGGAGGGGCCTCCAGGGAAGGCTGGGATGCTTTCCCTGGGATGACACCATGGGATGCTCCAGGGATGCTCCAGGGATTCTCCCTGTGACACCCAGGAACGTTCCCAGAATGCTCCCGAGTTCTCCTAGGCCAACCTGGGATGCTCCAGGACTCCCTGAGATGCCACAAGGATGCTCCAGGGGCCTTTGAGATGCTCCAGGGATGCTCCAGTGCCCCCGGGATGCTCCAAGGACTCCTGCAGCCCCCCCGTGCCAGCACTCACCCACATCGGTGTCCCCGGCGCTCCGGGCGCGGCTCCCGGCTCGGAAGCAGATCCGGGCACGAAGGCAAACAGCACCGGAGCCGCCGCGCTGGCAGTTCCTGCGGGTGACACTGATGGCCCCCGGCTCCACCGACACCGCCACGGACACGCGGACGATCCGGCGGGACCTGGGGGACAGGCGGGATGGGGCGGGGACAGGGACAGCGCCCTGCCCGGCCCCCGGGATGCTGCTCCGGGGGGAACGGAGGCACGGGGAGGGGGCCGAGAGAGTCACGGGAGCATCCCAGGGTCTCACGAGGGGACACCGAGCACGGAGTCCCCCCGAATGTCCCTGTCCCTGTCCCCTGCCCCCCCCGGACTCACCGCAGCACCACGGCCGCCCCCTGCGCCCCCACGGCCACGTCCACGAGCCCGTCCCCATCCATGTCCAGCCGCCCGTCCACGCTGATCCCGAAGTACCGGAGGCTCCATCCCAGCGCCGCCGCCTCGATGCGCTGGGAACGAGCGTTGAGATCAGCGCTTTCCCCCCTTCCCAGACCCTCCCAGACCCTCCCAGTCCCTCCCAGCGCCGCCTCACCTGCTTGTACTGGGGTACGAGGGTGCCCGGAGCGCCGTGGAAGATGTAGAGGGCCCCGCGGTGCCCATCCTCCAGCGGGGCACCCACCGCCACCCCCGCCAGCCCGTCCTGGCTCAGGTCGGGCACCGCGCCCAGGGCGGAGCCGAACCGCGAGTCCTGCGGCCTCGCCTCGGGGTGCAGAGACCCCGCGGGGCTCAGGCGGCCCTGGGGGGAGCGGGGAGGGACCTCGGTACCCCCCCGGAATCCCACCGTGCTGTCCCCTCCATCCCCTCCAACACCCTCAACCTCTCCATCCCCTCCAACACCCCCAACCTCTCCATCCCCTCCAACACCCCCAACCTCTCCATCCCCTGACCCTGCCCCCTGCACCCCTACAGTGCCTCTGCCTCCTCCTGATCCCCCCTCCCCGTCCCCTGCACTCCCCACAGCCCCCCGGATCCTGCTGTGTCCCCTGATCCCACCACATCCCTCTGATCCCCCTTTCCACCCCTCACCCCCAGCCCCTCCTCTGCCCCACACGGCACAGTTACCCCTCCCACCCGGCCCCCAGCCCCTCCCGAGCCCCCCTCACCTGCCCCAGGCGGTACAGGTAGACCTTCCCCGCCTCCCTGCTCTGGCCCCCCAGGAAGGTGGGGGCTGCCACGAGCAGCAGGTCGGTGGCCCCGTCCCCCTCCAGGTCCAGGGCCAGGACCTCGCTGCCGAAGTAGGAGCCGATCTGGGGGTGCAGAAGGGCTGTGAGGCCGAGGGGGACCCCCAAATCTTACACCCCCCGCAAGGCCCCTCGGTCTCCCCTCACCTGCTCCCCCATCAGCGTCTGGGCCACTGTGACGGTGCCTTGGGGGTCCAGCTGGAAGAGGATGACCTTGCCCTTGTGCTGGAACCGGGGGGCTCCGGCCACGAACAGGCGCTGCCCCCCCGGCAGCCGCAGCGAGGACACTGAGTAACCTGGGGTGGGGAGATGGGGGGCAGTGGGGTCAGCAGGGGGGACAGCCCTGGGCACAGGGGACCACCCCAAACATCCAGGGCGTGGAGCATCCCTGGGTCACAAGCACATCCCGGATCCCCACGAGGATATGGAGCATCCCTGGCTCACCCCCCCAAAATCCCTCTGGATCCCCCATCCCCGGGGAGCCCCCATACCGAGATAGGCCGCGTGGTTCTTCAGCTCCAGCGGGAATTCCGCCTGGAAGGCGTCCCGGGGCGGGACGATGCGGCCGCGCCCGCTCTCCTCCAGCACTCCCCCCTCCCAGTCGTAGGCTCCCACCATTCCAAAGAGGATCCCGTCCTGCGGGGAAGGGAGGGAGCTGTCACCCCAGTGCCCAAAACCACCCCCAGGGTCACCACCCCACCCCAGGACACCCAGCGGGGCCGGGATGGCCTTCCCAGCGGGGTCACCTCGAGCAGGTGGATGGAGAAGCCGATCTGGGACATCTCCAGCTCGAAGGCGCTCTCGTTGTCCTCGCGGGTGCCTGAGGGCGGGAGGAAGGAGATGCTGCTCCTCCAGCCAGGGGACAATTCCAGCCAGAGCTCCCACCCCCTTCCCGGGACGCGGCACCTTCGAGGCTGAAGATGCGATCTCCCAGCGCGTCCACGATGTCGTTGAGGGCGGCCTCGTCGGTGACGTTGAAGAAATACTTCTCGTCGGGGTCGCTGGCGATGAACTTGATCTCCCGGATGAAATCCTCGGGGTCCTGCTGCCGCCGCAGGTAGTGCCCCAGGACCTGGGGGGGAAAGGGCTGGGGGTCAGGGGGACACCCCCACACACGCCGGGGCGGAGAGGGGGCGCGGGGCCGGCGCTCACGGCGATGGCGTAGCGGGTGATGTTGCGCCGGTCACACTCGGCCAGCGCCGCCGGCAGCTCCTCCCCGTCGTGGGACTCCCCGTCCGTCACCACCAGCAGCAGCCGCGCGGCCCCCGGGCGGCCACCCCGCTCGGCGCTGAACGATTCGGTGCTGCCAGGATGGGACGGGATGGGCCCTCAGCACGAGCCCCTCCTCACCCTGCTCCCAGCCCTGACCCCAACCTCAATCCCAACCCTGACCCAGATCCCCATCCTGACCCTGCTCCCAGCCCTGACCCCCACCTCAACCCCAGCCCTGATCCAGATCCCCATCCTGACCCTGACCCCAATTCCAACCCTAATCCAAACCCTGACTCGACCCTAACCCTGGTACTGATTCCAATCTCCATCGCAATCCCAAGACAAATCCTGACTTGCTTCCCAACCCTGTCCCTGATCTCAACCCCAGCCCTGATCCAGATCCCCATCCCGACCCTGACCCCAATCCCAACCCTAATCCAAACCCTGACTCGATCCTAACCCTGGTACCGATTCCAGTCCCCATTCCAACCCCAAATTAACCCTGACCCCGATCGTGACCCCAGTCCTGACCCAAACCCCCATCCCTGTTGTGATGTGAGTGGCGACACCAATCCACCCCCGATCGCAATCCCAACCCTGGCCCCAACCCCAACCTTGACCCCAATCCCAACCCTGACCCCAATCCTGCCCCAATCCCCCCCGTTCCCACCCGGACCCACCATGCCTGCCGGATGGCCATGGCCGTGCGCGTCTCCCTCCCCTCCTGCCGCGTCAGGTTCCGGGCGGCCTCGAGCAGGCTCTGGGCCGTGGGGTGCTGCCCCAGCGCCCACTCCTGCACCACCTCCTCCCCGTACTGCAGCACCCCCACCTGCAACAGGGGGGGTCAGAGCCAGCGGGACCCCCAAATCCACAGGGGACCCCGCCCCAAATTCCTGGGGACCCCCCAAATCCCATAGGACCCCCTGATCCCTGGCAAAGGGAACCCTTGGCACCCCCCAAACAAACCCACCTCCAGCCAGCACCGCCCCAGGGGTGGCATCACCCTGGGGACAATGACGTCACTCTAGGGGTGGCATCACCCCGAGGGTGCCACCACCCCAGGGACAACAAGCATGGACCTGGGGACAATCACCTTGTCCCGGGCATAACAATGCCCTTATAGCCCTTGGGGACACTGTGCCCGCCTTGGGGACAGCCCCGGTGGCCCCCGGTGCCACCCCCTGACCTGAGTCTGCCCGGGGCCGATGAAGAAGCGCCCCAGGATGTTCCCGAGGAATTCCTGCACCTCCTCCCAGGGGTAGATGCTGTTGGAGCCGTCCAGGACCAGGACGATGTCCATGTAGGTGGAGCAGCCTGGAAGGGGACACAGCGACGAGGGAGGGGTGGCACCTCCCAGTCCGTCCCAGCGCGTCCCCCCCCCCTCGCCCCACTCACGCTGTGCCGTGGGCGCCACGGTCCCCACGAGCCGGAGCTCCTCGTCCAGGCGGACGCAGCGGCCGGAGCTGAACACGGAGGTGCCGCATTCCTGGGACCACAGCGGGGCACACGCCTGGGAGGGAAGAGGAGCGGGGTGTGTGTGACACGGGGTGGGTGACACGGCAGGGGTGACATCCCCCTCCCCTCCCCGCGCGGCTGCTCCGCTCACCACGAACCCGCCGTCCTCGGAGCCCACCAGCGTCATGCCCAGGTGTCCGGCGCTGCCGCGGAGCCACGGAGCTGTGGCCCCTCGGGGACACACGCGGGGACAGAGACGGGGGTCAGCAGCTTGGGGACAGCCCCCCGCCCCCGGTCACAGCCACCCCCCGCCCCCCTGCAGTACCGAGGTTGGCCTTGGCGCACGAGGAGTTTTGGGGTCCCACGCCGCACTTGTAGACGTCTCCTTGACCGTCCCCGTCCCACAGGGCCCCCACGAGCAGCCTGGGGTTGAGGGGAGGGAGGGCACAGGTGGGGTAGGGGGTCGCAAAGAGGGATACACGGTGGGGAGGGGAGTGGGACACACACGCGCCGCCCCGCTCTGACCCTGCCACCGCGTTTTGGGGGCACCGCGCCAGGTCCTGCCGCCCCCGCGGCCGCTTCCGTCCGTCTGTCTGTCTGTCCATCCGTCTGTCTGTCCTGTCCGTCTGTCTGTCCTTCCGTCTGTCTGTCCGGCCGTGGCCGCTCCTGCCCCTGCCCGCCCTCACCCCCACCCCTCACTTTCCCCCATCCCCTCCCTCAGTTCCCCTTTCCTGCCTCAGTTTCCCCTTCCCTTCCCCCTTCTGTCCAGAGGGGTGTGAATTGAGCCCCCCTGCCCGTGCGTGTCCCCCCGTGGGTCACTCACCCGCTGTCCCCGAGGCCCCCTCTGCAGGACCCGGTACCCGAACTGCGACTCGGGGGCCGCGGAAGACCCGCGGGTGCTCCACGTCGATGTTGAACCCCGCGCAGAGCCCTGCAGGGGTGACGGGGGGAAGGGGTCCTGAAGGTGGGGAGGGGCACACGCGGACCTCCCCACCCAGCACCCACCCGGTGGTACCCGGGATGGGGGGATTGCGGGAAAGGGAGGGGCACCCACGGAGAGCCCCCCAAATTAAGCCCCCAGTCTCCCTCCCCCAAGCCCCGTGGTGCCCCTCGTGCCTCAGTTCTCCCACCCCCCGCCTCGCAAGGTGGAAATTCCCTTTTTTTGTCTTTTTGGTTTTTTCCCTTCAGAAATGTAAAGATTTTCCACAAAGTCGGCTTTTGGTTCCTCTTGCGGGTCCTGCCTTCCCAACCCTCACCCTCCCCAAAATCCAGGGCGATTTTTGGGGGTACCCTCCCACCAAAATTGAAAAACAAACCCCAAACACATTGGGATGCCTAAAACCCGCCGGTTTTACCCCAAATTTTGCCCCCCACGGACACTCAGCGCGGGGGGTGAACCACGGCTGGCTGCGCTCGGGTTAATGAGCAGCAGGATCCGCGCCCTCCCCCCCGCCTCCAGCAGCCCCCAAACCCCCCGATTTCACCCCAAAACCCCCCGAAACTGCGTAAACCCGGGAGATTTTGGGGAGGGGGGGTTTATCCGTTACCTGGGAGCAGGAGCAGCGCCGGGAGCACCCCCAGGTCCCCCACCCCCCACATGGCCGAGCTGCAGCTCAAAGGTGACTCCGGCTCCAGCCGGGACAAAATCCCGGTTTTTTCCTTTTTTTTCCCCTCTTTTTTTTTTTTTTTTAATTTTTTAATTTTATTTTTTCTTTTTTTCCCTCCTCCTTCATCTTCAATTGGCTGCTAAAAATAAATGTGGTTTTGGGGCGGGGGGCGGGAAGGGGGGCAAGGAGTTCAGGGAAAAAAACAGGCAAAGTGGTAAAAACACGGGAAAAAGGGAAGCGGGAAGGGCAAGGGATTTTTGTGGGGAGCTTGAGGGGCACTAGAAGGGGATTTTCCCGGAAAAACGGGGTGGGAAAAGTGAGTCCCCCGAAGGGCTGAGCCTCGCACGGAGGTGGCAGCGGCGACACCTGAACCTTCCCCAGGGGGACCGTCAGGATTGGGGAGGGGGAGAGGAAAGGGGAGGATTAGAAGGATTTGGGATGAGGGGGCTCGGGAATCTCCGCCGGGGCCTGGGTGGGGTTTTGGGTGGGAGCTGGGGTGGATTTGAGGTGGATTTGGGGCTGCCACGTCCTCCGGATGACACCGCCACCTCCCGGACACCGTCCAGCCCTTCCGAGCGCGAGGAGGAGGAGGAGGAGGAGGAGGAGGAGGAGGAGGGGACAGAATGACCGCGGTGTCCCCCTCCCAATCCCACCCCACCCGCAGCTCCCGGCGCTGCCCCGGGGGCAGGCGAGACCCCCAAAACGCCCCCTCTCAGCTGTCCCATCCACTCCCCCCGAGGATGTCACCCCTGTCCCGCTCGCCCCCCGAATTCCCCCCCAGCTTTCCCGTTTACCTCCGAAACAAAATTCTCCTGAAATAACCCCGAGGTGGAGAATTCTCAAGCAGCGGTTGTTTCAGTGCCGTTTCGCTCCGATCCGGGATGAGCTCCGAGGAGGGCGGAGGGGGGATTATTGGGAGCTGGTTCCTTGTGGGGAGCGGGGTTCGATCCCGGGGGATTGAGATCTGGACCCCTGCGGGATCAGGGACTGGATCCCGGGGGATTTGGGGTGTCAGATCCTGTGGGGGGGGAGGATCCTGGAGGTTGGATCCCCAGGGATTAAGGGCTGGATCCAGGGATCGGGATCCTCTGGGGGAGTGGATTCCATGTGGATCAGGGACTGGATCCTGGCTGGACTGGAACAGGATTGAGGATGAGATCCTGAGGGGACTGGGGACAGGATCCCTGGGAGATCAGGGATTCCCGGACCACACTGGTGGAGAGATTGGGGGATTGAATCCCAGGGATCAGAGACCAGATCCCAGGGACTGGATCCCAGGGATCAGCAAATGGATCAGGGGGGCCCTCCCTCCTTGGCTCCACGCTGAGATTTTGGGTGGGTTTGGGTTAAAAAAAAAAAATAAAAAAAAAAAGGGGAAAAATTCCAGCTCCGGGATTTTGGGACAGAGGGAAACTTGTGCTGCCTGCGGGATGGGCTGGAATTTTCGGGGAAAGGGAAAAAAAAACAGGAAAGGAGGATTAAAACACACAAAGGGCGACTGTGCAGCCCCGACTGCGGCCACGGATGGGCCCCCCCTGCCCCTCCATCCCAAAGGGACTGGGATCCCTCCCCCTGCAATCCCCTGGAATGAGGCCCCCCGACTCCAGGGGGTGTCCCAGCCCAGCATTCCCAGTCCTTCCCAGTTCCCCTGGATCCCAGGAGAGAGGGAGCCGGGGAGGCCGCAGGGCTTTAATAATTTAATGAGTTCATTAATTACACTGATGGGCATCCCGCCCACCCCAAATCCCCCCGGGATAAACGCGGCTCCGGGACCTTCAATCCCTGCTTTTCCCAGGAGAGGGCAGAGTTTGGGAGCTCCCAAAAACCCTTCCAAGGGATGTTCCTGCTCTCCCGGGGTAGGATCCAAGGACATCCCGCCTCTGGAATTAAAGAATTCCCAGCTCCTAGCGCGGTTTAACAACCAGACATCACAGCTGGGTCAGGGTCACGGGAGCGCAACCTGGAATCACAAAATCCAGGGAAAACGGGAGAATTCCGTCAGGGACGAGCAGGGAATCCCGGCCCCGCCCCCGGTATCCCAAATAGGAGGTGGATCCACAGGATTTGGCTCCTCCCCAGTGGCCAGGAAGCCCCGGGAAGCACCAGGGATGCCGAGTGCCCCTCTGTTGGGAATGTGGGAATGCTGGGAGTCACCCCCCTGCCCCCAGCTCGGTCCCTCCTTATCCCTGGGATGGAGGGGAAGGTGCAGGACGGCAAATTCCTGCCTGGACTTCACCCCAAATCCATGGATTTGCTAAGCCTGACGCCCACATGCCTCCAAAGTCCTTCCCGTTGCCCTCTCCCTGCCCCTCGGATTTCCTAAAAAGCAGGAAAATTGTCCCGGTGGGGGTCGGATCAACCGGCTGGCACCGAGGATCATCCCAGTCCCACGGGGGACTTCCCCCCCTCCGAGCCCCCGGTGATCCAGGTGTTCCAGCCCCAAACATTCCTCCTTGGAACGACCAGAAAAGTCGACAGGGAGGGGCGAATTTCGGGATGTTCCCTCCTCCCTGGCGGCTCCGGGAACGACGGGGCCGGGCCGGGCCGGCGGGCCCAGGGATTTCCCAGCTAATCCCAGGGAAGCTCCCGGCACGGCTACGGCTTCAGCTTGAGCCAGGGGTGGAGGATGGTGAGGATGGAGAGCACGGACGAGGCCAGGCCGCACAGCCCCACGACGCCCGGGCCGCTCCTCCACAGCCCCAGCCTGTCCAGCGGGATCACCAGGTCGCAGGCGTTCCTCAGCAGGTCCAGCAGCAGGGGGTTGTCCCGGAGCACCCGGAGCAGCAGCTGGAGCTGGAGCTGCAGCCGCAGCCGCAGCCGATGGATCCCCCCGGCGCCCTCGGGCCGGGGCAGCTTCTCCGGGCTCCTCCCGCGCCTGCCGGGCCCCTCGGCGCGCTCCAGCAGCAGCCGCAGCTCGTAGGCGTCCCGGCTCAGGTTCACCACCAGGGCAAACAGGTAATACCTGAGGGGACAACGGGATGGGGGGGATGGCGGGAACAACAGCAGGAGACTCCGGCTGCTCCCAACAGAACGGCTGAGGCTGCTCAGCCAAGGGAATCCAACCCTCTGCTCTGCCAAGGGAATCCCATCCCCTGCTCTGCCAAGGGAATCCCATCCCCTGCTCCCCCCAGGGAATCCCACCCCCTGCTCCCCACAGGGAATTCCACCCTCTGCTCTCCCCAGGGAATCCCATTCCCTGCTCTGCCAAGGGAATCCCAACCCCTGCTCTGCCAAGGGAGTCCCATCCCATGCTCTCCCCAGGGAATCCCACCCCCTGCTCCCCCCAGGGAATCCCATCCCCTGCTCCCCCAGGGAATCCCATCCCCTGCTCTCCCAAGGGAATCCTATCCTCTTTGAGAATCCCATCCCCTGCTCTCCCTCAGGGAATCCCATCCCAGCTCTCCCAAGGGAATCCCATTCCCTCTGACAATCCCACTCCCAGCTCTCCCTCAGGAATCCCCCGTGCCCCTGGCAGGCCCGTGAAGGTTTCCCCACCCTTCCCAAACCCCAGGGCTCACCTGAAGGCCCTCTGGCTCCACTTGTGCACGTCGAGGCCGGGCAGGACGCCGCTCTTGCCGGCCCACAGGACGTTGTCACAGGCGAGGAAGAGGGCGCGGTTCAGGTGGGACAGGGTGAGGCAGAACCTCAGCACGGGGTCGGGGAGGTGCAGCGAGCGCTGGGCCCCCCCCAGCGCCTCGGCCGAGCCCCCCAGGCGCAGCACTGGGGGAGGGATGCGGGGAGGGGGTCACCGGGGTGGAGGGGGGGGATGCCTGAAGCCCCTCTGTCCTTCCCGGAGCCCCCCGTCCCCCAGACCTCCCCAGCCCACCCACAGGGCCCCTGTCCCCCTTTAGAGCCTCCCCTCCACACCCAGAGCCCCCATCCCCCTTCAGAGCCCCCTGTCTCCCTTTGGAGCCCCCCGTCCCCTCAGACCTCCCCAGTCCACCCACAGAGCCCCCTGTCCCCCTTTAGAGCCCCCTTCCACACCCAGAGCCCCCCGTCCCCTCCAAGCCCCTCCATCCCCCCAAGACCCTCCATCCCACCCAGAGCCCCCTGAGCCCCTTTAGACCCCCTATCCTCCCAGAGCCCCCTCTGCCCTCCCCTAGACCCCTAACCCCTTCTAGAGACCCCCCAGGGCCCCCGTGTGTCCCCCCCTCACATTTGCGGCCCAGGCTCAGATGAGCCTCCAGCTGCTGGAGGCGGTTCAGGGTCCCGGAGCCGGCCCTGGAGCTCAGCGTGGCCCCGGCCAGGGTACAGGCGTACTGGGCAGCCCTGGGGGACACGGAGGGGTCAGCGGGGAGGTTACCGGGGACACCGTCCTGCTCGCCCCCCCCCGGCACGATCCCCCCGCCCGGCCCCGCCGCCCGCTCCCGGAGAGCCGAGGCCGCACCTGAGGAGGCGCTCCCGGGCCTGGCTCTGGGCGCTGAAGCGCACCCAGGCCTCCATGGCGGGGCCGGGCCGGTCCCGGTCCCAATTCTGATCCCACTCCCGGTCCCGATCCAAGCCCCGGTCCCGATCCCGTTCCCAGAGCAACGTCACTTCCGGGAGCCGCCGAGGCTCGTTCCTATTGGCTGCGCCCTTCCCTCCCCTTCCCACCAAAACACAGTTCTTGAACAGGCGCCCCCAAATCCGTGTCGGAGCGTCTGATTGGTCCGTCCTCCCATTCATCGCCTCTGCTGACCAATGAGGACCCGGCTGTCATCCCGGACCCGCTACTCCCGCTGTTTTGAGCCACGCGCGTTCTGATTCGCTCTTTCCCCTGTCATCAAATAAACCCCGCATTGCGATTGGACAGCCGAGGGCTTATCCCCGCCCCCTCCTGGACCACACACCGTTATTTGTGTCGGGGCGTGCCCGCTGGGCCGCGCCCCGCGCTGTGATTGGCTCTGGGCCGCTATCCCCGCCCCCCCGGGGCGCCGCGGCGCTGCCATTGGCCGGTTGGGCGGTGAGTGACGGGCGGTTGCGGGGCAGGCGGCGCGGCCATGGAGGCGGTGCGGGCACAGCGGCTCCAGCCCGGGGTGGGCGCGGGGCCTCGCGGGGCCCGGCCCGGCCTGCCCGGGGCCCCCGCGCCGCTGGGGCCGGGGCTGGGGCCGGCGGCGGCGGCGCCGGGGCTGGGAGCGGGGCTGGGGCTGCCGCCGCCGCCGCCCCCGCTGGGTCTGCAGGGCCCCCCCGGCGCCGGGGCCGCGGCCGGGCCGCCCGCCGTGCTGCGGGAGGCGGTGGAGGCCGTGGTGCGGAGCTTCGCCAAGCACACGCAGGGCTACGGCCGCGGTGAGCGGGACCTGGGGGGGAGATTTGCCCTTGGCTCCTTTTCCTTGTTTCCCTGCCCCTTTTCCCTATTGCCATGATCCGTTTCCTTCATCCCTCACCCCCTTTTCCTTATTTCCGTGCCCCTCTTCCTCCTCTCCATGCCCGATTTCCTTCCTTCCATGCCCCTTTTGCGTCCTTCCTCGCCCCTTTTCCTTATTTCCGTGTCCTTTTTCCTGATTTCCGTGTCCCTTTTCCTTCCTTCCTCACCCTCTTTTCCTTTTCTCCACGCCCCTTTTCCTTCCACGCCCCTTTTCTGCCCCTTCCTCATCCCTTTTCCTGAAATTACGAGCCAGACAGGCAATTCCTTGGCTTCGTGGTGGTTTTTAAGGATTCACCATTCCTGCTCCGTGAGCAATCCCTTCCCTTCATCCTGACTGCGGGACACAAGGAATGCTCCTTGGGATTTAAAACCAAAACACAAAATAAAGGGAAGAGGCGACCCAAAGGGGGTAGGCAGGGATTTTCCTGCTGCTGGGATGGAAAGAATCCGTCATCCATCCGCCCCCAAGGAGCCGCCTGGGGACGATTTTGGGCTCCGCTGGCGCGTCCAAAGGGTGAGGCCTTGGCAGGCAGCGGGATCAGCAGCTCCAGGGCCATGTGGAAGCACTTATTCCACGGGATTTCACGTGGATCTGTGCCGGCAGGATCCGGGCTCGCGCTCCAAGAGGGACAAACGGGGCGGATTGATGGTCGGGAGCAGCGAATCCCAAGGGTGAGGCCGACAGGAGCCCCCCACCTTGGATCATAAATCCACGGATCTCTTCCCCAAAGAGCCCTTCAGGGAGCGGGAGATGCCCCTGATTCCACGTGGAATCATGGAATGAGGGAGTGGTGTGGGTTGGAAGGGGCTTTGGAGTTTGTCCCACGGGCAGGGGGGGGTTCCTTGAGGGAACAACACTCCATGGGCGATCCCTGCGGGAATCCAGTGGGCTGTGGGGGGTTCTCCCGGTGTTCCTGAGGGAATCCAGCAGTGTGTGGGGTTATCCCGGTGTTCCCTGACGGCTGGCGTGCCCGGCAGTGAACGTGGTGGAGGCCCTGCAGGAGTTCTGGCAGATGAAGGCATCACGGGGCGCCGACCTTCGGCACGGGGCGCTGGTGCTCTACGAGATGGTGCCGGCCGGGAGCCCCCCCTACGTGTGCTACGTCACCCTGCCCGGGGGCAGCTGCTTCGGCAGCTTCCAGGTACCCACCCCTTCCCGGCTATTTCCCAGGCTTTTCCCCTTTCCAGGCTCTGGAGCTCGGAGTTTAATCCCAGAGCCCGAGCCGGGAGGGTTTTGTTGTTTTCTGGGTGTTCTTTCCTCCCCTGCTTTGTCCCCGTCACTCCCGGTGCTGAGGTGGGAGGTGGGACAGTAGGGAAAAGGGGTGGGGTTGGTTGGGGCTCATCCTTCCAGCTCCTTCCCGGGATTAGGCAGGGAATGCAGGGCTTTGAATTCATCCCAAGTCCTCTTCTCCGGGCGCCAAAAGACTCTGGAAGTCAAATCACCGGATCGTGGGATGGGTTTGGGTTGGTGGGGGGTGCCGGGAAGGCGCTGACGGTGCCCGTCCGTGCCAGTTCTGCCCCACCAAGGCCGAGGCGCGGCGCAGCGCGGCCAAGATCGCGCTGATGAACTCCGTGTTCAACGAGCACCCCTCGCGCCGCATCACCGACGACTTCATCGAGAAGAGCGTCTCCGAGGCCCTGGCGTCCTTCAACGTGAGGAGGGGGCACGGGGGGGAAAGGAAAAACACAGGAAAACCCCGGGAAAAGCAGCTCAGAGAGGGGTTTGGGGAGCAGTCCCGGTTCTGGGCGTGTTTGAGTTCCCCTCCTGCTCATCCAGGGTGGGATGGGGAGGACGAGGTGTGGGATCTCCCGGCCCTTCCCTGACTGGGGTTGTCACATCCCGTGGTTTCCCTGGGCGAGGCTGGACCAGCGGGATAAGGATGTCCCACCTCAGCCTTGTGCTGGCTCCAGGATCTCCTGGATCCCACTGGGAATTCCTGGAGCAGGGATAGTGTGGTGGGAGTGCCGCTGGCGGGAATGGCAGCTCCAGCCTGGAATGTCTCCGCAGGGCAACCGGGAGGAGGCGGATAATCCCAACACCGGGATCGGGGCCTTCCGCTTCATGCTGGAGTCCAACAAGGGAAAATCCATGCTGGAGTTCCAGGTACTGTTCCCAGTTTTTCCAGGTGTTGTTCCTAACCTCTCCAGGTCCCGTTCCTGACTTAACTAAGGGGTGGTTGGTTTGATCTTCCAGCCGCTTTTTTTTAGTGTTTTTCTGTGGAAAATGAATTTGGGGTTTCCCTGCAGTTAGGATCCGAGGTGCTTCCAGGTGCAGCAGAGTCCTTGGAATTGCATTTCTCTCCTTGCTGAACCCTCCCCATGATCCATAAGGTCCCTCCCACCCCCTGATTCCACCATGCCGGTCCCATCCCGCCCCCCCTTTGCCTCCCCAGGAGCTGATGACGGTTTTCCAGCTGCTGCACTGGAACGGGAGCCTGAAGGCCATGCGGGAGCGGCAGTGCTCGCGCCAGGTGAGTGCGGAGCCGCTCCGGGACCCCCATCCCGCCGCTCCCTCCCGTCCCTGAGCTCCCCCCCTCACCCCATTCCCACCAGGAAGTCCTGGCTCACTACTCCCACCGCGCCCTGGACGACGACATCCGCAACCAGATGGCCCTGGACTGGGTGAACCGGGAGCAGAGCGTGCCGGGCGCCCTTTCCCGGGAGCTGGCGGCCACGGAGCGGGAGCTGGACGAGGCGCGGCTGGCCGGGAAGGAGCTGCGCTTCCACAAGGAGAAGAAGGACATCCTGCTGCTGGCGGCCGGCCAGCTGGGAGCCGGGCACTCCTCCGGCTGCTGAGCCCCGGGAAATCTCCCCGGAGCTCCTGGTGCTGCCCCTTCCCCGAATCCCGGCCCGTTTGCACATTTGGAAAGAAAGGGAGGGGGGGAAAACAAAAACAAAGCTCCTGGGTGGATTTTAATCCCAGATTCTAGAGGTGCTCCTCAGCCTCCTGGTTCCCTAGGGAATCTCCTCTTCCCTCGATCCCTGTAGATCTCCTTATTCCCTAGGGAATTCCTCGTTCCCTAAGGAGTTCTTCCTGTCCCTCGTTTTTGGGGTTAAAAAGGCAGGTTTTGGCCTCTTCACTCTCTGTCGCCCCTTCCCCTGGAACTGTCCTGCCCGTGGCCAAACATCAGCCTTGGCTTTTCCATGGGAGGTTGGAAAAGCCTTGGAAGAGTTTGGGAATGAGGGAGGGGTCTGCACTAATCATTCCCTTCCCCTTGTATCCGCATCCATGTGGAGCTCAAGGTGATATTTAGCTTTAAAAAAAACCCTTTTTATGGCATGGCATTATTCAAACAGCTCCAGTTCACCACGGAAATTCTCACCTCACTCCCCCCCTTTCTCCAGCAGACCAGGAATACAAAACAAAATTCCAAGCCAGAATTCCTTTTCCCCACCGGCTTGGAGCTTTTCCCACTTCTTATCCCCCACAAACCCTTCGGGATGCCCTTATTCCCACCCTCTCACCCCTTCCTCCCTCTGCCTGAGCGCGGGATATTCCAGCAATAATCGTCGTTTCGGGATAAGATTGGAATAATTCCATGATCCTTAGGTATCCTGCTTTTATATCCACATCCTATCAAGCCTGCTTTGGGGGTTCTATATTTTTTTATACTTTCACAACACTATTAACGTTTGGTGTCGCTGGAAATGGGATTAAAAAGGCACGGGGGGTGGTGTTGTGGGGGGGTTGTTTCTTGAAATATTGGAAAAATCCAGACTTGGGATTTAGGAATCATGTGGAGTTAATCCAAGTGATTCGTTTTCCCTGGTTCCCCACGTGAGGGAATTCCTGAAGCTCCTCCCCAGCACTTCCAGTGGCTTCGGTGCTCCAGCTCCCAGCATATTTTAGGGGGAAAAAGAAAAAAAAAAGGGAAAAAGCGCCGTTTGGGGGCTGAAACGAACAAATCCAGGTTTCCTCAGTATGGAAGGGGTGTCGTGCTCCTTGTCAAGGCGATGGAATGACGCGGATCCGGCGGGAGAAATCCCGGTGTGGATTTTATACAATAAAACCAGCGATTTTTTTTTTTTTTCTTTGGGGTAACTTTGGTGTTTTTGCTCATTCTCTGGGGGGGGACTGAGTCGTGCCCAACCTCCCCTTTAATCCACTCCTGGTGTGTGTGTGGGTTCAAATTCCCCCCGGGAGTGCTGGGGCTCCCAGTGTTGCCCAGTATGGCCCAGTTTGGGGGCAGGACCTTCTCCATGTGGGACATGATTTGAAGGAGCGACACTTCCACCTTAGGAATTTAGGAGTTTAGTGATCTCTGCCCTTAGAAAAGGAGCTGCGTCTTACTCACCAGAAGTGTTGTTTTCTGAACACTGCCCATTTTTGGCTCTTTTTCCTCTAAGAGCTATAAATTCGCTTCACATAATATAATTTGCGCTTCAAAATTCGGTAGGATTTGCTCTCCTGAGGATTAAATTCGATTAAAAAAGATTGTTTTAGTGGAGGATAACACCAAGTTACCTTTTCGGGGAGGCAACTTTGAGCGTTGCGACGGATAAACAGCTGAAGAAAGCGTATATTTGGGGGGCGTGGCTGGCGAGTGGTTCCCCACGCTCCTGCCACGGGGAATGAAAGGAATATTTCCTCCAAGGGGCACTTTTGGGTGGGATTTCTTTGTTTCAGACACTTCCACCACACGCCCCCCCCAACATGGCGGCGTTTCCAGCCCCGCTTCCCCCCCAGGCGACCTTCCCAACATGGCGGCGCTTCCCGCCACTCCCCCCACCCTCAGGTGCCCTTCCCAACATGGCGACACCTCCCGCCCCTCGCCCTTCCCAAGATGGCGCCGCCGCGTTTCCGCCTCCCGCCCTCCCGCCCATGGCGGCGTTTCCGGAGCCAACATGGCGGACGTGCTGGATCTCCATGAGGCGGGCGGGGAGGATTTCGCTATGGACGAGGACGGGGATGGTGAGCGCGGGGCTGGGGCGGCTCCTGCGGGACCGAAGACACCCCGGCCACCGGTCCGGCGGGGCTCCGGCCCCGGGAGCCGCTCCCGCCGCCTCTCGCCGCGCCCCCAAATCCCGGGCCGGCGTGAGGGACGGACCCAGTGTGAGGGGGGTCATTCCCATCATGGGAGACGGTCCTGCCTTTCCTGGGGGTGGTCCCTGCCTGTTCCAGGGGGGTCCTGTCCAGCCCGGGGGGGTCATTCCCAGCCAGGACAGGAGGGGGGTCCCTGCCCACCCGGGGGGTTCTGCTCCCCCTGATTCCACAATGTCCCCCCCAATTCCCGCCTCCTCCCCCCAGAGAGCATCCACAAGCTGAAGGAAAAAGCCAAGAAGCGGAAGGGCCGCGGCTTCGGTTCAGGTGAGGCCCCCAAAAACCCTTCCCTGGCACCCTGGGGGGGGTGGGGGGTGGGTGACACCCACCCCTGGGGCGTTGGGGAGCCCCGTTATCCCATCGTGTTCCCCCTTTTTCCAGAGGAAGGATCCCGAGCCCGGGTGCGGGAGGATTATGACAGCGTGGAGCAGGACGGGGACGAACCAGGACCACAGAGATGTGAGGGAGGACACGGAGGGGGACATGAGGGATGGGGGGGACATGGAGTCCAGGACTCCAGGGCGGGGCTCAGCCCTGCTGGGATGATCCTTTCCCCCCTTTCCCAGGATTTATGGACTCTGGGGCTCCATCTCCCCTTCCCAGCTGTGTATTTTGGGGAGGACACCCTATCTTAGGGGCACTTCCACGTGGGAAGGAGGAGGAATTGGGGGGGGTTCCCGGGCATCCTGGCACCCCTCCAGCCCCATAACCTCCCTTTTTTCATCCCCCCCAGCTGTGGAGGGCTGGATCCTGTTCGTGACGGGGGTGCACGAGGAGGCCACGGAGGAGGACGTGCACGACCGCTTCGCCGAGTTCGGGGAGATCAAGAACATCCACCTGAACCTGGACCGGCGCACGGGATACCTCAAGGTGGCCTGGGGTGGGGGTTAGGGGGTTTGGGGGTGTGTGTCTTCCCCCCCAGATCGATTTGGGCTTGGGGGAGGGTTGGGAGGTCCTGGGGGTTCACCCCAAAACTGGAGCCCATTTTTTGGGGCCACTGGGGGAAGGGACTCTGCACCCCAAAAGTGACTGGTTTGGGGGGGTCCCTGCACCCCAGAACTGAGCTGGGGTTCCCAGGGTGCCCAGGCTGGTTCCCATTCCCAATCCTAACGGTATTCCCGATCCCACCCAGGGCTACACGCTGGTGGAGTACGAGACCTACAAGGAGGCGCAGGCGGCCATGGAGGGGCTGAACGGGCAGGAGCTCATGGGGCAGCCAGTCAGCGTCGACTGGTGCTTCGTCAGGGGCCCCCCCAAGGGCAAGCGGAGGTGAGGGACGGGAATTCCGGGAGCTGGGAGAGGGGAGGGACCCCCGGCAGCTGGGAGGGAAATGGGGGCCGTTCCCTGTGCAGTGCTGGGGAGGGACTGGGGTTAAACAAGGATAAATGTGCCAAAAACGCTTTCTCTCCCTTTTTCCCCTGCTTTTTTTTCCCCTTCCCCTTTTCCCCCGTGCTCTTCTCCCTTTTTTCCCCCCCACATTCCCTGTTTTCCAGGGGTGGGCGCCGGAGGAGCCGCAGTCCCGACCGGCGCCGCCGGTGATGGATCCAGGCTCCCACCCCGCTGTGTTCCCAGTCCAAACTGGGCCAAACTGGGAAAACTGGGGGGGGTTGAACACAAACAGGTTTGAGGGGCCAGACTGGCTCCATCCCTTGGGAACTGGGGGTTTTGGGGGAATTTTATTGTTTTCAAAGGACAAACGTGAGGGGAAGCAGCAGCTCCTCAGGGTTGGGGTGTTCCCCCCTCGGGTCTGGGGGGGATCCCTCCCATCCCAGCACATCCCAGGAGTTTTTTCCCTACCCCAGGCAAACGTTCCCTTGGGGAACTCCCGTGGGGTTTATCCCACCGGGGAAACCCTTATTTTCTGTTAAATAACAGTTTTTGTGTAAATTTGGCTTCTGGTTCTTTGTCCTTCGTTAAACCACCTCCCCCCACCAGCCCCTCTCCTGCCCCTTTCCCTAAAGTCCCTCCCCATCACATCTGTTTCTCCCCTTCAAACTGGCATTGGGAAGCCACAGATTTTGGGGGGGCAACCCAGTGGGCTACCCTTGTCCAGCTGGGACTGGGGGGGACCCCAAGGGACCCTGAACCCCCCAGATGTTCCCCCACACACACACTCTGAGCCACTGAGCTGCACAGGGGCCTTTATTGAAGGACACCAACAGCCCCCTCCACCCCCCAAAACCAGGAACCCCTATCCTGGGAAGGAAGGGAGGGGGTGGGCTGTGTGCAGACCCCCAGCCGTGGGTTTGAGGGGCAAAGCTGCTGGGAGGATGAGGAGGGAGCAGGAGGAAGGTGCAGGGAAACAACCCCCCCACTCCCGAGGGAATTTGGGGGGGGGGGCCGTGCAGAGTTTGTGGCGACAGCGACGGGGGGGCCACGAGCCCCGGGTGGGCTCAGAGCAGAGGGGGGTGCCGGGTGGGGGGTCCCGGGGGTCTTTATGAGCCGGGCTCAGGGCCCAGGGCGCTGCGGAAGGCCACGAGCTCGGGCTGCATGGAGTGCCGGCGGCGCAGCAGCGCCGGGGGCCCGGGGGCAGCGGGGGCAGCAGCCCGGCCCTGCCCGGCCCGGGGGGCTCCAGGCACAGCGTTCCGGAGCCGCGGCGCTCCAGCAGCCCCACCGGGCGCCGCAGCGGCCCGGGGGGAGCCCCCTCGGGGTCCGGGGGGTCCCGGCACAGGGGTTTGCCCCGCGGCGGGTCGGGGGCCGGGGCACGGCGCGCCGGGGGGGGCACGGGGGGCGCCCGCTCGGCCCAGGGCAGCCCCGAGGCCTCGCGGCCCTCCACGCTGTGCCGGCGAGGCCGCAGCCCCTCCAGCCGCTCCGGCGGGGCCCTCGTCCCTTCCAGGGCTCCTCGTGGGCCCTCAGGTGAACCCCACGAGCCTTCCGGAGGGCCCCGCGTCCCGTCCAGGCTCCCCGGCGCCGCCAGCCCCCACGGCTCCGAGTTGAGCCTCTTCAGCTGCCTCTTGGGCCCGGCCCGCTGCGGTTCCGGAGCGGCGGCGGGCGCTGCCGGCGGGAACTGGAACACGTCGCGCTCCTCGTCCCTCCCGCCGGCGCCCGGCGACGCCCGCACCTGCACCTGCGAGGGGGACGCGCAGAGCGCGGGCGACGGCGGCGAGTTCAGGTACTGGCGGGTGGTCTTGGTGCCGCGGGGCGAGGTGGCCGAGGTGATGATGATCACGTCGCGGCCGCGCTCCCGGCACGCGTCCAGCAGCACCTGCAGCGTCTCGCGGTCCCCGCGCTCCAGGGCGTACACGAGGGCCGAGCCGCCGGCGTAGTCGCGGGCGCTGGGGTCGGCGCCGTGGGCCAGCAGCACGGCGGCCACGGCGGGGCCGGCGCGCTCGGCACAGGCGTGCATCAGCGCCGTCCTGCCCGCCTTGTCGGGGATGTTGGGGTCGGCGCCGTTCTCCAGCAGGTACCGCACCATGCGCGGCTGCTCGGGCGGGTCGGCGTAGCCGGCGCGGCACGCGGCCATCAGCGGCGTCGTGCCCGCCGCGTTGCCCTCGTTGATGTAGGCACCCCCCTCCAGCAGCAGCCGCGTCAGGCGGAATTTGCCCTGGGACACGGCGCGCAGCAGCGCCGAGCCCTCCGCCGGCACCATGGCCAGCCCCGGCGCCAGCGCGGCCCCCGGGGCGCGGCGGACAGGGCTGGGCATGGCCGGGCTCAGGGCAGTGGGCACGGGGGTGGCACCCGCTCACTGCGAGGGGAGACGGGCGGGGTGAGACCCCCTGAGACCCCCCGGTGAAAAGCACGGGGTGAGGACCCCCCTCCTGAATCACCTGTGATAAGCACAGGGTGACACCCCCTCCAAATCCCCCGGGATGGGCACAGGGTGAGACCCTGGAGCCCCCTGGGATGGGCACAGGGTGAGACCCCAGAGCCCCCCGCTCCCTGCCTCAGTTTCCCCAGCAAGGCAGGGTTCCTCTGGTGCTGAGCCCCCTCCCACGTCCCCCCTGCCTGTACCCCCAGCCCTTGCCTGCACCCCCAACCCCCCATGCCACCAGCCCCTCTCACTCCCCATATCCCTTCATCCACCCCTCTTCGTTCTCCTCATCCTCCTGCCTGTGCCCCCCCTGCATCCCCTGCCCGTGCCCCCCTCCTGCCCGCGCCCCCATCCATGCCGGCCCCCCGATCCCTGCCCGCGCGGTTGCCATGGCAACGGCCGCTCATCCCGCTCCTCCAGCCCGACCGGCCGGGAAAATGGGGGAGAATCCACCGCCCCCCCGGTCCCCTCAGCCAGACACCCCTGAGCCCGGGCCTGGGGCCTGCCCCGTGCGCCCCGGGCAGGGGGGACACCCCACAGCGGGGACCCCCATCCAGCCCTTCTGCCCCCTCCATCCCCCCGTTACCGTGGCAGCAGGAGCGGGGGGTCCCTGCGCTCCGGGTCGCGGTCCCCGCAGCCCCGGGGATGGGAGTGTCGGGGACAGCGGCCCGTGGCCGCCATCCCGGCCCGCCGCCGGTGCGGGGGGGGCCGGGAGGTGATGTGGAGGGTCCCCCCTCCCGCAGCGCTATTTTTGGCAGCTGCCGGCGCGGGTGGGGCTGGAGCGGGATGAATCACCCACGGCGCAGTCAGCGCCCGGCGCCCGGCCCTGCGTGGGGGCGAGGGGGGCCTCGGGGGGCACAAGAGGGTGTGGAGGGGCAGTGGGGTTGGGGGCCGTGGGGCGGCGGGTCGGGGGCCATGAAGCACCGGAGATTGGGCGAGTTGTGGGGCAGCGGGGCTGGGGGCACAGCACGGCGGGGCCAGGGGTCACATCACAAGGGGGACTGGGGCCGAAGGGCAGCGGGACCGGGGTCCCAAAACAGTGGGGCTGGGGGCCAGAGCACAGCGGAACTGGGGCCGGGGACCAGCGAGGCCCCAGCACAGGGGGGCTGAGCTGTCCCAGGGCAGAGGGGCTGGGGGGATCCGGGGGTGTGGGGGGGGATCAGGGACCCCTTCGCCCCCTCCCCGGCCCCGTCCCGAGCCCCCTCCCCATCCACCCTCCGGCCACGCCCCTCGCTCTGAGCCGCCAATCAGCGCGGGGTTCGCGGCCAAGCCCCGCCTCTTTCGCGCGGGGCGGAGCCGCGGAAGTCCCGGACGCACGTGGGGCGAGTGCGCGTGCGCGGGGTGAGAGCGGCACCGGGACCGGGAATGGGAATGGGGATACCGGGAATGGGAAACCGATGGGAATGGGAGTGGGGGACACCGGGAGGGACCGGGGGTACGGGGTGGGCGGACACCGGGACCGGGAGGGACACCGGGGCGGGGGAGAATCGGGACCAGGGCGGGCACCGGCACCGGGACAGGGACTGTGACCGGAGCGAGGGGTGAAGCGAACTGGGGAGCGGGACAGGCCGGGGCCGGGGAGCGGGACTTGGGGGGCACACCGGGAGCGGAGGCCGGGCCGGGGGTGTCACTGTGCCCCCCTGTCCCCCCCCAGCGCCCCCCCGGGCCCAGGATGGCGGGCCGGGGCCGGGGCCGGGGCCGGGGGCAGATGACGTTCAACGTGGAGGCCGTGGGCATCGGCAAGGGGGACGCGCTGCCCCCGCCCACGCTGCAGCCCTCCCCGCTCTTCCCGGTGAGTCCGAGCACAGACACGCTCATCACACCCCCGTGTCCCCCCTCACTGCACACCGGAGGGGGGCTGAGCACCGACACGCTCGTCACACCCCCGTGTCCCCCCTCACTGCACACCGGAGGGGGGGCTGAGCACCGACACGCTCGTCACACCCCCGTGTGCCCCCCCCAGCCCCTGGAGCACCGCGCGGCGCCCCTGCCGGGGGGCGAGGAGGGCGAGTACATGCTGGCTCTGAAACAGGAGCTGCGCCGCGCCATGAGGGGCCTCCCCTACTTCGTCAAACCGGGGGCTCCCCGCAGAGGTACCGGGGACTGGCGGGGGGGGACGGGAGGGGGGGGAGAAATGACCCATGGTGTGAACCCCACCCCCCGCTGGCTCCATCACATCCTGCCACGCTGGGCCCCCCCCCAGCAAGTTTTTTTTCCCCCATCATTGATGGTCACGGGGGGTCCCACGAGGGTCCCATCCCCAGAGTGACCCCCCACCCCCAAATCATCCCCCAGACATCGAGCGCTACTCGGACAAGTACCAACTCTCCAGCCCCATGGACAGCGCCATCGACTGGAACCCAGGTGGGGGGCACGGGGAGGGGGGGACAGGGTGACATGGGGGGTCTCAGGGTGGGGGCTGACCCACCCCCACCCCTTTGCCCCCTTTGCCCCCCAGACTGGCGGCGGCTCCCGCGGGAGCTGAAGATCCGCGTGCGGCGGCTGCGGAAAGGCAGTGAGTGACCCCCCCCGTGCCCCTCCAGGGGGTGACAGCCCCCTGTGCCCCCCCAGGAGGGGTGACAGCCCCCTGTGCCCCCCCAGGGACCGCCCCCCTCGTCCCCAAGCAGCGCGTCACGCCCGACAAGGAGGAGACCATTAAGAAGCTGGAGGTAACGAGATTTTGGGAGGGGACACACACCCACCTGGCTGGATTTTGGGGAGAGGGGGGGTTTTTGTGTGTCCCCCCCCACCATGAACACCCATCTGGCCCCCCCAGAGCCTGGAGAAGAAGGAGGAGGAGGTGACGTCGGAGGAGGAAGAGGAGAAGGAGGAGGAAGAAGAGGGGAAGGAGGAGGAGGAGGAGGAGTACGATGAGGAGGAGCACGAGGAGGTCAGTGGGGTTGGGGGCACCCCGGGGGGTGTTGGTGGGGCTGGGAAAAACCCCCGGGTGCCATCGTGTCCCCTCCACCGTGTGTCCCCCCCCCAGGAGACCGACTACGTCCTGTCCTACTTCGACAACGGGGAGAGCTTCGGTCCCGACAGCGACGACAACGGGGACGAGGCCGTTTACTGAGCCAGGGACCCCCCCAGAGCAGGGACCCCCGGGCACACCGTGGGACACTGGGGTCCCCTGGCACCCTCCTTGGGACACTGGGGTCCCCTGGCACCCCCACTTCGGGGTACAGGAGGTCCCCTCTCACCAGCCCCCAAGGCCACTGGGGTGTCCTTTCACCCCCCCATTGGGACATTGGGGTCCCCTGAACCCCCCCAGGACACCAGTGCCCCCCATCGTCCCCACTGGGACATTTGGGGTCCCCTGTCCCCCTCCGTGGGACATTTGGGGTCCCCTGTCCCCCTCCCTGGGACATTTGGGGTCCCCTGTCCCCCACCCTGTCACTCCCCCATCCACCACCAGGTGGCACCAGTGCTCCGGGAGAGGGGGGGCAGGACCCCCCCCCAAATTTGGGATCCCCCATTTCCCTCCAACCCCTTTTACAGCAGATTTTATAAAGTTTTGTGCTGTTTTTTTTTTTTTTTAAAAAGCAACAAAACCATTTTTGGGTGGATTAAAGCGGGTTTTGCCATTTCCAGCTCAGCTCTGTGGGTTTGGGGTGGTTTTTTTTTTGGGGAGGGAGCGAGGGGGAGTTGGATAAGGGGGTTCCTGGTTGAGAAAAGGAGTTTTCTGGGAGGGATGAGGGGGAGAAATGTGTAATTTGGGGGGATTTGGGGAGAAAAGGTGTTTTCTTGGGGGTGGAAAACCTGGTTTTTTGAGGAAGAAAAGGTGGGAAAAAGGCTTGGGGCGAGGGGAGGTGGTTTTTTTGGGGAGAGGGGAAGGCGTTTTTGGGAGAGGAAATGTGGGTTTTTTTGGGGGGAAACCATTTTTTTGGGGGGGAAATGTGGTTTTGGGAGGGGAAATGTGGATTTTTGGGGAGGAAAGAGTGTTTTTTCGAGGGGGGGAAGGCTGTTTGTGCCTCGGGGTGGGGCGGGGGCCGCTCACATGAGCCTCACATGAGTGGGCCCCCCCCAGCTCAGTTCCTGTTTGGGGCTGTTTTTCCCTCCCCCGGCCACGAACATTCCAAAACTTGTTGACTTCCAGCTACTCCCTGGTTTTCTCCTTTTTTCTCCCCCCCCTCCCCTTTTTCTCCCCCTTTATTTTCCTCCTTCCCCCCCCAAAAAAAAGGACTCCCACCCGCAGCTTCCAGAGGGTGGAATCTGCCCCCCTCCCACCTGGGGGGGGGAAAGAGAGGAAGGTTTATGGCCTTAATTTGTTTAATTGGAGCTGTAAATTGGAGGGGGGGGGTGGCAGGGGGACTGTGGGGTTCATCCCTCCTTCCCCCCATGTTGGGGGTGGGATTTTGGGGGTGGGCATTTAAATTTGGAGAGGGGGGTGTGTTATTTTAGGGTCTCTGGGAGGTTCTCCCTGATTTTTGGGGGGCTCTGAGCTGCCGCAGCCCCCCCGGTCCAGCCCATCCTGGTTTTTCCTGGCTGGGAGCAGAGTGACCCTTCCCCTGCTTGGCCGGGAGCCGGGAACGGCTCCGACTCCCCAGGGAATCCGAGGCCTGGCCAGGAAAAAGGCGGGGGGGGGGAGCAGAGGGGGGAACGGAGGCCCCGGAGGGTTTGGGGGGGCTCCAAGTGGGCGAGGGGGGAGGGAGCAGAGCCAAGGTCACGGCCCAGTTCCTCGACACCGGCACCTTTCACCCACATCCCAAAAAAAGAGCGGGAGCCGCAGGGGCTCCTGCAGCGGCCCCCAAAAAGGCAGGAACAGCAGGAATAGTCTCCCACCCCCGTGCCTGTTTCCCTTCCCTGTCCCTTTTCCCTCCCTGTGCCTGTTTCTTTTCTCTCCCCCCTTTTCCCTTCCCTGTCCCTGTTTCCCTCCCCGTGCCTCAGTTTCCCCTCACCAGCACTGCTTTTCTGCTCAGCTTTTTCCCCCTGGAAAAACCAGGAGACCCTCCCAGGGCTGCTCCCAGGAAAAACAGGAATTGGGAGAGGACAGTCAGTGCCACCCCCGAGCTTTCTGTTGCCCCCTCCCCAGGAAGGACACGAGACAACACCTCAGTTTCACTCGGTTTTATTACAAATTTTGCCCCCCAGGGGCCATAAAAGGTACAAAATCTGCATTTTTTTGTGCTTTTCCCCCTCCTCCTCTTCCCCCCCCCCCCAAAAAAACTATTTACAAAACCGAAGAGTAGAAAAGGCGTCGGTCGCGACAAGGGGTGCGTGTCGCGACAGGACGGAGCTGTGGGGTCACAGTGTCCCCCTCCCGGAGCAGCGCCCGGAGTCGGGGAATTCGGATGGAATCAGTTCAAACCCGGGGGTTTCCCGCCCCCCACGGCGCGGGGACGAGGACGGGCAGCGCGTCGCGACGGCCGAGCTTTCCCAGCCCTTTTCCAGCCGGATCCGCCTCCTCTCTCTCTTTCCTCTCCCAGTCCACCAAGGTTCTCCGCCGGCTCGCGGCGCCCCGGGGTTTTCATTCCTGGCAGGTTCCGGCGCTCCGGAGCGGCGCTTCCTTTCCTGGGGAAGGCGGCCGTTCCTCGGGAATGTGGCAGTTCCTCGGGAGCCGCGGGTGGGCGGCACACGGAGCCAAGTCCGGGATCAGCGGGAGCGACCCCGCCGGCCGCGGCGCTCACTGGACGTTGTTGTTGTTGTTGTTGTTGGCCACGCAGGGATCCACCTGGGCGACGGAGCAGGGAGCGGGTGAGGGGGCTGTGCCGGCGCTCCCGGATCCGCCCGGCCCATCCCGTGCCGGCGCCGGCGCCGCGCTCACCTCCGTGTAGGTGGGGGGGGGCATGAACTTGAACTCCGGCGCGTACATGAAGATGGGGCTGTCGAATCCGTCAGGATCATCCAGCAGGGGCGTGGTGGGGCTCTCCAGCCGGTGATCCTCGGGAACGATGTCCAGATAGCAGGGGGGTGCTGTGGGAAGGCAGGGGGATATCCGTGAGCTCACCTGCGCGCCCTCCTCCCCGCGCCCCTCGGGGTTTATCCCCACGCTGGGATCCCACCCCGTGGCTCCCACCCCACTCACCCTCTGGAGCATCCGGGAGGTTCAGGTCGACCCAGCTCATCTCGGAACTGGTCTGACTGGCCATGCTGGAGCTGCGGCTCCCGATGCCCGAGCGGCTCCCGATGACCAGCGGCAGCTCCAGGATGATTTTCTTGGAGCCCGGGACGCTGACGTAGATCTGGAGTGGGGAGAGCAGGGATTTAGGGATGCCGGCATGGGATCAAGATCCCCATGAGGAGAGAAGAGGATGAAGATGGGAGGGGGCTGAGAGGATCCCCCACTCACCTGCAGGAAATACTCCACGCGCAGGATGTTGCAGCCCAGGATGGAGGGTTTGAGCTTCCGCACGCGGATGGTTTTGCCGCGCCAGGACTCGGAGGTGCCCGAGATGATGTGGTTGCCACGGACACAGGAGAGTTTCTGGCAGAAGACCTTGGTCTGGCCGTTGGCCAGGTAGGTGTGCTTGGCCACGATGGCCGCCTTGGGCACCACGATGCGCGAGCAGGTGTTCTCGAAGTCGGCGTTGATGCAGATCTCGTCGCCTGCAGAGGCAAGGACCCGGCGTTAGGCATGTCGGGGGTTTCCCCCGCTGGTCCCACGCACACCTCCCTCCCCCCATTCCCTGCTCCCGGCGATCCTCACCTTCACAGAAGCCCTTCCTGTCGATCTGGGCGCTGACGGACACGCGTCCGTCGGGGATGAACATGCACGACACCTTCTTCTCCTTCTTGGCTGCCACCGGGGACTGTGGAGAGAGGGAACGGTCACACATCCTGCCCTTCCCACCCCTTCCTTCCTTCCCCTTTTCTTTGCGACCGAGCCTCAAGCTCCCCTTGAGGCGCAGAGCCCACCCAGCCCGGTGTCGGTTTCTGGAATTCTCCAGAATTCCTTAATCCCCCCCTTAATCCCCGCTCAGCCCAAAGCCGATTACACGCGCCTCGACGCCCTGAGGTCGGGCTGACCCTCCCCAGGGCTTTCCTCCCGAGGCTCTGGAGTACTCGAGGCTCACCAGCAATTCCGGGGTGTTCACATCCACGGGATCCATCACCTCGAAGCGTTTCTTCACCTGCTGGGGGAAGGCCGGGCGCTCCAGGGACGCCTTCACCCAGTAATCCACGGAGCCGTACTTGCCCTTGAATGTGGTGCCCAGCGGCCTGTGGACACGCAGGGGGTCACTCCAGGGCCAAAACAGGGATTTTCCAGTTTAATTCCACCCCCACAGGCAGGTGCTGCCTCATACTCACCCCTGAGGCAGCTCAAAGCCGAACTTGTACTCGTACTTGTTCCCAGGTCTCAGGATGACGGAGCCGTCCCCATCTGCAGCAGAGAAGGGGAAGGAAAACTTCAGATGGAGCTCCAGGGTGATCCTTGGTTCCACTTCCAGTGGTGAGGGAACCAGAGGTGTTGAGTAACACCCGCCCTGGGAACCCCGTGTCCTCTCCCTGCTGCTCCCTTCACCTCACCAACACCCTGAGCCCCTGGGGCAGAACAGAGCGTTCCGCTGGCCCCACCCCACCCTCAGCTCTCCCTTATCTCCCAGCTCCAGCTGTCCCTTCCAGTTATCTTCAGGACACTCTCCCAGTTCCTCTCTCCGTCCTAGTCCGGGGTGTGATGCCTGTGCCCCTCCCTGTGTCCTGTCACCAGCCCCTGCTTGCGGTGCCAGGACACACCACGGGAGCTCCCCAGACTCTGATTTTGTCCCTCAACTCCCCAGCTTCGACTTGACTTGGCCAAACTCTACGAAGTTCCCAAGTTTCGCCTGGTTTGGTCATTTCTCCCACGCTCGAAGCACAACATCAACTGCGTGTTGGTGACCCCTGCCAACCCCTCTGCCCGTCCAGCCCCGTGCCCTCACCCGTGGGCTGCTCCTCGAGCGCCAGCACGTCCTCGAAGCGCAGGTACTCCATCTCCTGCCGGCACTGGGTCGGGCCCTTGGCCCAGGTCACCCTGGCCACCCCACACGCCAACACCTTGACGGCGCTGACGCGGGTCACCTCGGCCACCTCCACGACCACGCGCCCGGCCACCTTGTCCCCGCTGCAGTAGATCTTGTCGGGCTCGCTGAAGACCACCGTGAAGCTCTTCACCTTCCTGAACATCACCATGGCTGGGGCGGAGCGGGCACGCAGGGAGCAAAGCTTGTGGGGCTCTATCGCCCTCGCAGCAAGAAAACCCGCCTGGAAGCAGGCGAGTGGCAGGCACAAGGGCGGGTGGGCCGGTTGGTTGGTTGGGCGCTTTGTTTTGAGGTGCTGCGAGAGCTTTTTGCGAAGTTGCTCCGCTCCGGGCCCGCCCTCGCCGCCCGCTCCCCTCAGCGCTCTGCGCTCCCCCTCAGCCGCCGCCGCCTTTTATAGGCTCGGGGGCCCCGCCCACCCCCCTGCCCGAGCCGTGGCTGCCGGGGCGCCACGCCGAGGGCGCGTGGCCAGGCGTGCAGCTCGCGTGATCAGCGCTCCCATTGGCTGCCGCCGCCTTGTTTACGGCGGCGCGGGCCAATCGGCGCGGCGCGAGCGGAGCGTGGACAGCGTGTGAAGGAGAGGTGCGCGTGGGTAATGGGGAGGATGGGGGGGCGGGAGCCGGCCGGGATGATTGACAGCGCGCGGGGCCAATGGCGAGCGGGTCCGGGCGGCGGCGGCGGCCAATGGCGAGCGCGGGACGGGATGTCTTGTTCCCAAGCGCCGGGGAGGGGGGGGGAGCTGCCCCCAGTTTGGGACGGGTTGTGCTGTACTGGGAGAACTGGGAGCGGCCGGGCCGGGCCCTGGGGGTCTGCAGTGGCGTCACCCCCTTCCTCAGTTTCCCCCTCCCCACTCAGGGCAGCCTGGGGGTACCTCCAGTGCCCCCCCTCCCTGGTCTCCCCGAAGCCCCCGCGGGGTACACCCCACCCCCCGTTATTTGGGGTAAATAAGGGTGGATTCGGGGCACGGGATAGAACCAGGTCCTGGGGTGCTCCCTCAGTCCCTGGGAGGGTGGGGAGGGAGGTATTTGCCCCTCTCTGCCACTTCCCTGAGCCCCCCCCCGGCCTCCCCTTGGCCGTCTCTGGGGTACGTCACTCCTCCTGATTTGGGGTCAGTAAGGGTGGATTTGGGGTACAGGATCCAATCTGATCCCGGGGACTCCCTGAATCCTTCTTGAGGGGGGATTTTCCCCCTCTACCACCTTCCATACCCCCCCTGGACTGCTTTCAAGTGATTCTCAGGGGTTCCTCAGCCCCCCCTCTGTGGTATTCCCACCCACCCCCTCATTCCCCCCATTATTTGAGGTAAATGAGGGTGGATTTGGGGGTTCTGGACCAAATCCTTCCCCCCTTCTGGGGCGTGTCTGTGTGTGGGTTCCACGACCTCTGCCACTTCTCCCCCTGTTTCGGGAACCCTTCCCACCCCACCTTCCCCAAAACATCCCTCCCAAACCTTGATCCAAGGGGTCAGCAAACACCCACATCCGTCCCAAAAAACCTTGGCCCCATTTTCCAGCTGGGATCTGGGGAGTGGGACAGCGTTTCACACCCTTCACCCCCACCCAGGAGACTTTGGCCTCTGAGAAACCTTCAGGTTTCACTCCCTGGGTCAGACATTGCTCCAGGACAGACAGCAGCTCTTTTTCCCTCTTTTCCCCTCTTTTCCCAACCCTCAGCGCTTTCCCAGCTCAGGAAAGTGCCGGGGGGGGAGAGGAAACGGGAGAACAATGTTCCTGGAGCCACCCAGCACAGGAGCAATGGGAATGGGGGCTCCCGGTGGGGGGGAACAGGGAGGTGCTTTTGCTGGGAGTTGCTTTTGCTGGGAGTTGTCCTTCAGAGGTTGTTTGTCCGAGCGTTCCTGGCTCCTTTCCTGCCCTTCCATCCGCTCCTTTCCCCCCGGAGTTAATTCACACCTGATCGTATAAACCGATAAAGCTCCGGATAAACCGTGGGGCATAAACTGCTCTGCTGCCAAACCGCGGGACGCGATTCCTCCTGGGAGGGAATTATCCCAGGGAGGAACTGCACCTTTTCCCTCCTGTCCCCCTCTGGGAAAAAAACCGCTGGGTTAGTGGAGATTTAAGGTAAAAGGCAAAGGTGGGGACGGATTTTCCAGCCCTGCCAGCCGTGGGATATTCGACCCCTGGGATCGGTGTTCCCATCAGAGCCGTGTTTACGCTCTCCCTCTCCAGTTCCCAGCCGTGTCCACCTTTCCAAGGAAACCTTTCCAGCCTTGGACTGCTGGGACACATTCCAGCAAAGCCAAAGGGCCCAGTACCGGGGAAATCGCCAGGGATCCGATCCCAGGCACGTTCCACACCCCCAATCCTCTCCCGATCCCTCCAGAGCTGCCAAGCAGCGCTGCCCTTTCCCCCCCTGACCCCCATTTGACAACAAGCCCTCCCTTCTCCCCGCTGTTCTGGAATTCCCTCGGGGCTCAGCCTTGCTCAGGGAGGTTTTCCCACACTGGCACCACCCCAGGATGGATCCAGGGAGTTTGGGAATACCACAGCATTTTCCACTGGTCAAAATGCAAAGTTTTCCTGATGTCCTTCAAAAACGGGGGAGTTGGGAGGGAAACCACCAGGAATTCTGGGCAAGGACAAACCCTGCTCCCACTAAACTGCTGTCTGAGGCCTTCACCCCCTCTCCTTCCCAGCTGCTTTCCCACGGGATCACAGTGCCTGGAGGATCCCCCACCGCTGAGGGGGAGTGGATGGGGAGAGCAGTTGGATCCATGACCCTTCCCGGAGTTTTCCTGGCCGGGGGCGGGAGATGGCCGGGATGGTGTGACTAAAACACTTTTCACCCCCAGGAATAACCCACTTCCAAAGCCACGGAGCGAGAAACCGGGCCCTGGGGTGACTCACTGGGCTCGGGGTGGGTCCCGGGAAGGAACTGGGCACGGCACAGACTTGTTTTTGCCGGCGCAGCGCCCGGGCGCTGATAAGATCCCTGTTTTTGTGCTCCAGGTTTATCGGGAAGGGTTGCCAGGAGAAGCCACGCTGCTCCCGTGACAGCCTGGCCTTTGTCCTGGCCGCGGGACGAGCAGCACCGAGCCGGGATCGCCCCCCAGCCCAGGGGGCACCCGCAGCCCCCCGGCCTCTCCGGGCTCTTTGCTCCGTGTTTTTCACCATATATGGGCCCTTCCAGCAGATTCCAGGCTGGGAGGGGCAGGGGGGCTGGGAAGGGATCCACAGTGGCTGGAGTGGGGACAGAGCGTCCCGAGCGGGAGCTGGGGCGGAAAAAGGCATTTCCTGCGCTTGTTTTTGTGCAGGGAACGTTGGGAATGGATCCCAGCTGGGAAACCAAGGCACAGGGATGGCTCCTGGAAAGCCACCGCTTGTCCCACGCCCAGGATTTCCAGGACTGGAGGCCCCGGGGCGGCTCCAGTTTGGTTCCTAAACCGCAGCAGAGGGTCAGGGGTGGGAGGGAAGGGCCTGGCTGGGGGCAGGGAACGCTCAGCTCTGCGGGATCGATGGGATACACAGGTTTGGCACTCGGCTGGGACCTTGCAGGGGAGACTGGGAAAGCTCCCAGGGCTTCCCTCACTGAGAATTCCCAAAAATCCCCTTTTTTTTTGCTGTTTTATTCCCCCTGACAAGAGGCTTGTGCCACACCCCCCGTGTTTGGGATTCTCCAGGCACACAGATCAGGGCCCCCTTTCCCCCTCCCCTGAGTGGGATCAAGCTCTCTCAGGGCTCAGGAAGGAAGATTTTCCCCCTGGAGCCCCACTTTTCCAGCTCCTCCATTGGATGTGGAAGCTCCCGCTGCTTCTTTGTCCAGGCGGGATTTCTTTCCCTTATTTCGTGCCCAGATGGTGAGTTTGGAGCAGGGAAAGCTCCACAAGAGCTGGGCCATCCAGAAACAAGGAGGCATTCGGATTCAGGGGCTGGAAAGTCCCGTGTTCGTCATCTGCTCAGGGCAGGAAGAGGCAGTGACATCAGCTGGGAGAATGTCACCTCCCCCAGCTCCCAGCACAGCCTCCTCAGGCGGGTTAGGTGGGATTTGGGGAAGAAATTCTTCCCTTGTGAGGGTGGTGAGGCCACAGCACAGGTTTTCCAGGGAATTTGTGGCTCCCTCATCCCTGGAAGTGTTCGAAGGCGAGGTTGGGTGGGGCTTGGAGCCAGCTGGGGTAGTGGAAGGTGTCCCTGCCGTGAATGGGATTGTCTTTAAGGGCTTTTCCCGCCCCAAACCAGTCTGGAATTGTGTGATTCCTGGGTGTTTGGGGTGAGGATGGAGGCACCCCATGGCTCTGGAGCTCTGAGGGTGCTGGAGCCCTCTCTGTGCACTGGCTGCTGTGGACATCTAGAGGCTTTCCCAGGAATGGCAGAGGAGGATTTTACCCATCCATCCATCCACCCATCCATCAATCTATCCATCCACCCATCCATCCACCCACCCACCCCTGGGTGACACAGAGGGGGGACAACACCAACAACAACAACAAAAAAGGCTGTCAGAGCTCTCTTGGAACGCCTTGGAGCAGAGAACAGACCTTTCCCCCCCTCCCAGCTGGAATAAAGGAGAGCCGGCGGTGCCAACGAGCGCGTTTTCCACTGACGTCAGCGGACTCTGGATCGACCCTTGGCCTTCCCAGCCGGTGCCACCTGCTGAAAAAAACCACCCCAGCCACCCCATCCAGCCCTGGTGCCAGCCCAGGGTGGGCTGTGCTCGTCCAGGTGCATCCCACCTGATGGCTGCAGCTCGGGAGGGGTTGGAATTGGCCTCAGGGGGAGGTCCAGGTGGATATTTGGGGAAATGTCTTCCCAGAAAGGGTGTTCAGGCTCTGAGAGGGCAGTGGCGGTGTCCCCGTCCCTGGATGTGCTCAACAAGTGGATTTTTGGACCTGGGGACGTGGGTCAGTGGTGGCCTTGGCTGGGTGGGGGGACAGTTAATGATTAATGATCTCAGAGTCTTCTCCAACCTCAATGATCCCATAACTCATCCACAACCGCTCCTGGGTACCGGAGGGGGCTGTGCTGGGCAGCTCCTGGTGTGACACATCCTCAGGTGGAGCTGCCCAGCCTCAAACCTGCAGTCAGAGCTCCTGGGCTGGGGGGCAGCTCTTCAGAATCCCGGGAAATTTTCAGTCTGGGAGCACCGGGCTCCAAATTTTGGGGTTGGGATCCTCAGAGAGGGCGGGTCGGGTCAGGAAAGCACCAAGGCCCCGGAGCTGGTGGTGCAGGTGAGGGGCTGCCAGGGGGAAGGAGAGTCCAGTTCCACTGGGAACCCTCCTTTCCCTATGGAATTCTTGTTGATTGGCTCCACTGACCACCAGCTCGAGGGTAATTTTATCTCCCGCCTCATCAAATCAAAGGTGAGGCCTGAGCCGGCAAAAAAGCTGCTGTTCCACACCCTGGGAGGGGCTGAATTGATTTTTATTGATTTTCACTGATTTTGATCTAAATTTGTACCTACACATTTATTTATTTACTTATTTTTGTATAAAAATCGATCCTTTTACTCTTCCTGGGTGGGGCCTGTGCCAATTTCTACCAGGAGCTCCAGCACTATCAACCCTGCTCTGGAAGATTTCCTCCCTTCAGAGGATCTTATTCCCAGGGAGGATTTTCTCCCTCCCCAAGGAGGATTTTCTCCCTCCCCAGGGAGGATTTTCTCCCTCCCCAGGGAGGATTTTCTCCCTCCCCAGAGGATTTTATCCCCACAGGGACAGGGCAGAGCAGGAGGCTCCATGCCTGGAGGGGCTGCAATTCCCTTTCCCCCTTCTCCACAAGGCTCTTCCCGCAGCTCCCGTTTTTAATCCTCCGTTCAAAATAAAGGGAAGCCTTTCCCATGGAAAACATTTCCCCTTGGGAACTCTGGCTGCTTTACTGAACTCCTCTGAAACACCTGAAATCTGCCCTCCCCTCTGCAGTCCAGCCCCTTCCCCGGGGGTTCCCCTGCCCATCCGCTCTTTGCCATCAGAAATTCTGTTTTCCAGGCGAAACCCCCCCAGTTTGGGTTGTATTTGAGAAGCTGGGCCCGAGGGAGAGATTCCCAAGGGCTGTTTATTCCCTCCCTGAAACCTGACTCTGGTCCCAAGTCCAGGCCCGGCTAAATCAGGTCCGCAACAGGTGCCAAGAAAACAAGGGAAAATAGCAACAGTGGCCTGGGATATCCGAGCCTGGAGCTCCACAGCTCCCACTGCTGGAGATCAGCCTGGTGCTTCTCCTGGAAGAGGAGGAGAGGGACAAAACCCTTTCCCCCATCGGTCACAACGCTCCCCAAACCGGCTCATGGCCTCGCTGTGCTTCTGGGCGAAGGGTCCCGAATCCATCAAACAGCTGAAAACTGGGATTTGGGTTTGGAGTCCGTTATTTCTGGGATTTTGGGGCTCCTGAACGAAGTTCTGCCGGAGCCAGCAGCTGTCCCGGGGGAGCGGGCAGGGCCTAAAAGTGCAACAGAAGCACCCAAAGAGCAGAGGGGAGGAAGAGGAGGAGGAGCAGGGAGGCCGGGGGGACGCGGGGGCCGCTCGCCCCGGCCTGGAAGATGTGGAGCTTGTCGGCGTCGGGCAGGAAGAGCCGCGCGTCGTCCAGCGCGCCGCGGGCCGCCATGGCGAAGTCGGCGTCGCCCGAGGTCACCACGTCGAAGACGCAGGACTGGAAGTAGACATCCTCCACCGGCAGCGCCTCCCGGCACAGCGCCCGCGCCGCCTCGGCCTCCACGCGCCCGCGGGGGCTGCGGGACAGGCGCTGGCCGCGGGGGCAGCCGCCCACGCACAGCTGCAGGTCCTGCTCCTCCGTGAAGGCCCGCGCCACCTCCTCGGCGGCGCGGATGGAGAAGGAGAGCTGGCGGCCGGCCTGGCGCACGGCGATGGTGGTGCCGATGTAGGCGGCGCGGATCTCCACGTGCCGCCCCGGCGAGCGCTCGCGGATGGCCAGGCTGCTGCCGCCCGGCCGCGCCCCGCCGTCCACCGAGCCGTCCTGGAAGGCCGCAGGGACGTTGTCCAGCTCGGCCTGGTAGACCTTCTGGTCGATGCATTCCTTCATGTTCTTGAAGATGATGGTGAGCTGCGAGGGGGGGATTAGCGGGGAAGGCAGGGGGATGAGCGCGGTGGCCGCGTCGCCATCCCGCGTGTCTGGGGTATCCCAGGACACACATCCGCCCCACTGATCCATCCCCAAACCACCCCTCCCACGGTTCTTTGGGGATAACAGCCATCTTTCCTTCCCTTCTCTTTCTTTAGCACCATTTAAGCAACGGAAAACGGAGATGAAGCCAAACCCAGGCAGATCCTTCCAGGAACCCCATGGACCACCATGTCCCCCCCGTGACAATGGGAGTCCCCTCAACCGCCTTCACCCCTCTCCTCCCTCCTTCCTCGCTCTCCCTGGGTCTCGCTGAAGTCACTCCCGCCCTCCCCAGGCATTTTGGGGAGCGTGGGAGCCGCCCCTGCCCGCCCAGGCAGCGCTCACCTTGCTGGTGACCGTGGCGTTGGACCCCTCGGCCACCGGCGAGCTGGTGGCCTGCACGAACAGGTAGTCGTTGTCCAGGAGCGGCCAGGAGCCCTCCACCCGGCAGGTGTGGAAGTCGTGGTGGAAGGTGCGGATGTGGGGGTCCCCGAAGGCGGCGCAGTGCTGGAAGGCGGGCGGGCGGCCGTGCCTGTAGAGGAAGCTGCGCTCGTAGTCGCAGACGTCGAGCGACTCGAGGCCCTGGCGCTCGGGGGCCGCGGGCCGGGGCCGGGGCGGCGCCGTGGGGCCCTCCCTGGAGCAGTTGTTCTGGATCATGAGGTCCTCGATGCCGTGCACGGCCGAGTGGAAGGCCAGGTCGCCGCGGCAGGTGCGGGCGGTGCGGCGGGTGCAGCGGGAGTAGGAGCGCAGCGCGGTGCAGAACGCGGCGCCCCGGCCGGGCCCGCGCAGGGGCAGCGTGGCCGCCACGTACTCCGAGTTGCAGCGCAGGATCTTGCACTGGGAAGACACTGGGGAGAAGGGACGTTCCCACTGGGAGAGGGGGACGGGGTAGGCGAGGGCGGCCCCTGCTCCTCCCACCATCCAGAGTGCTGTCAGGTTCCCACGGACACCCTTCCTGGCAGGTCTTGTCTCCCTGTTCCCATCCAACCCTTCCCAGGATGTTCTGTCTCCCTGTTCCAACCCACTCCAGATTCCCAGGGAGGCCCTTCCTGGAAGGTTTTGTCTCCTGGCGCTTAACGGGAATTTCTGAGCTGGGAAAGCCCTTCTTCCCACTGGAACCTTGGCCAGTCATGGAATGGCTCTTTCATGAGGTTTTTTGGCTGCACCAAGGAATTTGGGTCCCACGGGATGCTGGGCTGGTCCCTGGGATGAATTTGGATCCCCTGGGATGAAGCTGCCCATGTGGATCCTTACCATGCCTGCAGAGGAGGAGGAGGAGGAGCGAGCGGAGGAAGAGGCCGGGGTTTTCCAGCTGTCCTGGGCTCCTACCATCGGGCAGGTCTCCCCATTCCCACCCATGCGGAGACCGGAGGGTCCCTCACCCGCCGGCAGCTCCCGGCGTCATCCGGCAGCTCCCCTGGGAGTGGAGCAGAGGTGGGACTGAGAGCCAGCTCTTCCAAGGCCACCAACTCGTCCCCAAGTGCCACATCCCCAGGGATGGGATTGTGCCTCCTGTGCCTCGGCCTGACCACCCTTTTCCCCAGGGAAATCTTCCCTGATGTCCACCCTAAACCCCCCGTGATGCAGCTCGAGGGGTTTTCTCGGGGTGTGGGGTGCCCTGGTCCCCCCTCAGCCTGGGGACACCGCCCGTGTGACTGCAGCACCCCTGGGTGCCAGCACCATGTCCCTCATTCCCACTGCCCGCCCCTCACCTGCCTCAGCCTCCTCAGGGGATGATCCCAATCCCGGCACCCGGAGCTCCTTCCCTGCGGGACACATTGGGTGTCCTTGTCACCAGCTCTGCCCCCAGCGACGGCCGGGCAGCTCCATGGGATGACCCGGCACAATTCCAGCCCCCCTGGGCTCTTCCATGGGCTCAGAGCCCCCCATGGAGCAGCGGGTTCCCCGTTTCTCCTCCTCCCCAGCCACCTTTGCTCCGTCCTTTCCCCCCTCGGGGCAGAGGCGGGCGATGAAATCGATCCTCCTAAATTTAGCTGGGCTCGGATCCAGCCGGGAACGACAGCCGGAGCGGCAGGAGGAGCGGGAAGGGGGGAAAGGGGGGGACACGGGAGCTTCAGGAGCCCCCAAACCCCCGGGGGGGCCATGGGGTCACATCACCAGCGGGAGCTTCCCGGGAGCTCCGTGGGTTTCCTTCCCGGAAAGCTCCCACCTGCACCCCCGGGAGCGAGTCCCTGTGGAAAAGCACCCAGCAGGATGAATCCTCACAGGGAATGGGATGTATCCTTGTTGGGAATGGGATGTGTCCCCCCAGGGAAAGCTTTTCCAGCATTTTCTCTCCCAGCTTCCCCCCCCTGGGGCACAGCCACGTCCTGGACACAAACACGGCCCGGGCCGATGTCCCCAGGGGTCGATGACCGCTGGGCCGTGCCGGCTGCATTCCCAAATTCCCACCTGCCTGGGGGGCAGGAAGGAGCTGCACCAGCCCCTGTTTCTGCAGGGAGGAGGAATGGTCGAAAATGCCCATGCCAGGATTTGCTGAAGAGCTGGAAGAGGCGATGCCAGTTTGGGTCCAGTCAATCCCAAAGGATCCACTCTTCCTTCCACACCATAAATCCCATGTGGATTGGCATAAATCCCAGCCTTCCACCCCAGCACCTCCCAGTGCTTCACTTACCCCAGCAAATGCCACGGGACCGGCACCAAATCCCCCCTGGACCCTCCGGAGGCGAATCCCGGTCCCTGGGCTGGCTCTGGCTCCGGGTGGGATCCAGGAGGGAATCCCAGCCGGGCTGGGAGCGGAGGGAGCAGGAAACAGCTGAGGGTCCTGACAGCTGGACCCGGGAGCGGGAGCTGAGGGGGCTCCACCGGCCTTTTATAAATAGCCCAGAGGATTTTTGATCCCCAAAGGAGGATTCCAGTGGGGAGGGCAAGGGAAGAAGGAGGGGAGAGCCCAAGATTTCCCCTGGATGGTCCTGGGTGGGCCACTGGGAGCTCCCCATCCTGAGGTTTCTCCTGGGAAGGACGAGCAGGGTGGGAAATCCGAGGAGATTCCCATTCCAGCAGCCTCCTGGCCCACGGGAGCACCTGGCAGGGGAGCCCTCTCCCCCAGCTCTGCAGGCAGGGAGATGGGAAAACCCCTGGAGAAGAGAGTGGTGTGGATTCCTCCAGGATTCTCCACCCCAGCGCTTCCCCCTCCCTCCCTTGGGGAGCTCAGAAGGTCCTGGAGATGTGACAAATGTCAGGAGAGATGTCAGGACACCTCATTCCTTCACCTGGAGAAAGAAGAACTTGAGAGGGTCAGGGAAGGAGTCACCTGGCTCGAAGCTTCAACCCAAATCCCACAGGAGCTGCTCCCAGGATGCTGATGTGTGGATAAATCCCATTCCCAAGCACCTGCTCCGGGGCAGGGCAGCTGGGGGCTAAAAAAAATCCGTGAGCAGATGGGTCTGGATGCTCCGGAGCTCTGCAGAGGGACCCCTGCCCTGTGCAGTGACACTGTGGGGTGGTGGCAGCGTCCAGCCACTAATCCCATGGGATACTGGGACTGCCAGCAGCCTCCCCTGCCCCAGTTTCCCCATCAGTGGGAGAGGAAGGTCCGGGCTCTGCGTGGCATCGGTGTGGGGTGTCAGTGGATGCCATGGACCCCCAGCCCTCCATCCCCTCTGTGCCCCCTGTACTCCTTGTGCTCCTGTACCTGCCGAGGCCCTCTGTACCCCCCGTCCCCACCAAACCCCTGTAACCCATCCCCACCAAACCCCCCGTACCCCCCATCCCCACCAAACCCCCTGTACCCCATGCACCCCTTTTATCCCTGCACTCCCCCTGTATCCTCCTTCCCCCTTTTCTTTCTGAAGCCCCAGGAGCGCTTGTCCCACCCCGTGTCCCCCCGTGTCCCCCTCGTGTCCCCCCAAAACCCTCGTGCCCCGCCCACACACCACATAAGGACGATAAGGGGCGTGGTTTATTGCAGGGGCGTGGCCTTTTGGGAGGGCGTGGCCATCAGCGTCACGTGACGCACCGGTGTTACGTCACGGCGGCGGCGAACCCGGTCGGCGTGACCGGAGCGAACGGTGAGGAGGGGGAACACACGGGGGCACTGGGGAGATCGGGGGTCCCGTGAGGTTCCTACGAGGGGTCTCGAGTGGGATCGGGAGCGGGGGTCACACGGTGGGTTCCGCGTGGGTCGGGGGCTCCGGTGCACCCCCGGGTTGGGAAGGCGATGGGGAAGGGGGCAGGATCGGGCCCTTCTGTCCCCCCTCGCGCGCCCCTGCCCAGCTCCGTGCGCGACCCCACCCCGGGGACACCCCTCCCCAAAGTCACCCCTGTGTCCCCCCATTGTCACCCCCTGCTCCCTGCCAGCCCCCAAAGTCACCCCTGTGTCCCCCCCATTGTCACCCCCCACTCCCTGCCAGCCCCCCAAAGTCACCCCGTGTCCCCTTCACTGTCCCCCTGTCACCCCCTCTCTCCTACCAGCCCCCAAGCGCCCCCCACCCTCTCTGTCTCTCCCGCAGCCCCTCCCCGATGCCGATGCGGGGTCCCCTCGTGGCGGCCGCGGGGGGGGCCATGGGCGGCTCGGGGGGTCCCCTGGCCCGGGCCATCCGTGACAAGCTGACTGCGGCGCTGCAGCCCACGCACCTGGAGGTGCGGGACGACTCCCCCCGCCACGGGGCCCCCCGGCGCCGAGACGCACTTCGGGGTGCTGGTGGTGAGCGGGCGCTTCGCGGGGCTCGCCCCGCTCCAGCGGCACCGCCTGGTGCACGAGGCGCTGCGGGACGAGCTGGCCGGGCCCCTGCACGCCCTGCAGATCGTGGCCCGCACCCCCGAGCAGTGGCAGAGCGACCCCCGCGCCCCCCCGGCGCCCCCCTGCATGGGGGGCTCCAAGAGGGAGCGGCGCAAGGACCAGGAGGGCAAGGAGGGGGCGGCCGGGCAGCAGTGATGGCACCCCCCGGACCCACCCTGGGACCCCCCGGACCCACCCTTGGTGCCAGCGTGGGACCTCCAGGACCCCCACCCTGGGACCCTCAGGACCCCACCCCTGGTGCCAGCGTGGGACCCCAGGACCCCCACCCTGGGACCCCTGGACCCACCCTTGGTGCCAGCGTGGGATCCCCACCCCGGTGTCCGTGCAGGAGGATGGAGACTGCCTGGGGGCAGAAATTTGGGGCTGATCCCCACCCCTGCCCCCCAGACCCCTCCATATCACACTCAACCCACCCCCCACTGCCAACATCACCCCCTGTCCCCCACAGGACCCCCACCCACCCCACATCCCGTGGGTGTGTCCCCCCCTCTCCCCACTCCCACCCTCGGGGTGGGGGGGATTGTTTTGGGGTGTTCCCCCCCCCATTTAATTTAATTTCCCAATGAATTCACCCTCTGGGGCTCCCCCCGCCCCAGCCCCCAAAACCAAATAAAGGTGTTCTTTTTGTGTGGGGGGGCCACCTGAGGGCAGCTCAGAGTCCAGCAAGTCCTTTTTTTGGGGGGAGGGGGGAGGATTTGGGGTCATTTTGTGCTTTTTTGGGGTGGGTTTCTTGGTTTTTTTTTCCATTTTAATTAATTTACAAACACCTGAAACTACAGCACGGCACGACAGAGCTACGGGGGGGCCCCCGGGGGGGCCCCAAGGACCAGCTACACCGAGGGGGGGACGAAGCACACGGGGGCTGCTCGGAATGGGGGCTGCCCTGGGGAGGGGAGGCTGTGGGGGTCTCTGATCGACCCTAGGGGGCTGATCTGGGGGAACACAGCATTAGGGACCCCCTGAACCCCGATTTCTTTTAGGAGGGCGGGGGGCACAGCACTGGGGACCCCCCCTGAACCCCGATTTTTTTGGGGGGGGGTTGGGGGTGTTTGTGCTTTGGAAACCGCTGGTGGTTTTGGGCTGGAGGAGGGGAAAGGGGGAGTAAAAAGGGGTGCAGAGGGGGGGTTAAAGAGGGTGCAGGGAGATTTGGGGGTGCAGGAAGGGAAACAGGTCTGGGAGGAGGGAAAAGGGGGTGCAAAGAGCCCCCTCCAACCCATTCTCCCCAAGAGGGAAAATCCTTTAAAAATCAGTTAAAAATCACGAACTGGCAGTTTTGGGGTCCCCTGACTGGATCCCAAACACGAGACCGAGCACTGGGGGTTGTGGCCAGGGGGGTTCTGTGCTTTGCATCCCAAAAATCGGGCACCCCAAAGCGGGGGCACCCCTGGGGGGGGTGGGAGGGGGTGTGCTTTAAGGGGGGAGCACCCTAAAAACGCTGGGCAGCCCCGGGGGATCTGCACCCCAAATTGCTGCACCCTCCCCCTGCAAAGGGACCTGCACCCCAATATCCTGTGCCCCCCCCCCGAGGCATTGCTGGGGCACCCCAAGGGCTGTGGGACCTCAAAAGGGGCCCCCTCATCCCCCCAAATCCTTGTGGGGACCCTGCTGGGGGCGTTCCCTGGGGATGGGGAATCTCAGAGCCTTCATCCTCCTCCTCGTCCTCCTCGGCTCAGCAGGGATTTGGGGGGTGCACAGGGCCTGTGTGTCCCCCTCCCCAAGGCCAGGACCCCCCAAACCCCACAGCCCCCCAGGAACGAGCAGCGACTCACGGAGGGGGTGACACCGAGAAAAGAAATGGGGGGGAGGGGAAATCAGAGGGGTTTTGGAGGTCGGGGAGGGTTGAGGGGAGAGCTTGGGCGGTCAGGAGGGGGTTTTTTTAGGGGTGCCAGAGGGGTTTGGGATGGGAGGGGGCCAAGTGCAAATGAAAAAGATCCCAAAATGCTCCAAGAAGACGTTTCACAGTGTCTAACGCGACTAATCCCGGGCTCAGGGGGCGGGGTGGGGGCAGAGGCTGGGTTTGGGGATGGGGGGTACCCTGGGAGGAGGAGGAGGAGGAGGAGGGGATGGGGGGGGTCCCTCTCCCCCCACACCCCCCCATCACTGCAGGACCTGCCCCCGCGTCTCGGGCAGTTTGAGGGCCAGGGAGCTGCCGAGGGCCAGCGCGGCCGAGGCCAGGAGGATGGGCACGGCCTTGGTGATGCCCACGAAGGACGTGAAGATGCTGATGCCCAGCACGGCCGCCAGCTTGCACAGCGCGTTCAGGAACCCGAACGCCGTCGTCCTGGGGGGGTGGGTAATGGGGGGGGGGAGTGGGTTTTTATGGGAATCCAAAAAATGGGCACCTGGCACCCCAGGGCTGGCAGGCGGCACCCACGAACAGGCACCCAGCAGCTGGGAACCCCCAAGCTGGCACCTCGCTCCTTGCACCCAGAACTACCCTTTGCACCCAAAACCTCGCTCCTTGTACCCAAAACTGCTCTTTGCACCCAAAACCTCACTCCTTGCACCCAGAAACCTCACTCCTTTCACACAAAACCTCACTCCTTGCACCCAAAACTGCTCTTTGCACCCAAAACCTCACTCCTTGCACCCAGAAACCTCACTCCTTTCACACAAAACCTCACTCCTTGCACCCAAAACTGCTCTTTGCACCCAAAACCTCACTCCTTGTACCCCAAACTACCTTTTGCACCCAAAACCTCACTCTTTGTACCCAAAACTACCCTTTGCATCCAAAACCTCGCACCTTGCACCCAAAAACCTCACTCCTTTCACACAAAACCTCATTCCTTGTACCCAAAACTACTCATTGCACCCAAAGCATCACTCCTTGTACCTAAAACATGTCCTTGCCCCCAAACCCTCTCTCCTCGCCCCCAAACCCTCCCACCCGGGGTTGCCCTGGGGTGTTCCCCAGCTGGCCCCCTGCTCCCCCCGCCCCCGTGGGCCCCCACCTCATGTCGGAGGGGTAGAGCTCCACGGTGAGCACGTCGAGCGAGTTCCAGGAGGCGATGCTGACCCCCCCGAAGAGGCAGAGCAGGGCGATCATGGCAGACTCGCTGTTCCCGAAGGACAGGAAGAAGCAGCTGACGCAGGACATGACGCTGGAGCCGGCTGGGGGACACGGGGACCTTGTCAGGATGGGGGGGGACAGAGGAGGGCGGGGGGTGACCCACCGGGAGGGTCCCCCGAGGGGGAAATGGGGGTGGGGTGATCAGCCGAGGTAGGGGGTTCAAGAAGGTTCCCAGGGGGTGATGGAGGTGGGGGAGGATCCACCGGGAGGGACAGGGGTTAGGAAGGTCCCCAGGAGATCAAAACAGAGACCTGGTGACCCAGCAGGTGGGAGGGGGATCAGGGACGTCCCCAAGGGGGTGATGGAGGCGAGGTGACCCATCAGGGTGGCCCCCAAGTGGGGATGGAGGTGGGGGTGACCCGGCAGGTGGGAGGGGGCTCAGGAAGGGTGAGAGCCAGTCTGGGCTGGAAGGCACCTCAAGGACCCTCAAGGGCACCTCCCCAGACCAGGTTACCCTGTCCAGCTGGACCCTGCCTGTCTCAGGGAGGGGTCACTCCCTCCAGACCCCCCACGGGGTGTGTCCCCCCTGCCCACCCAGCATGCGCAGGCGGCCGATCTTGTCCATGAGCAGGGCCGAGACGATGTTCCCGGGCAGCACGGCCAGGGTGCCCAGGAAGCTGACGAAGTAGATCATGTAGGCGTTGTTGTCGTCGCTGAAGTCCAGCTGGCAGCCCTCCTTGTTGTGCAGGAACGTGCTGTTCACCACCCGGCTGTTGATGAACTTGTACTCGAAGAGATCTGGGGGGGACAGGGGGGACGTGGGGTCACCCTGTCTGCACTCACAGCTCCATCGTCCCCTTGGGGACCACCCTGGTGGGTCACACTATCTACATCCCACCCTGGGGACCCTTCTGAACCCCCCTCCCACCCAGTGGGTCCCCCCCCATCTCCATCAGCCTCATGGTGCATCACCCCCTCCACCCCCAGACCCTCCTGGAGGGTCACACCCTCCCTCCTCCACCCCCACCTGTGTTGTAGAAGACGGTGGAGATGAAGGTGCAGTTCTTGAAGAAGGTGTTGCTGGAGGTGATGTCCTCGAAGTAGCACTCCTCGAAGAGTGAGTCCTCGAACGTCACCGACTTCATCTTCAGCCCGATGAACCTGCGCGGTGCCACGGGAGGGAGACCCCGCCGTGTCCCCCTCTGCCCTCTATCCCAGCCCCCCCGGGCTCAGCCCCTCCTGCCCCTCACTCACTTGTCGTTGAAATACTCCCCTCCACGGTGCACCTGGTTCTCCAGGGTGAAGTTGAAGGTGAAGTGCCGGACCTTCTCGCGCGTGAAGAGCTTCGTGCGCGCCGCGTACTCGATGCTCTGCAGGTGCTTGATCATGTCGGGGAACCACACGGTCAGCCCGTAGTAGCTGCGGGGAGAGGGGTGAGCGGTGCCCCCGGGGCTCCCAGTACCAACCTGGTGCTATCCCAGTTCTGGCAGCTCCATCCCAGTGCTGCCTGTCCTGGCCCAGTGCTGCCTGGTTCCATCCCATCTCATCCCATCCCATCCCATCCCATCCCATCCCATCCCATCCCATCCCATCCCATCCCATCCCATCCCATCCCATCCCATCCCATCCCATCCCATCCCATCCCATCCCATCCCAGTGCTGCCTGGTTCCATCCCACCCCATCCCAGCCCATCCCAGTGCTGCCCAGTCCCACCCCAGCCCATCCCAGCGCTGCCCAGTCCCCCGGCACCTGAAGGACATGGTGAACCACACTGCCATCATCATCAGCGTCACACGCCGGAACTCGGGCGCGAAGCACTGCTGGAAGTTGCTCCAGACCTGTGAGGGGACGTGGGAGGTGACAGGGGCGTGGCAGGGGGCAGGGACAGGGCAGGTGGCGGGACGGGGGTGCCGCGGGGACCCCCAGGCAGCTCTGGCCTCACCTGCTGTGAGAGGTTGAGGCATCGGACGAGCCAGCGCCGGTACCACGTCCCGGTGTCCGACTGGATCTCGATGAGCTCGTCCTCCCGCTTGATGGTCTTGATGTGTGTGACCTGGGGGGGAGGGGGACAGTCTGGGGACACCGGGACGCACCAGCCATGGCCCAGACCCACCTTGGACCTCGGTTCCCCCCACACCCCATTACAGCAGCTGCTTTTATCCCAGAGCTGGGAATTGCAGCTCCTGGAGGCCCCCCCCTCCCACCTTGGGGTTCAGGGACCCCGGGGCTCAGCCCTGGAGGGGGGGTCCTTACCGAGAAGACCCTCTCGGGGTGGCCCTTGGCCCTCATGTTGGTGTCGTGGACCTGCTTCAGCACCATCCAGGCCTCAT